ATTCTTACATTCTAGAAAACTATCTCGTATGTTTGCAACAGAAGCATGCTTGAATGGATCATTTTTAGCTTTACCCGATTCACATTTTCGAACTACATCAACCAATCCGGGTGTGGATCTTGATCAAATTATTGCCGTGATGGAAAAACTTCGTTCATGTGATCCTGCAATACAACAATTGGTAAACTCTTCGACTTTCTATTGATTTATTCTCATTATTTTCCTTAGTTAAATGAACATATTCAAGATATTCTTTTGACATTACCTGAAACCGCGCCATGCTTTGAAGCATTGCGAGTTTATCTTGTTTTGCCATTTTGTCATATATTCGAAAATGAAGATCTTTTGGAAACAGTTATCGCACCATTTGCACGAGCGGCAACACGCCTGAAACCGAAAGCTGATGGACGCGTTCTAGATTATTGGATTTTGAGCATTGGTCGACATTTCGTTGAACGAATTCTTGAAGTAATCATCATTTATATTGACAATGTTCTCATGTAACAATCTGATTTTCTAGTTATATCGACCTTTGGTGATCAAAACTCTTCGTTCACCTGTTGGAAATTATCCACTGGGTTTGCAGCAATATCAATTAGTCTTGAAATCTCTTCTAGAATTACTGAAGAAAGTTCACAATGTAAGATTAGACATATTTGAACATGATTATTCGAAATTTTGTGAATTTTCAATTGTAGGTTTCATGTAATATGGCTAAACCTGAATTAGTCAGTCATGATACGTTCTACATGAAAGAACTCAACGATTTAATCGATCTCAAAGCTGACTATGACCAATGGCAAGTGCGACAACATTATGATGTAAGTTTAACTGAACGAGATTGAAAATTGAAAAAGTTTCATTCTCATTTAGAATAAAAAATCGATTTCATTCTGTGATTATCCATTTCTATTCGATCTCAAAGCTAAAATCTGTAAGTTGCATGAGAATCTATCTTCATAAATTCAAATTTTCTCAGTATTACTTCAGTATCATGGTCAACTCGAAATGCAAGACGCTATTCGAAGTGCTTTTATACATAACTTTCAATCAATGATGGGCGCACATGTTGACACCGTCAATCCTCTCTTAGTATTACACGTCAATCGTAATACAATTGTCGAAGACACGATCAAACAAGTAAATCTCGACAAAATTTCACCAACTTTTTCTATAATTTCTCTTCTTGAACTGCAGTTAGACAAATATAAAGAAACAGATTTTAAAAAACCATTACAAGTGTTCTTTCAAAATGAAGAAGGCTTGGATGCAGGCGGAATTCGCAAAGAATTCTTTCTTTTATTAACTAAAGCAATATTAAATCCTCAATATGGAATGTTCAGTAAGACCATACACATTAAATTCCTAATCTTTCTTCTTCTGTTAGTATTTTATGAAGAGACAAATACAATTTGGTTTAGCGAACATGTACCCGAAGAAGAAACAATGTACAAGTTGATTGGAGTAAGTCATCATCACCCTCGGAGATTCAATTAGCAGTGCTAATAAAAGCAACTCAGTTGGAAGTCCTCTGCTTTCAGTGGAAAGATCTTCGTTGGAAGTATATCTTTATCTTTAGACACTTTGTGCATTGGCTGTATATAATGTAACGATTATTGATCTTCCATTTCCATTAGCTTTGTATAAAAAGTTACTGAAAAAAGGCAAAATCGATCTAAATGATATGAAATCTTTGTCGCCAGCAATTTATCAGAGTTTGAAATCGGTTTTGAATTATGCAGAGGATGATCTGGAAACAGCACTTTGCTTAACCTTCACGATTGATCGAGAATTCTGTGGGGAAATTCGACAAGCAGAATTGAAACCTGGTGGAGCATCGATTATGGTTAATCAAAAGAATAAACAAGAATTTATCGATTTGTATATCGATTACATCTTCAATAAGTCATGCGAAAAGCAATTTCAAGCTTTTTCACATGGCTTTCGCCGTGTCATCAACTCGAAACCATTAGAATTATTCTATCCCGATGAATTAATGTCTTTTGTGGTATGAATTATTCAACATCTCTTTTTTTATCTTTCATTTATCGTTCCAGGTAGGAAATAATACTTACGATTGGAATGAATTTCAAAAGAAAACTGAATATAAAGGAGAATATCATGCGAACCATCATGTCATGTAAGTCATAATTGAACAAAATTTAGAAATACTCATCTTTTTCACGCATTGTAGTCAATGGTTTTGGCAAGTTTTCCATAAACTCGACGAGAAAGACAAAAAGAAATTTCTATGTAAGTCACGACCTGATTACACATACATTTTCACCTAGCGTGTAAACAGAACTCTAAATGAAATGAGACCTGTGTGTTGTCACGCATGAAAATCAGAGCACAGAGCGCTTTGAAGTATTCAATGCAATTTACTATGTCATACTTGATAAGGTTTCCACAAACAAAACACCTTCCGCTTTGAACAATAGACTGAGACATTGCTTGATTTAGCTAAAACCACGAGCCGAACTTCGTTCACTTGAACAAACCCTCTAATTCGATAATAACAGATTTTCTTTGTCTATGTATAATTAATGTCTTAAAACGTCAATTATCTCTGAGTATAATGTATAATGAATTGCTTTTTTTAGTGTTTTTAACTGGTTCGGATCGAGTACCTGTCTTCGGCTGGAGTCAGACGTTGGTAAGTCAACAATTTCCTTTGACTTCTTAACCTTTTCATGATCTTTCTTAGCCCATGACGATCCAGCGAAGTCATAGTGATGATATTCATCTACCGGTCAGTCATACGTGTTTTAATATTCTTGATTTACCATCATATTCATCAAAAGAAATATTAAAAAGTAAATTACTGGAAGCCATTCAACATAATCAAGGTTTTAACCTTGTTTAAGTGAACAGTCAGACAATAATAAAGAATTCTTCGTTTTCTTATCGAACAAATCTGTTCAGACATTTACACATATTTTTTAATTTCATTTTTTTTTCAGACTGTACATTTATAATAAATAAAGATTTTTCTGTTCTCAGTCAAGAAATCCTTCGTTTTTTTTTCTTTTCGTAATAAAAAATTACACACATTACAATAGATTGGTTGCTTTGATCGTCATGATCGATTCTTGACATATCACAATTGAATAGATCACCAGGATGCGCGTGGTGGTGGCCGAGGTAATGGTGGTTGATAATCGATGTTCATTTGCGAACGAAATTGTTCCAGTTGAACGGCGTAACGCTGGGAGGGTTTGAGAAACTGATAGATATCAGTCGCTTGATTGCGAGTCTAAACAAGCGGAAAATCAATTCGATTTAACTTGTCTTATGCTTTACTTTATCTTCGGCATATCCTCGGAAACGTTCGGTGTTACTATGAACTTCTGTATATTTTCGATTTTTTTCAAAGAACGACATTGTTGTTAAGTGAAAAAAAATAGAAACCGGTATGAGTGCTGACTTGCTTTTTATTTTACGAGTTTTTTTTTCTTCTCTCTTTCTTCCTCTGCTAAGATAAGAGAAAGAAAAGAAACGGTTGGCATGCAACTAGCTGTTTCTTAATATGTAAACATATCGACAGGAAATGCTCCGGAATAGAATCTGTGACATGCATGAAAAATTTACCTCGGTACCAATCGTCTTCATCACCTTCGACTGCTCGTCGATTTCGACTTAATAAGGGAACTTTCACAGCAGTAGAACTTGTTGTTGTTGTCGTTATTGTTTTTGAACCATTTCCATTGGGAGAATTACCAGCAGCGGTGACAATGCATCGGATGGGAGAAACATTTGTTGTACTATTAGAAAAAAGTGTTCGTCGATGTAAATCTAGCAGACTGCGTCGAACTATCGTAGGAATACGTTTCGGGTCGAGTAAGGTCTGTGCTGCCAGATTCGCGCGCGGAGTTTCAACTTGAATCTGATAACTAGCTGTGCGAGGAACAGCTAACGTTCCAATACTATTATTTCGCCGGTTATGTCCTAATTCTAATACACTCGGCGACGTTAAATGTTGAGAGGGACTTGGCATACGCAAGGTCGATGTTGATTTAACATGAAGACAAGTTTCGCTTGGAGAACGAACGAAGATTGTTGCACGAGGAGAAGCGTCGATGGCAGGTTCGGATGTAGCACGGATGAAAGTAACAGGTGGTGGAAGTGTTGATTGAACCGAATCATTTGAATGTCGATCGCGACGTGATGATGGACAAACGCTTACTTTTGTGTGTAATGAATAGTTGGGCAAAATCGACGGAGGGTTACATATTCGTTCGAGTTTACGAGCTAAACTAATAATTGCTAATAGCCATAGGCCAATCACGACTAGGACAAGGAGACTTTCGGCGAAGCTCATTCGATATATTCCTTCTTCCATTTCTCCTAAAGTTCAAAAAACATCGGTTGTTAAAAACGACGATGAAGAAGAAGAATTCAATTAGATTGTCGCTCGACCGATGACTATTTATTTAAGGAATTGCCTATTAATTTTGATTGGAAAAGATCGATGTTTTCATTAGCGATTTGTCTCGTTTTCAAAAAGAAAAAAAAACCGTGTTGATATTCCCTGGCGGAAATTAGAGTTGCTCATAGGGACTCTTATTTCTGACTTGAGACTATAATTTCACGCAGGAAATATCCGAGGTTATCTAAGCGAATACGATTCGACAGAAGGAGAAAGAAAAACCTAAAAATTAAAAGTTTAATTAAAAGCAGAAATTCGGTAAAAATCCATTTGGATCAAGTAGGAGACTGAACATGAGGGAGAAAACGAAGAAATAGAAAATGATTTCTTTTCTATTGATTGTCAAATATAAAAGAATCGAACTAATGAAACAATCAAGAGTACTTGTTTATTGAAGTATTCTTTAAATATAAGCAATAATTTCATCATTTCTAGTCCAGAGATCATCGCATTGAGAAAAATCTTTCGCTAATCGATCATGTCTTCAGTGCAGAAGAACAATCTTTAGATAAGAGAGAAGAATTTCTCGCTGGATAACTTACGTGTCGAGTTGTACGACATTGATTAGTGTTATGATTATGATTATTAGATTTATTGTCGAATAATATCTCGATGAAGCATTCATATTATTCTAAACATAAGTTACACAATGCAAAATATAAATTGGTCGATTTCAATAGCTTGAAAAACGAAGCTTAGGGTGTTGACATAAGGTCAAAATGATTGGGAAATGAAGATATACGAATAGATATAGAGCAGTATTCGGAAGACTCGCTGTCGAGCTGTTAATAAATGCATGGCATCGTTCGTCAGTAAAGAAAAATGTCGTCTTTCTGTCTTATCCTTATGTTTTTTGCCAAGTTTTTCTTTCTCTCTGTCTTCTTATCTTTGTTCTTCTCATTATATTCTTTTTGGATTTAGAGCGAAGAAGAAAAACTCGTAGAAGGCAAAGAAGAATATTGAGCATGTGTCATTTGAAGATAAAAGAAGAAAAAAGAAACGGACGAGTTTTCTTGTTGACATTTTGTCTGCAAATACGATTGAATTATCTCGGAGAGGATATTGATGTTTTCGTAGTCCTACATAATAACCAGATATCGATAGATTTCTTCTTATTTCGCTTACAGATCTTATGTAAACTATGGCGAATCTTCTTGATGTATATATTAATAGATCTAACGGTATGTTTGCATTCGTGCATGAAAGATACTCTCTGGAGAGAAGTTCTTTGTATAACTTTTAACCTTGAAATGTCGATGAATGACACGAACCGTTTTTTGTTTAATTAATTTATTAACACTTATTATCTGATGGCAAGAGGATTTGCTTTCACTCCAGTTTATTCGTCGAGTTCGATCAATCGCCATTTACGTACGAAAGACAATCGACACTGATGAATGTCAACAGTTGATTAGAAATAAATAAAAGGAAAAATCTAACAACATACGACTTAGTTTTCTCAATCTCTTCAAGTATATGTCATCGAAACAAACAATGATCATTCTGCTACTTTGTCCTTTCTGTTTCATCGAAATCGATGCCAGACGGAAGTTATTACCGCATGATATTATCAACAACATTCTACGCACAAACAATAATCCTCTTCGAATAATTGACTCAATCGCTTCCTATCGTCGGTTTGTCCTTTTTTTTTCTCTTTCTCTATGTTCTTTGAATCCTACTGGAATCTCGATTAATATATTTAGCTTTCTTTCTTTATTTTTTTTTCTCTCTCTCTCTCTCTCTCTCGAAACTGATAGTAGATGAGTATATATTTATGATAGAACATGACAGTATTTTGACTATACATTGAGTAGTCCTATTATGTGATTAGTTGATGGAGTATATACATAAAGAAATTGACAGAGCGAAAACGACGGGCAAAAAAGAACTAGACTACCAATGTCGAGAAAAACAGCATTGACAAATGAATGCAAAGATAATATCAGTAGATTAACATAACTGAGTTATGCGTATTTTCCTTCGATCAGAACTTGCTAAGGAGATTATTGACGACGAAAATGCAATCTTCGTCTCAATTGAGTTAATTTAGTTGTTCAAAGAAAAAAACCGAGAAGATAAAAGTATATATTATCTCGTAAAGATAGTTATTACGATAACGAGATGATATAGCGGAAAAGCTAGTTGATATTTTTATTTGAGATTTTATTATGGTTGAATAACTTTGTTTGGTCATTCTATGAGGTTAAATCAAGAATAGAACACGTACAAAAGAAAAAGAACGTTGAGAACAAACAATTAGTTTTGCATTCGGAGAGTTGCGATTAGTGAGAGTAAGTGCAACGCCGGACCAAGTTTCATTTTGAAGACACGAATTAAATGGTCTTCGGTTAACAGTGGAAGAGTTCGACCATCGATTTTCTGCTGAACGAATTTCTAAGAAAAAGATTCAAAATCAAAAAATCAAAAGTAAGAAAGCATTCAATTCACTCGAGCGATATTTTTGTCTGGAAAATGTTTTTCAATGAATCGACTCACATCACTGACAGACCAATTGTTTAGTGATGAGGTCGACGAGTTCATTGCCATTGAAGTCGCTAAATGCTCACGTGTCACCTGAATCTTGGGTTCGAATGACGATATACTCGCGTGAGTCAGTGTCGCGTTGATTGGTAATGATAACAAACGTTGCGAATTACATTCCGATTGCACGTACGAAATTTTCGGAACAGAAACTCTCTGTTGAGAATGTGCTGATGGTATGACAGGTGGCAATATACTAACGACATTACTTTTCATATCCATAGGCCTATACAAAACAAATTCACGATATCTTTAGTTGTTGTTTTTTTGCTTTGACATACTCTTCTTTGATGTTATCTACCTGGACGGATGCGTTCGAGGGAGTTGCCAGAGGATTCGACTTGACTAAAGTTTGAAGCCATAAACGATATTGCTCGTAATCTCTTCCGCCACTTTGATAGAATCGTTTGAAAGTACTAATTGATCCCGCGACATCGCGGACCGTTGTCGACTTCATTCGTCGACTTGTGACACGTAAGCGACGAACGGGTTTTATTGTTTGTCCAGTGTTATGCTCGTTATTCATGCTTTCACAATCGAATTCGATCCAGAATAGCTTTTCGAAATCAAACCGACGAAAAATAATGTGTTCGCTCACAAATTTCTTTGATGTTCTTATTATTTATGGCAATCTTTATGTATTCTTTTAAACGATCGCTACGCATGATGTAGCAAACATCATAAGTGTGATCACAAAATCATATAGATGGTCTTGCTTGAATGACTTCCATTTTGTTAGTTTCATTTTTTTCTCTATATCGAGAATGAATTTACATCTATAAAAATGAGTAATGAAAACGAAAATAACTAGACGTATACATCTTGATATGAAGTCATTAGAAAAAAAAAAGCCAAAGACGAAGAATGCAGAGAAATTCTTTCGAGGAAAAGGAGAAGAATACATTAATCAATTAAGATCTACGTTGGGTGTGAGAAATTAATGAAAGGACTGAGCATTTCCATATTTATTGAATAAATTTATCGAGAAAAACGAAACACGCGAGCAATAGATTACAAAAATAAACTAGACGAGAGGATGATCGATGTCTTCGTCTCGACAATTTCTTCCCAAAAGATATTTACGGAGATCGGTATCATAATTTTGTGAAAAGAACCCATATGTTCGTGTTTTTGTTTAATCAATTATACTTGACCGATTCCGATGACAGATTGTTGTTATTGTCAACATCGTTAACAACTCATAAAACGAATAAATAAGCCGATTACATCGTTATTTTATATCTCTTCTAATAGAATTTCATTCGAACTTGGTATTAACCAGATCGAGATGTTTTCATCGATATTTTTGACATTTAATCAAAATGATCTGCCCAATATAGAATCTCTTAATTGTTATAAACATTTGTATGCTTGAGAAATGATTAAAGAATCTCAGCAGGAAACATTTGACATATGTTCGAGAAAGTCACATCACACGACGTCAATGTATCTGCATTGCTAATTAAAGAATTTACTGAAAAAGACAAACCAAGTTCGACTAACCATCAATGTATGACATACGATCGAAGGTGAATACTTCAAATCACCATACAGCCTGTGACAATGCCGATGAACTCAATTAGAGATTGGGATATGGTACATTACCATTGATGACATTTTTTGAGGTTATGAAAGAGTGGAAATCGAAAAAAAACTCATCATCCGAAATGTTTCGCGTTGCGAATATGAAATGAAAACCCTGAAAACTGATCGTGCGTATCATTTTCCTACCTTCTTCTCTCTCGTACATACACTCAATGAATCTCCCGAAAGAAACAGCAACGATCGAATCAAGGAAAAACTCTTCTCATCATTCTACTAGTACCTCAAGCACCAAGACAACTTCTTCACCTGCTAAGTTACATGAGACTTCTTTGCAGAATATCCGACAGTCCAAGTTCGCTCGATAGATGTCGTTGATAATCACTCTCGAATATCTTTGACTTTCGTGAAGTTAATTCGACTAAAATCGATATCGTAGTACAAATTTCATATGAATTTCGATAGTTTTCTCGTGTCGAATTCGCTAGTCAGATGTCTACACTCGTAGAATTCAATTGGATTGGTACATTCCAATGAATCATCATTTGCACAATAAAGAAGTGGAAATAAGTTATTTCTTTTTTTTTTACGAAATTGTTGTGCGACTTTCCATCAAAACTTTTTTCTTTCAGATTATTAATTAGTTGCATAGTATCTATTCATTAGATTGCGACATTTTATGGCAACAGAGACTTCAGCAGATGAAAATGTCTCTCTTGTTGATCAAAATCTACGTTCAGTCGTCTATAATCCATCGTTAAATTCTTTAATTTATCTCAATGATAAACAAGAAATCATTGTTCGTAGTGCTGATCAACTCTCCACATTATTTCATCGAACATTACCGATAAACAACACCACTGAATCCTATGAAATCATTCCTTGTCATGATAAATTTCTTTTCTTAACATCTACCCATATTTATGCCCGACAATTATATCAAGGTTTATATTTTCTCGATTCAATTTTATCTTCAATCAATGATGAAAACTGTTGTGTTTTAATCGAATTAACTTATGGTGATGCACAATTGTTCTTACAATTATTAACAACGTTAGATTTAACATCATTGACACATATCGCGGAATTTCATGATTTACTGAAAAATAAATTTGATGAACATCAATCATCGTCTTTGTGGAATGTCATACAGTTCTCCTATGATTGTCTCAATGCGATAAAGATCTGCTTTGACATTCTTCGTTTACATAAACAACATATTCAACAAAATCAAAGCACTCTTTCGCCACTGCCAGGCATTGTTGTCGTTGGCCTTTTACTTGATTATTTAACACGATATTATCATCATAAGAAGTCATTGGTTACGCCGGCCGATGAACAGATCGGTTCAACAATCGACCCACCATCGTCAACGTCAACAACAACATCGAATAGTACTTTGTTTAATACAAATAATCGAAGTACACGGGAACGTTTGATGTTCAGTGAAGCAACACGTTATAGAACATTTACATTATGGCCACACTCAGCCTATCAATGGTTAACACCGGTACGTTCGATTCTCTTTCTTCGCGTTCAATTTCACAATGTTTTTATTTTCGTAGGAAAATATGGCCAAAGCTGGGTTTTACTACTCTCCACTGAAAGATAATGACGATCGTGCACTGTGCTTTGCTTGTACTGTAACACTTGTATGCTGGGAATCATCAGATTCTCCATGGACAGAACATGGTCGACATTCTCCGAACTGTCCATTTATCAAAGGAGATTTTACCGAAAATGTTCCACTACGTACGACATGTGCGATTCAACCGGGAAAGAAAATCTTCTCCAACCAACAACAGCAAAATTGGTTAATCAGATCCAATGAATTAATATCCAATGAACACGTTATACTCTTTTTAAACGCAGAATGGGTCATTCGTTCCGTTGATATTACTAATGTCATTCACATCAAAACAACATTAGCATTGAAAAGTCTGGTTGATCAATTAACAACTGATACCAATCAGGAAGATAATTCCCAAATACAGAATCCAAGTTCGACGATCTTCATCGAACATTTCGATCGATCGTCAACACGACGATATTTGAATTCAACGTTAGTTCCCTTAGCTTTGACCATGTATCCATCATCACTAAGCCATGAAAATGAGAATTCCATCATTTTCTCATTTGTTCACATCCTCGAAACAGGAAAATGTCTTTTCTTGACAACAACCACCAGCAATCAATATGATAACATGATATCATCACGTGCATCAACAGTTACAAATAGTCCACATCATGACCAATCGACCGAACCGAATGTAACCGAAACGACTAAATCCGGAACGAATAATAAATACGATTATTTAATTGAATTCTCGAATTTCAAACAAACACCCAAACAAGCGTTTCTGTTTCATTTAACTAAAAGTAAAATGTTGTTATTAATCAATACAACGGAATGTCTTCATAGTTATGGCATCGAATTCGAACAGATGAATTTAACTTCAAAAATACTTTTCTATCATTGTGTTCATCAATCATCTACGAATGACATGGAGATCGATTCGATCAATCCAATTGTATTCGATGAAGATGAAACAATGAACGCTGATGGCCATTCGATATTGAGTAATGAAGAAGACAATTTCGAATATGAACCTGAGGGTCGCGAAGAAAAGGAAGATGAAGAAGAGGAAAATGAAAATTATGACGAAGAATACGGAAAGAAGAAAGCAACGAAACGAAAACGATTATTAATTTGCTTAAAATCTGGCCAACTGATTTTCTATGATATTCATTCAACACTGAACACGGAAAATCATTCGGAAGGGAATGCAGTTGGAATTCTTGCTGATCAACAAGTCACTGGTCATGTCAACAAGTGTGTACATGTCAGAGGAACAGAATTTATCTATGTATGGACCAACGATCTTGGCGTGAAAAAGGTAAAAAGGATAATTTTCTCGGAAAAACAATTTCAATTCTTTCTTTTAGCTCAATATTCGCGATTTATTCTCATCATATTTCATTCATTTGCAATCAGATGATCAAACCATGACTTCTCCAATGAATTCATCTCAGCCGAAACTCTCGTCGGATGAGCAAACGACTAACTCCTATTCTACATCAACTCTTCGATCGCTTCTAGCCTTCACTTCATTTGATTCATCACTAGCAACGTATTTCTTCGCCCATGTCAATTCTTCTTTTTGGATCGACACTTTGGACACACCGAAGACAAATGTCGAACGACACACATGGCGTTTACAACAACCGAACATCACTCAACCCCAACAACAAACATTGGCAGCATCGAACCAACCAGTCATTCCTGCTATACATATTTTCGATCTACAAACAGCTACACCATGTATTCTACATACAATCGAATTTCGCTATACACTCAATCGACAACATCTGCATAAAAAGAATCTGTTTGTCACACTTTATCGTGCTTCGAAAAATCAAAACGATGTCGATCAAAAAGTAGAATTCAATCAACTGGATTCGTCGTTGAATTATTCAAATGAAGATATTCTTGCCGGTCCATATTCATTGATTGATTACCTCGAATCACCTACACATGATAAAGGTCTCATTCAGTTATGTTCCTATGATCTATTAACACATAAATCCAAACATTTTCGTCTTGTTCTCCAATCGAAATCTTCATCACTATCCACTCAATTAAATCTTTTCCCGATCGAAATCATTTCCATCACACTTCGATCGACGAAACATCAAAGCCGCTTGTTACGTCTATATGAATCGTCAACCATCAACAGTTTGATTTCAACCATTTTGACTACCACAAATGAGAAGAAAATTCTCTATGCATTGAATTTGTTAATATCGATTATTTATACAACAAATGATTTGAGTAAATTAAATCAAATGAGAAGTGCAATTTTGAACGAAACACTTTTACAACGAACATTGACCAACGCAACACGAACGATTGCGAAACGTATGGCAACGTTGATTATGATGTTAATTAAAACCGATCAAGACATGGAGAAATTTATTGACAACTTTTTGAATCTATTTCCAATGAACGATCAATGTCTACTAGGATTTAAATCTTCATCAGCATTGAAATGGTTTTTTGTTATCATTGGACAATGGATGAAGGTGTACCAATTTCAAATTGGAACAAAATTATTACAATGGTTATTGCAGTTGGCGGATATTATACAAAATACAGACACAATGCAGAGACAAACATTGAGAAATAAGTAAGAATTAAAAGAACGAATGAAATCACGTGTTTTGAACTTGATTTGTTCTAGATTTGGATTCTATTCCGATCCATTTGATGCTCATTTGTTCGATGTTGATCTGGCGACATTGATCGAATGTAGTCTTCGTCAACGTAATACGACCACTTCGTGTTCATCATCTTCAAATTCAACAAATCCGTCACAATCATCACGTCCACCTGGTATGAGTGATAATTCTTACGATCCGCGTATATATTCTCGTTACGGTACAACGGGCTTACCTGTGATACCAACTGATCCGGAATCATTATATTCATCGTCAAATATTCAGTACGTTCTATCAAAACTTTTACCAAATTCGTTATCATCATCGAATGTTTATCTCAAACCAATACCCGGTCTCTTTGAAATCACTCCATTGAACTATACAGTTCACTCATCAGCTGAAGGAACTCGTCTCGAACGTGTTGATATAACACATCTATTAACTTTACGTACATACGAAGCAAGCAATGTTCCTCCTTCGACAAACGTCGCTTTCGGTACTGGTTCGCACCATCTCTATCATCCAACAACGTCAAGTTCGATTCCTCCACCTCCACTTCCTCCGGCTATCTCAACATTCAATTCTACTAGTACATTTCCATTTTCGTTTCCAACTCCGAACATCAATACGTATTACGACACACTCTATATGTTACCGTCGACGACAAATACAACGACAAGTTCGACAACGGTGAATGATCCAACATCAACAAATGTTTCGTCATTTCCGATAACAACGACGAGTGCTGCTTCGATGGATATTCCGCTAACGGGAAATCTAATCGCACCACCATGGTTGCCACATTTGGCATTGAAATTCAAAGATAAACAAGGTTTACAAAAAGAAAAATTAAAACTAATTGCGAAGAAAAACAAAGCTGCTGCAGCTCAATCATCGATGTTAAAAAAGAATTCGGCGTTATTTAACGATCTCATTCCTTCCAAATCACCTTCATCTTCATCATCAACAACGACAGTGCAAAATCCAACAACCAACGCAACCAACACCAATTCATCCACGAATAAACCTCGTGCCGATGACGAGACTAACAATCTCGATCATCAATCATCATCCAATCCGACAACAACGGCAACATTAGACGAAATTCTAAACCAAATATCCAACAATCTTCTCCATGGTCATTACTTACCATTATATCAATTCGTCATCGATCGTCTATCAGGCGGTGGTCGAAGTCACTTCGTATTAGATTTTGGTCAGCAAGTGACACTGACAGATATATTAATTCCATCGTGTCAAGAATTGGCTTCGTTAAGTTTAGATTTTTGGACACATGGTGAACATATCGACTGTCAACGCTTATTTTCTTCGACATATATTTCAACTCAACCATTCTTTCTACATGATTTACAACCCGCGATTACTGCTCGATATATTCGTATAACGTTAATTGGTCAATCGAACATTTCTGTCTCATCCATTCGTTTACCAGTTGGATACTTCTTTGGTTATCCGTATATGTTGAATAACGATGAGAATACTAATGAAAATACGACAAATTTTCATGAAAAATATCAAGTGAAGTTGCAAGTGATCGAAGGAATTTATGAAACTTTGATATCAAACTATGCACTATGTCGACAGAAATTATTCAACCTATTATCAACACCGGATAACCTTGAGAAGAGTTTTATTGAGAAGATCTATCGCGAATGCATTCAATTACAAATCCAAATCAATCACGCAAAAAGACAAATTCATCAATGTAAACAAATTCTTAAACTTGAAACAAACACAACCAATTCTCGTCAACCAACCAGCGATTACTTGAGATTATTAGCTGATTTACTAACAAATGAACTGACATCACTATCAGGCATTATTCAACAATCAGAAAAGTAAATCTCGACAGAAATCTAATAATAGGACATATGATTTGTTTTTAGCTCTTCATCATCGTTCATTTCATTGAATCAAGCATTGCAAATCTTCGACACATTTGCTATTCGTCATGTGCAGATTGTTGATATGCCTAAACGTCTGTTACAACTATGTTCGTATCATTCCTGGTGGCCGGAATTTGTGAAAGAATGTTTTCAACGTTATTTTCTTTCGAATGAAAGTTTAACTTTCGATCAACAACAATCTTTATTCATTAATCTTGTGGATCTATGTGAACAAACACTTTTAACCGTCAATTCACCGACGGATTCTATGATTTTCTACAATCGTCTATTAGCTATCGAATATCTAAATAATATTTACAATTTATTATTAAATACAAAGAAAAATCATAAATCTATCGAATGGTTGTTATTGTTTATCTATCGTTTATCGGAAAAGAATCTTTTTCCTTATTATTACGAACAAACTAACAAGAAAAGTCATTTTTCGCAATTGATTTCCAAACATTGGCAATTTCTTCATACATCTTCGATCATCCCAAGTCCACGTTTAATCAATCCTGCAACGAACTATCGTCGCAAACTGCGCAAAGAAACTTTATTGAAAAAACCGATGAAATCCTCTTCGACAACTCTCTCAACACCCATTCCGTCCTCTTCTTCTTCGTCAATCATCATCTCCCAATCAAATTCAATCGATTATTTCTGTCATCGTTCGTTAGTTTTAAACGTTTGTCAATATCTCCTCGAGATTCTAATTCAGAATGAAAATCTATCTAATGAATTATTCATTCTGATCTGCAAATCTTTATCGGATATTAATCGATCGTGTAAACCATTGATTCTGCTGAACGAATATACAACAAAAGAGAATTTAATCAAATTAATCTTCGCAAACCAACAAGTTTGGATGAAACATGCTCTGATTTACTTCTTAATCGATTCGATCGATAATGAAATCTATTTGCCCAACGAAGTTTATGAACACGAACGAGAAGAAGAGGAAGACATCGAAGTGGATAATGAAGAAGAAGAGTGGACCAAGAAAAAACACTTTCCGGCATTCAAAAAATCGAAAAAGAAACTCACTTCCGTCGATCAAGATCTTCTCTATCCAACCACCGATGAATTTCTGTACTTACTAACCCAGTCTTCATCGTTTCAACAATCGGCAAGTTCATCTCAACAGCAAAATGCACTATCTAATGCGAATTACGAGATTATACCTTTCTCCATCGACAATCGCCTCGATGGAAACATTCAGATCATCTTCGATTTGTTTACCATTAATCAATCTTATAAAATTCAAAAGTTATTAAACAAAAATCTTTATCGAACAAACCAAAATTCATTTGAATATGATTTACACATGGAGAATTCAGTGGAAAATGCGCTCGAACCGAAGAAATTCTTCAGTGAATCAACAATTGATTTGTTAAACGAAATTTTCCAGACGATGTTACGCGAACTGATTGCAAAACAAGACAAATTCTCTTACGAAGTCTTCGACAACATCGAACATTTACTTTCGTCGTATTTAATGATTTCTTTAGCGAATTATTCGAAAAATTTTCATCAAAAACCAACGGAAAGTGTTCACGGAAATCAACCACCGATCAATGTTCATTTAAAACCACTATTTCTCATGTCAATCGAAACATTGAACCAATTTCTAACCTTCATTTATAAATCTTCATTAGTAACCATCCGTTTATGGCATCATTTATTTTCTTTACTCTACTACTCAAGTACAAACATTCAATTAGCAAATCAAATGAAACAGAATTGGTTCTGTGGTGATATCGAGAATAGCCTATTCGCTCAAATTTGGTTGAAATTCATTCAAACCACACGCGAAATGATCGATGAGAGTACTATTGATGTGATCATCAACTATTTCGAACGATTGTTCATGTGTGACGCTGAACAACAGAATAATTCCGAACAGATCAAATCAAGTAAACGAACAGCGACGTCGGATGAACTCGATCCTCCGGAAGAAAGTTCCTCTCCAACGAAGGTCAATCGTCCTTACTTAAATACCCTGCTTTCACTTCTAAATCGGCTGATTCTCGATGGTTTTCACGGCCCGTTGAATTGCCATTTGAAGTTTTTGACTTATCTCTTCAAACAAAACTTTTCTCAAGCCACACCATCAATTCGGTTGACGCTCTGCCGGAATATTATCGATTATGTTTGGTCATTCTGTTATTCCTACTCACCACTTTCGTTTACATTGACAGACATTCATCCGTTGATATGTTTTCTCAATTACGATCGACTTCACCATCATCGACAAAGTTCTTCAACAGCAAATCCAGTTGTTCCATCGACAGCATCGACATCTCCGTTGAACAAATGGGGTATTGTGAATACAGTGAATAAATTATCCATACAAAATAATCAAGCGTCACAAACGACGAATGAACCGATGTCAACAAATGCCAATGCGAATGCAACTACGAAAATCACGCCGGTTCGTCGACAAAGTAATCTTCGTGATATTTGCGTTCGACAGATGATCTTATTAATAACTAAATTGATGGAAAATACTAGTGGATCAGTCGATCAACAACGTAAACGTTTCAAATTCGAACAGGATGATCAGAAAGGATCATTGGATGCACTTGTCGATGAAGAATTCGAAGATATGCTCGAAGCGAACTATATCGAAAAGCTTCTCTCCATTCTTTCAACTTGCCATTCAGCATTAGATTCTTCGCCATCGATACCAATCAATTCTTCCAGTAAATTTCTCGCTGCATCCATCAATTCAACAACTAATCATCCATCTTTCATCCATACAACAATCCGATTAAGTCTTAATGATCTACTTTCCGTTGGCGATAGTATTTATTATTGTTTATCATCATTTTTATCCCAACCGAACTACCTTCTACCCATTCTTTGTCATTATCTGTCAACCAAACCTCTTCTCTCATCACCATTATTATTATTTATTATCTATTCATTACACAATCCACAAAATCTCGATGAAAGTCTCAAGCAGTACGAATTCTTGAACTTATTAGTGAATAATTTCATTTCATTTTCAACGCACCTATCAAACCAAGCCCAAATTCCGTCGATCCAACGTATTTACGACCAACGACAATCCTTGAATACAAATCAAATGGATATTGGTTCAACAAACCTCGCTCCACAATGTCAAATCACCTGTTCAAATCCAAATGCTACATCACCGGAAATCTTAATCCAAGCGAATAATAATCACCAAAACACTCTTCCATCATCATCACGTCGCCTTCGTTCGCCACCTTGGTCTTACACATTCTCTCCCACAGAACAACGTTGTACCTTAACAGTTCATTTTCCCTACTCGATTATTTTGAAATCGATTCAAATCATCACATTTTCTCAACTATCGGTAAATCACTATACCATCATTGATCATCTACATACGAACTTAAGTCAATGTCCATCATCAATTACATGTGAAATCTCATCTGATGGTTACTATTTCATTCCGTGTGCATACCTTCTCAACACTCAAGGTCAACAAGTAATCAATTTATCCATCACAAAACAAATTGATATCGTTCGACAACTTCGTATTCATTTTTCTAAGCCCATCGATCACGACACAATCGGTTTACAACAATTACTTATCTATGGTTACTATTCCTATGATCAACAAGCGATTATTGAACAAACGAGTCAACCATACCAAACATTGATCTCCACTGTCTATGGTCGACAGATCACCTTGAGTAAATCCAGTTCGAATTCATCAATTGTTACAACTTTGAATGATGAAGATATCAAAGTGATGTATTCGTCAATCAAACCTTCGTCATTGAACGCGAATAGTATTGACAATAGTCATCAAGTATCGATGATTCTAGCGGATAAATACCGTTCATTGAATCACTATTTACAATTGATACATTTGTGTTTGAAAACTCCAATGAAAATATCTGATGAACTCTTTCAAAAGATTCTTTATCTATTAGAAAAGAAGTTTTTGTTGAACAGCGATTGGATATTCAATGAAATCTTCATCTATCTCGGACATCAGTGCACGAACGACCAATTCGAGAGATTAGTCGAATATTTAATGACTTACAATCATTGGCAAATCTTATCGGAATTGAATTTCAATGAAACGAAAATCAACTACTTGATCAATCATTTGAAACATTCGTCGATCAATCAACAAGTCGTTCAAAACATCTTCTGGAAAATCAAAGACGAAAATTTTGTCTTCAATGATCAAACCATCGAACATCTAATGTCGAACTATCCATGGCTACTACCAGCGATCGCTCATCACAAACCATTTTTAGTTATTAAAAACTATTTCAATCAAATTGATTCCCATGTTGAATATTTCAAACAATTAAAACTCGCTTCGACCAGTGTGGAATTTCTCAATGAAATTCTCATGAATGATTTGTTTCTCCGATCCATCGTAGAATTAAATCACGAAATTTCATCAATGAAATTCAATGATCAATTCATTTCCCATGCGTTAGATTATCTCATTTCAGTTAGCAAATATTCCAATGTTCAATTATGGTTCGCACAAACCGATCATGCGTCCAACATTTGGAAAAAACTATTAGACCTATTCATCAATCCGGAGAGTTTATCCGCGGTCCAATCACCATCAATAATCTTAACACAATTGATCACCTTGCTGAGAAATTTGTCAATTCAATGTCCAACCAATCAAATTAATATGACTTTGATTGCCTCGTATTTAGCTTATTTGACTGAACAACGTTTGGAACAAGATCGACCTTTGACGGGGTATTTACAATACATTCTTAGTGAAGTGGTGCTCAAACATGAATATATTCAATGTTTGATCAATACTCGCGATTATCCAATCAACACGAAGGAATATTCCGCATTTCAGAGAAACTCATTGTATCATCGATTGATACAAGACTGTCCGATTTCGATGAATATCGGACAATTGATCGAGAAATTCTTCGGTTTTAATTATTTACAAGCGAATATTTGGACGGCGACGAATTATATCAAGAATAAAAGTCATCTGATTAAAGCATCAAGTGAACCAATAAGCACAAATCATCGTAGGAAGATTCCACGAGCGGAATTAGCTTCATTAAGATCGAATTTAACTGGAAAGTTATCCACAAAATCCATCAGTTCATTAGCTAATTTAGCTAAACAACATAAATCGTCTTCGAAATCTGTAACAAATGAATCAACAACATCGAAGAAGCCTTCTTCCTCTTCCTCCTCCTCATCATCATCTTCGTCAATACCAGTGGAGAATATTCATTTTATCCTACATATTAACGGCGAAAAGAAACAATGTATTCTTCCGAAAACAACACGTCTTAGCGATTTATTATTATCATTCGATTGTCGATCGTTAAACATCTACGAAGTTGATGTCATTGAGATGACATTCGATAATCATATTGAACTCAACGATACACAGGAAAATGATCTGATTACTCCGAGATCAATTGTCGCAAATAAAGATTATCCAACTTTACTTGATACATTTGTACATGCAAATGGACTGAAAATTCTCGCTCAACATTTCGCTCGTAATTATCCGTCGATTCAATCATTTGATGAATGTATTACATCTTCTACATCGACTGCAAATGTCTTCGATAAAATTAACTTCTTCGATTTTTCATCTCTGGTCTCCACTTCATCATCATCGAATAGTTCAAACAATATGACAATGCCTTACTACGTTTTCATCACATTCTCGATCTTTCTTCGTTTACCGAACTATGCCCGAGCGATGTTGAAAAATCGTTCCTTAGCCTGCAACATCATTCGCCTAATGCTCGGACAGAAAGAATCGATTTTGAACGAATATCAAGACCAAACTCACCAACAGCATCAGGACAATTTCGACATGCGACAAATATCGAAATTACCATTCGAAACTCTATCAATCCTCTTAAAAGATTCTCCGGATGATTTATTGGATGAAATTTTACATTCAAGTATCCTTCTTCTCTTACTTTCATGTTTATCATCCATCACACGTCACCCACATCGAAAACAAAAAGATGCTGCATCCAATTCGATTCCTTCTATATCACTCGTGCCACCACCATCTCAACCATCGATGAATTCTGAAACCATGATGGATGATAATGATGATGAATATTACGAAGACGATATCGAACAAATCGAATCGTCAACCATTCAACAATTGAATACCATTAACAACAATAATAACAATCCTCATTCGAATGCCATGAATACCAATCCGAATTTTTGGGCGAAAGGAACTGGCTTTGGTACAGGTTCAACCCATTCTCAATGGAAACCAGAGGAAATACTTCAAATTCAAAAACTTCATGAAGAACATGTCATCTATCTCTTCGACATTTTTCATTCGATTTTTTCCAACAAATTATCGGAAGATCTTCTAGACGAACATTTAATCGAAATTATCAACACATCATGTTTGATTCCTGTGTTAGAATCGTATTTACGCAATGATTCTATCTTAGATCTTTCCAAACAAGGTGACATTCATCGTCATTGCTTACGTTTAGTGCATTGTTTGTTGAATAATCAAAAATTGAAGAATTTAATTTATCAGACGAGTAATATTGAATATTTAATTGAAAATCTCCTTCAATGTGTGCAGACATATACATCAATGATTCAAATCGATGATGATGAACAATTGAATCTGTTCTCCGTTGAGTTAAAACAAGTTTATGATCGAATCAAAGAAGAACAGCAGATCGCCAAAGAGTCAAACAGTGAAAATCTTCAATTATCAACAAAACAGTTGGTAAATTTAGAAGAATTCTATAGTCAAACAATGAAATTATTACAATTCAGTACATATCCAATTACGATCGAAAATGAATCGGGAGAAAAAGTTCTTTTCAACAAAAACATGAAGTATCATTACGAAGATATTGTTCGCGATGCGATCACCATCAATTCCATGCAACGAATCAAACGTTTAGCACAAGAACAGATCACCATCTCTACTTCGTTACCATTATCATTCAGTTCAACAATCTTTGTGCGTTCAGATGAAAATCGAATGGACATTATGAAAGTTTTAATCACTGGTCCGGATGGAACGCCTTATTCGAATGGTTGTTTTCTATTTGATGTTTATTTTCCAAATGAATATCCTACGTCACCACCATCGATCAATTTGGAAACAACTGGAAATCATACTGTACGATTCAATCCGAATTTGTATAATGATGGAAAGGTTTGTTTGAGTATTTTGAATACTTGGCATGGAAGACCGGAAGAGAAGTGGAATTCAACATCGACGTTCTTGCAAGTAAGTGTGGTGAAGTTTGAGATTTTGGGGAGAAATCCGGTGATTTTTTAGGTTTTAGTATCAATTCAGTCGTTAATTTTTGTTCCGGAACCGTATTTTAATGAGCCGGGCTATGAACGAACGCGTGGTACAGCAACAGGAACGTCGCAATCGTTGGAATATGATGCGAATATTCGACAGGCAACTGTTCGTTGGGCAATGCTTGAACAGCTTCGAAATCCACCTGCTTGTTTTACGGATGTCATTCGACGACACTTTTTCCTTAAACGAAGTAATTCAATTTCGAAGAAAAACTCGATTTTCTATGAAAATTTCTTTGTGTTATTGTAGATGAAATTATTGAACAATGTGAAACATGGATTCGAGAATTGCAGGAAACATCATCAACAGAGAAACGTGTTAGTTCATCTATAAATCAACATTTATCCTCGTTGATTCGTCATACTAATGACCTGAAAAAAGAATTTGCTCGTCTCACACCACCCGATGATCTAACCATTCCATCTGAATTATCAAATCTTTTACTCAGTGCACCACCAAATACAAATCTAACAACCGATCAAGTCGCACCATCGTCAACACCTTCGACAACAATTATCACACTTCCATCAGTATCGGACACAAAGCAAACATCCGAATCGGTCAGCAATGCAGCAATAGCCGATGAACATTCAATACAAATTAAAATTGTACCTAATCTTCAATATCAAACATCAACAACATCAACTACTGCTGCAACTACCGCATCACCTTCTGCAATAACCGATTCCGAAGCTCAACAATCATCGAATTCTCCACTAGAACTAATCGAACAACAACAACAACAGCCACCAAACTCATCTCCATCAACTAACACCAACTCCTATGATATCACAATTACACACTCGAATAGTTTACTTTCCGATTGGACAACCACCGATGCTCCACTTGTTCCTTTACCCGATGATGGTCTAACATACGAAGATTTACTCGATGATGAAGATGACATGGACGATGATTTAGATGTTGAAGATATGCTGGAATACGAAGGTGATATTCCTGAAGGATATCCCGAAGATTTTTATTGACAATTTTCTTTGTCTCTTTGTGAAAAAGCCGAGTGATTGATATTTGTATGTTCTAAATACTTTTTTTCTTCTGTATGTATTTCTTGATTTCTCTAAACTACAAAAAACAGACAAATTCTCTCTCTCTCTCTCTCTTTCTTTCTTTCTTTCTTTGTCAATTTCTTTCGCGCTGTCTGGTTCAATCATGTCCTTATTATCGGAGTCAGCAACATGCGAAAGAGTAACGTTTTCTCTATAAAATAAAAGCATGGCGATATTTTTTATTTAATAAACAAGGAAAGAAAATCGAAATTTTTCTTCTAGACTTCTTTTTAGATATTCGATTGAATGATACGATTGAGAAAGGTAAGTCGACAAGTCATCAAACTTTCACTTCATCAACTCAATTAGATTTCCCTGGTCAACGACATCCGCAAGAATCGTACTCCACTTTATTATTGGTCACTTGCTACTGGATTCATTACAACTGCATCTCTGGTTACTTTAAGTTATTTTGTTTAGTAAGTCCACTTTGACATGTTCATTCATCTGTTGTTTTGTTGTTGATTTCTATAGTTCGTATCGTATCAAGAAACGAACGAAAGAAGCGATTGAGAAAGGTGAAACCGAACGTATTGTTTCTCCACAAGGTTTAAGCAGTCAAGGTTTGTGAAGATGCTCATTGGTGGTCTCGAGGATTGTTTTTATTTTTTGATATTAGAAATCCAAAAGGCACTTGATTTGTTTGAAAAACAACGTGTTCACGATCAGATTCAAATCGACAATTTCGAGCGTTACAAACGTTTACGAAAACAACGTCGTGAACAAGAAGGTTTGAGTTAAAAACCATCCCAATCATGTTTACACATTCCACAAGCAAAGTCTCCAATGAACACGTCAATTATATAGTTAAATCAATTTTAAGTAAACGTCAAAAGAATCTTCACGAACAACAACAAACATTCATCCAAAAAAATATTGATGAGAATAGCAAAAGAAATAATTATCTTGTTGATAAATTCATTGTGAAAAAGCCAACAAAGTTCGTGTTCTTCGTTCATTTCTTGTCATAAAATTTACGTTTTCTTCTGATTAGTTCATCGAAGGAAAATATTCCGAAGCCAACAGTACCAAAACTTCGTTCACCGAAAAAGAAAACTCCTCTTGAAATTGACGATGATGATGACGACTTTATTTCGACTAAAAAACGTTTGAAAGTGGCCATACAACCAGTTCCCATGAAAGTCGATCCAATTAAAGAATGTCTCGAAGGAATCATCTCGAAAATTGAGCAAAACGATGCCACATGTCCTATTTGTAACCAAATCTTAACCAACTTATCGGCCATCGATCAACGAGAACAACATGTCAATCGATGTTTGGAAGAATCACAGATGAACAATGTAAATTTCTCATCATTTTTATAACATTTAAGTTATTTTTTCAATAGATCGAAGCGAAACAACAGAAAAGTTTATTATCCTATCCGAAATTTTCTATGACGAGTCGAAAACCGTCGTCAACATCATCGTCGAATTTCAAATGTCAAATTTGTGGAACGACATTCAATGTCAAACGTACTTACTTATCTCATTTGAAGAAATGTTCCAATCAAAACAGTGTTCAACTCAAACATATCGTCAATTTTGCGGCAAATGTAGAAACTACGGAAAAGAAGAAGGCACCAGCGCAAATTCGAAATCGGATAATCAAAATGGAAGTACCGGTGACGGAGGATGATGAACAACAACAATTGGTAAGATTTGGAAAGAGAAGAACAGAAATTTTATTGAATGGATGGTGTTTTTGCAGGCTATTGCCCTGTCAGCTTCGATTAAAACGGCAACAGAACCTCCCAATGCTTTTGATATCCTTCAAGCTGCATCGAAGAAACTGAAAACTATTGAGTAATCGATTTTCATCAATGTTTCATTGAATTTCTGTAGTGTTATTTGTCTTAGTTTATCAACAACACCCTTGTGGAATGTTTCCATCGAAGATAAACTCAAACTCTCTTCTACTCGTTTATCAAATATTTGTGAACGACTAATTTCAATCGATTCATCAAGTATCAATTCATATCAATTTTCTCCGAGTTCCCTTCTTTCTTTATCTCAAAGTCAGTTTGGTGCAGTCGATTGGTGGAATATCACTACTACAAATCCTCAAGATGATGAAGTAAAGACCAACTTCAACGAACTTCTTCGTTCATTGATCTTTCTTTTCATTTCAGATCCCAATGACTCAATTAGCACGTATACTTGATGAGAATAGCGATGAATCATTGATATAGTTAGTCTATTTTTTGTATGTTTTTTGCAAGAGAATAAAAAAAAGAACTTAGGATAATGTGAGCAAACGATCCCAATCAAACTTTGATAAAAATGTTTTCTCTTTTGTTTGTATTGAAGATAATGATGGATCTCCATCGAGACAATGATGAAGATGATGACAGTGATCGAACCGAAAGTTATACACCACCACCACTTGACATTACCAACACTTCTAATCAGAGCAGTGAAAAAGAAAATCAATATAAACAACATACCACTGTACAGAAAGAACAGTCCATTATAGTCTTAGATGATAGTTTTAATCAAGTATCGATCTCCAGACAAGATGATCACGAGCCAAGTAACGAAAAAAAAAAATGAATATTTTACTCATAGTCTAATGATTTATTATTTTCTTTCTTTAGTTGATAATTATTGGGACCAATGGCCATTAGTTATGAACGACATTAACAACGAAGAAGTTTCGAAACTTTATGCAATACCTGATGTTGATATACCGCCTTCACCTCCGCGTCCGATCGTTCCATCTTCTATGAGTCAAAACAATATTCTTGATATCCTAACCGCTCCGTCTCCCTCCTACAATGCAAATCCAGTGCGAAAGTCTGTAGCACGAAAAGCACCAGTCAAACGAAGGAAGAAGAAAAAGAAATCAATGACTGAATATCGACCACCATCTCCATTCTCACCTAAGCCAGATTATAAATCCATGGATATTGAACAAATAAAGAAACACGCAATGAAATACGGTTTATCTACTAGTCTCTCCAAAGGAAGACTTGTAAAAATTCTCGATGAAATTTATAATGTCACTCATCAATACGAAACAGATACTGATTTCGAATTCGATATTGATGATAATAACTCTCTCGAAGTTGCTGCGCCGAAAAAGGATTTGTCTCATACTCCGCCAACACCCGCTGTTAAAAATGAAACAAAAAAGTCGAAAAAACGTTCAGCTATTCATCAAATGAGTTCTTCCGATGAAACAAACGATCATTCACCACCAAAAATCAAGAAAACAATCGCGATTAGCACAGCAGATAATCTTGTAAATAATAGTCAATCGAATGAAGACGAAGAACATGATGACGATGAAACTAATGCAGATCACGAAGGTCGTTTTCTTGAACTCACCGTCTACGAATTATCATCATCGGCAGCATCATCCAGTTCTTTATCAATTAGCGATACTCCGCCTGCTCGTCTTCCAAATCTGAGTCCTTCGAAGCGTAAGTACTTTTACAATTTTCATTTCATTTTTCGTACGAATGATGTTCTTTGTAGAATCACCCGTCGAAATGGCTTCTCAGTCAAGTGCAACGAAACAGTCGAAAAGCAAAATTTCGACATCCGATTCTGATCTTCCCTCATGCAAAAAAGCAGCAAAACGTCCTAAACTCGAAACACCCACCCTTCCTCTCAAAGAAATCGTTCGTAATTACATAGAATCGAATCCATCATTACACGCTCGTGTTCTCTGCTATGAACCTGTCGATTTCGAAGAATTTCACAAACAGATGAAAGCCGATCTGAATCTAAAAATTCAATCCAAAGAATTAATGCAATGTCTCGATGATCAGTGTATCACATTTACATTACGTTCTCGAAAAGGCGCTTTTACGAGCGTAATGAGAGCTAAACGACGACATCGATAGAATCGAGTCTTCTCTTCGTCTTTCTCATTCTTGTTGATAAATAAATCTAGTCTTATGAAATTCAATGTAAACTTTTTTCAGATGTCAACTTTGCCACCTACGACGATATCGACAAAAAAAGAGAAGAATGAAGAACAATTCGAATTGGAACAGGAATTTATTCTTCGAATGCCACCGGTAAAACTTTCTTGATAGAGAATTCGTTTCCTCTATGGTTGATTTTTGTTAACTTAGGGTGAATATGCTACACGATTACATGATTTGATCGAATCGGGAGACGAGAAGATTCGTGAACGTCTTTTTATCGATTTAAACGCGGAAACGAGACGTGGTCGAGTGAAATTCGATGACACCATTTTCAAGGCAACACTCTACGATTTACCGTGTATTACTGAATCGTATAAAACCTTCGATCGGAAAACGATATACAAAATCGCTGATATTGCTCAAGTAAACAACGACATTCTTCGCTTGTTGCATTATTGAATGTGAATATTTAGATTCTTGTTTGTCGATTACCGGGTGATCTGAGTTCCAGTGAGGATGATGACGATGAGTATGATCCTGCAAAACGATCCAGTACAGGTGCAGCGACAACAGTAGATGGAGACAAGAAGAAGAAAGAAAAAGATAAAGAAAAGAAGTATCAATGGCCTCATGGATGTAAGATTAAAGCGAAGTTTGGAGGGTTAACGCATATTTTCATTGTTAGTGACACCGCCGATGAAAAACGTACGAAAACGTCGCTTTCGAAAAGTAGCGCGACAAAAAACGCAAGATCACGATGAAATTGAAAAAGAAGTGCGACGTCTATTCCGGTAAAATGAAATTTCTACTTGCACTACACATTCTGATCAATTCTTTTGCCTTCAAAGAGCGGACCATGAAGCAATCGATGTCAAATGGGAAATAATTGAAGATGATCAAGAAGTCGAAATTACTAAACCATTAGAAAAAGACCCACTCGGTATGAAATATATGCATATATTTGTGTTCATTTGCTCATTCTTTCGCATCTTTCAGAACATAATGATCTTTTTGGTGGTGCCGTTAGTGAATCCGACGAAGAAGATGCTTCCCAGAAAGGTTGGTTGCTCATCAAGTCAATACTTCTTGTGTGTATTGCTTTGATTTAGGTCATACTGAACGTCATCATGCGCCGAGTTCTGTCGATCAACGAACAGATTTCGATGGTTTATTCAGCGGAGATATGGGTGAGCTAAGTAATATGGATACAACATCTCAAGCCAATCCGATCGATGATGAACATCTTGACCAATCTCAATGGACACAACAGGATGATCTTAATTTGGATGACAGCACAACTACGGGTGGTTTATCGGAAGAAACTCGAACGAAATTAGAGGAATGTCAACAGGAATTATATCGATTAAACAACGAAAAAGCGAATATTGATAATCAATTAGCTCAGATGAATAACCCTGCACTTCGAGTAAGATGTTTCCGCTTTATTGAATGAAAATAATAGTTTTCCTCGTTTCAGAATATGTTGTTATTAAGAGCAAGAACAATAGAAGCGGAGATTGAACGCGCACGAATGGAGGTACGTTGTTCTTTTTCCGTTCTTTTTTTCGATATCATTTTCGCTCTTTTTTCTTAGCATGATCAATTGTCGAATATGTAACAAATCGAACATCGATTTCTTTATTTGTACATAAATAAAATTTCATAAAAAAACGAGAAACCTATGCGTTGGACATGATTTCTTTCAAAGTGGCTTTGAATTTGTCTGTAAATGAATCTGAATGCGTAGCAAATGATCGATCCAATTGATGAACCTCAATCTGTGATGATGGTTGTTTTATAACAAGTGCAAATGCTGTTTCATGTTCATAACTCGTCGAAAGAACAAAATGACTGAGACTAAAGATGCAAAATGAAACAAATAAATTCTTCTCGTTTCGTGCAACTTACTTTTCGATCTTCACATTGTCTAAAGGATTATATAAATCCTTGGTTAAATCCCAGTATTTGATGTGATCTTGAGAATCATGAGCGAAGAAAATACTTGGTCGACCTGCTGACCAACTACAACTGAGAACGGTCGCCGACGAACGAAATGCGTTTGGCCAGGATAAAATCGGCTCATCTGAAATCAAAAAGATTTACCGAGAGAACAGGATTTACTCTTCTTCTACCTCGTCCTGTATTATACAGATATAATTGACCGTTAGCTGTGCCAACAAGAAGTAATTTGCTGATCATGGGATTGAACGATAAACAAGTCACTTCAATTTGTGTTTCTAAACAGAAATTTGGAAGTTTGTGTCTATGCGCGTTGATGTATTCACCTAAATCTGTGGATATGCGAAGTTTTGATGGAGTACCCATGTCACCATATCGAGTCATATGATAAACAGCATTCTAAAACAGAAATCAACGGAGAGTTTTACAAGAAATAAAGGGTGAATTCGTGTCTTACAGCATTGCTAGCAACATAGAGATTGTCCACATCATTGATTGGACATGAAAGATCATATGCTTGAATAGAATCTCTAAATACAACAAACATATATCGAGCATTGATTGAGTAGAAGAAAAAGTGTTTGTTTTACCTTGCCATGTATATTGACTGTTTAACTTGAATTGATGACGTTTGTGTCATTCGCACTCGTCCGCCTGGTTTTAAGCCTAAATCAGCGATTGATCCAACTTCATCTGATTTGATCAATTCCACCACCGACTAAAAACAAATCTTTCAGATTATTTCAAACAAACATCACGTCTTACCCAAATTATAATCAATCCATCTCGATCCAATGATGCCAAAGAAAATGTGCCTGTGGGTTGTTCATTTTTATTTCCCATACTAAACAAAATCTTCGACTAAACCTAGCCTATTCACATCAACCATCCTTACTTTATTGTTCGTAAAGGTAGTACACGAACTACTTCGTTATAATGCCGTTCGTTAAATTGAATATTCGCTGAAAACAACATTCATTTCACTCGAAATTCTTTTTGAAATAACTCCTCACCAGTTGAAAATGTTGGACTACTCGGTATGGATTCTTTTGAATTCGAATTATATTTGCTCGGTTCACTTGTATCAAATAAAACAATCGAACCATCATGCTACAAGAAAAGAATTCATCTTCCGAAATCAATATCATTTATTGTACTTACGCATCCTGCGAATATATAAACTGCAGAAGAAGAACAACTACGAACAGACGCTTCGCATGTTAATACTCGCAACGGCTTGTTGGGATTCCGTACGCTGTAAATTGCACCATAACTTGTGGTATGTGTCTAAATATCGAGAAAATTTTGCCATTTTCGGAAGAACCTCATGCGAAGACGAACTGGTTCATAGAAAATAGCGACTTGGTCAGGTTTGTCAGGACAGAAACAAACAGCCGCTATAGAGACATCTACAGAAAATCGATATTTGAAATCTAGTCTAGTTTCGTTAGTGAAATATGTACCTGATTTGAAGGAAAGTCCTGCAAGAATTGTCAATCCAGATGCGAATTTCAAATTTGAATCCTGCTGCATGCCATCCTGCACATTGTTTTCTTTCGAACGTTTCGATTTCGACTTCACATTACTTGTTGATTGTTCACCAAGCAATGCAAAGATCAGCTAAATCAACAATATTCATCAATTGTCCTATATACAGTCACTTACTTTGCCCGCATTAATAACAAATGTTTGATAACGTCCTAGATCGGTTTCTAACCGAAGCATACGTAACAGTTCCTCGTTTTCACGTGCTTTATTCATATCTAAAATGCAAATTATGTTTTCAATGAATGATTTGCACTCGAATTTACCTGAAAACTTATTGTCGGCATTCGTAGTTCCACTTCCACATGCTTTCTGTTCGCTTTCACTTGGATGCTGTGTCCACATTGCTCGTGTATCGATTTCATCTGTTTGGCATTGGACATGTTCAGCATCGTCATTCGTTTGTGTTTTCACATTTGATGTCCATCCAGTACCATCATCGATATTATTTGCTGACGGAGCGTTCTTTTTGTTATTCGATCGCATATCGCGCATGTAGGCTGCATGGGCTGGCATAGGAGCCATATCAAGGATGTTGAATGATTGACGATCGAGTTCGATTAAACGAGAAAGATCTTTGTAACGACGACGAATTCGATCGGAGACATCGTGAGAATGATAGCGTCGAGTGTTTGCAAATACTTCAGCATCGCCCATTCCAACGGAGGCTGGATAAGATTTCGGTGGAGGAGACTGAAGTATCAAAGAGAGAGATGAGAAGAGGAGTTTTGAGTTGTTGAAATGCGTACTTCATCACCGTAAGAACGATGTCTCTCTTCTCGGTGTGATTTTGATGATTTCTAAATAGCAGTCCGATGAAAATATCGATTTGCATTCTTTGGACTTACCTTCACTGGTGCAGGTTCAGCTTCATCATCAAAATCATCGTCGTAGTTCTGGAAAACAAAGTATGATAAATGATGAATCTCTTAAACGAAACAATCTCTCACCTGTTCGAAATCATCGCTATAATTATCATCTTTTTCCTTGCCTTTACTCTTCTAAAATGATCATTGACAAAATTGAAATGGCATCAATCGTCGAAAAATCCAGTCTTACAGATTTTGTGGGTGGTGGAGATGTCGGCGATTTCTCTCGCGATGACTAAATTTTCAGAGAATCAGATATCAATCAACATATAAAACGAAAATAATTACTTTATGTTTTCGACTATCACCATTTTCCATATCCCGGTGCTATTCAATTAAAATCCAGAGATTTTCAAATCATTCAATTGATCAAACTTACCTTTTCTTTTCGTTTTCTTCGTTCCTCTTCATACTCTTCCTGTTCACGTCTTAATCTTTCTTCTTCTTCTTCTTGCTGTTGCCTTAATCTTTCCTCTTCTTCACGTTGTTTTCGTAACTTTCGGCGTCGTCGACGTTCAGCTTCTTCTTCCGCTGCTGCTGGATCTTCATCTTGTTCCGCTGGTTTACTATGTTTCTTTGATTTCTATTCAAAATAACGTTCAACTAACATTCGAATACGAAAGTACAAAACATTCACCTCACGATGTTTCGATGATGATCCCTCATGATCGTAATCTTTCGAATTTCGTCGATGTTTCTCTTCTTCATACTCTTCCTTCAAATAACGAGAGAAATTTTCAAAATCTAGTTGGAATATCATCTTACCTTGTTGGAATGTTTACTTTTACTCGAATCACGATGCTATGAAATAAATTTAAAGTAAAATTCGATTTTCTTCACATGCAAATCAGTCCTACCTTTTTACTCGTCATTTTTCAAAAAGAACAGCTGTAAGGAAATACACCAACCATAGCGTACTCTCCTCATCCGTATGTTGCCAACGTTTTCCTCTTTTGTCCAATTGAGATATTAAGTGCATAAGTAACTTCATATGTCAAAAATACGATTGTGGCTTTTTCTGATTGGTCGAAATCGAATTAGTTACTCATTCATGCGTATAGCTTTGAAATCGATTAAAACAAGAAAAGGATCCGCCTACTTTTGCTCAGAGCCAATATGGGTTCACTAGGATTACATTTATTAACTGTTGTTCTCGGCGTTATCTTTCTTTTCCTTGGCCATATTAAATTGACTCCTCAGTTCTTTCCTGAGTATCATAATCAAATACGAAATGAATTCGGAAGACTGAATAAAGAATTTCCGTTGTATCATCTCACCGGTTGGCGTCCTTATGCGAAAAACTATCGAATTGCTGTGGGCATCGCCGAAATGTCTGCAGGAACTTTACTTTTACTAGGCGGAGGTTTGTCCAATGTCGAAAATTGAAAGATTTCCTCAGGAAAACGTTTTTCTCTCTCTTTTCAGCCGTTTCGCAATCGTTGGGAACATTGACTTTACTTGTGATAACGACAAATATGATAATCACATTTCATAAATTACATTATGGTGTTGAATATATTGGTGCCGCGATCTTTCTGGTGTTTTTACTTGTTCTCCGCCTGATTGTTGCTTCAAAGTCCAAACCAGCTCGAGCTGTGAAAAGAAATGTTGAGAAAAAAGTTGACTAAAATCATCTTGTTTTCTTTTCCTACCGCATTGTGCATGTACTCTGTTTGTCGTTTGAAAAAAAAAACAACCAAGTAGTTCTTAATAAAAACCATGGTTTTTCTATGTCGAGAAAACGATTTCTCAATCAAATGTCACGATAATTGCGTAGAAAAGATCTCTGTGTTTTCATCAGACCAGCATACGATATCAATTGACCTTAAATCCAACTGTTTTTCTTTGTCGAGGTGAAATATCAAGCTGTCGATGTGATATCTTTATTTGAGTTTTCATAGTTTAACAGTGTAAAAAAATCAGAGAGCAGAAAGAATTTCTTCAGGCACTTTGTTCAGTGAGATGTATAAATGTGACGAGGATTTGGTTAAATAGAGAAACTCATGGGCGAATAGAGAATAATGAAGAACACGAAAAGAAAAAAACAAGCAAATCTAAGAGATCTAGATAATAGAAATCGAATTAAAGCTAGTACAAATGAAACAGAAGAGCTCGTGTTTGAAGTTATTCGTAGTCAACAGATCGATGAACAGATCGAGCACGAATTAAGGTTGTTGTGACCATTTCAGCACGTTCTTCTGCATCTTCAAGCTCTCGTTCGAGTCGACGAGCGCGAGTTAAGACTAAAAATAGGAAATTAGTGATTGTTTGTTTATTAAGCTAATCGAGATAGTTACCCTGGGCAGCTGATGCCTCGGCAGTTTCGATTTGTGCTTTATAAACACGCATTTTATCATTAACTTTACTTATTGAATCAGTAAGTGAAAGAACTTTTGTTTGTTCTTCATCAACTTGAGATAATAAATCTTTCACACGTTTTTCATAACGACGTAAATCTTTAAGGAGTTCTTGATAACGAGCACGTTCCAGTTCCAGTTCAGTTTCAAGTTGGGCAATCTAAACAAACGATCTTCTTCTGTTACGACAAGATCATTTGAATAAAAAAAAACAAGTCAAAACTTACACGTCCTTCGTATTTAGCAGCGATTCGTTTGCCTTCAGCACGAGCATAAGCTTCAGCTTCGTCGATTTTCGCATTACATTCACGTAACTGTTGATCTAATGCACGTTTCGAAGCTTCAGCTTCAGCCGCTTTCTCCCGTTCATGACGAATATCTTCATCACGATGGATTAATTCCGCACCGAGTTTACGTGCCTAAACAAAAACGCTTTCCACATCTTTTCTTTTATACTCTTTACTAATATCATGTCTCTCATGTAAATATATCTGCGATGTTTTTTTAACCTCTTTCTATTCGATACAGTTTCTCGCGAATATATTGTAAAATAAGGACGGGGGTGAAATCGAGAAGTGAAAATCGGATTTTACTCGTTCATCGACGATCTTCAATTCTTGTCGGATGTCAGCGATTTCTCCTTGGTATTGGATGGCATCTGCTTCGAATTTCTTTCTTTCAGCAATAGCACGATTAGCAAATGATGTGACTTCGGTTAAACGTTGCTCGGAATCGTGTAGTTCAAGTTCGGTTGTTTTACGAGCTTTTTCGCTCTAATCGAATAGAAAACAGTGAATATGTTTAACAAAGAGTGATGAGGAACCTACGCGGTCGAGTAGAATACGAATTTCTTCGATTTCTCCACGAAGGATACCTGAAAGACAACGCAGAAATGTCGAATAGAGAGAATATGAGCGAGAAGTGGTTACCATTTCGTTTATCTGCTGCAGCAAGTAACTCTCGTGTAGCTTCGTGAAGTGTTTGCTCTTCGATGAATTGATCTTGTAAATCTTTGAGATTGGCTTGAAGTTTTTTCAATTGGTTTTCTAAATCAGCTTTGGCTCTTTTGATTGTTTCAAAACGAACATGAAGTTCTTCGATTTCTGCTTGATATTTGTTCTTCAAACGGCTCAAATCTGATTTGTATCGTGCTTCAAGTTCTTCAATTTGCGCTTGTAATTGTTCGATTTGTCTTCGATGACCCGAACTAAACTTATCGATGAAAATCTCTCATTCATTTCCATATCTGTTTTTCTTACCGAATTGTTTCAAGTTCTCCTTCTTTTTCAGCTAATTTCTTCTCTAAATCCGTGCGCATTCGTTCAACTGAACCATGTAAATTATTGTATTTGGTCACTTCGATTTGTAGTTGTTCGCGATAATCTTCAATTGTTGAATTCAATGATAATTTCTCCGCTTCGAGTTGTTTACGAAGACGATCCATCTCAATAATACGCGTGTTCAAATCAGAGATTTGATTCAATTGAACGTCCATTTCATCTAGAGTATAAAATTCTTTCCAATGTTTAGTTTCAGAGTAAGACAAACCTTGCAGACGACGTCTGTCTCGTGTGATGATTTCGATTTGTTCTGTCAGTTGTTCATTCAAACTTTTCACCTTGACCAATTCACTTTGATAGTTACGATAAGCTTGTAAAGCTGATTCTAATTCTGCATTCAATTGACTCAAACGTTGACGATTGTCAGCAACTTCCGTTTCAAGCTGTTTATTACGACGAGTAGCCTCATCAGCTCGTTTGCGTTGCTAAACGACGTCAAGTAAAACAAAATGATTGTATATCCATCGATTCTATGTTTACTTTATCAACTTCATCGGCGATTTTGTCCAGTTCGCCTTGAAGACGTTGTTTGACTTTTTCTAGATTACTCGCTTTGGTCATAACATCGGTTAATTGCTCTTGAATTTCGGTGATACGTGCATTGAATCGACGTCTAAAAGTTTCGCTTTGAAAGTGAATTGATTTTTGAGGAAGTTTGTTCAAATACCTGTGATCTTCGATTTCCTCATTCTTTGCTTCGAGCTCTTTTTCATAACGATCGCGTAAATGTCGTGTTTCTTCCTGAATTTTGATTAATGTCTTTTGTAATTCTGCTTTGGCTTCCAGTTCATCTTCCAATTGCAATCTTGTTGACTCTAAATCCATTTGAAATGTCTTCACTGTCGATTGTAAAGTGCGATTTGTCTAAGAAAATTCAAAAAAAAGTAGATCTGCAAAATGGACACATCTGTCTTATTCTTACAGCCATTTCCGATTCTAACTGAATGCGAGCGTCTTCGAGATCTCCCTGTGCTCGTCGATATGTTGTTTGTATTGTTGTTAATTCGAATTCAACTGTTTCAAGTCGACGACTGAATGTAAGATTTTCTTCGGCAAGACGTGCTTTCGCTGTATTTGCTTCGGTTAATTGGCGAATAGCATCGTCGACTTTGTTGGTCATTTCGATCAATCGTGATTCGAGTTCTTTGTTCATTGATACAGCTTGACTTTTTCCTTTGGCTAACGATTCCACTTCAGTTTTCAGTTCTTCGATTTCCAGGATGAATGTTTTACTTTCCTTGTCGTGCCTGAAATGTATGAGAAGATTTGAAAGTTAGTGAGTGTAGAGAAAAAGCATTGGTGTACCTGGCTTTGCCTTTACTTAAAGCTTCGACTTGACTTGTTAAGTCCGAAACGGTATCCTGAAAACGACGACGAAATCCGCTTTGATTCTCATCGTATTCGGTTGATTGAAGTTCGAGTTTTTGACGTAGATCATGAATTTCTTGTTTTAAACTACAATTCAACATTTGAATTTGCTCCCTTCTCATGCAAATTTCACTGCTTTACCGTTTGTTTGCATCAAATTCTCGATCCCGAGCCGTAGTTGCTTCATCCAATTGTTGTTCCAATTCATCAAAATCGATTTTCAAAGCTGATAATTCTTTTTCCTGGCGAAATCGAATATCTCGTTCCGATTTAATTTCCTCTTCAATATCACGAAGGCGAGTCTAAATGATTCCATCAGTTTCTCAAAATATCATTCTCTCTTTCATTTCAAATACTTACAGCTAATATGGCTTCAGTCATCTTTGATTGTCTAAACAACAAAAAAACGAAGAAAATTGTTACATAGAAAACTCTCTCCAAGGACAAAACAGTTCAATGTGATGACAATACATGCATCTGTAGTGTGATGACTTGTGAAAAATGGAAAGATATACGTTCAGGATTGATTATCTCATCTCTGACCATTACTCGGTCAATGAAGAGAAAAGAAAACAACAATTGGATAAGAATCTCTAATGACTATGATCATTAATAAAACTCTTCGTAGAGTCAAATCAACGAGTGAATATGATCTCAATTAGATGAATTGTCAAGTCTACTAGAAAACAATCCTCTATGTGTACCTTCTGATATTGAAATGGTAGATAGATACTGGTTGTTGTTAATAGCAAGACAAAAAAAGGAAAAAAGCCAAAGAACGACTGCCTGCTCGAATGTATCTTCTTAGCCTCGATCTGTACAAGAAAAGAAGGAAGAAGTAGAAGACACAAATACAGAAAGAAAGAGAAAGAAAAAAAACGATCCTAAATGCGACGCTTGTTCTATACGCACATATACTTCCGTTTTTTCCTGTAGTCGTACGTACTACTCCACTGATAATCTAATGTTACACATCCAAAGATGCATTATCAACAAGAAAGACGAGTTTTTTTTCCGAACGATAACTCTACGACATATATACACGCGTCTATGCAAACAAGCATTTTTCCGCAATACATCGTCAGAAACAACAACAGACCTTTATTTCATCTCCATATTTCCTGATTGTTCTTTCTGAGATAGAGAAGAGAAACGAAGCTGCTCGTCACCAATACCGATGCATGTAGACCCTAAATGAGACAAATGGCTGCTCCTATCTGATATTATATTATCCGTGGCCTTGAGAATCATTCTGTACATCGAGTAGCAAGAAATTTCTATGCATAATCTATTCTTTCTTTGTTTTTCTATAACCAGAACACAAAAGGAAAAAAACCGCAAAGATAAAAAATAAATAAATTGAAGTGCAGAAAGAATAAAACAAAAGAGAATTCTGCAATGAAAAGACGAACATGAAATCGACGGGAACAAAGAAAACTAACAAGATTTATTTCTTAATTTTGATTCTGAACTCTTTCAAATTCATTTGACCATTGTTCAATGTCATACGTTATAGTCACATCATTGTTATCATTTTCATTAGTACTAATACGACGATCCCAAAGTTCGGCACGTGCAAGAACAGATTTTCTTCCAACTGGAGTTATTGAACGTGTCGATAGATTAGATGAGGAAGGAGATGTCAAGTCAAATGAGTTGTCGGTAGATTTTGTTTGCACAGATTTTGCGGGATTAGATGTTTTATCTGACAATGGTGTTGATCGATCTCGAGAATCTTTGGTTGGAATCAAATCTTGTTGTTTTTCATGATTGTTATTATTATTATTATTGCTATTGTCGTTGTTGTTTACCTGAAATGAAAATGATGAGTGTAAGTTAGTTGTGGAAAACACAACGGGTTAGATTAGTATGACACTCACATTTTTAGTAGATTTTGATTTTGTGTTATGTGAAGGAGAAGAATTAGGTTGTAGTTGTCTTCCTGTTAATGTTAATGAGTTTTTATTAGTAGATTGATGATTAGTCATTTTTTTAGTTAAGCTCTGTGTAGTTTGTTCAATTCGCACATGCTCTTTTCGTTGTTGTTGGTACTGATGATTGGGATAGTATTGATGTTGAAATGAAGGAGCAGATGAAGGTGATGTTTTATTATTTGGGGTCGAACTATCATATACAAGCGTGGCACCACTACCACCACCAATTAATTGTTTTACAACATTTGTTGTAGAGTGTTGGTTATCAAAACGTTGAGGTAAACTCATAATTGAATCGTTATTACCTTTGTCATGAGATGTTCTGTTTGTTGGTAAACCAGCATCGAATGAAACACTAGTGATTGGATTAGTTTTCTTCTCATCTAGATAAAAAAAGACGTTGATTTAAGAAGAGGAAAGAATTGTGAATTTACTTATTGGCAATACAGGACGAGATTTGGTTGTTGAACGTTCGCCATTATTCGATGTTAATCCTCGACATGTCAAACTAGCCACCTAAATCGAAAGAAAGTATTCAATATAAAGTCAGAGAGAGTAGAACAAGCGAAGCTAATGTTTGCACACGTGTGAACGAGACTAAACTTTAATTATTTCATTCTCCATCACCGTTATTCCGTGAGTACGTGAGAGAAACAATGTCCGTTAGTTTTACCTCATAATCATGATCTTCGTCATCAGATTGTCTAGAAGTTTGACCCTCCTTTTTTAGAGAGAAAAAATATTTTCAATAGGATTTTACGATTATAAGCGCGAGAAAAGAGAATCAAAAGCAACAAACCGGCAAGAGCGGATAAGCACCATCAGTTTCATCATATCCTACTCGATGAATGTGCGACTGGGGATGATTTTTACTATATTCGTGGGTTAAATTTGTCGTTGACATTCGATCGAATTTCTGCTTCAGTTGTCGAACAAGTGGACTGGACGATTCGCCGTTGTCAGTTTCAGTTGGCATGGGTGAGGCAGAAATTGATTGAAGAGAGACAGGATTGAACTAAGAGAAGAAGAGAATGAGAAAGAAAAGAAGGCTCGAGAGAATATTTTACCTGAGTAGTTGGTAGGCTTGTCAGAGTAGATTGTTGTTGATTTTGTTGGAAAACAATATTAGTTGTATGTCGTCGTGTATGATCACGTATCTTAAATGAGGAAGAACCAGAAAATCATGACACAGTACTGTTGGGTTTTTCCTCACTTGACGATCAGGTCCCACGGTACTATTCAGCAATTGAGGTAAACGTATTTCCCATTTGGGTTTGATTACATTACGTTCCGGTTGTGGAAGTGGAATTGGTGATCGAGGAGCTTCCTCTGTGAATGAAAACAAAAACGCAGGTTGCCTTTCGAAAAAAATCACGAAAGAAATTACCAATCGGTTTTTCGATCGACGGTCTACGTTCAAGATAGAATGGCTTTTGTTGTCGTGGTACAGACCTCACACCGACATCATCGGATTCCAACGATTGTACGCTTGCTTCATACAGATGTTGCCAATCTGTTCGCAAAGAAAAACAGAGCAATGTCAAAAATTTCTTCTTTAAATTGAAATTACCTTCGAGCAATTGACTTGATCGATCGCTTCGAAATTTGTCCATGTAACGTTTGGCGTTAAGTTCTTCGTCATCACTTTGAACTGGTCTTGGAATGGGTGACAACGGTGGAGACATTGTCAATGGTTCGCCTTCCTGTTGTTCGTCATCGTCGTCCATATCCGAATGTTTTCGAGTTGCTTTTTGTTTTCTCAATGATCTTGGAATAGTTCGAACCACAGGAGAATCGTGAGGTATGTCGATAACTTCTATAGTCAAAGTAGATGAGTAGATGATGAAGATGTTATATATATAATGTTTGTAAATATCTCGTTTTTGCGTTCTTTTAGTGAAGATAAAGATAAAAAGGAAGATGAAAGTGTTACCTTTTTCGTGAACAAACACATCGGCTGTAATTTGCACGCGTCCAGCAGCATTAAGTGCCAAGCACGTAAACGTCCCATTGTCATCTTCGATGGTTGCTTCATCGACATGTAAAACATGTTGTCCATCACCATAATAATCTATTGACAAATAGATAATATCAAAGAAAAAAACTGAATCTCTTTTGCACGACATTTAGACGATTTCCTAACTGTTTGCAATGTCAATACAGACTGAAATGAGTTTAAAGGTTTCGGAAGCATTCAACTAAGTCTCTCCGAAGACAAACGTCTGACTTTTCTTCACCTAATCAATTCTTGCTTCCACTTACATAGTTTATAATGCTCATTAGGTTGAATCAATGTATTTTCTTTGTACCACAAAACTCTTGATTTCGGATAACCTTGATCGAGTTTGCATTTTAAAGTTAACGATGCACCTTCACAAACATCTGTATCAATAAATTCACTAATGATTGTCGGGGGATTAAATTGTCGTTTATTGTCTATTGAGAAAACCAAACGATTCGACTTTTAGCGCAATTTTCAATGGATTATTACCTTTTACGGACAGTTTGGCTATGTCAACGTTTTGTGCTTTATCGTTAGCAACGACACAAAGATATGCTCCTTCATCTTCTTTTCGAGTGGAATAGATTTTCAAATAATGGTAGGAATCATCATGACTTAATTGGTATTTTTCGTCGTTGACAAGTTCGTCGTCGGTACCGAAACGAAACCAGAAGATATCGATAGGTTCAGTGCCTTGAACTTTAGTTTTAAATTTCGCTGTTTCTCCATGACGTGAGGTGGTATCTTTAGGTCGTTGAACAAACTTAGGATCTGTAATCGATGGATCCATTCGGAATTTATCTTCGTCGATAAATGTTTTCATTTCTGCTAGACTTGTATTAGATGTGGATGTGATGGAGTCGTTATCCGATTCGTATGTATAGGAAGGTCGTCGAAATGAACAGGAAGAATGATTTTGTAGAAGAAGATTTGCAGGTAGAGGAAATAATTTTCGGTTAGTTATCGATTCGTTATCACTGACTTGAGAATGTTCACCGAGTGTGACGGTATTTATAGGAATTGGATAGGAAGAAGATTCATCATCTGCGTATAAATCATCATCAGCGAGATCTTCAAGAGGTCTATCGAATAGAAAAGAATGATTTGAAATAAAAGAAGACGAAGATGTTCATTTGAACTTACTTGTCACCGACACGAGGACTTAGATCTTTGTTAGCAGAAATAGGAACTGTCAGAAAAAGTGCGTCACGAGTACTACGTGGTGTTTCGTCTCCTGAATGTGGGGACTAGGAAAACAGATAGATTGTGTTGATTTTATCTTTAAATTCGAGTAGAAAAAGTTTACCTTGGATTCAGTTAGAGTAAAATTTGTTTGCCATTCACCAACTTTTGCTTTGGAGCGTTTAATTGCTTCTAAATCTGAATCAACCGATCGACGATTTCGATTTCGGTCGGTTAGTTCATCATCTGCTGAACTTAAATCTAATTTAAGACCATTATCGAACTCAATACTTTCAGTTGTTGTTATTGCTTGATATTTTGTCGTACCATTAGTTAAATGTTCGTCTTCGTCGTCTTCTTTAATCGTATCTATGAAAATCACAAACCCAATTTGTTCAAAGCGAAAATCGAATCAACAAGACTACCTTCTTCTTCGTCTGCAGCTGACCTTTTCGAAACGATTACTTTACGGATATTATCGTTACGAGATTTGATCTATTTCAATGAACAATAACATAACAATGAAACAAAAGAGACACTATTCTTTACCTCCCAAGATGCACTTGAAGAATTACTCCACGTCGGTTGAGAAGACGAAGGTTTCGTCAGCGAGGTTAAAGATGATGATGTATTCGATGTCTGCCGTAATGGTTTAGGTGGCGGTGGTGCCGACTAGAAATGAAAAAGCAGTATGAAGACGAATGTTAAATCAATAAGATCAAATTTTCGTTTTTATTTACAGCATCAATAACGTCGGGTAATTCTTGGAAGATTTCCTTGCTCACACACTTGTCAAAAATGGCTTGAGCTAATTTTTGATCGAAATTATTGTTGTTTATCGATGAATTCGGTTCAGTTAATGTCTAGTTTGACGAAAAGAAAAAGTAGGAAGAGGAGATTCGGTTGGTGAATGGTCATACTCGATGAAATTGCTGTAAATTTGTTCGCAGAACTTTTTCAGTTTGTTGAATCAATAAATTTTGTAGATCACGTTCATGTGTTGTATTCGTTTTTGTGTTCGAACCTGTAGGAGGATCAAGAGAAACAGGTTTTAAGACAATAGATGATAACATTTGTGGCAAAATTAATAGAAAAACACTGGTTATTATCGCTAGACATGGAATCGAGACCAGAACTGTTTGAACTTCATATAAAACTTGAAGAATCGTGACATACGATACCACGATAATCAGAAGTCGTTTCATCGACGGATAGCGTTTGTATAAAACTTGTTTCGTTGGATTAGACATTGGGTTAGAATGATAACTAAGCATTGACAAAGTGTCTTTCTTTTTCTTTTCGTGTCTTGCAAAGGCCAAGAGAACAAAACGAAAGAAAAACAAATGACAACATGAAAGAGAAAGTAACAATTGCAGAAGTTGTTTTCTTGTCAAATTTCTGCACTCGATTACAATTTGATGACGTTCGAAGTAGAAGAACTGTTTAAACTCCTCTACATCTTCTACAAAAGACGTTCGCATTCGTTCGTTCTTTTAGTTTCTCTCTACGACCTTGAACGATTTCTGTGTGGAAGCATGTTTGCTTACAGAGTACGCTCGCACCTTTCTTCTTAAGTAAATTCTGTTCGTGATACGACATCGAATCTCAAACGACAGACTCGTTTATCAACCAGACAAGAATATAGACGATGAAAAAAGAATTCATATACGTTAACTTACGTCGGAGAGGACCACTGAGAGCCACCCGAGCACGAGCGATTTCGGTTGTTAGCTGCTGTTGATGAGCCTTGAGACCTTCTTTGCCTGAACAGAGATGAAAAAATGAATGTCTGTGGATGTTAAGTCTGTAAATTTTATCTTCAAAGAAAACTGCATCTCGTTTTATAGTTATTTAATCAAAGAAAACTGTTCTGAAGCAATTAAAGATAGCATTTATATGAGCAATTAGCTCACCGCCTCGTCGTACGATCGTTGTAACTGACAAATGAGATTGAAGAGAACATTGGTCATACGACACGTGTAATGATTTTCTTACTTTTATCTCGAACTGATCGATGATTGTTGTACGTGTTTCGTTCACTTAAATCTTCTTGCAATCGTTCGACAAGTAATGCTAATCGCGTCGAATATTCTTTCAATTCACGTTTCACATTCGCATCATACGGCACGAATGAAACAAGTGAACCTAAAACAAAGAGAAGAAATCCAGATAAATTTTCATTTTTTCAAAGATCAAGAAAAAGAATATAAAAGTTCGAATCCTTTGCAAATATTCCGTGTTACTATTTGCTTATAGAACCAACCCGGATCTTTCGAAGCATTTGTTAAACCTTCGTAATCAAGTGCATCATCCACATATTCATCGAGTTCAACTAAAATATGAAAGAAAATTTTTATTAAATTTTAATCTCACCTAAATGTTGGCGAGCTTTGGCTTTAATACACGCATTTCGATGATCAGGATCAAACCATGTCAAACGAACAGAAAGAATATCTCCTCGTCCTCGAACTTTCCACGATGTCAACCGACCATCGTGATATAATTCTTGAAGAACGTTTAGAAAACTCTTCGGAATATCGTTATTAACATCGAAGGCAGGTAATTGTCCCAATAGACTTGCCATGACGATTAGAATTGCTCGGGGAGGAGAGAAAATATCTCGCTAGATATGTATATATATATGTCTACGAACAAGCTCAACGATGTCGTCGTCGTTGTCGTCATCAATAATACTCATCAACAATTCGGTCAATATGTACGTAAATAGTACTGTGTCGGAGATGTGTATCTTCTCGTATTGTTCATTGTATATGTTAAGAGAGATATGTAGGTCGATGGGCTCAAATCAATGCACTTGACATACAGAACTGACGCGGAAAAGAAAAGAAAAGGGAGGGAAGAGACAAACGAACGAATCAATGGCATAAAATAAATACAAATAGAAATCTACCCGATGTGAAGATAAGATTGAGACAATGATGATTAGAAACAAAAAAAAAAAGAAATGAGCGGAGAGAAGACGACGACGACAAAATGATCAACTGATTGACTGTTTAATTGAACTTACTCAGTTCTTTTTCACGTTTATGAAGTTCACGAACAACTTTCGCACTCCCGCATCGTTTGTGCTTTTTACTTGACTCGAAATAAAACCAATCCGATGTCAACACTTCCAGATTCCTAAACAATCAAGGATAATTATTATTTCAAATTGAACAATCATTCGAAAAAAAACTCATTTCGCAGTCTAACAGAAATTGTTTATTTTTTTTCGATTATCTACTTCGTTCTTTTTCTCGCATGACTACACAAATAATATGTATTACAGCGGAAAATAATGTCATTGACAAACATTCAGAAGAATAATTTATGATCAATATAAACAGAAGACGAAGAAAAAAAAAAAGAACATTGCATATCTTACTTCAGTTCTAAACAAGTTTTACATGCCCATGTTTTTGTTGCTGGAGTATATTTCGCACATTCGTGACATACGAAAAATTTACATTCTGTACAGGATTCTTTTGGATTGAAGAAAATACGAAATGGTTTGAAACATCTAATACAACGTTCAGCATTGAATTCTTTTGAACCACCCAAATATTGCACACGCTCATTTTCTTGCCGAATTAGTTTCTTTATCTCACTAAAATCAAATTCGTATCAGATAAGGTGAAAAACGGATCAAACCGTCCTTGTACGCACTCTAATCGCTTGTATTCTTCTTGTCGAAGTTTAAAATCTCGCTCGACAACGGATAGAATTCGTTTGCACTCCTCATCATTTAATACGGATAATTCCGATGCCCGCGATGTGATAGATCTTGCTTCTAAGATCCATACAATCCCTCCCGATTTTCTCTCAAACGATTCCACTAAACACTTACCAGATCCTGATACACTTGGATTTCTTGTCATATTGATAATATTATTAACTAACAGTAATCGCCAATTGTCTTCGCATAATAGACAGTTACAAATGCTTTGTTTTCGATATTATTATATAGGTATATAACTGAAGACGGTAATACGTATCTTTCTTTTTCCTCTTCGTTTATTTCTGTTACATAAAATGACTGAGAGACAGAATAGAAGCAAACGAGTAATGTGTAAGTAATAATATATACGACAGCATGTGCTGCTTTCGCTGGTTTGTTATACACTTTAGTTTTTTTTTTCTGTGTTTCATGTGACTAATACTGATATCGAACACGTATGTATTCGATGATTGGGACAGTGGAGTAAGAGAAAAAATGACGCTCTTATTAACGATTATTTATTCGGGTCATATAAATGACAAAATATGTTTTTTCTTCTGGTCTATTTTCATTGACATATACCAATTAGAGAGTATACGTTCTAATAAAATCATTTTCAACTGTGAAACACCGTACGAGAATGAAATAAAGTTGGCGATAGATGAGAGATTTTGATATTTCTCTTTCTTTATAACTAAAAATAACTATTTTTATCATGTATCGATACATTATTGATATTCTGATTATACTTCGATCAGTCCGATCGCATGTTGTTATAGGAACATATATTTATAACTTTTGTTTGTATACTTAAAATCAATTCCACATTTGACGCACATTCTTTGTATCTTTTCTTTTATGAATAAGATACGATTAGTCATATATTATTTCTGTTTGAACCTGTAATTTAGCGAATATATTGAATGTCTTTCAGAACATAACATAAAGTGTATGTTGACAATAAACAATGTAGATTTATTTCGATAATAAAGAGAAAAAAAAGGAATGTGATTAACTTTCAACGAAAAGAATTATATTCACATTTCGAGTCATAATTTGTTTTCGAAAATACTCGTTTACAAAGCAAATAATATGATTGAGAGAAGCACAATAGAATTTAGGTGTTTCGGTTTTGTTCGAAAATCATCAGGAGAGGAAGTCGTCGTATATGACCTTCATTGACACTTGAAGAATATGAGAACAGACAACTCGTGTTTATTGGTTTCGTTGTATTTTGAAATAAAATTAATTATCGATGTATGATCATTACTTTGTTTTTCACACGGAAAACTTCAGGCAGAAAACGAACAGCACTAATTTATATATTTTATTTGATATGTCCATCAAACAAAATATCATTTGCGGGTATTGATGCAATTCACTTGGGAATTCTGATGAATATATCATTTGTGGTCGACTAATGATCTAGATGTTCAGTGTAACTTGTTCAAGTAGCCTGGAAATGTCAAATCTTGTCTGGAATAATAAACTACGGATGTCAACATCCGGCTCGGTGAGAAAATATTGAATCATGAGACAATATATCCTTACCTTATGTCTGAATAGAGATCAATCTATCAACTAAAAAGTTCTCTAAGAGCAGGGCAATTTTGTGTGTTTTGAAAATTCGATTCAAGTTCGACTTTTTTTGTCTGAAAACAATTGATTTACAAATGTATATTTTCTCACAATATTTATTTATTCAAAACTTATAAAAAGAAATCTTTCAGAAGTAGATGTTTTTTGTTTGCATTAGCTAATACATATTTTTTACACCGCTGTAGTTCTGCTTGATTGTAGCAGATTTGATCTATTCGGAACGAAATTGTGCAAATGGAAATCTTTTCATTTCACGTTACGATTTATTTAATCGTGTCATTAATTCAATATCGACTGATTTGAGTGCCATTTTTTAATGATAGAAAACTATGATCAATAAGAAAGAAGATTTTATTTCGATTGCGTGATTAAAAATGGAAAAGGCAAGAAAATAATAATGCAATGAATTATTAGTTAATTTATTAATTATAGCAAAAGATGATTGAATCTTATGAAAAAAGAACTTATCCAAAATGAGGTGCGAATATTGTACGTTGGAAGTCGTTAAAATGGCGAACGGATGGAAGTCCTGTCTAAAAGCCAAATTTCCATTTTCTTATTGTGGGGAATGCAAAACTGCGTTTGATTTCATTTGATTTTCAATTGTTACATAACGAAAAATACTCACCGATTTTTCGTATCAACAATTTATCGAGTACGAAAAGCGCTGTTTTTACATAAGTGTTCTCTCATGGTTAAACTGTACGATCTCGAACTCTTCAATGTAAAGCAGACTACTAATCTGTCCTTTTTCTTTGCTTTGAAACAAGTAAGATGATCGTCGCACGGCTCACCTGGAAATCGAGACAATGGTTGTCATTTTATGATCTATTCGAAATTGCAAATTATAATGGAATTCACCGAAATTGAAAATTTCAATTGCATTGTAATGGTCGAGACTTTCGAAATAATATGAATAATTCTAGCGAAATGTGTCTTTTGTGCTAATGGGAATGAATAAACGTCAGGGAGATATCCATTGATTGCTGCTTACTCTGTAAATGATCTCTGTTGACAAAATGACTACCTCAAAAGAAAGTTTCTCTGTGTTTCAGGTCTGACAAATGACTAATGTCATGGATAAGTCTCAAATTACAGACGATGAAAAACATCGTTTTCATTGAGGAATAAACGTTATTATGTCATCTCTAACACTATGTGGGAGATACACACTAATATTGTTGTATGTGACAATGTCCGTGACTTCAGATATGAGAAACACGATCATGAGGCTTTCCTGAAACAGAGAGAAAGCCCTTGGAGTTATTCAAACAGCGTGAAAATGATACACCCACAAGCAAAGGAAAAATCAAAAGAACTCAGGTGTGGGGAAGTTAGAAATCCGATTGCTCATCCTTTCAAACGCGCGTGGGAATACTACAAAGCCATTTTCTCTCCCTCATATGAATAATTTATATATTAAAAACTTATAAAATAAATGCATTTTATATTTCTCAAAGTATAGCAAATTTTTGCGAAATTTTCAGAAGTGCAATTAAATCAAGTGAGTATATCAGATATGTTCCATCAAATCATAGAATTCTGTTAACTTATTCTTTTGGACATAAAAATATTGGTAGATCGTCTCTAAACGAAAACCTCAAAGCTAAACAAGCTGATTTGATAGGAGAAAGTTGTAAATGTTTTTATTTTAATTAGTTCCAATGACTTACAAATTACTGATTATTATTCTGGTTTTCCTTGCCGTTGCCTCAAAAATTCAGATGTTTGAAGAACTTGATTATGATTTTCATCCCAGTATGTTGAAATCTTCGTCTCTTTTCCTACATGAATACAAGTTCATTGTTTTAGTGCTACATAGTATGGAATATATTGAACGAGATGTTCGTAGTTTTCGTTGTACTACTCCGAAGCAGCGTAGTGAAAAGCGCTGCCGAGATCACTGTCAACACAAACAACACAAAACTGGTCGTTGTATTCCAAAAAAGGGTGGTACATATTGTCATTGTATACAATCTGTTCGTCCGAAATCGATTTGAAATTCACGACAAAGACTTGCATCACCCGTCCATAATCTATCTTATATTCATCTTCAAATCATCTCGATAAACTCCTCTGATACGCTGAATCAGCAGAATAAATATACGCATATATCGATAGTCCAGTGGCATGTGTCATGAGAAGCATCTCTTGTAATTTGTCATATTAAAAGAACCTTGAACATACTCAGATCTTTTTCCTCTGAAATTATCTCGTGCTTTATGTCTGTTTCTGACAAACTCCAATTGAAACAATGGTGCTAGGAAAATTCTATTTTGTACTTAACATTCAAACTTGTGCCACTCTTTTGTCAGTTCTGGATTTGAAAACTCCCTGTTGTTCTTTCGGATTATAAAAAAGCTAGACTAAAGAAGAAAAATCGTCTTCATTCATTCTGAACACGATACAGCTAAAATGTCCTCATCGACTATTGAGTATTATACGTTCGTTTCTCAACAAATCATCATCTTCTTCGGTATACCAATTCTTATCGCCGGTGTCATTGGGAGCGTTTGCAATCTGGTTGTGTTTCTCAGTTTAAAAACCTTCCGCGAAAATGCATGTGCATTCTATTTAACTGTCATGACTGCAGTCGATCTTGGCCAATTGGTCACTGGTCTTCTGTCACGTATATTAATCAGCGGTTTTGCAGTTGATTGGACAATCTCTTCAGTTGTCTACTGTAAATTCCGTGCTTATTGTTTTCAATTCTTCGCCCTGACCTCGTATATTTGTATGTGCTTGGCATCCATCAATCAATTTCTCGCAACTTGTTCGAATATGTTTTTGCAAAATCTCAGTAACATTAAACTAGCCCATCGAATCGTTTCGGCTTTTGTTTGTCTGTGGCTTGTGCATGGAATTCTGTACCTGGTTTATTACAATCTTATTCCATTAGAAAGCACTGAAATTGTAACATGTGACAGCTGGAACATCGCTGTCAGAAATTATCATGCCATCGGAGTTACGATTATATATGGAAGTGTGTTACCGGTCTCGATCAACAGCGTATTCGGATTTTTAGCGTATCGGAATATTCATCAGTTCGATCGACGAACAACGCCGCTTGCTCAGCGTGAGCTGGATAAACAGTTAACATTGATCATTTTCATTCAATTTATCTATCATCTGGTTTCGACAATTCCTTATTTGATAGTGACAATCATTTCGCAGATAGGGATCATTAACGTTGATCCGATTCGCGAAGTCCAAATGCAGCTTGCCACTTCTGCAAGTTTGTGTATTTATTACTTAAATTACGCTGTAAGTTGAGTGAATTCGATGAGCTAGACGTTTATTTTTGTCATTTAGATTCCGTTTTACATGTATATCATTGTTTCGACACGCTTTCGTCGACAATTTCTTTATGTCTTCTTCGAAATTTATGCAAATAAATGGCGACAACGAATGCCAAATGGCAATCAAGTCATACCAGAAGCATAGATCACATCCAATCAAATTGACATTAACGAAGAACAGTTTATCTGTGCATAAGACTTTTAATTAAGAAAAAGAAATAAATCCTTATCTTTTCTCTCACATGATTTCTCGTTTTGATGATCAATTAACAGAAGAAAACAACCTATTTTTAGCCGTAATGACTCTCTCTAATTAATCCTAAGTCTAAAGAGTGAAAATTCTACATTTATTCACACGAGTCTACGTGTATGTGAATAAGATTCACAAAAGACGATAAAGAAGTTGTTTGAGTAGAATGACTTCTTCAGTAGCTTCATCATTGATTCTTGCTGCACAACAAGCGACTATTTACTTTGGAATTCCGATTCTTATCGCTGGTGTCACTGGAAATTTCCTGAATCTTGTCGTGTTTCTTAGTTTGAGAACATTTCGACAAAGTTCTTGTGCGTTTTATCTCACCGCCATGTCTTTTCTTAATATCGGTCAATTAATATCGGGTTTACTCACTCGAATCATTATTAATGGTTACCAAAATGATTGGATCAATTCATCGGCATTTTATTGTAAATTTCGATCGTATTCTCTTATTGTTAGTGCATTGATTTCGTTAACATGTATGTGTTTAGCAACAATTGATCAATATCTCGCAACATGTCCGAGGACTCGCTGGCAAAGATGGAGTCATATTAAAGTTGCGCATAGAGTTACGATCATTTCAGTACTGATTTGGATACTTTATGGAATTCCTTTTTTTATTTATAATAATTTAATCTATTCACCGATCACTAATCGAATGATATGTGTCTCGTCAATGACAACATTTTATTATTATTATGCCTATTCGTTTGTCTGGGTTTTTGGTGGAATGTTACCGATCTTTGTTAATGCTTTGTTCGGTCTGTTGGCTTATTGCAATGTTCAGCAGATGCATCGACGAACAGTACCCTTTATTCGACGAGAATTGGACAAACAATTGACAGTGATTGTACTTATACAAGTTGTATATACATTTGTCGCGATTATTCCGTATATTATTGTGACAATCATCATTTTGGATTCTATGAGTGGCAATGACGATGTCTGGCAAGCAAAAATACAACTCGCAACTTCGATAACCACTTGTCTCTATTATCTATATTTTTCCGTAAGTTTCGAGACAAAATTGCCAGGTTAACACTGTTCTTTTGCTTTGATAGAGCCCATTTTATATGTACATCTGTGTGTCGCAGCGATTCCGTCATCAATTTATTCATGTGTTTTTCAAAATATACATCCAAAGATGGCACCGACCACGAATTAATACAATACATTGAAACAAATCTATTCTCTGTGTCATATGCTGAAGTAAAATATGCATTTCTTGATATGTTCTACTGAATTGGTTGAATGTTTTATTTCATTTCAAAACAAAACACGACAAATAAAAGTGAAATTAATCGACTATAATGTCTTCACCTGTGAAAAGATCTTCTGGTGAAAGATCATATCGCGGATTGACTTCTTTGGCAAAGCCATGAAGAATACCAATATATTTTTGGGGTAAAGATGTACCGGGATATGTGTCGATTTCTCCCAATTGTTGGACAAAATCCATACCTTGAAGAACACGACCGAAAACAACGTGGTGACCATCAAGCCAACGAGCCGGAACTAAAGTGATGAACCATTGTGAACCATTGGTATCTTTGCCATAGCTAAAACAAAGTTTTTCTCTACGAGAAATATCAAACTTTCGTATTTACTTCGCCATGGAAACCCATCCACCAGATCGATGACTGAGAATGAAGTTTTCATCGACAAATTTTGTACCGTAAATGCTCACACCTAGGAATCAATATAGAATTTGCTTTTCATATATTTTGTATCTTACTTCCGGTTCCATCACGATTGAGAAAATCGCCTGTTTGCACACAGAAATCTTTCACGACACGATGAAATGGTGAGTTGTCAAAGGTGAAGTTTGTCTAAAACAAATCCAAAATTCCATAAAAAAACATCGAATAAGATTCTCAAATCTTACACCATCTCGAACAACTCCATTTGAAATTGTCACAAAGTTCAACACCGTCATTGGAACAATCTCACCGAAAAGTCCGATAACAATTTTTCCACGAGACAAGATTTCCGTTGCATGAATATTCTCCTTGACAATCACCTCGAAGACTGCTTCGTGAGTTATTGTGTATCGTGCAGGAGGAGGTGTGCTAGCTGCACCATAAACGTATCCATTTGCTAAGCATAAGGCGATAAGAGCGGCGAAAACGACTTGATTGGCCATGTTCGAAGTTTTGTATGAGATTTGTTTCGGCAAAAACCATGATTTTATATACTGAGCGTTTCGGTTAGGATTTGCAATTCAAATACGTTTGATCAATGCCCATCTGTGACAATGTTTTCATACGTGTCTTCAATGCCACGTCAGCACAAGGACAACTCACGATGGAACATGCATTGTTGGTCAACAGATTTTCAAATGCTAATGAATCAAGGAAACCAACTGGTTTTAGAGTGATTTGTGTCGATGATCGAGTGTCGGAGAGAAAGTCCGAATACCAGTAGGACTAAAGACCAACAGCAGATTGTCCGAAAGAGATGTGAGGTGATTTGTTCGCTTATTATCATCGAGTGATTCGCCGTGCTTTGTTCTTGGAAATTTTCATTGATTTTTATCAATAGAAATTCAATCCTTTTATGGATAATTTCTAAATTGGTGAATAAATCCAATCGTAGATAAACAAACCGACTTTCTAATTCGGAATTCGTACAGATTCTTCGATATTGTCTGCATAGAATACAATCGATACTTAATTTATGTAAATAATGAAAGATTCGTCGGTAATATTTCTTCTCATGACGAAGAAAATACTCCAAATGATCAAAATCTTCATAGCACACATCCACATTCTCATCAATCGTATAACATCGTCGTAAAAGAGATCTCCAAACATTAAAATACATCTTTTGAAAGTCATTTTTATAATAAACATTCAAATCCTTGATAATTATGGATAGACGTTCAACAACCGTGACATATTTCCTTGATGAAACCTGATTCAATGAATGAACTTGTGTCAATTGACATTCGAATTGATATAATTGATTGAGGAAAAGATTTGTGTCGATACAAAAGCGAACTAGTTGTAATAGACAACAATTGAAATTATCCATACGAGTGAGTGGCGCTCGGAATGCGATAATTAAAGCATTTAATCAATGTTTTCAATGGTTTTTATTGGAGTTTTAGAAGAAAAAAGTTACAGAAAAAGGAAAGAAACTAATTTCGACCAGAATAGAATCGAACGCGAGTTTGGAAACAGAATAACTACTGGGAGGGAAGGTGCATGTTGATTAACATATTCCATCTTGTGTTGTTATTCAAAGTGTAGCTAAAGAAAAAAGATATTAACATGAAAAAATGACGAACTACACAGCATAACGTACCAGTGTTACTATGAAAGCGTTGACATTCCTTGAAAACACAAAGAAAATAAGCAATGAATAAGAAATTACAGTAAAGTTTTACTTTTAATGCTTCCCAAAAACCTTGGCATTGTGAAGAATCACCACCACTTTGGTCTAAACATTTCATAAATTCCTTTTGATATAAATTACATCGTTCAGTAGAGTATCGCTCATTAGGTGCTTGATAGAGTTGTTGAGCATTTGGGCCACTTGCTTCTTGTGTAGCAGCTGGTTGATCATTTCCACGAAATCCACCTACAAACAAACAAACATGCACATCATTACATCACCTAAAAGACTGTGAAAATTTTACCAGTAATAGCAGCACCAATGGTATGACCGACAGCTGAGCCAACAGCTACACCACCGGCTGTAGCAGCCATTTGACCGAATAGACCAGGTTGACGTCCTTGTGGAGCCATAACTGGTGCTGGAGCAGCTGGAGGTGGAGGTGCAACAGCACGAGTTGGAGGCGGAGGAGGAGCACTAAAACTTACAATTCAACAAAATCGTTTTCAAAAGATGAAAATACCTACCGACTGGGAGACGATGAACGCATACCACCACCGGATCGACGAGGCATTTTCACTGTATGTATATAACGAAGAAAGAAATCTGGAATAAAATGAAATATTTCGAGTTATTTATACGAAAGAAAAGTAAAGGAACATTCTTAGCAGCGATCAGTTAGTCAGATGATTAAGAATAAACAAATAAGTGCAAAAAGGTAATATTCTGATGTGATGCAACGCTTATGGAAGACAACTTGCATCTGACTCATGTCCCGATCCGAACCGATCTGATCTATTTGTCTTTTATATCCAAAATGTGCACTCCCCATTATTTATTTACCAGAATGTTCTTCACCCTTTTCGAACCTTTGAAAAATTTTGCGATAAAACTATTAAGAAAAATGAATAAAAAATATTTTTATCAAAAGAAATAATAAAATATTATATAATCTATTGGAATCCATTCTTTCATCAAGGAGGCAACGTGCTCGATTCTGATTGGATGAAATTTTCTTTGAATAATTCCCTCAAATTGAAATTAAGAAAGATTTCTCGTTCAGTGTAAAAAAAACACCAAATCATGACTACAAGTTCATCAATAACTTCAAATACGCAGCATATCGCCACTCTACTTGATGATCTGCTTACTTGGCGAACAATTGGTCATAAACATACAGGTAGATTTGACTTTCTTAGAAAGAAAGATTCTATGGGTAAAGTTTTCTAATTTAGATGTACGGGAAACAACGAACGTTCAACCACATGGCGGTGCTTGGATGCCAGCGGATCGTTCATTCGATCGAATTCTTTTCTGGTAAGTTGAACTTTTTATTGTTATCCACTTAAAATCTTCTCTTTTCAGGCGCACAATCGAAAACAATGCTTTTCAGCTGTTCGAATATTCCATGTCGCGAAATCTCTTACAAAACGCACTTCAAATTCAATTTGATTCAGCAACAACTGTTCTACCAAATGTTTTTATTGTTGAATTACCTGAACAACATCAAATCTGTCTCATGTTTGTCACACATCTTGGCATTTATCGTTGGAGGCTCAAACATCCTATCCTATCCACCACCGGTCAATTAGTACGTCACTATATTCCGATATTTTGCCTTTTAAAAACTTTAAATTCACCTCTTTCCTTAGGATCAACCGCAATCGATACTTGCTGATATCACCGATGATTATTTGAATAGTCGAAATCATTTTTATAAATGTGACTTACAATTGTATACTCAAGTGACTTGTTCTTATACAAATGAATATCTGATCTATGCGTTATACAATGAATTAGAAACAATTATTTTTCGATTTGACAATCAAGATTATTTGAGTAAGCAGTTGATTTGATTTCATCAACATAGTCTTTCTTTCGTCTCTTCAGATTCTCCACAACAATTAGTTTTTCCAAAAAGACAAACATCTGGTTTATTCAATTTCCTGTGGAATCCAAAGTAAATCCATTACGAAAATCTCGACTATCGCTTAACTTTCAATTCTCTTCTAGTAAATCAGTTACATCTACTCAACCAAATCAACCATTGATTGCTGGTCAAACAACGATCGTTTACAACACCATGACAATGACAGTGATTCTTTATGATAGTGGCTTAATGCGATTTCTTTCTGATCAAGTAACTCACAACATCTAAACCAAAAATTTGTATCAAATCAGTTTTCTTTTAGCTTGATACTGTTCTTCATGAACATAATCTATTCGTTGATCTTCCTCGTTCATCATCGAAACTTCCGACGAAAATTTTTCTCGATTATTGTCAATATGAAACCATATCTGATGAACTTATCACTCGTCTCTTCATCGTTCTTGATTCAACTGATCTTCTCCATCTGCTTATCTACGAATTTCAATATGATTCTAATGACAATTTCCGTCTATCACTTTATCAAAACAAAACTTATACAAAAAGCACTCGATCTACCGATCATTCACATTTACCACATGGCTCATCATTAACATCGATCACTTGTACAAACGATCGAATTCTTCTTCATCTATTAAGCAATCAAAATCGTTCGATTCTTCTCTTCAGCCCATACGATGTCAAAGAAAGTCATGAAGAAGAGTTCATTCAATTACCGATGGACTCCAGTGGAATTTATTTAAATGATGACTCAACAACGATCGATGAGATTGAGAGAAGATTGAACTCACCGGGTCAATTTACGATTGATATGATCAAAGATGCACTTTGGATTACGTTTAATTTTAACCTCGATGAATATAATCAATCATGTACTTCGTTAACGCAGATTCTTCAGCAATTGCCAGCGAATCTACAAAATTTGGTATGTTGAGAGACTTGAGAAAAAAAAAATGAAAACATCGGGATTTTGTATTTTTAGTGTAATGAGCATTGCGATGAAAATTCCATTCAGAATGAAGATCGTCTACAAATTCTGACAAAATTTTGGCAAAATTTATATAGTACATTAATTGATCTTCGGGCACAAGCATTAGTTCTATACGGCTGTCGAATCTTCGACGAACGACAGTTGATCATCATTATTCATAAAGTAATTTCTAAAATTTTCCTCTTGAATCCTTCATCGTTTGTTTTCTAGGCGGCGATTTCGTTGTATTCAATGACAAAAGTATCATCATCTACCAGTGCGAGATATTCTCGTAAGTGAAATTCATTTAACAACTATCGACGATTCTTGTTTCTCTCTAAAGGCTATGTTAAAGATATCGAATCGTTGCTAAAAGCTTCGGACAATGAAATAATTGCTCAAATTGATGATGAGACGCTCGATACTACTTCAACAAATTCACAGTAAGAGAAACATCACGAGCAAGAAATCGAAACTGTTGTTTGAATTTCCTAGACAATTAACTCGCATTCATAAACATTTGGATCCAGTTGTAAATAACGATCAATTAACAGAAGTATTCCGATCGATGTATGATAAACATTCGACGAAAAACAATGTCAATGAGATTAATAACAATGTATTTGGATCGAAAATTGCACGTCGATTGTTAGTTCTGGTCTTTGCTCAATCATGTTACGAAAAGATTCACGATATTGAACAGTTAGACAAACTACTTCATTTAACATTTCGATCAAATCAAGTAATTTTGTCAAAAGAGAAGACAATGTAATAAAATTGTTGCTTTAGATTCGAATTAGTTCGCATCGAAAAGACAAACTTCAAGATCAAATTCTGCCGTATTTACAAGATCTATTACGAATTTATCAAACACTTCTCTGGGTATCTTCATGTGGAATCGAATCATCGTCATTAACAGTCGACGATCGGTAAGAAGAAATTGATTAATTTAAGTATTATTCAATGCTTGTATGAACCTTTTTTAGTGACCTTTTCATTGAAAATCTGGTTTATCAACAAGCACAACAACGATATAAAGCTCGCATCGGAAACCAATCGTTACTCGAACAACTTTTACTCGATATATTTCCTCAGGAACAAACACCACCCGACGCAGATAATTGGTTTCAAATTCTATACAATTCAGTCGAAAATCTCTTTACTCTTCTGTATAACAAACACACTTCCTTTTCGATTTCAACGAATTATCTTTATCTTAATTCTATTTTAGCTGGCCAAGTAACGATTTCCTCATTACTTATTTACCCAGTCGACATCAATGGACAATTCTCGATCATTACTGCGGAAAATTGTCTTGGTTTAAAGAATTGAATTCTGCTAGGTAAAGTTTTTCGATTGAGAAAAGAAACTCACAACGTGGTTTTTCTTTCTAGACAATTCTTCCATGCTTTGACATTCTATCGATCGGGTACAAATATCGAGACAGCAACGAGATATTTAGCAGCTGGACTGAAAGATCTTCACACAGATCCATTGTTAATGAAAATGTTCGCAAAACAAGCACTTCCGGAACTGTTTTATATTGAATGGGTTTGTTTGTTGTTTTAATGAAGAGTTCGCAAAGATAAATGATTGTTTTAGATTCGAGAGTATTTGAAATATTTTGGACAAGGTCAACATGTTGCTTCGTTTCTTCATCAATCTCTACAAAGTTCTTATACCAATGAAATCCGGGTGAGTTTCGTCCTTCTTCAACACAAAAGAAACATTTTTGTTCGTAGGCATTAATCATCAAAGAATTATTCAAAACAAGTATTGAATTGAAAAACTTCGATGATGCGTTTTGGTGTATCCAGAATACGAATGATTATTTCAGGTTTGTCTTAACTAGTCAGTATTTCACAAAGACGAATCATTTGATTTTAGTCAAAAACAATTTACGTTCGAATATGCATCAGCCATATGTTCCTTAACTAATGATCAATCGTTGTATCGTCTTCAAACACTTCTTCAATATCAACGTGATAAATTAGATTGTGTGGATTTCGAATTATTAGCATATCTTGAACGCACATGTGTGGAAAATCAACCTATTCAAACATCTCAAGTATTTGCATTGTATGAAGTATACAAAACGATGAAATTACCGTTGAAGAGTATGTCATGATCTTGTGAGATAGACATCAAGGTTATGCAAATGTTTTGTTTTAGTGGCGCAAATCATGTATCATTATGGTTGTTCGATAACTGATGTTAAAGAGCAAAAACATGTTTTACAATTAGCTTTCAATGCTTTGTCATCTGTCCCAACCAGTCATGATTCAACGGATCAATTATTCACCTATCCGATAAACTGCGAATATAATGTAAAGTACAAATTTTGTCTGGTTCTCTCTTGAAAACGTTTTTTTTTCCAATGAATAGTCATTAACACCTCTACATGCAGATCATAATTGTTCACGATTGATCGGAATCGATGAATGTCGGCAAAAACTCGCTATCATTTCAGCTATTTGCACATTGAAAAGCAATCGTTCATCCTCCACTGTTCAAGTTACAGATACCATGCATCCTACGCAATTAAGTGGTCTATTAACAAAGTATCATTATGAGAAAGAAGCTCAACAATTACTTGATGCCTTTCAAATCAATCGTTCGTCGATGTATGTCATTCATTAGGATATGGAAAATTGAATTCTACTATTTGTTATTATATTTTTCTTTATGTTATATTAAAATCTAGAAAATAGACAGCATAAGCGAAATGATTTGTCGCCAAGTTTCGATTGGTATACATATTTAGATAAAAATAAAAAAAAACAATTTGAAAATAATACGATTAGCTAAAAAAATCATCGACTTCATCAGTTTCACCAGTTGATGGAGCAGTTGGTGGAGTCGATGGTTTCGAATCGGATTTCTTCGGACCGAATGGAGGCTTATATAAATTATGATCAGGACTTTCACGAGGAGGTGATGGCGGTTGGACTTTTCGACGCGGAGGACTTTGGGGCTTGGGCTTAGGCTTGGGCTTGAGCGTTGCTGTTGTTCTGGGTGGTGAAGGTAGTGGTTGATGGGGAATAGTGCCACTCTTTTTGATTTCATCGGAAATCGTAGTCGCGGCATCGTTAAGCCATTTATTGATATCAAAACTACGTGCAACTTCTTGATCATCTTCGTCACCTGTATCATCATTTTTGTCGGTGGTTTCGTCTTTTTTCTCAGTGGATTTGATGGATGCCGCTAGAAGAAAAATCGATTTGTACTTTGTGAGAGAAAAAATTTGTAGATATACGTTTCTTTTCTGCGGTTGGAACGTCAGGGGATGGGGGTTCCGATTGCTCGCCGTCATTATCTAAAGCATCTGTACCGGTTGCAGATGCTGGATACAATGAACAGTAAGTTAAAACGACGATGTAGAAAATCAAATATAGCACTCACATTCATTTTTGTCATGATTGTTTTGGTTTTGTAAAGTATCGTCTTTCACGCCTGCATTCTCTTCTTTATCTGGTTCGATTACTGGAGATTTTGCTAGAAAACGAAATATATTCATGATATTGAGAATGAATGAAAAGCATAAGTGAACATACGAAGTTCAGTCGATGGTTTTCGTGGTTGTTCTGGTAAAGGCGTTGGTGGATTTGATGGTTGCTTTTCTTTGGGTATTTCTGATATATGCGATTCGTTTTCCAACAAATCTTCCGTGCTCTGATCGTTTTTCTCTGCCACACTTTGATTTCTGGGTGTTGATTCAAAAATAGGTTTTATCGGTAGATCATTCACTGAACTCGGAGCCGTACTTGCAGCTGCCGATGGTTGTGGTGGAATAGTAATGAATTTCTTAACTGGGGTTGAAGGTTCTGATGGCACAGATTTCGTCTGTGATCTCGGTGGTGTTACAATTTTGGTTTGTTTAATCGATTGTGGCGTTGGCGATTTCGGTTCTTTGGTGATCGAGGAAGATAAGCCAATAACTGTTGGTTCCCATGCGGATTTGACTTTACTTTCAGCATTTGCAATGCGTCGCTTGAATTTTGGATCATGCAGACGTATTTCTGGTTGACTTGATGATGCCTTTCGTCCTGACGTTGGATCGGATTGTGCACTATCGATTGCCGATCTTACTCGTGTTGGTATATCTCGATTGGACCGAGGTGTAGGTTCAAAATATTTTGGTGGTTTACTCGATGTCGATTTGGACGAAGGACGCCAGACACGTTCATTGGTTCTCGATGAAGGTGACCTGCGTAATGGTGATCGTTCTAAAACCAAATCAATGTACTTTGTTAGATCAGAATTATACAGTAAAGTGAACCTTTGTCATGTTTGGATTGACGGCGTAATTTAATAGGTTTATCCCCATAGTATAACCCTTTGGATGTCATAGATGATCGCGATGTACTTGTATCGGTATATGAACCACGTCGTAGTGATTTTCCTTCTACTATCCATGGACTTTGATGATCAGAGTGTTTCCTTTTCTGTTTGACAAAACCTTGGTCTTTGATTGGATATAAATCAATAACGATTGGTTCTTCGCGAGAAGACAGATCCGATGACGACGATGACGACGATGACGATGGTGGTGGTGATATATGACGAGGAGGTTTACGAGTTTGATATCGTTCTTGGCGATGTTCGGGTGGAAAATGCACTCTGTATGTTACTGGCGCTTTATGTAAGTTTGGTGACTAATATAGAAAAAAATATGGGCGAGGGAAGAATGTCTTATTTCATTGGAATTACCAGTTCTAATTCCGTCGATGGTTCATATACTCCATACGCTGACCGCGAGCGATACATCGGATGCGAACGTAACGATAGTGGATAGTGATGAATATGGTAATGCGGTGTTACTGTTGATGAATCGTTTAATTCAGTTCGTGCTAATGTGTGACACAGTTCTTCGTTAGCCTCTCGAAGTTTTGCATATGTTTGTGTTTTTGGAGTCGAAAGAGGAGAAGAAGGGGAGTATATTGAACGATAATGGATTATGTCGGAAGATGAAGGTGATAATGGTCGATATGGCCGTGATATAGGTTCAGTGGGGATGTTAAAACTGTCATCTGGTATTTTGTACAGATCAAAGTTGAATTTAGGACCTGGTGGAGGAAACATAGGCTGTCGAGGCGGAGGAGATTCACATCGACGAAATAGAGGTGACGGTGGTCGAGCTGGTATTGCTGAAAATGTCGTGAAAGAAGTCAATGGAACATAAGTTGGTGCTTGAGGAATAGTCGTAACTGGTGCATTGTATACAGAATCGAAGTTCGACATACTGTGCACATATTCTACTGTTCTCTCCATGTTTGACAAGTAATTGAACTACTAAATTTGTCATCGGACATCCTATACATTGTAAGCAAGTGTTTCCATAGAAACATGACACATGTCGCACAGTTTAAATGGTTGATAAGGAGAAACTCTTGTTAAGTTATTATATGTATTCACAGTTATCTTCAAACGATTGTAGATGTTCACAAAAAGTGAGATTTTTCATTCATTGAAACTGACTACCAGTGTCATCTATCGAAAAATACTTGTTCAACGACCAAACGCGCAAAAATCTAATGAGAATATTTTGTTATCATGAGTAAAAACCGATCTGATCGTCATCCATCACGACAAATGACAAATACCACTACCAACCGATCATCGTTGTCCCCTTTATCAAGAGTTCATCAACGACCCGTTTCATCTCATCGTTCCAGTACGCGATCAATGGCAAGTTCCAATACATCTCATTCTCGCGTGCCTCGATCCATCCAAATAGAACCTGGTCTTCAAGCTCTTCTTACTGCTGAAGGACAAGCAGCTGAAATGATCGCAAATGCTCGTGCTAAGCGAAAAGAACTACTCCGTCGAGCACAACATGAGAGTCAAGTTGAGCTTGAAGCACTTCGACAAGAACGTGCTTTTCAATACACAATCAAACTACGTGAAGCAACACAACTTGAACAATTTCAAAGCAAACTCGACGCTGATCGACAAACTGTACTCGCACAAATGAAAGAAACGATGAGAAAAGAACGAAAATCTCTGATTCATTACATCGTTCATCGTGTGATTGATGACATTCCTATTCAATCCCATCCGAATGCGAAACGTGTGACATTGAACAGCGGAAAATAGAAGTTGAAAATGCGTTGTGAATAAAGTTGTTTCTTCTATATTCTCTACGAAACAAACACGTACACGCAGATAGATGAAAAGCGAGAAGAAAAAAAGCGAAAATAAAGGACACAATAGAGGAGGTTAAACAATAAATAATTAATTCGATGTTGACGCATTTTTATTGTTTACATCTGCTAATTTGGATCGAATACCGATTTTTTTCAATTCATCGACAAGTTCACCTGATTGATGCATACCAAGAAGAATATCACAACCACCAATGAATTCGCCGTCGAAGTATACTTGAGGAAACGTTGGCCAATTGCTTTGAAAAGAAAACAACTGACTTCGAAAGTCAAATGATCAATTTTACCTGTAATTCTTCATGTTTTGTCGAAGTTGTTCATCTTCAAGAATATTCTTTGACTTAAAATCACAACCGTGAAGATTGAGAATCTGAAGAACAGCATTGGAAAATCCACAGCCTAATTTAGTTTTCAAAAATAGAAGTGTTCTCAAGTGAAGAAACAAGTATTTTTCATCTTACGTGGCGCATTGGGTTCGCCCTTGATAAATATGGCAATTTTGTTTGATTTGACGAAATCATCGATCTTTTTCTTGAATTCTGGGTCGAGCGATGCGGCAGTTTGACTTTCAGTTGACGACGAACTCCAACGTGTTGCAATGATACTCACCGGACTTCGCGAAGCACATTGTTGAAGAACTCGACGAAATAAAAAAGCTGAACTCATCTAGAAAAACAAATATTCAACGTCTGTCAACAAAAAAGAAATATTGCAAAATAAGACACTTGAAATAATATTTTCATGAATATTCAATGATCTTCTATTGACATTCAAACAAATAAAACTAAAGTCTTCTTTTCTTGTCTGCCAACATCAGTTGAGAAAAACATTTCTCTTTTTCGAACTTCAATCAACACAATGACGATAACAAATCCTACAATGTCGAATTTAGCGGAAGCATTACTAAATATTCGCAAGATTGAGGATAACTTTTACAAACGCGAATTTCAATTTCTCGATCGAGATCGGAATAAAATCCGTGTACATTTCGATCGACACAAAGACGCGTTTTTACAACTAACACGGCAACGGCATGAAACATGGTATCGACATGATAAACACTTTCGCGAAGGTCTACGCAAAGAAAAGGATAATCATGAAAAACGTAAACGAAACTTTGTGTTAACATCCGATCCGGACTACACATCAAAAGACTATCGACCTTTGGAAGTCATCGATGCGGATGGATCGGTTCTACCACCGATCAACGCCTCAACAACAACAACAAAAACAAGGAAAAGAGCCGAACCGATGACGAAAGTGGAACGAGACATCTATCAAGTTCTTCGTGCGTCGCAAAAATTACTCAACGAATCCGCAGCTCGACCTCGATATAAATTTATTCTCGAACGGCCGTCATCTACATCGTTCAATAAAAAAGTTCGTCAACATCCAACGGAATCCGATTCAGTGGCACAAACAATGCTTCCAACATTGAGAGATGCATCATCGGACTACGAAGAGTATGACCGTTTAGTCAATAAATCACTACAAGGTGAAACTTTCAGCGAATTCGTCGATCATTTCGTTAAATTCCGACCGGAATTCTGCGAACAATTCGGTTCGATCTACGAAGAAGATAAACGACAAAAAGCGATCGAAAAACTACGCGAACTCAATCAAATTCACGCGAGAAAACGTGACGGACGTTATCACAATCTCCTCAGTAGTCTCACTGACTCCAACTCCTCGTCGAACTGATTCTTCGTATGCAAAAATCGAACATTTTCATTATCGTATATTATGTAACAAAAAGAAATTCACCGAGGCATTGAAGTTTGTGTTTTTACATCCAATGATAACAGTGGCAAGATTAAGAGAAAATGATAAGAGCGAGTTTTGTTGTGAAGAATTTGATTACGATTTTAAATTGGCTAACATTCGTTCGATTTCAGCATCGTCATTCTCGGCTTGCCGACGATTCGTTGTAGCAGTAGAAACAGGAACACGTGGTGCATTTGCCATCTAGAAAGGAGAATGAGCAACACATGTTTAGAAAGATTTCAACGAACTTTTTCATTTAATGAAATGCCGATTTCATCAAGTACTTGATTGACAATGGCGTCTTCTTCATCCGAGTCACCTTCTTGTCCTAGTGCTGCTTCGAGTGTTTCACCAACTGAAAAAAGGGAGTAACAGTTTTAAAAAAACATTGATTTGTTTGATACATACTCATTTCATCGGTTATGGTGAATTTTGTATGCTCTTTAGTGAATTGCTCAGTAACTTTTGCCATTTGTTCAGGATTCATCATTTTGTTCATCTTTTCCATGGTTTTCGCGGTTTTCTAAATTGAGAAATCGTCAATGGAGAAATGAAAAAGCAAACATTCATGTACATCCATCGTATTCGCCATGCGCATATTCGATGCCATCATTGTATTCTGTGCAGCTAAGCCTTGAATTTGTCCGGAAGCTTGAAAAGATTGGGCTTTGTGATTTCGAACTTTGACTAATTGTTTTGCTAGAATTTCTATAGCCTAGAAGCAGACAATTTCAAACGTTGCTATATTTATCTATTCAGACTTTTTTATTTCCAGTCGCTGCATTCTTTCGAATTTCATTAACCTATTCGAATAAATCAGCATATGATTTCGAGAATTAGAAAGGGCGAAATCTTCTTTCTTACTAATCTTTGTTCTTCAGCCTCGAGTTTATGCCGATCACGTACTAATTCTCGATCGGTTTGTTTTAATTCCCGATTATGCGCTTTGGTTTGTTCTTAAAATATCAACATTAAGGCAACCTGAATAACACATATGATTCTCGTTACCCGTAACAGATGGTTTTTTGCCGAACATTGATAGAAAATAAGGAATGAGTTAAATCTAGAAAGGAAAGAAGAAGGCATGGTTGTGTTTAACAGAAAAATTCGAAAACTTGTTTGAGACAAAAACCAGATGTATATTCATGCTTAACATGACCGGCGGAAACTTCCGGACAGATCAGATTTTCCGATCGATGAACGGGTTGTCCTGCCGGCTGATCACTAGCTACGAAGTGAATCGCATTGGATTGTAAGAAATTTCGGAGTTCGTTGGTATCCGATGGAATGAGAAAATGAATCGAATCGATAAAAGCGATTTTCGATAGTTTAGGAAGAAGAGAATCTTGACGTTGACGTAATAAATGCATTAATTGATCACCACCGGCTGAATGAGCGACGAAAAAGAGCTGAGTTGCAGGTGAAAGTTTCGAGATGACGTGGTCATAAACATAGAGAACGTGCTCACGACTAGTTGAGAGATTAGGAATCGGTTTTGTTCGTAATTGAGGTAATGGTTCAGGAGAGAGATAGAAAGAACGCAGATCTTCGGAAGAATTCGATTCACTATTACTTTCATTAATGAAATAGATTTGATTGGGATTGACAATAACTACAGAGAGATTCAACTGTTTCGCTTTGGACATGTATGGAAACATGGCTAGAAGACAAATAGAAGAGATCGTTAGTAATTACAAAGCTAACGGCATCGAGTTCATCAATCTCTCCGGTTTCATGCAACGAGTATCAAAAGAAAAACTACGTTTTAGAATACCTCCGATATCAAGAGATTCGTTAATACAACATGAGCGTGACCATTGGCCAGCTCTGACTACTCCACAACCTTGAATTAATACTAAACATCCATGAACATTTGTTCGGAAATCACTCGACAAGAAAATATTAACTTTCTCTTTTTGCTCTTGACAATTCTCTAATGGTAGCCAAACCTCTTCATATGTCCATGGGTAATCCTTCATCGCCGATTGTATATGAGTTTCAACCGCTTTTCCAAGTAAATCATAATGTCGTTGCGTTAAAAATACGAACTTCTTGTTCGTTAGACAATGTCGCAATTCCTTCGATTGACTATAATAATAATTAAACTCTTGAATCGATTTCGGATGTTTGGATTTATTCGGAATAGTTAAAAGAATTGCATTCAAATCATCTTGAATGCTTTTCGGTAAGTTCTCGAATTGAAGTTTGCCATTACAGACATAGCAAGGTAGTCTTCGGTTGAATAATAAAGCTATTTTGCTATTAGTAACCATCGATGATATCATATTTGCACAACATGATTCACAGAATCGGTGTTCGTCACTCGAACAACATTGATAAAGAACGGGAAAAGATCTTTGACATATTGCACATATCATCTAGAACTAAAGAAAGAATTGTTCTCGTTTTACTGTTTGTTCTTCGACAGAGAAATCAGATAAAGACAAACATAAGATGAATCAGACAGAAAAGGTCTCGAATGAAATGATTTTGTCGTATAAACAGAAAACAATCTCGTGCGTTGGTTTCATTTGTTCAGGATTAACATCTTGTAATTGATCATTGCTTGCGTGATTCGATTGAATTCATCAAAATGCGTATTGAAGTGAAGCCATTAATAAATGATTGAAAAGAAATTTCGTCACTTATTTATACCCACTTCGATTAGGATTGTTCGACACTTGAGAATTGAGAAACACCGATGGATCAGCATAAGAAGAATCTTGGGAAAGCAATTGATGATGTTCATTTTGGGATGGTTGATACACATCATACATATCCTATATTTAAAAATCGAACAGATGACAAATGTTTGTGTGAAAATAAATGAAAACGAACCGATTGAGAAAAGTCTTGTTGAGATAAACCATATGCATGTTGAGACATGAGTCCACCTTGTGATGTTGGATACGGTTGACTAATGGTACCGCCTTGAGTGAAATTTAGATTATCCTAAGAATCGAAAAATGTACGTTGGATTCGTTAGTAGAGAAATTCAGAATAACAAACCTGTGATTGTGTTCCACCGCTAGTATTCTTCGAAAATCGTGGTGGTTTCGATGGATTTTTCGTTCTTGTATTTCCTTTTCCATTCTTAGCTGTTGCCGCTTGATTATTCATCGATCGATCTAAACAGCTTTCTATAAAATCAACCTTCATTCATTTAAGTCTGATTACCATTCATCATCGTTGTATTGAACGGTGCAGGTCCACCCATATACGGCATTGTCATTTGTGACATCATCATCTGATGTGGCATTGGCAAATTAATGTTAGCAAATGATTGCGATACATCGTTCATTCCGTGCGTATCGATATAACTCAATGGATCATGATTGCGAAAGTTTGGATTGAAATTATTGCCAAACATCTCACCGTTCATTTGACGTTTATCAGTCATCGGCGTTGTTCGATCGTAGACAGAGCCAGGAATTAATGCTTCTTTTGCTAAAAAACAAATGAAGATTTTTGTTTCTCAAAGTCAAGAAAGAGAAAAACTGAGAACAAACCGGAAAACATAGCATTAGACATAAATCGTCCACCCGGATTAGCCGGATTTATTAATTTTTTCGGCTTCGCAAATTGTATAGCACTTTCTTTTAAGTTATTCAATGGACCTTCAGCAAGTACATGTTGTTCTTTGTAATAAGTCAATAAATGGTTCCATAATGTTTGACGAGAAAGAACTTTTGGATTGCCAATGATAATAATTCCATATCTGAAATACAATCAGTTCAATTCGATGATTTCGACTATACCAAGTTCATTTTACTTTGCTCGTGTTAATGCAACATTCAGTCGACGTGGATCGTTTAAGAATCCGATACCTTGATGTTCATTTGCACGTACACAGGATAAAATAATGAAATCTTTTTCACGTCCTTGAAATGCATCGACACTTGCAACTTCAATTTCTTGGTAAAGCTTTTCATTTAACGATCCACTGTATTGCATATGTTGAACAATAAAAGCACGTTGTCCTTCGTAAGGTGTGATAATACCAATCTGTTCTGGTTTAATACCAGCTTTGAGTAACCTAGTGGCGGTCTTCTCGACCATATTTGCTTCAGTTCGATTGAGATACGATGTTCCGCTACTGGAAATTTCTTCTTGACCCATGGAACAATGGAAAAACATCGGTTTATCAGATTGAATCCATGGAAAGTCGAGCCCTTTGATAGTACGTTCAACAGCTGTCACACCATTTTGTAGTGAACCTAATAATAATAGGAAAGATCTATCGTTGCTCAATAAAAACATTGGCACACAAACCTTCATAGAAAATATTCGATGGAAATGCGGATAATGACGGATGCATGCGATATTGTACTTGTAATCGAATTGGTCGAATGCCAAGTACCACAAGTCGTTCAAATAACGATTGGCTCAGACCCGCTTTCGCTGCCTTTTTGCTCATAACAACTGGTCCCAATTGACAGTGATCACCAACAAGAATAAGTTGCCGGGCCCCAAGTACGACTGGAACCATACATTCAGGTTCAGTAGCTTGGGTTGATTCATCGATAAGTATCGAACGAAATTGATATCCGTGTGACAAACGTGGATCACCGGATCCAACGCATGTACAGCAAATTACATCAGCGTTACGAAGTAAATCAATTTCACATTTACGTTTCAACGTTCGATAACGTTTCTCATCAGCGGATGATAATTCTCCTGTTTCATCTTTTAGTTGTTGAAGTTTCTTCAATTCCGGTTCGCTAAACGAAGTCAAACGAATGAATTGATTCGTTGTCACAAAGATTCTTACCTTTCCAGACTTCGGATTTGATTATGTAACGCCAAAAATGAAACTGGAGAATCCAATGCTTCACGACTTTTCGCGCATAGACGAACGACTTTCAAGCCAGTTTTATGAATTTTTTCTGTTAATTGATCAACAGCGATGTTACTTGGTGCACAGACGAGAACTTGTCCCTGATTTTGTTTAACTAAATGGTAAACAATCGTCGCCGATGTGACCGTTTTTCCCGTTCCTGGTGGACCTTGAATAAGACTCAACGGTCGTTGAAGAACCGTCTTCACTGCATAAACTTGTGAATGATTTAATTCAGGTAGGCCTGGTGCCGAAAAACGTTTAGGTAATGCGACTTTCATCACTATATCTTCCACTTCATGGCCTAATAAACGATGGTATAGATAAGCAGAAACACTATGTTCATCAACAGCGAAGGTTTTCAATGCTGATTGCATACTAGAAGACAAAGTTCGTATGTGCAAGTAATCGAATGATTCTTACCGATCAAATGATGTGGATTTCCAAACAAATTCAACAACAAAATTGGTACTATGTTCAATCGGTGCTCCTGAACTAATCTTTAATTCAATGCCAACTTCTTCTCCGTAATCTAAATAGCATCAATTCTGCATCTATCTGAAAAGGGGCTCTCAATTAACTTACTGTTAGGAACTTTTACCACATGTCCAACTCCTGACCAATTGGATTTCGATGTGTCGCCAACGTATCGTAAACGCAGTTCATCACCCGCCATTAATCTCATTTCTTAAAGCGAAACAGAAAATAGGAATGAAGACTTTCAGGTTCAATTTACCTTCATTTGCTTTTGGTAAGCAAAAATATGCTAAACGTTTTTTGTTCAAACCCATATCCCATCGTACGGAAATATTTTCCTGAGTTTGAGATTCTTTAATCTTTCGGTCATCGTCTGCTTCCATTTTGACTAATGGACCAAAAATATTCTGATACTGATAAGCATCTTCGTATCTCAAAGAACATTGTTGTGGTTCTTCATCGATTCCTGGCTTTTCTAAATCAGCGATGGTTGCGTCGGGATTATTCTTCCATAAATCTTCTAAACGATTGATCATCTGTGCAGTTATTTGACGAGCACGTAATTGTTCTTGTTCAGAAGGAATCTTCACAAGCCAAGTCAGAAAACATCGATCTTGAATCAACGGTTGCCACTGAGATGGATCCCTGAAAGAATGGTATGAAACAAATGAGTTCATATGGCAATAACCTACCAATTCATGTCTTTTAATGCACTTTGACTGGCGCAAGGTTGTCGACAGAGTAAAACGACAACGCTGTCTGCTTTTGCAGGAATAAAACCGAGCAAAAATGCATTTCGACAGCCGCAGTTATAACATTCTAATTGTGTTTCGCCCAATGGGCCATCTTTATGTAAAGTGACTTCTTTACATCGAGCGCGAACCAAATGATTGACGATATGGCTATGAAAATTAATGATAATAGGAGCGAAATCTTTCGTAAAAGTTTTACCTTCCAGATGTATTACCCCGACCATTACAAAACCATTTTCGTGTTTGATTACACATAACGACAGCAGCCGGATCATGAATACCACAATATCTATCGAGAAGTACCGTTATAACGTCGTTCTTTTTGTGATACAAACTTACGCGCAAGCATGTTTGGGTAAATCTCTTTCGTAGAAGCCTTCCTCTTCATCCTCGAAAGGTAAATCCCGTTGTTGTCTCAGATTATTATTCGTTCCATCCAACTCATCCGATGGAAACATACCGTTCTAAACAAATCAAATATAAACGGATTTAACAAAAGATATCCATACATTCTGCTGGGATGCATTGATATCCGTTAATGGTAAATGACTCTGTTGAGATGGTAATGTTAACTCATCAAAACCAAAGTCTGTTGCTTGAGTATTTCCATTCGTTAAGTCAGGATCATAAAAAACTAAGGGATCACGATAGGTGTTGCTGATATTTGATTGCGGATCTTGTGTAACGCCGGCACCATAGGACATATCTTATCTAAAGCTAGATTGTCTTTTTATAGAGTAGATCAAACTCAAACGGTATAGTCAATTTTTTTGTTTTTCAGTAGTAAAAACAAACTGAACTAAACTAAATGAATGATAAAAACCTGTAAGTGCATATGATTCATAAGTATCCACTCGATATGAGAGGTTGATTCGATCGGACCAATCGTATGCCTGGACAAAAGTTTCGTAAGTTTATCAGAAAAATTTTCTTTCCGTCGATAAAGGAATCAAGTCAAATCGTAATTTGGTATTCGAAAAATGGAAAATCAGAAAAACGAATAGGTCAAACATCCATGAGTGACATCTACCGGCTGCACATCGAATTGTTCCATCTACCAGGTTATTCATTGTTTTCTATCCGATAAGAATCATCTCGTGCGACGTTTTTCAATTTGCACCAAATGGAAATCAATGATTACTTTTTCCTGATAATCTCATTCGCACCTTGCCAATATTCTTCCATCAATAAAAACAACTGCCGAGCGATGTTCGCACTTAATGATGAGTTTTTGTTTCACATGAAATCTCTTGCGAATGATTAATTATCCGTTGATCTTCGTATGAGATGATTTTTACTCTCGAAACATGTAAAACAATAGTTAAACTTGCTCATTTTTCGCATTTGACAAGTGATAAACTACCTGAATCGAATTTTTTCATGCGAAACATTCCTCTCTCTAATAGTTTATTCTTTTTGTCATGAGAACTGATACGATATGCATAAAGTGATATGATTAGACACTTTATTAAGATTTCAATTGTCGAAAAATCTTCATGAATAATTCTCTTGTAACTGAATCTCTTTTCTCGAATAGGAAATCTTGAAAAGAAAGGCAGACAGACATGTTCTACGATTGCTCGCACTGGAGCACGCAATGACCATCAGGCGACAAGATTGTAACAAGCCGACTCGATTGAAACACAACATGAAAGATCATGCTTGATCTAATAAAGAAAAACGGGTGATGAAGAGAGAAGAAAAATATATAGAATGAACTACTTTTTTCTTTCTTCTCTCTGCCGTTCGTACTCCTATATATATCCGTAGTTCTTGACTTCCTACATATTTTCATCTGATAAATACATATCGTCAAAATGATTATTCTTAAAGGTAAGTTCAATACTTTTTTTGTCAATGTCCGCGTCACCAGTTCGATCCTTTTGCTCTAGCAAATCAATAACTAACTCATTAAGATGAATTTATGTTTCTTTTTATTTCATTCGAAAGAAAGAAATACTATCAGAAGGTATTATTCGATAAGCCTTTTGCACGATTACATTTCTTTCTCATTCCGGAACACATCAGCCTTGAAATTATACCTAATTTTATTCTCTTATTAGACTCTAGAGAAGAAAACGCACATACACACATCGACTAATCTTCTTTTCTTTTTCTTCGTTTTTTCTTTCTACGTCTTCTTCTCATGAGACTTCGAGAAAAAAATCTCATTGGTGAATATTCATTCACAACAATCGACCAATGAGAAAAACTTATGAGATTTTTTTTCTCTCATTGAACATCGCCTGACATTCATCCAACCCGGTAGTTAATCACAGCGAGCTTCAACAACAACAACAGAAATCAAGCTTCATACTCTCTTTTTCTCTCTCTCTCCCTTCTTCCGTTTTCTAATTAGTTGAGAAAAAAACGAGAAATAGAGAGTAAAAAAAGAAGAAAAAAAAGGTCTTCTCTTTCTCTCGTACTCTCGCATCAAGACAAAGTTTTCGCTTTGCATGATCTCTATCATCGATCGTGTGTCTACAAGTTGAAGTTGTTGGTGTGTGTGCGCGCTTCGTGTCGAAATTGAAACAAGCCGCACAGTCTCGCGTCGATCTTAATTATTATTCCTTGTGTGACACACGCACTTTTTCCCGTTCCGACTACGACTTTTGAATGCGCCACTCCGGCAAGTAGTTCTGATCAGGCAACAATAAATATCTATACACACACACATATATATATATACATGTATGCAACCAAGCGTCGTCGCAGAAATACAAAAAAGTAAGTTAAACACGAAACAAAATAGCATACACGAGATCAATTGTGTATTACATGCAATTGAGCTTGTCTCTGAAAAAAAAACAAACTCGAATAAATCAAATATTAACTCATACCGGAAATCTTTCCGAGAGTTCTCGGGCCATCTTTTTTTGTTTATTTCAAATAGAGGAAGATCATTGTCACAATTTACTTTCTTTTAGTTACAAAAGCCCATTGAAAGAAAATCAAAAGACCAATCCGAGTAAACGTCACCGCGAACGTTTAAATGGCGAATTGGAGAATCTAGCTTCGCTCTTACCATTCGAACAATCCATCTTAACAAAACTTGATAAACTATCCATCTTACGATTGGCCGTTAGTTATTTACGCGTGAAATCCTATTTCCAAGGTAAGATTATTCGTGAGAAAAGAAACAATGTTGATAAGTCGAAGTTTGAATAACATATTCATTCATCGAACATTTCACGCTGGATGACTTGCTAATCACGAGAGAAATGACGTAAATAAAACTCGTCGTTTATCCCCAGAGGCTAAAGAAGAAGAAAAAGTAACTCTGTTAATTGAGTGTGAGAGATTTTTTCTTCAACTTTGTTTATGATGATGGTGAAGATCAAAAAACAAAACGACGAGAAAAAGTATCTATTTGTCTTCAATTTGATTTGATGTGTGAGTAATGACAATGTTTGTATTTGCAAGATTGACTGTCTAACTGACTTGATTTTATCGTTAGTGATCATCTCGCGTGTCAGAAGATGAAGAAAAGAATCAAGCGGGCTTAGTCTGAGAATAGTCAAGATCAATTAAGGGTGGAGATTTGAAAAAGATAATTATTTCTATTTTTCTAGCCACGTTCAAAAATCGACAACATTTACAAAGTCAACAGCAACAATATGAAGCAACGACATCATCGACTAGTTCATCGACATCGTTAGGACTTTGTCAAGAGATTTATTATCATGATCCGACATTCAGTGAAGGAGAATCGATTTTAGAAGTAAGAGAAAAACAAACATACCGGGAAATATCAATATCCGTATTTTTTCTATTTCGATAGGCTTTACAAGGTTTTGTTGTTATTGTTAGTTGTGATGGTGAATTATTCTTCGCTTCAAGAACTGTGGAACAATATCTTGGATTCCATCAAGTAAATCTCATTTTATCAACCTTTCTCCTCTCCCTTGATGATTATTAGATCATCAATTAAAAAAATTAGATGAACAGTTTGTTCGAAACACGCTATGATTTATCTCTATAGAATCAATCTCTTCTGCTCTATGTCAAATTTAATGAAATTATTTTCTCTATTGTAGTCTGATATACTTCATCAAAGCGCGTACGAATTGATTCATTCCGAAGATCGAGATGAATTCAAACGACATTTACAATGGAATGAAAAACTCACGAATGAACATCAGAATCTTTCATTGGAACAAATTTTAACCAATTCAGGTTTGTATTCAACTCACTATCAAATACAAACAAAAGACTATTCTCTTTTAGAACACAATCCTTTGTTAGAAAGGACATTCACCGTACGATTTCGCTGTTTACTCGATAACACATCAGGATTTGTCGTAAGTAACTGAGAAGAATACCCGTCAGTGAAAAAAAATTGTCGTCACTCTCTAGACATTGGAAATCGATGGACGAATCGGAATCTTATATGGTCAAAAGCCATCACATACATTGGAGGATCATCGATCATTAGCATTATTTGGCATCGCATGTCCATTTGGACCGCCTTCGTTATTTGAAATACCTCAACGCGAAAGTTTATTCAAATCTAAATATCGTTTAACATTAGAACCTGTTTCACTTGATCCAAGGTACAACGTAGTTCCTTCTTTTCATATGAATTTCTCATGTTGATTATCTTCTAGAGGAAAATTAATTCTCAATTATTCCGATCATGACTTAACTCAGATTGGTAGTGGATATAATTGGATTCATTCGGATGATTTGAAATACTATTCAACCGCTCACAGAGAATGTAAGATCGTGAGAAAAAATTTGAAATGAACAATATCGACATTGTTTGCTTTTCTCGTAGTAATAAAAACCGGTACATCAGGTTTGGTTTGCTATCGTGTGCAAACGAAAGATGGTCGATGGCAATGGTTGCAATCATCCATGCGGATTATCTACAAGAGTAATAAGCCAGATTTTGTCATCGCCAATCATCGGCCATTAACGTAAGAGTCGAAGAAGAAAATTTTTTTTAAATTCCGGAAGAGTAGGAGAAAGCTTCCGCTCGGACTCGATACAAAAGAAATGGGCGGTGTAGAGAAAGGAAGAGAGAGAGCGAGACACACACACACACACATGGCTTTTATCATCGAAGAACATAGTGTCCATCTGCTTTTTGTTTTCTAGAGATGATGAAGGTGAAGAATTGTTTTACAAACGTGGAACTGAATTTAAATTACCTTATCCATGTTTATACGATTTCGATACCAATTTCAATTCGAATGTCAACGATGATGAAAACTATTCATTGAAACATCATTCAGCAGCAGTCAAAAATTCCACTACGAATTTATCCTTGTCACTATCGAATTCATCACGTCCAGCAAAGAAAATTGCCAAGACGGCGATCAAACCTCAAACGATCAATCCATTTACATCGAATTCTTCATCAGCATCATCATCATCATTCGATCCATACTACAACTCTTATCCATCAGCTTACGTCTCTCCATATCCAAATGATGTCACAACCGCGAGTTTCATCGAAGCAGCAACAACCAACTACACAAACAATGCCACCAATTCGAATGACTTATTATTAGCCAATGAAACGAATCCATACAGTGGAACATATTCGAATTACTATGCAGCTGCATTGCAACAACAATATCAGAATAGTCTAACACCATATCATGCTGTGTACTATCAAGACACGAATAATCGTTATTATGCGAACCATCGAACATCACCGAATACTCTCGCTGATCAGACTTATCATCAACATCATCATCAACCTCAAGCAACACATGAAAACTATCTGATCGATACAAATAATAGCAACAATCCATATTCGTATTATTTATACAACAAAGCTCCTGCAATGACACATCATGGACACGATTCCAATAATAATCTTTCTCTCTTCGATGTTTCACTGCCAACATCTATTCATCATTCTGTTATAAAACATTCGACTAAAAGATAGTCGAAATCAATTTCCGTTTTTTGTTCTTTGTCATTTTCCTCATTTATGTATGTCTATGTGTGTTTCAATGATCTAATATACATTCACCTTTCAACCACTCAACCGTACATAGATTTTAATCTGATTATCAAATAATAGTGATGATGTTTTGTTCGTCCCAGCTGCTCAGCTAATTCACGTCTTTTGCTTTTCGTTTTGTTTTTCACCTGCATAACACACATGATGAGCATGGGCGAGAGACAGCTGCTTGACATGCCGCGCTTATCATTTTCTTTTCTCTTGATGAACGATCGATCGGTGAACAATTACACTTCAGACTAAGCTGTCAATCATAGATTCTGGTCAACTTCAAGTCAACTTTACCTTACTTGTTTTTCGATAGGTTTTTAATAATGCCAGACGTTCTAATTGGTAAAATACGTCAATCGCGTGTTCAATTCTAATCATAAGAGACAAACTAGAACAATGACAGATTGTCAAAGTAAAACTCTCTCTTTCTTTCTTTCTCGTTGAATAAATCGAATGTGCGTGATGAATAGATGTAATATACCTTGGGAATCAGATGATGTTCACTTTCTTTTTCTCTCATTTCAACCTCCTGCTGTCTATTGACACTCGAATTGTGTGACGTAATTATGACTCGATCGTGGGTGTTGCCATTAATTTATCTCTCGCACCCAACTGAATGACTTACTCACTTGGGCGGGATCGGCAGACATGTGAATGTGTAAAAAGATTTTCCATTTACACGGATTGATATTGCAGGAGAGGACGAGAAAAATGATGAATTTAACTGAAATTTGCTCGGACATGCGAAAGATCCATCTGGTAAGTTGATATGTGAACATGTGTGGATTGAATTTGCGTTTGAAATCGATGTTCAGCGATTGAATTCAGTTCGCCGATGAGGTGTCATCGATTAATAACACATAAAAATTCAAATTACTTTTGGTGATCAGTGCATTGTTGTTGTTAGCACATTTATTGAACTCACCGAGAAAGATTTCGATGGCAAATGTTTGAACTCAATTCTGACCGATTGCATTGCCCACGGCGAAAGGACGTCTGCTAATCGGGTTGGATATTTTGCTTTTATCAATGCTTGTTTGAGGACACGTAATGTTTCTTTATTCTTTTTTTTTTGTTTCAACGTGCGTGTTGTTCAACCGATTAAATGATGGTTGAATTCTAGTAGTCATTGATAAGCGTATTATTGCGGTTCATTAGAGCAAATATGTAGATATATATTTATGTGGTCAGCAGGTGATCTGTACCTGGATGTTTGGTGAATGAACAATGTTAAAGATCGAATAGAGATGATAAAAGCGTATATAGGTAGAGCAGATGTGACGCTCGTCGGAGATGAATGGACAATATGCTAATAGGTTTTGTTTTATGTAATTTCCTCGGAAACAAATTCGAAATCATCGAAAATGAATGCTTTGTAATTGATCGATAGATGTTCTGTGAACATCATGATGGATTAAGATGAGGAAAAATTCATTTGTTCGCCTATCTCTAGAGTAAATCGGCTTCGATCGATTCGAAGAGATGCAATATTTCGACAATGATCGACGAGTTTCAAAGGCGAACTATTTAATTATCTTTTCTTTTTTCTTAATCATCGTTCGATTCGTGTCAGAAGGATGAATATGAACACAATTCAGTTCGATTAATAATTAATATTTACACGATTACGATCTAATCTCACTTCACCATCGATAATTGTAGAGTAAATATGTATGTGTGTGAAGAGAAGTCATGTTTGACTTGCCGATGATTTCTTTTGACAAATGATTGACTCTCGTTTGAGTCAAATACGATAGAAAGAAGACAAACTTGCATCTAATATGCCAAACATTAAATCAGCAAGGTTCTTTTCTCCAGATAAACTCCTCTGACACATCTGAGCATCTCAAGTGTAAATTATGTGTGCGTCTGCCGGTATTCAGAGCATTCCTATAAATAAATGTAATCTTCTTAAAGACACGATGATGTGCCTGGTGTTGATCACGCATGTTTTCTTTGTAAAACTATATGAGTTGAGGCAGTTTCACAAGCTCCGACATTGTCTTGAGTAATTTGAATATTACTTGTCAACGCAAAGTTTAATTAATTGAAAAGCTTGATATTGTTGCTTAGAAATCCTTGCGTTTGAATTCTTTTAGAAGAAAATGAGATGAACTTGCCTTTTCTGAGCTGTTTTATAATGAAATAAAAAAAAAAGAAGGAAAATTCGGTCATTCTCATATGAAAAATAACGATCAATGATAATTGAAAAAAAAACGCAAAGAACCATCTACATCACAATGTATGATTTCTGTCATTTTGTTTGATGCTCTGTTCGTTGAAACACCGAGATGTAGCAAAATATGAGGCATCGACGTTGAAAATGTTAATAACAAGTTTTCTTATAGCACATTTGTGAACAACATTCCGCATTATTCGAACACCATGTACCAGGACAATAACAACCGAAACCGACCCCAATGAACGGACTTATCTTGGGATCACATTGAAAATGTGTCCAAACCATGCCGGGCATTGATGAGGCGCTGCCTTGTTGCTGATTAGAATGGAATCTGGCCGCTTTGTCGAGTTTTTTGTGAAAGAATAAAATCGCGCCATCACTGGAGACTGGCAATCGACAAAGTAAAAGGAGTAAAACAAATAGGAACAAGAAGTTTTTCGTGTCGAGTAACAATCTAAGAAGAAATATGTCTGTTAACATTGGCAACCTGTAATAACGATGACTAGTGAGTGACAATGATTTGTTGGCGACACGTAAGAAGAAAAGAGCAGAGAGAAAAAGAAGAAGAAAAGAAGAAGTTCCAAATAGAACATAATACAAAAAGAAAACGAGGAAATGGAAAAGAATGGATGTTTAGAGGAATTCCAACTGATGAGTTTGATTTGTTGTTTATCCATTAAGTCAATTGCTGATCTTCTCTCGTTACGAGACGATGTTGAAATATCTCGTCTTCGATTTTCAATTGTACTGGTGATTTATTTATTCCTTTCGTCAATGATTCAATCAATCGGATTCTGATCTCTTTTCTTTCTATTAAAGAATCTGTATATAAATCAGAAAAAAATTCCACCGAACAAGGGAAGACAAAAAAAGGAATGAAACAGAGAGAGAGAGAAAGAAATACTTGGTTGAATTAGTTTCTCCCGTATATGTTCGACATTGATGTGTGCCGCAATTTCTTCCGTTCCGTTCGTTTATTTGCATGCAACTTTGACAAACCTTTTATATACGCGTTCTTCGATTACAATTCTTCTTTTATTGTATTACAGCATTCGATGATGATTTCATCAAGAAGAAACAATCCGAATCCAACTCGTCTTCCTGCTATCTTGCCTAACTTAGGTTTGTGAATATTAAGCGAGATTTTCTAATGAAACTAATTTCACTTAGTGTAGCTCGTGCGGAAGGCTTTTTCTTTTTCTGCTTGTATTAAACAGATAAATGAACTAATTAGAAAAGGAATTCTCGGTTAAATACGATGCAAAATTTTACAATAAAAATGCAGTTATCTGATATCTTTGTTACCTAGGTGATATGTCGCATCGACAACAGCAAAATGCATCTCACCGTCCGCTCTCAGCAACGAGTACTCAATCCATTGACAATGCGTATTCGTTAGAACATTTGTTTACGGCACTGCACCGTCGAATTCAACGAATCAGTCAAAACTACAACGCAGTTGTATTCCATGATGCATTGAAAGTCTGTACACGTGTATTTCAGTCTTATGCCAGTTATAATCTTAACACGATCGATGAGTTTACTCGTCATCTGTGTAGAAATGTTCGGGATAACAAAAAAGTACTATCTGTTATCGAACTATTTCATCAACAGATCTCGGAACTTCGTCATTGTCACTCGACATTCGAAGCGGAGTTGTTAGTTACCACACTGGTCATCGATTTTCATGAAAATGACCTTGAACAACAGCCTGTTCTACCCATGGCTCACGGCAAATTTTCTCCGCGAAGTCGTCTATCGAAAGTTCGTCATAAACACATTCGGCAAGCTATGGATTTCAAATCACAATTACGGCAAACGAATGAACACTTACAAATTTTACTCTACGATGAATTCAATGCTAACTTGTCGGATCTGTGGGAAGAGAGTGAAAAAGCGATTCAACTATCAGTACCATTTCATGATCATCATATGACTTATATTCTTCGATTAATCCCAGACACGATCGCGAAATTTGAATATGCTTTGCAAATATGTACGAAATTATTTGAATTGGAAACATTGATGTCGGAAAGTTATCCTCAAACGAATCGAAATAATAAAAATCCCTCGGAGCCAACGCCTGTACCAACAATTAATCTCACTCCTCGATCAGATTATAATCCAATACAGAACATACCCCAGCAGAAAGTGAAAACAAGTCGAGAAACTCAAACTATGCCGCTGCAAGTGGTGCCAGCGCCACCAATAACAAAAGTATCCACATCTACTATGATAAATCTTCAGTAAGTCTTTGTATGTGAATCTGCTTTGTTTCGATACTCTACTTTAGATCTTCACAACAGCAAGATGAGCCATTGGATCATCACGAAGAAATTCCTAGTTTTCCTTCGGCTGATTACAAAAATGATCAACTTAAACTTCAAATTCTTCTCGAACAACTTAACAAACGTCTATCGAACGAAGAATCAATCCGGCAACGACTTTCGAACTGTATTCAACAAACGACGAAGAAATACGATCAATTAAATCAATACTCTCAACCGAATATGTTAACATTGATTATGTCCGACAATCCCGCCGCTATCGAATATCAAAAAGCACTGTGTTCAAGCGATTGTAAGATTTACAAAAGTATCGAAGATGAACTAAACATTGCATTGAAAGAAACACAACATCGAATCGATTGGATCGAAACGATTCGCCAACGAGTTCATCTCTGCCTTGGTCAACAATAAGAAAAACTGTGAACAATAACCCAGCTGATGGGAATCTTCTTGCAAAATAAAAACATTTGTTTTCTTTCTTTTCTCAGAACAAAAAATTCTTCTTGACAATGAATAAATGAGCTTATTTTCTATCAATTTCGAAAAAATTACTACTGCTTCATCAATTCCTAACATCAAGAGTATATTTCCGACTATAATGAACTCTTGTGAAATGACAGATATATTCATGAGATGCAATAAACGTTATTTTTTCATCAACAAGATGTACTTAACCAATACGTATGTCATCTTACCAGCAGTCGGTCAAAGCTCAGATGGAATAATTATTCTTATCGGAGTTTGTTGAAGAAAATACCTTTTTCATTATCCTTTCCTTTGCTTTAACTGATGAGTTGTAGACAGTATAGCATCAATTGATGAGAATATTGTTTATATGAAGATATATACAGATTGAAGATTGTTTTCAAAGGAAAATATCAACATTCCATGTGTCAGATACACTTGGAATACATTTGACATTTAGTAAATCGTGTGTTGAGAATCCTCACTTGGATTTTCTCGATATGAAAGCTTTGTTTTTCTCATTGCTGTATTTAGATTTTGAAAGATAGTAACAACATATAACACAAAATGTTGAGATATATGCAAAGTGTTCATAGAGTATTCTGTAGAGCTATGGAACGTGTTGCTCCTTTCGGATGGCGTTGCTTGGACATGAATCTTACCAGTTCATGACGAAATTTCATTCCACACAAAGAATAAAGAAGAAAATTGATCGAATATGACGCATAGGAAATATACTGAGTAATAACAACAAGTACATAAAAGGATTCCATTCGCTTTAAATGATTGGTCATTTCGTTTTCGTAGGAAATCAGTTTAGCTTGGAAAAGAAAGTCGCGATTATCAAAAGATGTTTTATTCTGCTGTTGGACGATTTGATTTAGCTGGTGACCAGATATTTCCCTTTCATCATTGATGGCGATTGATGGTTTATATAAATGAACTTTTAAACCAATTGCACAAACGTGAAACGGAGCGTTAAGCACAAGAAAACACGTTGATACGAGGATGAGCATACGTGTAACTCGATATGATTGACTTTTTGTATGGACAATCGATGGACGTTGTAAGAGATCGAGTGAGCGGGTGCGTCCTTTGATTAAAAGTTGTCCTTCCTGTGTTTGCTTTTGAACAACTGAATCCTAAAGAGTAGAAAATTGACATTTTTCTATGATAAACTCTAAATGAAAATTTCTATGAATATCCGTTCGTGCTTGTCATCATCAATGCAATTCGGCGAACAACAATCGACAAATACATGATGTCAAAACATCTTTAGCATGCAAAATAGAATACTCATACGAAGTGTTTACGATGTCTGCACAATATTTTTCTAATCTCATGATTTGTAGCGTATAATTTGACGACTACATCTTTCTATTCTGACGTTATCTAAAATATCACCCGAGATTTATGTTTATATTTCGCCTCACCTGGATTGAGCTATGTGGACTTCTTTGGGAGTTGATTAATCTACTATTTTCAAACTCTACGATTAACTATTATTCGCGAAAGCCTGTTTCTCTGTTTAATATATGAATAGATGGAAGTTTTCTTTTCTATTGATGAAATCTCATCAATAATTCCATCGCGAGAGACTTGATTTCTGTGCTTGTTTATAAATTAACGCTCCATTGAGAAATCTCTTAAGGGTTAGGAAGAAAAAGAGTGCTTTTTTTTGCACTGGAAGCTAGTCTCACCTTGGCATTTTTAATGAGAATGTTTTCATAAAACTTCGGTCGAAAGTGTTTCTTCAATTTCATTTCGTACGAAATCGAATTTTTCACTGGAAAATTCACCGGCATTATATCGGCATGTACCGAACGTTTAGTAAAACGGACTTGTTGGTTATTCTGAAATCCTTTCTTCAAATGAATAATAGTCAAAATATTCAATACGATGATAATCGTGAATGGAATGAGAAATGACGATAAAGTATCCGAGAGAAACCAAGCCAACGGCAATTCTTCATGGCAGTCTTCATATTCATTATTTTTCACGAGAAATATACAATAAACAACGCCGAAGATGATCGATAAAGACACAACTAAGTAATGAATTAGATGAATTTTCTTTTCGATGAAGACACTTAAGGGAAACCGGACAGCGATGAAGCGTTGAGCTGTAAATTGAGCTGTGAAACAGGCAGAAAGTAATTCGGCTAGATGTGAAAGAAAAGATAATAAACGACATAGTTGTTCATTCCTCGACTGAGTTAAATCGGTGATGGAACGAGAAACCAACATTAAATTGAAAAGAAGATCGGTAAGTGCTGAAAGAAACACGACATTCTTCAGTCATTTACAAAGAAAACTACGCACTTACCCAGAGCAATCAGAGTACAATTGTTAAAATTCTTCGAAATCGATCGTTTTGAGAGCAAAATGATCGTGAGAAAGTTTCCACAAATACCAATCGCCGAAATAATGATAACGTATGGGAAAGAAAGTCGCAGCAATGTACTGAGCACATTGCGCATAGTGCTTGGCTCACCCGAAGTTTCATTTGACATGATTGAAGCACTTAACTGAAAAAAGAGTAAGAAGATCTGAGAGACTATTCAAGATACATCATCTGAAAAAGACAGAAGTGAGAGAAACTTAATGGTGCTCAACAGAGAATGAGTGTTTTGCTTCTTTTTATCACGTAAGAAGCCAGCCGGGATCCGATTGCTTTGTTTTCGACATGTATTTCTATCAGTGAACGGCGACGGAAAGAACAGAGAACGAGCAAAAGGAAAACCGAGAGAAATGAGGACAAAACATTCAAGTGGATCTGTTGTAGACGGTCTTCTATCAAGTGAGAAAAAAACGAATGTAATTGCTCTACCAGGTACAGGATTTCAAAAGAGTTATTATAGAAATTATTAGTTATTAAAAGAGCAAATATGCATCATGAGGTGAGGAACAAACCCAACGAAGTGTTTTCAAAGAAAATCAAGAGAAGTATTTGCAAGGAAATTAGACAAGTAGAAAAAATGCTGCAGAAAAAAATACGGAATTTTTAATAACAAGGATTTTCATCGTGCAGATGTCTAAGGATCATGTTCTCATGATGATGACTATTCACGAACAACAAAGATCATTTTCGATCATCGATCGAAATGCATTTCGTTCTCCTAAAGTTCTTTCTAATGGGTTTTGTATCTTCGTTGAAGCATGTGATTAAAAAACACCATTTACTTGATGAAAATAGGCGAAATGTCCCCGGAAAACGTTAGTGATGAGCTCATTGCTCAACTATGCACTTATAAAACAGAAGAAGGTGTCTGTACTTTTGAAAAACACCAGGTACTTCGATGAAGAAAACAACGGCGTCGAACGAAATGATTAACTTTCGACTAAAGACGATGTAAACATATGTAATAAGAGCGAGATTATTTGTATATGGTGTATAATCGACGAGTGACTACCGGAAAACGATAGAGATATTTGCTCGAGCGTGGAAAAAATTGTTTCTTTCTCATGTTAGACAGCATTTTCTGCAGTAAATCAAGTCATCGGGTGAGTCCCTAATGGTAGGAGTCAAACAAGATTGGATTTTCTCTAAATCAATAAACAAATCCGTTCATTAATAAATCCACTCTTATAGATTGATCTTTCTACTCAACAAACTTTTTTCCCGTACCTGTAAAACGACTTACGTCGAACGTACTCTCATTACATCATCGATCACACTTGTAAAAGTAAATTACAGAGTAGATAGATACTAACCTCAAGATGTATCTTTCAAAATGTAGGCAATTTTCTCAGGAATACTCTAAACTAAATGCATCACATATACATATGATTAATGATTACTTCGACTGTTTTGAACAGCTTTCATAAATTATGCATCGATGACATCAAACATACTGGCTTGTAATCTCAGTCGGCGACCTTTTCCATCTATTGTTTGCAACTATTTCCTGTTAACAGACTTTCGGCTTCTCCTCAACATCATGTGTGTCGTCTAAAAATTTCAGTTCTTGAAGAATTTCCTTCCAGCTCGAGAACTCTTTCGACATTCATTTGAGAACTAATAGATGCTCTCTCGTTTTTTTAATTATGCTATTTAACGAGCACGGAAGACATTACTTAGGTTCGACATACTTAAAATACACGATATCACACTTTTCTACGTCAAAACGATTCACGGTTGATAGAACAAAAACAATCACAGACATTTTTTCATTATGCTAATGTATTGTTTATACGGATTCTGATAAAGAAAATTGTCCTACCTCGAAATTCTCTTACTCATATAAACAATTTAGCTTCAAAACACCCGTTTCATTATCGAATAAGACTTCAACTACTTGATGTCGATAAACACAACAAAAGCACTTACATGAAAGGGGTTCTACCGCTTGTAATCCAATCTAATGAGAAAGCACGTCTCGCGATTATGTAAATAATCAATCGATTTGTGGTTAAAAAACAAAAATGAGCTTGTTTACCAACGTCTATATGTGATGAAAGGAAATGAAAACATTCCCGCCCGGAATTTCTCTCCGAGAAAATCAGTTGATCAACTGATGATGTGGCAAATGGAACCTCGTTCCGACGATGTTTCAGTAGCGATCGAATTAACCCCTTTTGATTGCATAAAGTCAATATTTGTTATGCAATTTGAAGTTTTCGATGTTTAAATTAAATTTGATATGAGGAGACCTTTTCAATTATCAGCAAACTATTGTTTGATTCGAAACTATTGTCTCTTTTCACGCAAATAAAGCAACATCAAAGTTCAAAGCGTTCTTCTCTTCTTCTTCTTCTTTTTTTTTGTCTCAATGAAATGAAAGGACGAGAGAAATTGCTTCCCTTATTTGTTAAAACATCAAACACATTTTCGATCATTCACGTTCGAAACATCAGCCGAAGAAAATCACTTTCAATTAGTTCTAATGTTATTTTCGTTGATAAAGTTCCTTTTAGTCAGCTCGTTAACTCAATCAACGCCAATCGAACAATCAGTCCGATTGATGACATACAATGTCATGCGCGGACGGTACAACTGTTATGAAAATCAATTAAAATCAAACGAAGACTTTTGTCGAGCCAATCCAACAAGATCTTTCGCTATTCGCGCTGATTTTGTTCGTACGAATTTAGCTAACATTGCTCAACACATTCGCCAATACGAACCTGATATCCTTGCCATCCAGGAAGTTCAAGAATCACCATCTTCGGTACCGAATGAACGGGAAGTGTCCACCGCATCTTTTCTCGCTCAACAACTCGATATGACATTCACATTTAGTCCCACTTTATTCGATAACGAAGTTCAAATGCAATACGGAATAGCGATACTGCTAAATCATCGCAAATTCATCATTCTCTCTGTGGAAATTCTTTCATTACCGCTCGGTCTCGAGCCACGAAATGCTCTTTGCTTGACTATTCAATCTCGACAGCCGAACATAACAATGCGCACATGTTCAATTCATTTGGATCATCATGAAACTGACAATACTATTCGTTTACAGCAAGCAAACACGATACTCAATTGGTTAAAGAAAGGTTCATACTATCCCACGGTACTGTTAGGTGATTTCAATGCTAATCGAACATCACAAACATTAAGGAATTTATATGAATATTTCTTCGATGATCAATCAATCGATGGTTCTCGACCGACATGGTCTGACTGTGGTCAAGAATTGAAGGACAAAATCGATTATATTCTCCTTGATCGACGATCACAGTGGATTATTGAAGAATTCTTACATGGACTGAGAATGAAGAAATTATATTCATCTATTGATCTGACAATGCTTTCTGATCATGTGCCTTTGTTTGCCAGAACGACTCTACGTGTAAATTCTCAATGAATATCTTTGAAATAGCAGATCAAAGACTGTTTTTTATCAATGGTTTATATACATGTCAACATAAAAGTATTTGATAATAAAAAGCTTGTAGTTCGAAATCCTTTTTTATGAAGATTTGTCATCAATCCTGTGTGAGGCATTATTCTTTAGATGTTCGTCATAATAAAACAATATGAGATTAGTTTGGGGTTGAGATCTTTCTTAGCAAGAACATTGCAGCTTATAAGTGCTATTCCGCAGAGTCTGCTAAGTATATTTGAGCACGACAAATACGTTCCAGGGATTTATGACGAGTGAGACTTGCTGGAGTGTTTTGGCCTGAATACATATCTTCAACTCCTACGCGTTCGTTTCGATCGAGGGCGTGTTATTAGTGCAGGGTAAGTCAAAGGAAAAAAGGCAGAAACACGTCGATTTCTCTTCTTGTCAAGAAAAAAAAAATGCGACGCGCAGAAGAGAACGGAAGAACAAAGAGAAGGTATACTCTGTCCTTGTTTTGTACGCGTGTTTTTCTCGTACACTTTCTTCACTTTTTCTTTCTCACTTAGAGAAGCTCGACACTACTGCTGTTGCTGCTATCGTTGTTGACGGCAGGACGACTACTTCTGCTAGAAAAACAACGACAGACGTAACAGTAATCAAAATACTCGTAACAAATGCTTTATGTAACTATCCGTATTCCATCACTTCGCTTTGTTCGAGTACGCATGTCATGTCAGTTTTCTTTCGAAGGAAAAAGGGTGCACCCATGCACATAGCTCGCTTCTTCTTCCGTTCAATAGGTTCTACGAAAATATTTCGTACGATGTTCTTTTGTCAAACGATGAAGAAAATATTTACAGGTATGTCATAGTTTCAATAAAAAAAAAAACGCGTTCGAATCGGACTTTTACGCGGCGTAATCATTGATTGGCTGTCAATGACAGTTGTTTTTGTTTTTCGTGTTTGCTATCTACCTGAGGTAATCGATGACTTAGTCAGCTTGCTGAGTGTTTGAAATGAAATCTTCAAAATGATTAATTCAGTTCAAACATCGACTTGATAACGTCGAAAAGAAAGAATGACATTATTCAGATAAAGAACACGATATATTTGTTGAGTTAGGGTTTTTTTTTCATCTTATTTATGCCACCACCTCCACATTGTCACGATATTTACTATTTGTTCCTCTTTGTATATAACCTACTCAATTTTTTTTCTTTCGACTCTTATCTGTACAGCCTGAAAAGTACAAATTGACTCATTCGATCGTTCGAAAACACAACGACAGCGAATTTGTGTTTCTTTTTTTTTTTTTTATTCCTCTTCGCAATAATCATGCACGTCAATCCTGCCATGTCAGAAACATTTTGTTTTTTCTTCATGCAACCGACGGCAAGTTTTTCTTGGAGGTAATTTATCGCCTTGTAATGGCTAATACGCCTCCGAATCAAATTGCCTTAGGTCTACGTTTTGACATATTCCTTTCTGGTTTAGAAAAGTCTTTCTTCCTCTTCATTTTCTACTTCTCCTACGCGATTAACAATTAACTATTGAATATCAGTCTGGTTACCTTTCTCCCTGTCGCGGAATGCGCGCACACGAGAGAAGCATATGCATGCGATTTGATTATTATTATTGTTGTTGTTGTTTTCGCTCGTTCTATTATGATCGATATCGAGCCGACATGTGGATATTAATGTTAGCGTTTGAAGGTTCTTTATTAGGCGACACATGGACGATTTCAAATATACATATTTGATTAAATTTATTATTTTTTTATTATTTTCCCGTCAGTTGATGATGAAAAAGATAGTTCTATTTACTATAACTGACGTCAGCATCGATGATAAGAATCCTTCGCGAAAAAGATGGAGATATAGATGTAAATCAAGTTAGTTCGAAACCTAGCGAGTGGGCAACTTATAGATTCTGTTTTCTCATTGAAATCTTTGTGAAATTTCATAGATAGAAGATCAGGTTCACTACATACAGATTCGTTCGTGAAATTGGATCGGGATCACATGCTCAGCAAATAACATCACTTTTTTCTTCTCTTCTATTTCCTAATAAAATCATGAACGAAACGAGTCAACCGGAAATGAAAATGTCAGAGAATAAGAGTGAAATATAATCAAATAATATAGAACAATTCCGACATTTGCTCAAGTGTCATCAGAGACTTTTGCCTAATGTTATGTCACATTTTCCGTACGACAAGTTCGTCTCCGCATGTTTTCTTACTTGTTCATCTATTTAATTGTCACTAAGACTTCATTTTTGGGTCTTTGTGCTTTTAACATTTCATTTGTCAAATTGGTAAGTTCTAATGCGTGATAATAGCCTTAAGTTTATACTTCTTCGCAGACGTGGTCTATACGACACTTGATACCTACTTTCAAGTGAAGAATAAAGTGCTCATAGTTTCGTAGACATGCCTATTTTCATAATTTGAATGAAACGGAAGTTGTTCAAGTAATATCCACCCCTCGATGACAGAGAATAAACTGGAACAAAGAGGAAAGAGATCTGGTATTCATTATTGATGATTTTACCAAGCAAATGTTCTTCCATTTGTTGATATGATTTACTAAAAATAGAACTTTTCGCTCGTAAATATGTGTTTGACTTCTTTTTGTTTATTCATTCGTTCGCCCACCCCCAACTATCATCATTTGACTAGCAGTTGTTATTCCTTAGTTTCTCCGTTTATTTTCTTCTTCATCATCATCTTAGCACACATGCATTTCTCATCCTTCGTCAAAAAAAAGAGCGGATGCTATCAGTGTTTGTGTTTTGTAGAGGGAAACCTTCCTCTCGTTTTTTTTTCTCCTCTTTTTTCTTCTTCTTCTGATATGTATACACGCGCGATATTTTTTCTTCTTCGAAGATAGATAGATAGAAAGAAAGAAAGAAAAAGAAAAACCCACGAAACAAAATAATGATTAGACGAGCACGCGAACATTAAATACAAATAAGCGACATAAATATCCCGATTAAGTACACACGTCAACAGGCTTTGATGAAAGAAAAAAAACTTTCATTTTAGATTAGACTTCGTTATTGAATGTTCACAAATGATGGAAATCTAACACATCGTCCATACGACTATGTGCATTCTGACCGTATCGACAACGTCTAAAAACTTCTCATCAACACGTTCGTTTGAAACACCTTCAATGCATTCTCCAAGAGACAATTTATCAATTGATGATCAACAAGATTTGTCATCGGATGCTGATAATATTAAACCCAATGTTCGAACCAATACTCCTTCAAGTACAACTGGAAATCGTTCCGATGCTGATTCACCTTTTCGTAGTTATGCTTTGATCGAAACTGATCCGAACGAACTCGATCGTATTATCGACGTTCTTCGACAATTTTTTCCAAATACACGTATCGTCGAGTGTAATAACTCGTCATCAACTCCAAGTCGAACACCAAGTCGATCGTCCTCATTAGCCGCACCTCAACAACAAGCATCCATTGAATCAAATAGTAGTCTACGTGTTCCAACATCCACAGCTAATCGCTATCGTTCGCATAGTCAAAGCATATCGGAGAAATCTTCGTTTGAAAGTGATCATTTACAAATTCCAACCATCGTCAGTACAGATACAAATGATTCATCAACATTCAACGCAAATTCTCAAGTAAGACGAATTCGATTGCAATCGATTCCGACAATAGATCTTTCTTCTCTTCAGTTATTCAAAGGTAAAGTCAAAGATTATCTACAACGACGTTATCTAGAACAAATTAATGAACATCAAACACGAAAGGATACATTTATGAAATGTCGTAGCGACGATTTGAACTATCGTCGTCTGAAACGCGATTCACCCGCTGAACTTGTTCAAAGTTTCGAACACATATCGAAACCCGAACATCATCTTTACACTCACACAGGTCTGAACTCATCGGCAATGTCAACAACAATCAAAGCACATTCATTCGATTCTTCAGCAATGTTACTTCAACACTCCGTTTCGGATACGAATCTATGCTATGCATCAAGTGCAACTGATACAAGCTTTCCTGCCTCACAAAACGGAACGATTGTTCGATCACAGAGTAAACGTCGTTTATTACAACGCGGTGCAACTATCGACATGGAAGATTCGCCCGCACTGAATGTCGAAGACGAACAAATGACCTCACCGCCCACATCCCCAATTACAAATGAAAAAAGTGAAGCAGGAAAGATTACATTCAGCATTGAACATCCCGAAGACGATAATAACAACAATAACAGTAATAATGGTGATGATAATAACACTTCTAATGAGCATGAAAGTACCCAAAGAAAATCTCTTACGATTCCTACTCCTGTTCATCATCCAAGAAAATCTCGTCCATTTCGACATTCATATTCCGATCAGCAAACAACCGATGATCAGAACGCAAACAGTCCCAATGCAAATTTTCTTGTTCCGTATCGACATTCGTTCGATCATCAACACAATCGACGAATGATGCCTACGACAGCAATAACACCTTTGCCATTCAATAGTGGAATGTCAACGCCACTTGCACCTCATTCAGCAGTCAGCGACCCAGGTCCATATCATACCTTATGGTCCCATACACCACCGAATGCTTACGGTTTAGCAAATTTTCATTTTCCGAAAAGTCAGGACCATCTTGTCACCAGTGCACAAGGAAGTATTGCACAATTATCGACATTAACAAAGATTTTATGCAACGAACCAAGCGTTTTCACTCCTATAACTCCACGGTAAACCGAAAATGATCAGTTCAATCAAAGATCTCGTTCGTTTTTCATCATCCTAGATTTAAAGCTGAATCACAAGAACCCAATAGTATGAACACAGTGCCACAATGTCAGATTTGTCGTCAACAATTCGATTCTCGACAAACGTAAGATTACTTTCCCTTCGAACAACTTCGCATTCCTTCGTTTCCTCTAGATACTTAGCTCATTATCGTACACATCTGGAAAATTCGAATGAAGACGACAAATTAGGTCTATTCGATTACAATAATGCCGACAACAATTCTGAACGTTCAGGTGAATCGCGTAATTACTCATGTAAAATATGTTTAAAACGTTTCTCTCGGTAAGTTTTCCATTGTCAAATAAATCCTCTCACCAATCGACTCTTTCGTAGGAGTGATATGTTAAACCGACATTTACGTTTACATTCTGGTATACGTCCATATCGCTGTGCAATGTGTAACACACATTTCTCACGTAGTGATCATCTTTCTACACACTTACGGACACATACGGGTGAGAAACCTTACACCTGTCCTGAATGCTCGTACGCTGCTTGCCGACGGGATATGATTACTCGACATTTGAAAGTACATTCAAAACAACGATCAGAAAGAAAAAATGCCACATCAAGTCTGGGTTCAAGTAATGAATCTTAATGACAAAGACTACAGGAGAAAACAAAAAGAAGAACTATCGCTTGTTGTTCTCGTTGAATTGAACAGTTGATTAATATTTTCCTTTCTAGTCATTTCTTTTATTGTGTTCGTTTGTTTGTTTTGTGTGTGTACATATATACATAGAGATTAACGACGCTGGCGTCGAAAATCTATTTTAAGGTACTAGTAATTTAACTAAAACCCGGTTTATGTCTAATACTTCTTTTCTTCTTTTGTCACTGACATTTTTTATGTATAAAGAAAACAAAAAGAAATAAATGAATATTTGCAAATTGATTTTAGTGATGCATGCGGGTGTATGTTCTTATCGATCATCTATTTAATATCAAGGGTGAATCGATAGTTGAAATGAACAATGTCTGTTTGTCACTATTTATAATGATTTTTCTGTTTCTCGTGTTAATCTCCAAGTGCAATCATGAGAGAATTAACTAATTCACATTCTGCTCTGACTCAAAGGTCGATTTGTATAAGAAGAGAATAATGAATTTTATGAAACTTTATCCTTGTCATTGCGTGGCAGATTAGACGAGTTTGAAAAAGACATTCCCATCTGTGACGTCACAGCTCGTCAAGATCAGAAATAGAAAAAACTTCTCGGTCAAATATTAACACATTTGTTTTTTTTCTCTCAACACATGTGCTAATCTCTCTAGATATCTTGGATGAAAACATCTTGGAAGCATGACGTATTAGCAGAAGTAAAGGTTACAGTTCTTTTTATATCCCAGAAAAGATAAATGTCAAGTATATTAATGAGTTGAAGTGAAATTTTCTATAAGCAAAGTTCAAACATCATGTTTATTGATAAAATATTCGAGCAAAGAACAACGTATTGAATTCGATTTAATTATCATCATTTTCACCTTCTTCTTCAGGATAATCAAGTTCATCACTTTCATGATCAGAATCGATTTCAGCGCGATCACGACCTAATTCGTCATTTTTCTGACCATCCTCATCATCGCTTCCTCTCGCTGTTTGACGATACCTAGGGTAAGAAAGACAAGTGATCTTTTCTTGACAGAGATATGCTGAGATAACTATACATCAGATCGTTGTTCGATGTCGTGCTTGGTGGAAGACCAAATGTTGTTGTAGTCAGTGACATATTTCCAAGCAATCTAGCTGTTGTCTGTTGAATTAAGTGTTCCTAGAAGACAAGCGACGTGCTGAGCTGAAAGATAATTAGAAATTGCTTACTTCTTCTAGTTTCTGCTGTTCGTTGTGCAATCGAACAGCGTCGTCGAAAGATATTAATTTGACGGTCGTGACTGTATTTTTGCTGTCTCGTTCGGCTTTTCGAGCTTTTATTCGTTGTTTGACTGCATTCAAATGTTCGTCTGAAAAATCATCATTGGATTTCTTTGCAGACTCGTTTTGTACAGATTTTCCAACATGAACTGATTCTTGAGAGAATTCAGTTTCTTCCGATGGCATGGTCATATCACGAAGTTGATTTATTAACATATCACAGTCCATAGGCGACGATGGTTGAGTGAGAAAACTTTCAATTTCATTGATAGCATTTCGGAAACGTTCGCCTTTATCTGGCAAGGTATTAATTAACCGTCTAAAAAACACAGATATTTAATTATTCTAATGGCTAGACACATTTCCTTACGTGTTACTTAACATCTGTTGGTGCTTATTGAGTAAAAGTCTCAATTCACCTTCGCTCATCTTGCTGTAATCAAGTTTCGTTGTTTGTTTCATCATCTGAAAAAACAATTCCCTTAGAATATTAAATGATATGAAGATGAAAATGTCATCTGTAATTTACCGACCCGATCTCTATGTTTTAAGAAGATTAACGTATATCAACAGTAAAGCATTAGTAATCAGTTTGATTACTTCACGGATAAACACACATAATTCTAAGGTCTTATGTCTTGAAGATTTTCGAAACGACTGGTTTCTCTTCTAAATATCAAAACAACTAGCCGATAATTAAAAACGTAATTGCGCTCACAGACAGCTTTTTTTCCGCTTCACGGATAGTCATGCAGAACATCGGGGGGAAACGCTAGATGGATATTCGTGTTCCTATTGAACTCTTCCCTCGAACATGAAACGCACACATTTGTTTGACATTTATTAATTTTCGAGAAAAGAAAAGCATCGACATATGAAAATTGGTATTCTCTTCGAAAAATATCACAAAACAATAAACATCACTGGTCGGAGAATGAAACAGGAAACAAAACACCGAACTAATTAGTGTAGAAAGTATAACACCAAAAGCAAGAGAACTGTTTCGAGTGCAAACGTGTTCTTTTAGTAAAAATAAAAATATTCGCTGAGAAGAAGAAACACACAAACACAACATGAAGAAGCAGCAGATAAGACAAATCGTTTTTAGAGAGTTTTAGAACTGCATTTTGAGTAAATAACGGATACGACATTGGTTTTCTTGATAAATCAAATATTCCGATTGAGAAAAGCTCGATGAGGAGTGTTCAGTTCGGATTGGCTTGCCAGCTGGAACGACGACTTTTTTACCTTCGATTGTGATTGATGTATCGTCCTTAGGATCTATTTCGAGAAAGAAAACTACAATAGATGAAGAAAGACAACTTAAAATTACGCACCTGGTTCTGTTTGGCCACGAGCAACAACAGAATCGAAGTTCGCTGGTGGCTTTTTCAATGAAGAATCATCTGCTGTAATCGAATGTTCTCGACCTAATGCCACTTCATTCTAATGAAAACAAACTTTCTATCTCAAACATTTCGAAAAACATTCGAAAAAAACCTTACCAAGAACATAATACCAATATTTTTGCCTTGATCGTGTGTTGTTCCCACTGAAATATTCATAGAAATTCTCAGACGAATTCAATTCATTCTTCACTTACCATAACCACTACTTTTGCCATTCTCCGATGCGAAATAGATACCTTTTCCAACGCGACCACCGGAATGGGGCATGATTCGCAGACCAGATTTGAGAATAGCAACGACAACAGCGACGTTTGTGCCGTGCCAAAGTAATTTACGATTGCCGATCTTGTCATGTGCCGCGAATCGTTCGCCCTAGATATGCCAATAATTTATGCTTTTCTATGATCGTTTGTTTCGAAGAAAACATACCTCGCCCTCGCGACCCACACGCCATGCATCGATGATGGTACATTTACGATAACCTTGAGTATTTTCTGTGTATTTTTTGATGGTCTGAAAAGGAGAATTCAGTTAAGAATGAGAAAGAACAACAATTTACCTTAAATTCTTCGCTGGATGTGTCTACATGTTCAAGTGAACATTTCAATAAACCGTAATTAACATCATATGGATGTGGTTTGGCTTGTTCAACTTTTTTCTTCGCTTCTTCTTCATTTTCTTTATTCTTCTGAATACTTTGCGCCAATTCAATATCAGCCAAAACCTATTCTCAATCAAAACAACTTTTAATTTATCACATATGACTTCCGACATACCGCAAGCATATCATATTTCTGTTGTAAAGCTTCACGCGTATTGATTGGTCGTGGTTTAGCCCGTCCGAAATCATGAGGAATTGCTGTATAGAATCTCGATGACAGTTCATCATACGATCCTTTCTTCTTGTTTTCCATCACAGCTTCGAGTTCTTCTAACACTTCAAATCCTTTGGCTATTTGACTTTTACTCAATTTTCCTAACGGCATTTTCTTCACATCGATATCGTAGGTTTTCAAAGCATCTTTAAACATATCCGTATCGAATATTAATCGAATTAATGATTGAGTTGCTGTATCAAGTTTACTGGCGGCATAGACAACTCCATCTTTATCTTCAACTGTTGTTCGTTTCGTTGCTGTTGTTTGCTGTTCTTCTTCATCATCACCATCACCGGCAACATCAATTAAATCGTATTTTCCTGCAATCTTTTTAAATTGATCTCGCGAATCCCCTTTAGCAAAGAAATTATTCGAAAAAAAGATATGAGACATTCCCTTTCACTTACAATCATTCTTCGTTTTATCTTTAAATTTACTCTTGAACTGCTTGACAGCTGCGTCTTGACTACCGAATGGGCCAAACATTTGACTTTGGCCAGTTTCACCCTGAAATCATCCCTTTGATTTCTAAATTCAAAGTTTTTTTTTCTCATTACTTACCACGCGACCCCAACGAGTCCATGTATAAAATTTTCCACCTAGCGTTAAAGCTTGTATTACATAAAATTTATTATTATTTGCACCGATGTTTGTTTGATTAAGCATTGCATCGTAATCAGCAATAACCTGTGAAATTCTTTTGATTAGTGAGAAGAAAGAATATGTAAAATTACTTGATAAGAAGCAGCACCGGGGATGCTTTTATCGGGATTGTGTACCTTTGCTTTGGTTTTACGTGCATCAGCTTCACGCAGTTGTTTGATAATGTCGGATTTGGATGAAGCTTCTTCCTACAATCGAATTTCGAATCAAAATAAATAATTTCTAATTAACAAACCTCAACTTTAGTTTCCTCTTCTTCTTCTTCTAGTTCTTCTTCTGGTTCTTCTTCTTCAACTTGTTTTTTCGCCCGTTTAGATGCTGGAGCTAAATGTAGGGCAAAACTTCGTATTAAAAAAAAAGAAAGTTCACAAAGATACGAACCACTTTTAGCAGCAGGTGCTTTACGCTTGCTTGCAGCTGCGGTTTTTGCTTTGGCAGCACTGGCGGCACGTTTTTTTGGTGGCATCGTTTAGAGAAAAACCTTTTATTTTTCTATAAATACGAGAGAAATTATGAATGAAACATAGATCTTGATGCCGTTTATATACTTATTCAGCATAGAAGAGGCCGGTAAAGGAGACAAACATCAAAACAGAAAAAGAATTGCAGACAGTTTGTGCAATACCAGTCGATAGATTTTCATTGGTTATTCTATAGAGACTAATCGCGATCGGTGAAAAGAGGTCGTTCAATATTCACGTCATATTCTATTTTCATTCTCAAAATTGATATTAAAACTGTATCGTATTACAAATATCTCAACTCGCACCATTTTCTGTGTACATATATCGAAAGAAATACGCAGTTTTCAAAAAAAAACAGTGTATAACAGTACAAATCGTCGATTAGTTGAACAGCGAACACGAGTGTTTTTTCAAATGACGCTTTTTCAATGATAAGCGTGCGGCGAGAACAAATAAATCCTGTACACCTTCGCGAGTTTTCGCTGAACATTCCATGTAAGCATCAGCTTTAATTTGTGCAGCTATTTTCCTTCCCGCCTCGTTCGTGACGAACGTATCACCATTCTTCCTTAATTTCTCAGCACGTTGAGGGCCGGCTCGCAGATCTTGTTTACATCCAACCAAGATGACCGGACATTGGTCACAGAAATGTCGAACTTCAGGATTCCACTTTTCAATAACGTTTGACGCCGATGCTGAAGAGTCAATACGGAAGCAAATCAGGACGACGTCCGTATCTGGATACGACAATGGACGGAGACGATCGAAATCTTCTTGACCAGCTGTGTCAAACAGTGCCAAAGTTATCTATAAAAACTGCAAAGTTTTCAGTGGAAAAAGCCTCCAAAATTCTTCTTACTCGTTTGTTATCTACTTGAATTTCTGTGGCATGAGTATCAAATATAGTCGGCGCATAATTCGAATCGAATACATCTTGTGTGAATGCATACAATAGAGATGTTTTACCACATCCTCCATCGCCAACAATGACTAACTTGCGACTTTTTTCAACGACTTTTTTTTTGTTACTGGCCATCTAAACATTCATCAATGTATTTTGTAAAACATACAATCGTGAAAAATCGAAACTTACCTGTGGTTCCAAATTTTCACTTCCTCTTCGTTTCTATATTTTGTACCGATAGTCTGTGTTATTATTTGATTCAGTAATTCAATGCAGGCAGCTCTTGCTCTCAAGCTGAGGGAATATTATAATATTTTCGATGTTCGCAGTTCTTTTTTTGTCTTATTTACATTATGATTTTCGTCATTTTCTATCGTTTTCTGTCACATCGATTGGTAAAGAAAGCGAGAAAAAAGAGAAGTCATACAAAAATAGAAAAATCATGCGAAATCTACAGCAATCAAATGGCAAAGTAAGTAATTTCAAATGTAAAGCAATATTTTTCGACTGTCTACCACAATCAACCATCAAAAACAAAATTTTTGTATTTAATGTCGAGTAACGATTCCTTAAAAAAGTCATGAAGATTTCGACTCTCTTTATTAGACGATATCTGCTTAGCTTCATACTCATCAAAAACTGAAAGTTCGACAAAACAAACATTTGATATACATAGTCACGTTCATATCGATCAGTGTAAAACACATTTTCGCTGTTTCTTATGACTGCTGCGCTTTTTAAACGATAAACGAGCGGCAAGCGTGAATAATTCTTGTAAACCCTCACGAGTTTTTGCTGAACATTCCATAAACGCATCGGCTTTGATCTGTGCAGCTAAATGTTTTCCTGCTTCAGTTGAAACCGGCTTCTCTCCTTGCGTTTTCAATTTTTCGATCGTTCGAGGATCCGTCCGGAGATCTATTTTACATGCAACTAAGATGACCGGACATTTGCCACAAAAATGTCGCACTTCGGGAACCCATTTTTCGATAATACTGCTCGCTGACACAGGATTATCAACGCTATAGCACATAAGAATCACATTCGTGTCGGGATAGGACAATGGCCGAAGTCGATCGAAGTCTTCTTGACCAGCTGTATCGAATAGGGCCAGATCGACCTAAATATTGTCAATAAAGTCACGAACAACAGGTGAAACGTTAGTTTGACATACAGTTTTATTATCTACTTCAATTTCAGCGACATAAGTGTCGAAAACAGTCGGAACGTGATCGGCAGTGAACTCATCGTCTTTGAATGCGAATAAGAGACATGTTTTGCCAGACATGCCATCTCCTACGACGACTAATTTTCGACTTTTTTGAATCGGAGCCTGGCGATTATTGGTCATCTAAACAAAAATAAGGAGAAGGGTTAAACACTTTTCAAATGCGAAAGGTTTCTTTTTCTGTCTAAAACACTTTCGGATGTAAAAACAACGAGATAATAAAAAAAATACTCGAGAACACCAAAAAAGGTGATGACATCATACACGCTGGTGCACCTTCTAATTCAACAACGCACTTCACCTCTGTTATCAAAAAAAGGAGAAAATGACTAGTCCAAATAAAAAATGCTCCATATTCCTTAAGAAAATCGCTGCATCTATGAGAGAATAATAGATCAACGAAATGATTTAATGATGAAATAAATATCTAAAATGGTTTTTTTCTCGTTCGTCTATTGACACAAAGATAAAAAGCAACACGTCAGTCTTGTATTACTACCGTTCTCATTTGTTTCATTCTTTATATCCATACAATCCATTGAAAACCATATACCACATACTTTCTCTACAATTCAGCGAAAAAACTCATGCATTATTGAAATCTATTCCTTATATAATACGTAACAAATAAAAAACGAATAAATAAAATCGATTGGTTATAGAAAAATATAGACAATAACAAAACACACGTGAGGTATGAGAATGAAAGTAAATTGAAAAGTACGAATCTGATTTAATGCAATACACAAGCGGGTTTCTTTCGATATGCATACGAAGGACGTTTTTTTATCGATAAACGAGCAGCGTGGACAAATAAATCTTGTACACCCTCGCGAGTTTTCGCTGAGCATTCCATGTACGCATCGGCTTTGATTTCTGCAGCTATTTGTTTACCAACCTCAGTCGAGATCGGCCTTTCTCCATCTTGTTTTAGTCTGGCGATCGTTTGAGGATCCATCCGAAGATCTTTTTTACATGCAACTAAAATCATAGGACATTTGCCGCAGAAATGCCGAACCTCCGGCATCCATTTTTCGATCACACTCGTGGCTGATACGGAACTATCGACACTAAAGCAAACCAGAACAACATTGGTATCCGGATAGGATAATGGACGAAGACGATCGAAATCTTCTTGACCAGCCGTATCAAACAATGCTAAATCAATCTGCATGAAACATTTGTATCGGTTTTGAACGATCGATACTATTTTTTTTTACTTACAGTTTTTCCATCGACTTGAATATCCGCCACATAGGTATCGAAAATTGTCGCGTCGTGAGTCGGAATGAATTTGTCGTCTTTGAATGCAAATAGCAGACAAGTCTTGCCAGTCATTCCATCGCCGACGATAACTAGTTTTCGATTTTTTCGTACACTACCAGTCCGGTTTGATGCCATCTTGAAACGAAAAACACAACGCGTTTGTTTCAGATTTGTTTTCAAAAATGACTTCGAAAACTACAGAATAGTATAAGCAGATCGAAGTTTGTTATTGTTTGTATATTTATGCAAAGGAATGACTGGCATCGGCAACGAACAGGTGAATTTAATGCTGAATCAAAGAGAAAAAGAAAAGCAAAGGAATGTGTGACATACCATCGTTAGAAAACAGAACGAAACGAAAGAAAAATCATTACAGATGAATAAGGCTCGGCTTCTGCCTTCATTATATTGTCTACAATCATCGAAATAATATATTCTCAATCTTCAATTGAACATCAAATGAAACGAAATGAATCGAATCGATTGTTGAAGATCTAAGGGAAAAAAATTTTTTTCTTCCAAATTGTTAGTGCAACAAAGCGACCACTATTTTTTTGTCTGTTCGTTCGATTTGGATATAAATGTAAGCGTGAGTGTGAAAAATAGTAAAGAGGACAAAACTATGGTTACAACACATATTTAGAAAAAATGCTGATCAAGAAAGTTTCTTCTCGATAAAAAGAAATAATTAGTAAAATTATAGATTGTTTTTGCGATGGAGACAAGTCCTTTGCCGCCAACAGAGGAAATCGAACAACAAGAAGTGATAGACACTCAACCCATTGCTCAGATTACACATGTGGATATTCGATTTAGTCTTGCTTTAGCTGTACCTGCTAGTAAGTGGAATTTGTTAATCAATCAACGATTTCATGAAGATTTCTTATCGGAAATTTTCTCTTCAATCGTTTTTTTTCTATTAGTATTTGAATTAACCATCACTGAACATAAACAAGAGGTTTTTAATGCGTGCTATTCCACATAGATCACTTTGCAGTGAATCTCCTATACACTCAAAACCTTTCTCTACCCTTGAAAGTCACTTTTCCTTCTCATTCGAGTTCATATTCACGTAGGTTCTCCGTCATCGCACAATGAATCTTCTGTTCTAACCAATAGTCCAGCGAAAAATAAACGAACACCCGAAACAACGAAAATCCAAGTAAAATTCCATTCTTTTACATTATGTTGGTTCGCAATTTTCGCGTAGGGATACTATCGCGTTGAATATTCATTGATACCCGGCACACCCAATGTCGCTTTTGACATCGTTGTCTTTCGAGCAGCTGCAAAAATCTATCCCGATGGTCAGAGAGCCTATGTTATTCCAATATGGCAAGATGACAATGATAATGCTTGGATTGTCTGGAGTCACATGTAAATATTTTCTTCGATCGAGTTCTTTCCTTTATCTGTGTGTATTAGTCATAAACTGGACTTGAACCGTGAACAGTTGTTAGCGTTATTAGAACAGAAAATTCTGGTGAAAATCTGGGAGGGAAGAGATTTTTGTACAGTACGGACGAAATTAGACAAACCTCGAATCGGTCGTCTTCCAGCAAATTCAACAAGTAAGCTCGACATGTTTTTCATTCATTCGAATTCATACTTGAATTGTCATAGATGAAGATGATGAAAATTCACCAAAAAATATTGTACAAAGTATGGCACAGAATTATGCGGATAAATGGATAGCAAGGCCGTTGTTGTACAAATTACAACGAAAACTGCCAATTCAAGTCGCACCTCCAACACCATTCTTACAAAAGAAAAGTACGTTGAATCGATTGATTCGCCTTTTGAGGAATCTGAAAAGTTTTAGTTTATGAGATGGAAGATACAAGACCAGCGGCACCTGTTTCACCGGAGGCTTTACTTGAAACATCAATGGAAAGTTTGAGGTAGGTTCGATTAGGATTCAGATGAAAGCAGAGACAATTTCTGTAGTGGAGAGCCTAAAACAGCACTTGATGAAACGACAGCTCGATCAAATCCAAGTCCTCAACATGGAATTTTGAAGAAAGGTGTAGAAAAAGCTGAGAGTAAATCAATGGAACGCGTCACTCACAAAAAAGGTTTGTTTTGTTAACATTTGCACGACCGAAATGTTTTTTTTTCACTGGAATTTCACAGGACCCAAATCCAACAAACAAAACGAAGAGAAAAAGCTTAATGGTATCGCACAAATCATTATCCCAAGCAACTTGATCTTCGCCGGTAAAATATCCATCAACTATCAAATCTATTTCTGTTCAATGTAATCAATTCTAGGATATAAAATCATTACTTATCGTCTTCCTGATGATTCCTCTTTACCACATACGATTCAAGATTGTTTTGCTAGTATCAAAATCGAAGATCCTCAATCACTGCATACAGCTTTAGCTAAGGAATTTAATCCATTGACTATCACAATATGTCATGTAGAAAATATGCCATCAACACCGATTTCCTATACGGAATTAAAACAAAGGTTGAATTTTGTTTAAATATTCGTAAATTTCTACCTGATGTTCATCTGTAAAGATGTGAACCAGTCTATTGTTCTTATCAGTTATTCAATCAACCTGTTCATCAAACATCGAGAAAGTCCCAGGCACGTCATATCCATTGGCCTGATACTCATGTCTATCTGACCAGTAAATCCAAATTGAATTTCTGTTTCCATCGATTAATTTTTTTCCTTCAAGATCTAATCGATGAAAGTCTCCTGAACCAATTTCGAAATTCACCAATTCTTAATATCGAGCTTCATGATCGAGACGAATGTGAACAAACTCGACGACGTGTTGGAAGTGTTTTTGGTTCCGAAAATACCGACGAAAACATTGGAAGAGTTTCAGGTACATTCATCATTTCACTATTAGCATATCTCAATCCCACTTTTACCATTCAGGTGGTCCTAAATATCACAAGTCGAAGGACGAACTCAATTGGCATCCGTATGGTTGTGTAAGATTAGATTTAACCGAATTGTGGTTAGGACAAACGTCATTGGAGTTTTATACTCCTGTTGTTCCATGTCATGCACCAGAAACTCACTCTGGTAAATCAATCATTATTGCAGAAATTCGAATCAGAATAGTTTTTGTCTTTAGGACGAGCCTCGAATGGCACTCATTCAGTTTTGAACGAAAATTTAACTATTCAACAAGGAGATTTTCTTTCCAGTGGTACTCAGATGAAAATTGTCGTACGATTAGCGAAACCATTAGTACCACAAATCGAACATCGTCTTCTAGACGATCGACAATTACCGACGACAGTTGTAAGAATAGTCTTTCGTGAAGAGACTCAATTGACTCTCCTTGATTTAGGTCGCACCATTCACTCGAATCGTTTTCATTTTCTCCTATGACAACACAACGTTTCTGACAGCACTTCAAACTTGTATTCGAGTATTGAATGCGAAAGCATTAGGCTTCGATCATCAACCCATTCATGCACAAGTTACAACGCTGTCAACATATAAACTAACTGAGTAAATATTATTGAATGATGATGATGAACAAGAGTTTCATGAAGTGATTTTAGTATTCAACAAGAAGATAAAAACTTGCATATTATCACTGGATTCCATTTATTCGATGATGAACAGCATATCTTTGTTCTTGAAGGTCGAAAAGAAGAAGCGATTGATCTTCTCTATGAAACCGTACCTAAACTAAAAGGGCAAAGTAAAGTAACCATGATTGATACCGAAAAAATGAATGTTGTTTAAATCTAGACGTGGAAATTCTTTATGACTCATCGGTACATTTCAACAAACGTCTCTATGTAAAATTCGGTATTGACATCACACATATTCGTTTATCTCGAACATTGCATAACATTGTTTCACAACCGTTAATCTATGTTCGAGATAGTTTAACCAAAGAAACATTCAAAGCTCTTAAAAAATTACATGAAGTTAGTGTACAAACTTCGATTCATTTCCACCGATTTCATTCATATGGTTCTAGCTCGTGCTTGTACATAAATTGAATTCATCTGCTCGACACCGACTGTTTCCAACCATGGAAATGATCACATCACTGAACAAAGACTTCGGCGTGCCTTTAACAGAAAATGAAATCAAATGTAAAATCTATTGGAACACATTCTTCGCTCTATATCAACCGTTTCCATTTAGTATTTTCAAGCGATGATCGATTGCCACCAACACCGTCAAGACCAACATCATCTCAACATCCAATCGAAGAAGCACATCGAGAAACTGAATACAATCATAGCACATATACCGAACCAGTTAAAGAGCAAACTATGCAATCGAAGAATGATATTCAACGACCGCAGATTAACTTTGTTGCGAGAAATATGGAACATATTCGATTAGCAAGTTTAAAAAATAAGTAAGAAGATTTCAAAACAAAAGAAAAAACACCATTCGCTTCGTTATTTTGTAGAGAAGATCGTCCGATTGATGATACACTTCTGTTTACAACAACAGGCTCAGTTTACCCATACAGTTCACAGAGATTGAATTCCACTGAAAATGCTTTGGAACAAATGCGAACTTATCTCAAAGAAGTCTGTTGAAATATTTATCATCGATTTCATTGCAGAAAACTCTTTCTCTTCGAATAGACTCATCATTCGGCTTCGTGTTCATTCAATCCTGATTATCCTTCGCTTACCTATTCACCATATTCAAACGAAGAAACAACCATGGATTTTCATCACAAACTTCGTTTACCATTTGACTTTGATTTAGTTAAATCGAAAGAAGCACTTGCCGATAAATCCATACCCAATTGGATCGATACAGCAGGATACCGTTCGAGTCGGCAATGCAACGTTCATCCAAAACTACCCGATTTTGCACGACTCGATGAACTATCTAAAGTAAATCTTTCTATTTCTCAAAAAAGACTTCACATCTTTTCTTTAGCCACCACATGAATGGTACCAACAGTCTATTCATGACAGTCAATCGCCAATCATCATTCGTGAACCATGTAAATGGATTCATCGAAAGAGCGATTTCGATCGATGGACACAAGCTCCACCTTTAGTTCGAAGTATATCCGCTCATTGGCAAACCGAACATGAACTGTCCCGAACAACATCTTTACCATCCACTTCAACCGTCGTCGTTGCTGATTCGCGAATGCATTTTCTTCGGCGATCAGCTCAAACAGAAATGATTAATGAAGGACGATTATCAGCTAGCCAATTAGACCGTTTAACAGGCATTCTTAAAGATAAACCCATCAAAAAAGGTCTTCTCTTACCGAAATCATACACAAGGTAATAGATTCAAATTTCATAGCGAATTCCGTTGTATTGAATCAGTTCGAAAGACGATCCACATGATATTTATTAAATTTAGATATTTAAAAACATACGCAAATAAATCATAAGAGAAGTAAATGAATAAAAACGTGTCTTGATTCTCTGATATTTCTTCTTTTGTTGTGTGCAACTAATTGCATGATTTTTCAGCGAGAAAACCGCGCAACATTTTCATTTTCTTTTTTTGTGTTTCTTTTTTTAGACAAGACGGATGTCAATCAGCTCCATTAGTCTCTTCGAATCCTTCCAATCACTGCATGTCTTCACAAACCCGAAATCTCTTACCTGTCTTCATTGATCTCTGTTAACTTTCATTCTGTCAAATAAAACGATGAATAACTTTGAATCAATGATATGTCTATCGAATTTTCGTTAATTTCTTGTTCGAAACGAAATGCGTATAGACAATCAATCGATTTTGGAGCACAAGTCATTTTTCCTAGAAACAAATCATTGTTCTTATTATCGATCACTTACTTTTCTTCTCTTCGCTGTTTGTTAATCACTCGACATCATGACAACTTCTTCTTCTTATATACTTGGCCAATACCTGATCGTTCCTTCTTCTTCTTCTTTCTCTTTCTATACTCACGAAATCGGTACAAACATGCAATCAGTTAGATGATTAATTTCAGAGAAGGAGATGTTGATAGTAAATGACACATTTCATCTGTAATTTCATTGGTAAGTGTTACGTACGAAAAAAGGAAGTCGACAGTTCAATGACGATTCAGGTGGTAGTAAATAGTAAGTGAAAAAGATGATAAATGACATGGAAGATTATAGTTTACGATTTGTTCTTTTCTCAATGTTGTAGGGGAAAGTGCGAGAGAGAAAAGCTTCATTATGATTTTCTCATTTGAAGAAAAAGAAGAGAATGTTTCTATGCGAGAAAAAGAAAAGTGTTCGATAATCGATTGTTGATGAGTTCCTATATTTGTGATCAGTGAAGCTAATCACGTTTTTATGATGCGAAAACGAAAGAATAGCATTGCCGATTGAATGGATTTATGATTCTAAAATGATTTTTAACGATTGTGTAGGTGCTGTTTGGCTGCAATTGAATAGACGATGATCATTCAGTGAAATTGATTTGTCATCAAGTTTTCACGAAGAAAAAGACACGAAGGTTGCTTGAGAATGTATTCATCTCATATGAAATGCAAAAGAGGTGAAACGCCAGATGGACGGCACTTTTCTTTCTTTTTTCCCGGATTCAATCGAGAATAAAATTATCAAACGAAAAGAGAAATGCGACATCTTTTCACATCATGATTGACCAAGATAATGGTTATTTTCATTAAAACAAAGGAAAGTCACTCAGGTTTCTGTAAATAGAAGTGATTCTTAAACGACAACACATCTATTCAAATGTAATTTCACTTTGATAAGGAATGAGTAATATGAAGCCATAGTGCGTTTTTTTTTCTTCTGAAGAATTTCTCGATCGAGCACATGATTACAATGGCGTGGTTTCTTTTTTCATTCAATTCAACTGAAATTACTTTTCTCAATCAAAATGTCGACAGAAAAGTCTCCGAGTGGTGAACAGTCCACCGAAACTGAACGACAAGGTACAGCAGGTACCGTCGGCGAATTAGCAACACAGAATCAAACAGGAGGTACTGCTGGACAGACTGGCAGTGGAACAGGTACTGCCGGACAAATTTTACCAACTGCAACCGCTCAAAGCAGTATGTCAGCAACATCAAGTAAAAGATTTACTCTTTCATAGCCTAAAATTGAGCTGTTTATTTAGGTACGGGTGGTGCTGGACAACCAACGTGACCAGATGATATCATCTCGACTGACTAAATCATTTTCTATTCCAGCAACATCAATTCAATAGTTCTTTTTTTTCGAATTTCATTGTACATAGACAGAAAAGTATTGTCAGTTGTCATGGTTATAATAAACAGACACATACTACAACTAAATAAACAACTACATTAGAGTGATTTATGATCTTCATCTTGCTTACTACTCTCTCGTCAGCGCTCTTCAGTTGTATATCACATACATATGCAATTCACAGTTAAAGAGTANATTCTCTGATATTTCTTCTTTTGTTGTGTGCAACTAATTGCATGATTTTTCAACGAGACAACCACGCGACATTTTCATTTTTTGTGTTCCGTTTTTTTTTTAGACACGACGGATGTCAATCAGCTCCATTAGTCTCTTCGAATCCTTCCAATCGCTGCATGCTTTCACAAACCCGAAATCTCTTACCTGTCTTCATTGATCTCTGTTAACTTCCATTCTGTCAAATAAAACGATGAACAACTTTGAATCAATGATATGTCTATCGAATTTTCGTTAATTTCTTGTTCGAAACGAAATGCGTATAGACAATCAATCGATTTTGGAGCACAAGTCATTTTTTCCTAGAAACAAATCATTGTTCTTATTATCGATCACTTACTTTTCTTCTCTTCACTGTTTGTTAATCACTCGACATCGTGACAATTTCTTCTTCTTATATACTTGGTCAATACCTAATCGTTCCTTCTTCTTCTTTCTCTTTCTATACTCACGAAATCGGTACAAACATGCAATCAGTTGGATGATTAATTTCAGAGAAGGAGATGTTGATAGTAAATGACACATTTCACCTGTAATTTCATTGGTAAGTGTTACGTATGAAAAAGGAAGTCGACAGTTCAATGACGATTCAGGTGGTAGTAAATAGTAAGTGAAAAAGATGATAAATGACATGGAAGATTATAATTTACGATTTGTTCTCTTCACAATATTGTAGAGGAAAGTGCGAGAGAGAGAGAAGCTTCATTATGATTTTCTCATTTGGAGAAAAAGAAGTGAATGTTTCTATGCGAGAGAAGAAAAATGTCCGATAATCGATTGTTGATGAGTTCCTATATTTGTGATCAGTGAAGCTAATCACGTTTTTATGATGCGAAAACGAAAGAATAGCATTGTCAATTGAATGGATTTATGATTCTAAAATGATTTTTAACGATTGTGTAGGTGCTGTTTGACTGCAATTGAATAGACGACGATCATTCAATGAAATTGATTTGTCATCAAGTTTTCATGAAGAAAAAGACACGAAGGTTGCTTGAGAATGTATTCATCTCATATGAAATGCAAAAGAGGTGAAACGCCAGATGGACGGCACTTTTTTTTCTTTTATCCCCCGGATTCAATCAAGAATAAAATTATCAAATAAAAAGAGAAATGCGACATCTTTTCACATCATGATTGACCAAGATAATAGTTATTTTCATTAAAACAAAGGAAAATTGCACAGGTTTCTACGAATAGAAGTGATTCTTAAACGACAACAAATCTATTGAAATGTAATTTCACTTTGATAAGGAATTGGTAATATGAAGCCATAGTGCGTTTTTTCTTCTTCTGAAGAATTTCTCTATCAAGCACATGATTACAATGGCGTGGTTTCTTTTTTCATTCAATTCAACGAAATTCTTTTTCCTCAACTTAGTCGAACGCGCTTTTTTCAATCAAAATGTCGACAGAAAAGTCTCCGAGTGGTGAACAGTCTACAGAAACTGAACGACAAGGTACAGCAGGTACCGTCGGCGAATTAGCAACACAGAATCAAACAGGAGGTACTGCTGGACAGACTGGCAGTGGAACGGGTACTGCCGGACAAACTTTACCAACTGCAACCGCTCAAAGCAGTATGACAGCAACATCAAGTAAAAGATTTACTCTTTCATAGTCTAAAATTGATCCGTTTATTTAGGTACGGGTGGTGCTGCACAACCAACATGACCAAATGATATCGTTTCGATTGACTAAATCATTTTCTATTCCAGCAACATGAATTGAATAGTTCTTTTTTTTTTCGAATTCCATTGTACATAGACAGAAAAGTATTGTCAGTTGTCATGGTTATAATAAACAGACACATACTACAACTAAATAAACAACTACATTAGAGTGATTTATGATCTTCATCTTGCTTACTACTCTCTCGTCAGCGCTCTTCAGTTGTATATCACATACATATGCAATTCACAGTTAAAGAGTAACATATATATATGATATAGTATAGAAAGCAGATCCTTCGCCAAGGCTGTCTTATTCAAGCCAAGGTGATGATCGTATGTGTGACGCATGTTTAATTCATTATCGTAACAGATCACGAACAGGTAATCTCCGCTTTGTTTGATTTCCGTGAGAGAGAGAGAATAACCTTGACAAGCACAAAAGAAACGTTCGGAAATTCGATTTAAAGAAAAGATGTGATTTCTCTTTTTATTGATGATCATCATCGAGATCAGATGCTCAGAGATGGAGAAAATCTGCCTTCTAGCATTTACGCTTTCGTGTACGAGTGTATTGACGTAAGAAGCTTGAAGGCCATCGTCGTACGCTATAAATGTGAAAGAGAAAAGAGGAAGAAAAGCTGAGCGTGCTATTGAAGATGATGACAGATACCGAATTCCCTGACTTTTTTCCCTTTCTTTCATGTATCTAGCGAAGTACTCGATAGACACTTCTATAGTTCAAATATTGTTTTCAAACACGAACAATTCTCTAAGGTATGAAAACTAATCGACAAAACAAATAACAACAATCGAGATTCCCAACAGATAAATATGAGAAGAATTTGTCATTTCGTCAAGAATATCATCTCCTACGCTGTTTTTCTCAAGATTCTCTCCCGATAAGCATGTACCGATTAGAAAAAAGAACCTTCTCTCTCGTCCTATTTCTTACTGGATTAACTTTGACCCATCAACCATGAAAAAATATACACTCTCAGGGTATATCGAATATACATATATATATTTGTATATATCGATTGAATCCCCATGGGATTGTTAACAGACTCGGCTGCTCAGACTAAATTACAAAACAGTCTCGTTTGATTTTGTATTGAAAGATATCGGTTGTGTCGATGTCATCTGCATAAATATCAATGTATCATGTCGTCATATAGCATGCCATTGAGGACGTTTAACAGACTATAGACGATCGAATATCGCATTGCAAGACACGAATTATTTTCATATTGAAATACTTAGAACGAATTCTTTTATTAGCGAATCGACAAGAGAGAGAGAGCGAAGTTTGTTTTCTTTTGCTTAGATGATTATTATTTTGTTTTTCTTAGTAGTTATAAGAAGATTAGAAGAAATGCAATATTATACTTGAAGTGTATATGCTAAATAAGAGCCTTCAGACGAAGAGTTTGGCGTTTTTTTTTTCGATATAAATTCTTGACATTTTTTTTCTTTCTCCGTTTTGCTCTACAAAATATTTTCATTGATAGAAAAGAAGAAAGAAATACGACTTGTATACAGCTGATTACTTGTTGCATGTCGTCGGAAGTCTTTGAAATGATTTCAAATCTTTCAGCATGGAGAAATTTAAGTCGACGATTATTACGTTAGTAACATTTGTTTGAAAACGTTGAAGACAAAAGGAAAACTGAAGAGGTAGGTCATGTTCAAACGTATGATCTTCTTTCTTCTTTTTTCTTTCAATGAGAGAGAAAGAGGAACTTTGATTGCTTGTATTTAAAGAATCTAAGATGCTTTGTATTGATTTCTAATTGATGAGTACCGTCTTTATATGTTGATCCACTTGAAAACCAAGACGAACATTATTTCGACTCTTATTCAAACATGTAGATTATATGTTGATGTTGATCGTATTTCTCCTTTTTTTTTCTTCTTCTACGACTTCTCATTTCCGATTCTTGGATGCTACCTTGAAGAAACAAAATTCAACTTGTACTTATACATTTATTTCTATCTGACAAGACATTCACATCCGATCGATTGATTTGCCAAAGTACTATCGACAAGTACCTTTTAATCGCCTCAAATCCAAGACAACTTTGCTAGACGTGTTTTTAATGCATCCGGTATGAGTAGTACAATCTCATGGGCAATAACTTTTGTGTTGATGTGCAATAACTATTTTTTCTCTTTATTAGTCGAACACGCGAAGAAATAGAATGAATAATGTTGCCTATGAAATAAAGTAGATTGATAGAAATCTCTCGGAAGAATTTCTGTTTATTTTCTTCTTTCTTCTCTCTTCATTCGCTACACTAATCAGTCGATGTCATTTGAACTCGGGAACTATTGACATTTAGATCCGATCATCTGTAAGTGACATATTGTCGAACAACATTATCAGCTGTATAAAGAGAGTCTGGCTTCAACACTGATCTGTGCTTTAACGTAAGTAGATTAACAAATGGAATCAATGATTTGCATACGAAACTCATTGAGATTTTCTTTTAGAACTTTGTCGTGCCGTGTGTTGTTCCTGGTGTTCGTCCTTCTCTTCTTGGTAGGATTGGGGCCTGAGCAACAATGCTTAGGCCTCATTCTCACCCCACCCGATGGTGATAGTAATGCTGAATGTCGGCCAATTGATATTCAACTTTACACATGGAGAGGACCTGGTTTTGAATCAGGTGAATGTTGGCATCAAGGACAACGTTTTATCAACGGTGCCACCTGGGGTCGTATGGATATTCCTGGTGCACCGTATTGTGTTTGTGAACAAGGTAAAGTTCGTATCTTTTACAGTCAACATCGACCAGAGAAACCTTCAACTCATCTTGCTGATTCGTTAACCTTACTTCGACCATTTCATGGTTCATCACCAACACCAAATGATTTAGCTAAATGGCCTATTCCAAACGTAATTACTGTTCGACAACGGTCAGTTGTCTGTACATCAGATCGACTAGGTATGCGCGTGCGATCAAGAGATAGCTGTACTGGTTGTAAATGTTCGAAAAATGGTCATTGGCTATGTCGAAAACCACCCGTATTGAAAGGAAATCGTACAAAGAACATTCATCATCGAAGGACAAGTCGGTCATTGGCAATCACATCGAGGTAAACACGAATGTTGTTGTTGTTGCTCTGATCCAGAGAGAGTTACTTTGAGTAAAAAACCACCGGAAATGCATACGTGATCAGAAATATATGTCGTGACTTCCGACAAAGAAAAACAAGATTTAATAAACATTCATCGACTGACTATATTTCTTGTTAATTGATTTTTATTTATAGAAATCTTCATTATCCATGGAAACATTCATCGCCTTCGATCAACGTTCAACGTCGTGCGTCAACCGTACGAATACAGCCACAATGTCCATCCGGCACGATACCTCAGTATTGCATATTAATTGAACGTATTGTCTCGTCGAACAGCAGCGAAAAATCCAGTCGTTATATCGAAATTCCTCGTGAAACATCGTGGATTGATCAACAGAGATGTACTCAATGCTCGTGTACATTAGACGGTCGTTTATTCTGTGAATTTCTCCATTCAACATGTAATCGTTCATGTCTGATAGAAAAAACTCAACCAATTCCATTGATGTATTACTTTCCACCAGGTGCCAAATGGGTTACACCACCACATGATAAATGTCGATCTTGTATGTGTGTACGCGGGGAAAGAAAATGTATCAATTGCGATCAAATTCTCAAGATCAATGTCGAAAATAGCGCTCCGCAACGATCGTCCATTGGTGAATTTCGATTAGGTTCGCCAATATCAACATCTTCGAAACAGATTAAACCATGTGTACTTCAAATAAGTACAAATTCGCATCGGTTACTTCTACCGAATCAACGAACATGGTTTCAAGAGCGTTGTTTTGTTTGTTCTAAACAGCACGGTCGACTAATATCATGTTGAAATCATCTTATCGACGACAATCGAAGAGCTATTACACGGATATTCTTTAGTCGACTTAGTCATTTAAATTTTCTCTTTTGTTTCTCGTCTGTTAGATTAGTGTAATCATGTGTACACGTTTGTCTACTATGAAATCTATTGTAAATGTAAACAAGATGAAATTTGCAATGACGAATAAAATCAAAAGATGTTTAATAACTAATCGACTTCATATTTGTAATCCTGACAGAGAGCTTTTCCATAGAAACCTGACATCGCCTACGTAGAATATTTCTCGGTATGATTTGATTGATAAAATATTAGTTGTAAATAGTTTCTTTGTCTATATACAAATATAAATTATAGAATTGACTTCTTTCTGCTATCGATGGGACAAGAACTAACCGGCTTTTGTCTGTCCAATTGTAATCTCGATAGTTATCTTATGCATTACATCAAGTATAACATAAGATCGTCCTTTGAGAAACGTCAAGTAATGAACTGGTAACATGTTTCTTCATGCATGAACACAGACGTGATGATTATCTAAAGCCAGTTGAATACCCTTGATAAGTTTCATTTAATTGCTCTATCTCTAATGTCTTTTCTACTTGAAATCGTTTACTAATACACGCCCGAAAGTATGTATATGTCATAATATATTGTCATCTTGAGTTATTACTGTTCTTTGTGATGCTCAGAGAAGAGGACAAACATCAGTAAACAAGTAATGTTCTATTGTGGAGGAGTTAGATATTGATCGTAATTACTCGTTGATGGATGATTAAATATACGTTATGTGCGTCGCGGTATTGTCTTAAGAACAGTTTAACTAGACGAGTTCTGGGTCCATAGAACGAAGATTTTCAATGCTAGAATAACACAGTGAAAAACTGGAATAATACTAATCTATATCGCATAAATTGCCATTGATAATTGATACACTGACAGACGTATGATGGTAAATCAATTACAATAAGTCTATTCTTATCGTTTAGTGTACGTAAAAAGGTTAAGAATTACTCAAGAAAAACAAATCCGACTTTAGAAATACTTTCAGTAGAGTTAGTATTCATTTATTTTCATTAGATAAAAGAAGCACATACAAAAAGAATAATTGTCAATCATTAACCCATAAATTCTCTTGGATCACCTTTGGTGATCGACTTGCCTCGCCGTTCGAATGGTATAGCATCATCATCATCCGCAAGCATACTGCGTAAATACCGTTCGAGGGCATGTGATCGATAAGCACGATTCAGATAATAGTTACTTGGATAATAAAACTCATCATCTTGATCATTGTCTAATGATCGTTCGATGAATCTTGAACTAAATTCATAGATAACAAATATGAGAGAAGCAATTCAACATATTCAATTGAACTTACTGAATGATAACAACGACAAACGCTAAGAGAAATAAGCAATATTGACAGATCTGCATGATGCTAATCGTTAGAGCGCCTGTATGTCTGTATGTAAGAAAATGCAGAATGCTTGTCGTTTTATTTATATATATATACACAATGACGAGGAGAGGGAGAGAGATACGTAGATGTGGGCGGAGACATAACACGTTAATTATGAATATAGTGGTAATAAGACATGTTTATGTTAGAAAATCAATTCGACGTCAAGTGACATTCAGTTAAACTAATTCAAGAGCAGATTTTAGGATAAACTCGTTGAGATGTAATCTATGATATTGTTTGATTTGGTGACATTAGTTGAATTTCATTTCGTGGAAATAGCTTTGTTGATATTCATTTATTTGTCATTTTCGATTAGATGAAATCTATTAACAGACTTTCTAATTCCTGTCTTGTTGTTTTCTAGTCTTCAACACATTGCCATCCCTGATCTTTTTCTCTTTTGTCTTACAGATCATAACGAGCAATATTATGACGAACACATACGACCTATCAGCTAGACATATTCCTTCGTTTGGGATATAACAATCAAGTTCTGGACAGTGTCAATATAGATTTCATGAATCCACGTGTTCACAGTCTATCTAAGCGTTGCCTTCCAATTAGACTCTGTTACCGAGATCACTTGAGTAGGAGTGGATGCTGCAGTTCAGACAGTCTGGTAACTTTTTCTTAGAAACTTCGGTGCAGAATTTTTAGAACGAGATCATGTGTCGTTTTTGTTTTTTGACACCGTTAATAAATCACGATGGTTTATTTTTAAAAGTAATCAATCGTTAGGAAAACATCGACAACGAGTGTTAATTAACGGACGAAATGTTTTCTATTTTAGAGAGGATAAGACGATATTTTCCATTAGTCCGGTAAGATTCGGTTTCTTGCCAAGTCTTTTCGACATCGATTGACATGAACCTTAAACAGTACATAGAGAAATTGTCGTCGAAATCGTTCCGAGGCGCAAACATAAATATAAAATGCACTCTAAATAGTCAATTATTTCAGTTACAGGAAGATCAATTTAGCAAACTACAACTTACTGAAAATGGAACGTAGTACAGCGCACTTGTGATAGCTGAAATAAGATTAATTCGATCAGCATAAGTCGGATCGGTATTAACACTTAAGTTAAGTTGTAATGCATAGACGGTGATATAAGGAAGAATGAAAAATAGATTATAAACATCTTCAATCAATACCATAACTGTCAGTTGTTTGTCGGTTTCCCGTCGAACCAGTGGAACAGCTCGATAAGTCAAATGTTGCACATTTCGATAAGCTAGAATGCCGAATAAAATCGTGACTCCAACTGGCATCAAGCACAGTAAAATAAGTAAGTTGAAATAACTGAAATATCGTTGAAATGCCGGATTGGTTATGGTACAAATCGTCTGATTTGTCACAGTCGATGTATTAAGATTATAATAGTACAAAACCGGAATGCCGAGTAACATCCAAAAGATCATACTCAGAACAAACAAGCAACGCGCTAACTTAATATTACTACAGCGTTGCCAAAAAGGACTCGAACATGTCGCTAAGTATTGATCAATGGTTGCCAATGTCATACAAGTGTACGATAAACCTGAACAGGATTGAAAAAAGTAATAACGAACTTTGCAATATGCTAATGATGTGATAGACCAATCGATACCGAAAGCGACATTGATGGTTCGAGGAAGTAAACCGAAAAACATTTGCAGAGTATTAACAAACGACATCGTTGTTAAATAAAATGCACAAGAACTTTCACGGAATGTTGCAAGACTAAGAAAAACGATAATATTGAAGATGTTGCTTGTTACACCACATACAAACACGATTGAACGTAAGTAGATGTTGATTTGTTGGGTAGCATAGGCAAGTGATGCCGACATTAGTGATGGACTATGAAAGAAATGGTTGTTCTTTGAAAAATGTCCTAAGATATGTATTTATATTTGTCTTCAAAAAGGAAATTATATTTAATGAAATGAGAAATTAGTTGCAGTCTAGGGATTTTCAAAGATAAATCATGATTTTGACGTGCGTGTTTGGGATTTATTAGATATTTTTAGTAATTAGTACCTCGTATATATTTTCTACAAAAAAAAAACTCGTCAGTTGGATGGTGAGAATGGATTGATCGTCATCCGTCTTCGTCGTCGTCGATGTGCCGAATAGATTCCAAAGAATACATGTAGAAATTGTTTACGAAATCGTTCCGAAATACTGATATATATATAAAACGGCATCTAAAAAAGTAGAACAAACTTGTCAACAAAATGTTGATCTATTTTCCAACTTACCGTAAAATATAAATAAAAATCCGTAATCGTAATACTCCTTGCTAATTGCAGTTGCGCATATCTGTATGAGTCTTTGCTATAAGTAACAGTCACAAAAATAGCAGTGACAATGATATAAGGTACAATGATGAAAAAATTGCAAAAAACTTGAAGTAAAACCATGACTGTCAATTGTTTGTCTAATTCCCGTCGGACAAGTGGAACTGTACGATAAGCGATCTGTGTTACATTACGATAAGCTAGTAAACCAAAGATTGTCGTTACCGAAAGTGGTAAACTGCTAACTAATGTTAAATTAAATCCATAAGTAACATAATTCTGATAGAAGTTATTGGTTATTGCGCACGTAATTTCTCCTGTTGATAATGCGAGAAAATGATCTTGATAAACTAATAACGGAATTCCATGACACATCCAAATAAGAATGAGAAATATAAATGAACGATAAGCTATTTTAATATTGTTAAACTTATGCCAACGAGGATGTGAACATGTAGCTAAAAATTGATCGATTGTTGCTAAACTCGTGCATGTAAACGAACTCAATGCACATAATTGAAAAAGGTATATACGAATTTTACAATAGACGATTGATAATAATGACCAATCAATAGCAAACCAGAGGTTCATGATTCGAGGAAGTAAACTTGTCAATAATTGTCCGATATTGAGAAACGACATGGCAGTTAGATAAAACGCACAAGAATTTTCGCGAAAAGTTTTCAAACTGAGGAAAACAAGAATGTTCAAACAATTACCAATCAAACCAGCAATGAGAATTGACAGACCAATATAAATCGAAAAGTTCGTAGATATCGCATTGACAAGATCGATAGGGAGCATTGTCTGCTGAGGTTAATGATGAATAATTTGATTTATTCAAAGAATATATTGACTCCTTAAATTTCTCACTTCTCTATTTAGCTTCTTTAGTACATCACGCTACGATTCGACATGCAATTTCTCCGGCTTATCATCATTATATTTAGCTTATTGTCATTTGAACCATTATTATCAAAATATGTTACGATTTCGTGTGGATTTATTTCGAATAGAGAAAAACTAGGACACAAAGTAAATGTCAGAAGTTCTAGTGCCTAGATGATGGACTGATTTGATTGATAGGGAATGTTGGTTGATTCCAACGATTCATATGCATTTCGAATACCACATAAAGCCATTGACGACGAAATCGTTCAGAAATACACATGTATATATAAAATGGGGTCTAAAAGAAGCTTTCAAACTATATCAATTGTATTTCTCAAATGAAAAATTCAACTTACAGCATAATGCAAAAAATATGCATTGAACAATACCGATGAAGCTATTTGTAATCGAGAATAAACGAATGGATTTTTGGTTATTTGCGGATCACGTATGATTACATATAGAATTATATACGGAGCTGTTGTAATACAACTGAAAACCACTTCAACAAGAACCATTGTAGTTAATTGCCGATCCAATTCACGTCGAATTAATGGTACTGCTCGATAAATTGAATTTTGTACATTTCGATAGGCTAAGATACCGAAAAAGATCGAAATAAATATGGGTAAAAAGCCAGCGAGAATTATTATAAATCCATAATTGAAATAATTCGTAAAAGTCTCATTGATAATAGTGCAAATCGTGTCGCCCGTTGATGGATTTCTAACAACATCAAGGTACACCAAATAAGGAATTCCATGGCCGATCCATATACAAAAATAAATCATAGTTAGGATTCGCGCTAATTTAATATTACTCAATCGTTGCCAGAATTGAGTATAACATGTAGCGAAAAACTGATCTATGGTTGCTAAACACATACATGTACAGGACATTAATGTACAAAATTGAAGAATAAATATACGAAATTTACAATAGAATACCGAGGTTTGTGTCCAATCGATATTAAATCCTCGTATCATGATTTGAAAGAGTAAACTTGTGATTAATTGACCAATATTAACAAATGACATAACAGTAAGATAAAACGCACAGGAGTTTTCTCGAAAGGTTTTCAAACTTAAAAATACGATGATATTCATCACTTCGCCAAACAAACCACCGATTAATGTGGGAATGCCTGCATAGATCGCGACTTGTCGAGCTGCATATGGATAAGATGATGTATTCGATGATGACATTTTCAGTAAGGTTAGATTCTTCGAAGTAAATCATAAGTTTGCTGGAGAGTAATACTATAAATTGCATTCTATTACGATCAAAGTCAGGGAATTGCTATTGATAAAAAGGGATTACTCGTCACGAAGGATAAAGAAAGGTAATTTAAAACAATGATAGTCGATTGAATTTCGGTTGAGTTATGTGTCTGGTACGACTTGATTGCCGACAAATGCAAATTTCGGACAATGTTGAAGATATTTAACAACCAAGACATATGCCAGTTGTCGACGAAATCTTTCCGAGACACAAACATAGATCAGAAACGGCCACTGGAAGCAAAAACACATCAATCTTTGACAAATATCATAATTCGACTTACCGCAGTGTAGAAATAATATGACGAATAACTTAGAATTTGTACAAATCTTGCTTTGGCTAAGACGAGAGGATCTGTACTTTTGAGAACATTGGGTATGACTATGCTGATGATGTTATAAGCGAGAAGAGAGAAGAAATTGACAATCACTTGAACGAGTAACATCTGTGTCAATTGCTTGTCGTGTTCTCGTCGAACTAGTGGAACTGTGCGATAAGCGAGATTTCTCGTATTTAGATATGCTAAAACGGCGAAGAAAGCTGTGAGAAGGTTTGGCAAAAACCCTTGGAGAACATTTCGTTGAAAATAACTATTGTATAGATCGAAGTCAGCATTGGTATTCGTACACACGGTTTTGTTCGTGCTCGTCGATGTGACTATATCATAATAAACAGCATAGAAGATGGAAAATAATGCCCAGAAAATGACTGTTATGATGCTGAGAATGCGAACTACTTTGATGTTACTCCATTGCTGCCAGCGGACACGTGAACTAGTCGCGAAATATTGATCAATTGTTGCTAAGCATAAACAGGTGAAACTAATCAAAGATAAGTATTGACTAAGAAAACTTCGCAATTTGCAGGAAAATCTTGATGAGATTGTCCAATCAATTCCATAGCCAGAGATTAACAGTCGAATCAATGCACCGTTGATTAGCTGACCGAGATTAGCAAATGAAACGATGACTAAGTAGAATGCACATGTACTTTCTCGGAATGTTTTCAAACTGAGAAAAACAATGATGTTCAGAAGTCCACCAGGGATACCGATGATCAAATTCGAGAGATTCATGTAAATCGCCATTTGTTGGGTTGCATATTCAAACGATGCGATCACTCCTGAGGACATGACGAGATTAGTAGAAATGAAACTTGAAATTCCCCAGGTTTTGATATCTTTGTCATACGCAAATCTATTCGTCCAACTTGTCATGATTAGACATCAGTGTAAAACGAAGATGTCTGCGTGATTTTTCCAAGATTTCCGGTTGAAATTTGTCTCTCCGACACGAGATGAAAGTCAGACATCCGAAATAGAATCTTTCGAGAGTATTTTATTATCTTTCAATCAATGAACTACAAACAACGAAAAAAAACCGTGCATATCTTATCTATATGAAATCATTTCATAAACACGCAATGACTTAAACGAAGAAAATGAGCAAAGTTTCAAATCGAACTATTGAGACTCGTTTTGGTTTCATACACATCCGCTTTGATTTCGATACCATTGGTCAATGATTGATTGACATCGATAATTGTCACCATGGGTTGTCGAACCTTATGAATTTGTTCATCATTTTGATTCATCGATTGAATTAGATAATCGCACGATGGAAGAATAAGATTAATCAATATTAAACACACAATCGAGTGATAAATCAACGAATTTCGGATGATTTGAAAGACATACGCTTGAATAGGAATGAAATGCAAAACAACTAACGAGGTTAGTAATGACAAAATAATACGATTGTATTTCCATTTAGAATCTGATCGTTTATAACAAGCATGAATTAATGTTTCGAGGTAAATAATCGAAACGACGTAGAACCAAAGTGCATTACCAAAATTGAATGTTAATTTATGGAAGAAGTATAAGCAAGTCAACGAACTTGTTAACAAAGCAAGAACATGAGATATGGTTAGAAGAGTATTTGAAAAGGAAAACCAAGGAACCAATGTAAGGATGAAACATGCGACGATCAAGAGAAGAATAGAGAGATAAATCTCATTCCGGATTTGTTCGAGAGCTTCGTATGTTGGAAAGAGTAAACTATAAGGAAATACAGACGGAAGTGGACTTTGATCGGTATATGTATAGAGATTATTCATTGTTCGAATGTCCAAACGATCACCTGAGATAATTAGAAGAAAATATAATGTGAGAAAAGCATGAAGTTCTTACCTTTGATGGATGTCATTTGACAATAAAATCTCGATGCCATGATTGCAGAAGTATTCTCTCGATCTACGATCACTAAATCATTTTGCGAGAAGGGTGTCACACGAAGTGAAATTGGATCTTTTCCAGTGATAAGATGTGTGACATTCTCATGATCTAGCCATAATAATTGAAAATCATTTGTACGAAGTTCACTCTGACATTGTTCAAGCAACGTCCTCATCGCTAATCTGACTTGTTCATTTTCGTAATTTATCGTTTCAGGAATGGTAAACATTACAACAGGACCAATGTTGAAATCACTTTCCTGAGATTTCATATGCAAACGTAACGATGAAGCATCGCGTGGAAGGAATTGATCATCGAACAGACGTGTATCGATCGAAAGAAAAAACCACAGACTTGTTATCATCGACAGAACGAAGAGTAAGCACAGAGTCGCTGCAACGAATTTCTTGATTACCGAATCTTTGATGGACAATGATGAAAGTTTTTGTTTGATGAAGATCCATTTCGTTGTGATCTCCTCCTCCGAGTCTTCGCAACAATCTTTCGATAGACGAAAGCAAAATAAACAATGCCGACGTGCCACTACGCGTTTCAATGTAATGACCAAACACGAAGAGAAGAACGTAGCATGAACGAGATAATTTACGATGATATATAAGACTAATGTTAAACAAATAAGTAAAGTTGTTATCATCGGCGAAAAGATTGATAATAAGGAGTAAACTATTGTTATAATCAATGTGGAGATAAGAAAATATGGATGAGTAGATTCGATGATCGATGGGAGAATCTTTTCAATGTCAATCTCGGATGAAACGTCAGTGAGAGTGAGCAAATGATCTTTGAGTATTCGATGATATTCACCACATACGATTGAAATACGCAAACATTCAACAACTAGAATCGGAAAAGATCGAATGCGAATCCTTGAAGAAAACGTGAAACTTACTCGCAACGACAAACACAAGTAGAGCCATTGGTTCGATGATTTTTATTCGACACATTGATAGTATACCAAATGTCGCACCTGTTGAAAGAGCAATGCTAAGAATTCCACAGAGAGGTAGATAACCAACAGAAGTATGAAAGTTTCCTTGAATAGTGACACATAAACAGACAAGAATAATAAATATGAGTAGCATAATGCTCATATATAATCCCTCTCCATGCGCTTTTTCGACGATTGCATCTGCAATAGCTGTCGAGGTGGATGGTAGAATTTCAAGTATTTCAGATCGATATTCTTGATTCAGATAGCGCAGAGCTTCACGTTCCCAGAGAATTGCCAATTGTCGTCTTTCTGGTGTTGATGTGTTCATTGTATATCGAAGGCGAAAAACAGGCACATAGGTTATGATTTTCTCGGAAGTGGCATGATGCATAGTTGGAGTATGATTCTGATCGTTGTATTCTTCTTCTTCTTCTTCCTCATCATAATCGACCATTGATGAAGTGGCATTTGTCATTCGATAATCTTTTCCAAACATGAATTCGGGAATTCCATTCGCACCTGTTGTATCAAAATAATATCCAGATTTCGGTGGAAGTAAATGTGTTAAGTCGTGACGAAATTTATCACTCAAAATGTAATTTCCATCAACAACACATGCTTGATTGATTTGCGTGCATAATGTCGAATAGTTATATTCCATCGTTTTGTTTTCATCGGTAATTCGAACGGATCGAATATGTCTATCCAATCGATGAACCTAAATTATTCTTCAGTCATTCAGAAAATCATTCTTCAGATTCTTACTTCGTCGAGAATCTCATTTCGAAGCATATTTGTTTGATTCGGATGTCCTTCGACTGTATTCAGTCTTCTTTTCATGATAATATCCAATCCCGGATAGAGATTCAACTGTTGATGCATACGTAGTTCTGTATCACTACCGAAAATTCTTCGAATGAGCAATGCATTTGTAATAGCTAGACCATGAGGCATGAGAAAATCAGTTTGATCGAACGGACGAATTTCCATGAAGAATAAACAACAACTTGCCAGTCCGATGGTGATTAATGAACTAACAAGAAGAATTGACCAAGGAAAACGCAGAAGAAACTTGGCATAAACGTTGGCAAATTGTTTCCATCTACCATTGGATCTTTGTTGGAGGGAATTCATACGCATTCGAATGCGATTTGTTCGTTTCATGGAAGTTTCGTTCATGGCCCACAGAGTTTCTTCTGATCTATTACAAAATAATCAAATAGTCTTGCCGTTTTTATAGCTTAACAATGGAATGTCCGAGATACCCTCACGTCTGTCGATTTTCTACTCAAAATCCAGATGATGAATACAATGTTCGATAACAAATACGTAGGTGTGAATATTTCTTAAACTTCATAGAAAGAAGAAACTATCTATACTCTGTGATAAAGTTAATCATTCTGTTCATTGTTTATACAATGTAACAATCGATGAATAAACGTCGTCTTAGAAGACCATTGGTAGTAGGTGAAAAAGAACGACAAATGATTTGGGACGTATCAACGTATGAGAAGCGGTAAGAAAACATCACGCCATACATGCATTGCTTCACTATATGTACAGAACGAGAGCAAATATGATTCCAGTGAAAAGAAAGGCATGTGACTAGATTAAATAATGTATCGGACACATTTTTTTACTTACATTTTGTGCTGAATATATATATTTCGATTTGTTTTTCAAGTCAATCGAAATCGTGAAACTATGTCGTTTTCGATTCGGTTCGTCTGGTTAAATATTTTAGAAATAAATGCAAAGGAAGAGGAAATTTTCGATCATGAGCGGTCATTTCTTCTTTCGTTCTTTAGAGAATAATGTTGTGTGACCTTGTCGGTTATTAGCACCAATAATTTCGATTCTTTTCTTCTTTCTCTTTCTCTTCTTCCTTCATTTTCATGTGCTAGATAGTATATTTTCTAAACCACAGAAGATAAATGAAAAAAAAAACACAGAGAAAGACGTATAAGTTATGAACGAGCGGAGTAAAAGAATATATCGGGAGGAGATTTAGGGCTATTGCCTACACGACAAGACATCGTCTGTTCTTTAAGAATTCAATTTAAAAAAACACATAGCGAAGAGGACGGGAGAATTCGGTTGAAGTTTGTTAAGCGTTTGGTATTGGTGTGCCTGGTGCTGGAACACCAACGTTACCCAAAACGGCGCGATTGAATAAACTCGAACCGCGTTTTAATTGTTCCTAAAAGAATAAAGAAAGTCTTGGATTGCAAATTGGAAAGGAATGAATACCGTTTTCTTCAAATGAACGTATGCATCTTGCCAATTGGCATAGATTGGTGTTCGAGGTAACATTCCAATTTGAAGTCCACTACGATTCATTGCTGTGACAGTTGTTACAACACTTAATGGATATGTTACTGTTTGCGCGACAAACTGAAATGCAAACAAAGTTGGTTTTTGTAAGTATCAATGACGTTGAGATTGAATGACATGAAAGCTTAGACATTCGCAGTTCGATAACTTACTGTAGCGAGATATTCGTATACGGAAACCATATCATTCTGTATTGGTAAGTTTGTTTTTAGTAGGTGGATGATAACATTTGTAAGTACAATGGTTGAGACTTCAATCAACCATCGAGGAATAAGTCCACTATTGTTTATAGAAAAATGGAAGAATATGCAGAAAGGAACAGTGTAACTTACACGAAGAATCCGCCAATTCCTTGTCGATTGTAGATTTCTTGGAAATTTTGAAAGATATTTATTGATGAATACGCTTTTTCACGACCAACGAATTGGCCCATGCATCGAATAGCCATGACTAAGAATCAAATAAACGAATAAATCACTTCAAAAGTTCATCTTCATTGATCAATACCTTGAAACGGATGTGAAAGCAAAACACCCCAAGATTGACATCGAACTTCACGTAAAATCTTTATGAATATACACCAATCATTCAATTACCAATTATCTCATTGCTTTCACTTACTTTTTGTGTACACTTGTTCCATGTAGGTTTCACTTGATTACTAGGTGTCTGCGACTCAACCGGACCGAGAAGCTATTTCAATTAAATCAAAATTCAATTTCGATGTACTTTTTTCAAACTTACTTCATCAACTTTCGTCGTTGTGTACCAACAGACAACTTTGGATAAGAGTGAACAACCAAATCCACGATATAATCCAATGAAGCCATCGACATTATAGATATGTCTAACTGAAATGAGAGAATCAAATAATAACGAGATTTATTCGAAAGAAATCCACCGTACGATATCGAAATGTGTTCGGATAGTACAAAGCTTCTTTGCCAAACAGATTTGTTGCTCGATATGCTGGCAATGGTTCATAGCCTGCCTAATGTCAACAGACTCAATGAAAAAATTTTATGATTTTCCAGTGCACCTTACTTGCATCAACACACGAGCATAAGCTAATGGATGACCGAGAGCATGTTGAATGGTTGTTGCTTTTAAAACCGTAAATGTTGGATTTGCCGAATTTGCTGGTGAAGATAAGCCACCTTGTGCTCGTTGACGAAGAGTAGAGCCTGATTGCACCGGTGGTTGAATCGGTGTAACAACTCGTTCAACTGTTTGAGTTATCGGAGGTTGAATAGGCGTAACTATTCGTTCAGTTGTTTGAATGATTGGTGTAGGTATAACCGGAGATGCAGGAATTTGAACTTCTTCTACATCAGGTTGGAGTTCTTCTTCGACTAATGAATTCTTTAAAAGAGGAAAGCGGATTTAGTTGAAAGGAAGATGTGAGATAACTTACATCAGTTACTGGTGCTGATTCGGAACCAGATGTTTCATCCATATTTGATAGCTAAGAGGATTTCGCAGAAAGCTTCTATGTGTGAACAATACGATCTAATGTAATATTTTTGGTAAATGTTTATTTGTTTATTCGGTGTTGTTTTGGGAATTTTCTCCAAGACAATCAATGCGATGGTTTTTTTTACGAAAAATCTTTGCTTTAGCGTTCAAATTTGATTTCCCAACAAATTATTTTCTTGTAGATTTTTATTGAAATAATAAAATATATTATCGATTAGCGACATCTATATGATTCTATGGCAACCGATGACTTCATAGCATGAGAAATGTCCACCGATCGATGATCTCATTTTCCACATAGTTAATTCGTGCGCGAGAATGTTTGGTCAGGAAATCACTCAATTAGCGAGTTTATTAAAACAAACGAATCGAACGGGAGATGATTCTGATAGTGATGAAGATGAACAAGTAACGATTGTGAAATGATTAAAACTTCATTATCAACTAGAATTTCTATTCAAGCCGAAGAAGAATGCAAATGCGAACATGACTCCAGCAAATTTCGTTTCTCAAGCACAAAAGACTACCAATAGCATCAATGAAACAACGTCAAAAACAACAATCAAAAGTTCATTGACATAATTACCATAGCTTCTTATGAAACAATCGTTTTTTTGTGATATTTAGCACCGTCGAACGCTAATTCGAAGGATATTTGGCAACTTTATGAAGTTCCGGAAAGTAATGCGAAAACTCACGATCCAGTTGAATATCGACCACAGCCTGAGTAAAGATTTTCATGGAAAACTTTCTCTTTCTCATCCAATAAAGTTTTCCTCAGATATGAAATGCATTATAAACAACGAATAACTACTGAAGATGTTTTTCTTCAAATGGGCAACAAAAATCCTTCGTCCGCTAGTTGTGAAGATCTTGTGGTAAATCATTTTCACAAACCAACATGCATACATTAATAAATCTATCTTCTAGCTTACTATTAAATTACCAGATACCAACAAAGCTGATATTGTTTTAGATATTACCAGAACATTCATTGATTGTCGTTGTCCAAAATAGTAATTCGCTTCTATTCAAACGAACACTTGACTACCAGAGTTTTTTCCTTCTATTTAGCCGTTTAGCGTTAACTCCACCTCATCCTATTGATCCAGATAATTCTCAAGCTAAATGGGATAAAGACAAATGTTCACTTGAAATAACCTTGCGACTTGCTCGCGAATACGATGATTTTAATTTTTGAAATAAAATCCTCGAAACTTGTCGTTTTCTCTTCTTTGTAGATTTTATATGTCATGACATCGAATAAAAGACGATGCTCATCAGGAAGTTCTTCGACAACACGCTCGTCACCAGCAGCTAATTCATTAAAACAAGTTTCAACATTTTCTCGTTCAAAAACATGTGCATTTACGGTCACACCACCGTTAAAATCCAAAACTGACCGTCTTCAGCCACTTACAACTTGTCAAACACCACCGTTGATCACTGAGACACTTGTAAATTCCTATTTGTTTTCTACTCACAAAAAAAATATTCGATTTCTATAGCCTGAAGATGTTAATAAACTCCATCCGGCTATGGTCAATGAAATTTCTCTGCATTCGCAAGGTCTCTGTACAATTCCGAATCTTTCGCAAGTAATTCAACAAGTTTTACGTACATTGATCGACTTTGCGTAGTTTAGTTTACTAAATTACAAATTTTGGATCTATCCTGCAATAGTCTCACGTGTATCGATAATTTACGATCTCTAACAGTAGGATCGACCGGAATTTGTGCGAAAACTGAAATGAATTTGTTTAGAATCTACGTGAATTGAAGCTATATGGCAATCAAATCCAACAAATCGAAAATCTCGATTGGTACATCGATACCCTGAATGCATTTTCATTAATAAATTATTCTTTTTAGTTTAACACAATTACAAATTCTTCAACTACAATACAACGAAATCGAGAAAATCGGTACCAATCATTTCTCTCGAATTTTTCTCTTCTCATTCTTCTGAATTCAGGCCACGGATTAGTTTATCTCACTCGTCTACAAACCCTTCGTCTTGATTCAAATAAATTATCTTTGATTCGTCCAGAAGAACTCTCCAAACTCTCCCAATTGAAAGTTCTCGACACATCCGATTGTCCACTCGAATCTCTTGAAGTACTAAGTTACTTTCCCTTTCATTTCATCATTCAATCTTCATCTTTCAGTTCATCAACTCTCTCCCATCGATCACTGAATTTCGCGCTAATCATTGCCACGTGAAAATCCTTCCAAACCAACTGCGTAATTTTCGTTATTTAACCGATCTTGATTTGTCGAACAATCAGCTGATTAATCTAATCCCATTGAAAAGTTTTACACTATTACGTCTCCTTCGTTTAGCAAGTAACCAAATTGAAGATATTCAAATCCTATCATCATTGATTCATCTAAACGAACTTGATTTGTCCGACAATCGAATTCGTTCATTGCCGAATTCATTTGCTAAACTTATCGAATTACAATGTCTGAATCTATCGAACAATCAGATTGATTCGTGGAAAAATATTGTAAGAAAACAACAAAGAGATTTTCAAAATGAAAAACATTTCCGATTTCAGGAGGTTCTTTCACGGCTCAATTCGCTTTTTATTTTGAATATTATTGGCAATCCTCTTTTATCGGAAGAACAGAATTATATCGATAAATTATCGAAATTATGTTCGTCGTTAGAAATTATTGATGACGTAAGACAAAAATCGAGTTTTCCGAAGAATAACTAATCTTGTTGTTTTCAAGGTGAATATTCAAACCGGTGCTATTCAAATTCCTCCCACTCCCTCATGTAGGTATCGTTGTTCTCCATCGAAATTCTAATCTTCTCGTTCGTTAAGATGAACAATTGATCAACATTGACAAAGAACTTCACGAAGTAGATCACACGTTAGAAAAATCAATTACCGACATTGAACAAAAGTACGAATTTCGTTCACAATCGTTATAGTTCTACTCAAACAAGTTTTCGTTTCAGATTCGATACTATTCTCAGTGATTTGCATAAGTTAGGCGAATGGTATAATGACAGAAAGGATTCGACAACTAGTCGACGCACACCCGATAGAAAATCGTAAGTTCTTCGGATCGTCTTCTGCTAAATTATATTTCAATGCTTAGAAAACACCGTCTGTTCCAAGCGTTAACATTCAGCGAGGAAAATTATCAGCATTCGAACGTATAAAGTTGACACTTGTGATCTAATCGGCAAAATGAACCATCGTCTCAAACTTTGCTTTCAATTGCTAAGAAAAAATAAAGAGTTTAATTGCAGAATAATTGATCATTCAGTTAAAGATAATTAATGTCTTCAAGTAGAAGAGGAAATTATTAAATACACATGATTTACCGACATGCAACGAAACATCGGACATATACGAGACAAAGTTACTCTTCTCAGCATGGAATTTCATTGCACACCATTGGGGCGACGCAACTTATCAAGAAATCTCAGAACTCTTTCGTTCTGTTTCTCCTGAGAGTGAAAAATCTCGGTGTCCCAACTGATAATCTGAGTGCAATTGGATTAAACGAACTCATGCGTTAAAAATCTAGTCGAACAATAGATAAACACTGTAAATTGCTGCACTGTTGCGACAGAACACTGAAGAAGAACAAATTACGCATAGAGCAATAGAATATAATTGAAAACAACGGAAAGTAGACCCATCATGCAATAGAGTAAATCGTCGAAGACGGAGGAAATTCCTCTCCCATTTTATTCACGAGCAATCTTTACAAACGAAACCCTCTTTTGACTTCAGTAAGTATATTTGTGCTAAAAAAGATCATCTTTGAGAAAAATAATCCTCTTTTATCATTGTTTTTATTAATTGAACTGCATTGAAAACGACTAATTCTACATCTCTATTCAAGATTATTGACGTTGACACTCTCAATTGAATTATTTAATAGATTTTCATTGACACAACAGTTTTCTAAATCTTTTCCACTATATATCTTTGTGTGTCAAACATTTCTGAATAGATAATTACGAATCTGTGAGTCCGCAGCTCGATACAATACTGTTGAGATTATGTTCTACGTAAATGAGACTTGTCTCATCGAAAGAAAAGAATACAAATATGTGCTATTGATATGCAATGTCAAAATTGCAAATTAATTTGATTGATTGTCTATGACAAACTAATCATCTTATCAATTTAATCTGTTAGTTTATATGCAACATGTCGTTGATGATCAGATCGATCAAGTTGATTCAAATTATACACGAAGTCGAGCTGAAAAATTTTATCTGACTTTGGTATGTGTTATTTTTTCTCTATCGAAGAGAAATGCAATGGTATTCGTCAAGTACATCGATTTATTCTTTTTACAGACGAAGTAAGCACGATACCACTTGAAAAAGTATATTTTTATCAGATTCTGTACAAGTAAAAAGTCAAGGCTTCTCTTTTCTTAATATACACTAAAGACCGGATTGGCTGAAAGTACTTAATGGGTTTAAAACTGGAAGTAATCTCTTAATACACAAGTACTTGCTTATTTTTCCGTCTCGTTAACTAATCCGTCGATTTTTCTCTCTAAACAGGAAATTTTTCATTTTCTGATTAGCTGTGAACAAGTACCAGGAAATGAAATAGAGTCATGCTCTTCACTCGACCTACATCAATTCATAGTAATACAGAATCAGTCGTTCGTCGATTGATTTCATGTTTTTTTTTTGCTTTCGACCCTCGCACTCGATTGCTTCCTCTCGATCTCATCAATATCCATTACATTCAATAGATCGCCATTTATCTAAATTAGACTATAATTTGCTTTTATTGAGTTTAATGTCAACTAATATTAATCTTATATCAGGTACATTTATTTAAATAGATGAGTTTCTTTACATCTCAGCGGTAATGAATGAAATCCAATAATTTCATGTTCTCGGAGCAGTCATAGAAAGTCAATTATGTCAAGAATCCGATCTCACTAGAAATGAGCTTGGTTTAGACAAATGAACTCTTGTTCATTAAGTCAAGAAGAGTTCGCTTTTCTCATGTTATTTTCTTACACCTGCACACATGAAAAACATTGGTAAAGCATCTGTTTTCATACATGTCATGCATGGCAATCTTTTATACATGTGTATGTTTGCTTTTAATTGCGTCTTGTTCTGTTGCAGATAGAACACACATTACAGGCCAAAACAAGGTGAATTCAATAGCTTTTCGACGTGTCACATCATCAGTCATTTAGTCAAGTAAGTGCGCATCGAATTTTCAAAAACGACGTCAATATCGAGACTAATGACTTCGAAGCAGTGCTTTTTCTCCTGGCGAGATATCGTTTTTACATTGTATGATGCGAATATGAGTAAACAAATAAATTATACATTCTTTTTTTACATCATCTCGATGTCCTTGGAGTAGGAGGACGTAAATGATACGTGCGAGTAAGTTAATACTGTTTTTTGCATTCAAAAAATGCTCTTACGCGCGGAGGTTTGTGCACTGTAAGAATAGAAGAATTAACTACTTCTTTAGACATCGCGTTAGATTCTTCATTAAGTAGTAACATACTGCAAAGAAGAAAAAACATCAGGACATGTTAGTCAAGAAATGTAGTCCAGTTAGTTTTGAAGAGGAACTACTCATTTCATCTATTCAGTCACGTCTATATCAGCAAGACATAGGAAAACGGAGAGACATTCTTATAGAGATTTTTTCTAATAATGCAGATTTCATTTGTTAGATTGAGAATATAGAATGGGGTATATATATATATTATTCATTTCTATGACAGAAGCTTTCAGTATAATCAGAAGATGGATTATTGTCGAATATATATTCATCAACTATCTTCATTGTTCTGTTAACATGCATAGAAAATATTCGTTCCAGAGAAAAAAATCTTAACAATGTCATTGAGTGGATATTCTTCTTAGGTCGGTTTTTTAATAGAAAACTTCTCTAACTCTTCATTTTTGGAGTTGTTCGATAAGAATACATGACGAATGACCGTGTTTTTCTTCTCTTCGTATTCGTATCGTTCGCCGATCTCGCTCGTAGTAGTTCCGTTGCTTTTCTGTTTAATTATTTTTATGGTTCAATGATTTCTCTACTTAATACCGCAAGGAGGCAAATGTCAAAAGAGATTTCATATAATAAAATCTAATCTTTTTCGTTTACCTCAGCAGAGATTAAACACCTAATCGTAAGTACATCATCATTTCTCCTTCTATTCGAAATACCTTTCCTTTTATCTCGTTTTATTTTCAATACAACTCCGACGAAAAATGCCACGTTTGAATTACACAGCTACGCATTGTTTAGTTCAGTACAAAGTCAAGCTTAGACAAATTCGAATCATTTTCATTTTCAGCTAATAACTTCTATGAATAATCTCCATCTAAAATTCTTTCTCCCTTGTGTTTCTTTATTAGCATTATTATAAGCCTGAAGAATGAAAGAATGCAGTTGCGTTAATAAACTTGACTGCCATCGTTAGGGGAAATGAGCGTCAGCATAGTATAGGCTGATATTTTTATTTTAGAATTTCATAAAAATGTTTTTCTTAAAATAATCGTAGAAAAAAGAGAAAATAAGAAATCAATAGACTCCGAAGAAATATCAAATACTAGATAAGACTTTCTTTCTTCCTTTTCTTCTCTTCTCTTCTCTCCTCTCTTTCGCCTTCCCTCGGTTCTTTTTCTCTTTTCAACATTGCAATCAATAGTTCCTATTAGACGGATGTACATCGATACGACGAGTGTGACATACTAATAATTCCAATAATATACAACGTCTTTTGTTCGCTAGACGACTCCAATTGTGTCCAAACTCTTTTATATTTTCTAACAATGAGGTAAGTCGAATGAAACCGATGTAAAAACAAACAACCAAGTAACGTTTTTTGCTTCTTCGCATGCGTCTTGTTAAGCACATCAGTTTGCCAGTTCGAGCTTATAGTAAATCGAAATGACTGGTTTGATGTTAATAATCTATTTGAATGAATTAACGTCAAACAAAGACGAGGAAAACAGCGAGTCATTCATGAACTTGTTTGACATGGATAAATACATTTAATAATCTGTTCGTGTTTATTTTCCCTCATGTTGCGTTTTTCTTCTGTTGAAATTCGCCAGAAGGTTCTTCATCATGGAAATCAAATTAAACACCCAAGCTTATTTCGTAGTATATCCTTTCGATTCTTGTCAATTGTTTGATGTCTTGTTAAATGTGTCAAAAGTTCTATAACTTGTCAAAACTTACTACTTCTTTTTATCTTCTAGACAAATTCTATGCTAAAAATAAATTCTAGAACATCATTGCGCATATAATCATGGATTCAATGAATGCAACATATACAATCGCATGTAATGCCTCACCAATTGGAGCAACATACGTCGACTCAGCACCACCAATTCCTCCACCTTACCTTCAAGCGACTGCTGTTTTCGTCTATACTTTATTGAGTATTTTGACTGTTGGAGGAAATGCTCTCGTCTGCCTGATTGTATTTCAATACATGGGTGTTATTACAGTGACAAACTTATTTATTGCTAATTTAGCTGTAACAGATCTACTGATCGGTCTTTTTTGTATTCCAATTGTGTTAATATCGGATTATCTCCTCTCTGATTGGCCTTTCGGAACATTTATGTGCAAGTTCACATCGTTTGCGCAATCTGTTTTCGTTGTTTGTACAGTTTATACGTTGATAGCTATGTCCGTTGATCGATACATTGCGATAATTCATCCGTTGAAACCGAAATTAACGAGAAAACAATGTCGAATCTTGATCGGTTTACTCTGGACATTTTCTCTAGTGTTTAGCTCACCGATTTTTATCGATATGCATGTTCGACATACGTGTTTTCATCGCGACACCGATAATATAACCGAATACACTCAAACTATATGTGAAACAGTCGGTCTTCCACTATCGATTCAAACGGCGTATAACGTTGCAACGTTAACAATTATTTATCTAATTCCATTATGTGTTTTAACTATTGTTTATATACGACTCGGTTGGCAATTGCATCAAACTCATGCACCAGGCGAAGCGCATTCAGAACGCGATGCCAAAATCAAGAAATCGAAACAAAAAGTTATTAAAATGTGCTTTGTCGTTGTTATTATGTTCGGAGTATGTTGGTTTCCTTTGCAACTATACACAAACATTCTAAGTCCATATCTCGATCGAATATTTCATCAAGAATATGTTCCACATGTTTATTTCGCTTTTCATCTCATGGCTATGAGTAATTCATGCGTCAATCCAGCTATTTACGGAGTGATGTCATCGAAATTTCGCGATGGATACCTACACTACTGGCATCGTTTAATAACATGTTGCGGCTTAGTAAATAATCGCTTTCGTATGAAACAAGAACGAAGAGAATCAATGAAACTAACACCAACATTCCAACATAATCACAAAACATACGAATTGACGTTGAAGACGCACGATATCGAATTCGATCGAGGAAGTAACACATCTGTTCCTTGTTCGATACCTTTAATATCATCTCAAAGAGTATCTTCAAATGATTAGAATCTGCTAGGAGAGATCAAAGACCAAAACAAAGATTACATGTTGATTTATTATTTTTTGTTGTTACTTTTTCTTTCTTTGTATAAACAAATTCGATGTCAGTGACAAATATAGATTAACAATATCTTCTACAGCAACATGACGATTGTTTGGACATTATGATGAGTAATGAGTCTTGAAGATTAATCTTTGAATCTCATTACTGGTCATTTCCTTTGCGTATCTGAACATGAGCAAACAAGACAAAACAGATCATCTTGTTTAGATTTCCGGTAAATACGCGGATGTAGATAACATCTCATCGACATGCAATATCATTTTACGTCATTGAAAGTCATCTTCAGGGATTTCTATCTCATATCCGATTCAGATCAAATTCAATGTTTCATCATGTCATCGTGACAGTTATCTTATCAATAAAATATGATGATTTGAGATTATTATCCGACAGAGGAGGAAAACAAACAAACTCTCTCGGCGAGATCAATTGTTTCTTCGATTACCAATACGTTTGACTTCGAATATGTCACTCTGTTTCGCCTTTTTTTCCTCTCTTATAGACCATTATAAGATTTCTTCATATTAAACTAAGATATATGAGATCGGATGAAAGGCATCAGCATTTCCATTTCTTGTCTAATGTATATTAAATGAAGCAGAATTAAGGTTATCCTAGCGTATATTATGCTTGATCAAGCAGTCAAAGATTTTTTAAGTAAAAAAAGAACTTTTTTGCTACTAATTATGTTTTTACAATAGGCAACAAGGCAAAACGTATTATTCTATTGACAATTATCGATGATTACTAAGCGAAAACGTCTTCTTCTTTGTTTCGAACTATAACTCAATTGACACACATTTCCCTGAAGAAAAACAAAGCAAAGACATACAAGGAGAACTGTTCAGTCTGAGCGGATGAGTTGGCAAATAAGGATTTAGGAGAGGATTGAAGATAATCATAAGAGATCGACTTAGCTAGACCTACGCGATTCGCATAAAGATCGTAAATCGAATAGAATCGACTGAGAAAATAGTCACCAAGAATCCACATCAAACTTCCGGTACTATCGTGTAAATTGACACCTTGGAAAACCGTATAGCAAATATATTTATCACCAGTCAAATGAACAACCAGTAGATATTGTAATGCGGATAATGTAAATGTTGTGTTACCAAGGAGAAAGTCCACATTGGGAAAAGAGTCTAACGAACGATTTTGACAATCGACTGCATACTACTTAGACAATAGGAACACATTTTCGTAAAGTTTGTCACGAGACTGTTGAACTTACTAGACCAGTGACCGAATCATAGGTTCCATTAATCAAACGATTGAGTAAACCAATTTGGTTTGTTGGTCCAACGATCAAAGTTGTACCTGTGTCTAAGATCGCACGACAGTTTGAACAGATGATGTGATTATTTGTCTGCACACTAGAGTGATAAATAATAAGAGAAGAAGGCTTTCCTCTTTTTATCACTACTTAGTCAACTGAAATTCCCAATAAGCAGGTATAATAACATCCGTGTACGTAATTGAACCCGTATATCTGCTCGAATCAATTCCACCTAAAATCAATTCACCACCCGGATACACATTTGGATCACTAGAAGAGAGAGAAAGAAAACGTAAACTCATAAATCAACGACGTTCAATATTCGCATACGGATTGAAATAGAATGAAAAACTCGGATGATTGATCAGACCCTGTTGCCACATATTGTAGAACACTGATGTTTGCCCCTTTGTTGCTAGCGATGGATAAGCCAAACCGAAAACTCCGTCAAATGTTGATGAACTGAAACCAGACATATTTTTCGCTTGAGCAAACGCTTGATTCGCCACAGATAAACCTGCTACCTAAATAACACCTCGAAATTCACGTTTGCTCGAAATTTATCAATAATCACCATGACAGTGTCATAAACGAATTGCCCCTGAACATACGAACCATCGCCATAAGTAATCCGAAAGGATGCATCATTCGGTCGCGAAGTATTTGACTTTCGTGAATCATATCTCGTTTTATAACCTACATAATGACTCCTGTTTATGAGTAAACAGTTCACAATGCAGCATATTTACCACAAGTCGATTGACATTCACTCGATGGAACCCATAAATCAGTTGAGCCCGTATCGAAATCAACAAAAAACGTTTGTCCAGGTGTACCAATTGAAAGCAAACCAATCCAATAAAACTAGAACATCACGAAACACATCATATGGCGGTTTGATTTCCTTTCGAAGTACATTAGCTTGATTGATTAATGTTTGTGATGCTAAATTTGTCTTGCCCATAAATCTTAATGAACTTTTATATGTTTCTCCATTAGGGTAATTATTTCGTCCAAGGACACCCGCCTTTCGATAACAGAAAATACTAATCGAAAGAAAAAGCATACAAATCAGTTCAAAGACAACCGACATTCCATGAAACCTTCTACCGTGGTAATTCAGCGACTGAAACGACAGTACATGTTACAAGTAGAAAGTTAACAACGCAACATGGATTCATCATTTTGTTTTGTTGATCGAATATGAATTGCTATCAATGATTTTATCGAACAGCAAAGGAGTTGTGTTTGACAAGAATGTTATATTTACTTATTTTGATGAGTACAAGATCCTTCAATATGTACTGACAGAACGAATAACAACCGATTCTCTGTTTGAAGATAGAAAACAAATAATTGAAAATGCACTTTTGACGACAATTGTCTTTCAGCATCCTCGATAGATGGATTCCAGGCAGGAAATCTGTTTACCAATTGATACCTATCGAGACGGAAAGTACCGGGTTTAGTTTTCCAATTAGGACAAAGCTTTGCGAGATAACTGACACGCAACAGTCACATGTAAAGAATCGATAACTAAATATTTATGCATGACAACACTTGAAGAGAAAGTTATAAGTAGCGATTGTCCTTACTGAAAGGGAAATTTTTCTGCTGAGTACCGCAGTTCAATGTCAAAATTGCAAAGAATTAATTGAAACCGTTCATTTGTGTATGAATGACATATTAAGCCTTTTTCATGTCATGATCACTGTAAGACAAACGACTAATCATAAATTTTGTGAAACACGTTATACTGATCTTTAGAAATAACGACGTGCTCTTTTTTTTGCAATTATTCTTTGTTTTTCTCTGAAAAAATACATCAGTGGTGATTACGTTAGGAAAACACCATCATTTTTGTTAGAAGGTTAGCTTTACATCTGGAATTTAACAAAATTTTCAGTATTTCGAGTTCTTGCTTGAATGATATTATAATTATGCGTTTTATAGTACTTGAATAATACTAACGATGTTTGAAGTCATGCCAACCGCATGATTAAGTTGCTATTTTTCCTTTTAATTCTGATAATTCATTGTCTAATAGCTTTAGATAGGAATGAACAAGAAATCCTTTCCACTCAACATCATTAATGAACGTATAAAAAGTAACATATAATAGGAATTGACTTTCAAGAAAAGATTTCTTCTCCTATTAAAAATTTTACTGATCTTCTGCGTTTATATGTCATCAAAATTTAAACGGAAAGCATCACACTAGCCACTTTCCGCCAAATTCTGTGGTTTAATTTGATTGAGACCAATTGGTGCGGGTTGTTGAGTTTGTTTCCTGACGAATCTTAAAATAACATGCAGAAACTGTTGGCGAAAACGTTTTGACACACAAACATAGATATAGAACGGGCTCTAGAATAGAAAACACGTCATCAGTCATGCTGTTCTACCGACGTTCTCACTTACTGCATAATAAAGATAGTAAATGTAACCCGCTGTTGCATTGCTAAGCACTACATCGGCGAAATTCGGCGATTTGATCGTGACATATTGTATAGTTGAGACTAATAATGTTGAAACATATGGCACAATAACCAAGACGTTGTGGACAACTTGAACAAGTACCATCGATGTCAATTGTTTATCAAGCTCCCTTCGAACTAATGGAATTGTTCGGTATGGTATCTGTCGAACATTCCAATAAGCTAACGAACCAAATACGACAGTGATTGCAAGTGGTAGAAGTCCGATAAGTACCAATGTATAAACATAATTCATGTATTGCAGATAGGTTGGATTAGTTGCGGCACATGAAATCGCGCCTGTTCGATTGGACAACACAGGACTAAACCAGATCAATGTGGGAATGCCATGTAAAAGCCAAATAATCAAGGACATTATGCACAGTAGATACGCTCTGTTGATTGTCAAGTATTTTTGCCAGTTGGGTCGAAGTGACGTGGCCAAAAACTGTTCAATCGTCGCGAAACACATACATGTAAACGACGTCAATGAGCAAACTTGTAGACAATACGTTCGAAACTTGCAATATTCGAAAGATGTTTCCGTTAAATTAATACTGAATCCACTAATAAGGATACGCGAAAGAAGACTTGTTAATAGTTGTCCAATATTGACAAAAGACATAAAAATTAAGAATAACGCACATGAATTTTGTCGAAAGGTTTTCAAACTAAGAAAGACTATTATGTTCAAACATCCACCAACAACACCGACAATTAAAATGGATAAACCAAGGTAAAGTGTAATTTGCTTTGTAGTGTTAGTTAACATCTCATTGATTGCTTTCAACATCTTATCTGAACAATAAAAAAAAAGAAAAAGTCGTTCCGTAAAACAGGTGAATTTGACTTAGGCTTCTATAACAGACGAGAGGAATTTCTGATGATAATGCGCACATACTTTCGCCTACCCAGATGATATAGCATTTAGAATAAGTAAGTTATTCATATCATCTTGCTTAAAGAATGATAATAATCTTTTTCTCATTTATTAATATTTAAACTGATAACAGGAAAGACGGATCATTCAAAGCAGACTTCTATACTATCTAGCTATGCTGATATAAGCTGTAATCCTCTTATATCTAAAATCATCGATGATTAACTGAAGATTGTCTGGAATATCTTCTCGACTAAATCTCAAAAGTGTCTCATTAGTACTTACAAAAGAAAGTTGAACGTATAAATTTGACCAATAGATTGTAGTCCTTATGAACTGACACCAGAAAAAAGGTATCCCGAAAGATGCTCTTCGCAAAAACTCTGATGTGGGCGCAGGTGTAGATAGGGGCGAAGGTGTGGGTGAAGGCGACACAAAGAGTGAGTTTTGGTTTTGATTAGAACTAGATCTAGGCTTAGAGAGGAAGTGTCATTGGGCAGCAGGTGTCGCGGGAGCGACTGTTCGGTGAACATCTTTCATGGAACCCAGAAAAGTTGCGTTTCAGTTTATGGACTAGCCACTTAATATTTTTATTCGATTTGTATAGGTTATCTTTCATCATGTAAAATACAATGCTTGAAAGTACTCAATTCAGTCTGAAGTCGTTTTAATCTTTCTTCCACTTCTCATAAGACTCTTCCACAAGAAGTAGTATTGAGAAAGTTGAACTGTAACTAATTGAAATTCACCAAATTTTATAATAAAAAGAAACTTATGCATCGACATGATATTTAATACTGTTCATGTGATCGTATACAGGCACAGATATGTATGGTAAAATTCATTACTGACAAAACAGTATTATCAGCCAATATAAATTTGTTCTCAAAGAAAAGAATGTTGTGGGAAAATCATAGTTTCCAGCAGATATCAAAAGATTCTTAGACGTTTTGTAACTAGTTTAAGTATTACTTTGACATCTCTCATCTTTTTTCTTAAAACATTTCTTTGTCTGTGAATCAACAGAACATCTCTCATTCCTTAATCAATTCTTAAACGGTGTTTACTGTAACTCAGACAATTGAGTGCATCAGAGTTTAATAACATTTTGAAATTCTTTCACATTGAGAATCTTTTCCGAATTAATTTAGTGAGATCTATTCAAATCTCTCGCAAAACGACCGTTAGAGATTCCATTTAGAATAAATAATTCAGTATATTTTACTCATCGTTGAATTCTGTTGGTCGAATAAAACACCCACAAGTTGCTGAATATGTCAAATACTCCTAGCCATGAATTGATAATATACCTTTTCATTCAAATCTGTAACTATTTAGAATTGCATAAACCTGAAATTTTCAATACTAATTGACAGTTGGCTATGAAGAAGTTTCTATTTAAAATTCACGGAAATATTGTAAGCAATTAGTTGAATTATCAAGCAGGGTTCTGACGTCTATTCCATCTTTTTTTTTCCTTTCAGAGTGTATAATCAACTGAAAAAAAAAATTAAAACTACATTTGTGATACATCGCGCAGTGTTATCGATGGGATCCCTGACGTTAATATCCCAACAGATCGTGCTCTACTGGAGCTCAATTACTCTTATTACTGGTGTTTTTGGAGGAATTATAAATTGTATTGTATTTTTAAGTCTGAAAACATTTCGACAAAACTCCTGTGTGTTCTATCTCACCGTCATGTCATTTTTCAACATCGGTCAATTACTTATGAGCGTTTTTTCTCGTATAATGATATCAGGATTTGACATCGATTGGACACAAACTTCCTTGTTTTATTGTAAATTTCGACAGATGTTTCTACATTTATGCTCGTTGATGTCATTTTCGTGTATGTGTCTGGCCACTGTCGATCAATTCATGGTGACAAGTGTTCGCCGACGATGGCAATTGTTTTGCAATATCAAATTAGCACGTTGGCTTTCCTTCATCTTGACTCTCTTTTGGATTTTACATGAAATACCAGCATTAGTTTATTCAGATCATGTGGTTAAAGCTTCAAATAAAATCTCATGTTCAAATGTAAACCTCATTTATCAACAATATGTAGCTTATGTTTATGTCTTATTATTGACTGGTATTATTCCCATCATTATCAATATACTCTTTGGTTCGTTAGCTTATTATAATGTCAGACAAATACCGTATCGAGCAGTACCGATAGTTCGACGTGAACTGGACAAACAACTGACATCGATGGTTTTAGTTCAAGTTGTTTACAATGTTATTGTGGTTGTCCCATTCATTGTTGTTGTTATTCTTATGCAAAGCACAAATTTATCACGCGATTCAGATACCGCTGAGGCATTTAACTTCGCGTATACTATCGTCGGTAATTTGTTTTACATGTATTTTGTCGTAAGTTCAGAAAATCGTAGTAGGAGTCAAATCACTGTTGATTTTCTCGAAAATTTCAGGGACCATTCTACATATACATCTGCACATCCAAACGATTCCGACAACAATTTTTGTATGTTATCTGCCATCGTTACTACCAAGAGAATCAACAAAGGATTGTTATCATGCAGCAAATTGTACCATATCTATAGCGGAAAAGCACTTGTCTGATGAAAGACGTGTCGAGTAGACTCGAGATTCTTTTTATACTACAATTAATTACTGGTCGTTCATTTGAATTCAACATCAAAGAACCGCTCGAACTTTTGTTAGTTCTCGTAATTAAATCGACGCAAATATATATATATAACTGAAGAGGTTATTTGACTTACAGTTGCTCATTTGAAGAAAAATATATATTCATCTACTCAAATTAAGCTCTCAGATCTTTCATATGCGAAATAAAATGAACTTTGAAGTCTTTGCATAATTAGAATATATTACACAAGCAGGGTAACAAAACGAACATGATAAATCGAAGTGACTCTTCTCTAAATAGAATATGTCATTAGATAACTACATTTGTAGTAAAATGCGTTGATTGTTCTCAGTAAGCACGAACGAAAAAGAAGTCACATATGTTTGTACTGATGCACTGAGTACTAGGCTTGTAATGGCAAAACTTTATTGGCTGTCGTTCGTTGTTTTGGATTGAATCGAAGATTGCATAAAGCGTAAACTAACTGTTGACGAAATCTTTTGGAAACACAAACATAGATGTAGAATGGGCACTAAAAACAAATCAATAAACCGATATATCTGCGGATCTTTTATAAGAAACACTTACAGCATAAGTGAAATAATAGATGCAAGCAGATACATTGATGAATATGCTAAAATACGCGTTGGTGACAGGATCACTAGTAATGTTTGTTGCTAAAGAAATCACTGACAGGATGAAATATGGTAAAAGAAAGCAAAAGCTGAATATAATTTGAATTAAAACCATATTGGTCAATTGTTTGTCTAATTCTCGTCGCACGAGTGGTACTGTTCGATAAGCAATCTGTCGAACGTTTCTATAAGCTAAAGTTCCCAGTGTAACCGTAATGACAAGTGGTAAACCACAAGATAAAACCACACTATTCACATAAGTATGATATTGTCGAAAAATTACATTTGTCAATGAACAACTAACTGTCCCACTTGCTGCAAAAACTTGATTATAGAAAACTAGATACGGAGTACAATAGACAACCCAAATAACGATTGAGAGAGCACTTAACCGATGCGCTAATCTGATGTTACTCCATTGTTGCCAATAAACAGTAAAACAAGTTGCAAAAAACTGATCCATTGTTGCCAAACATAAACAAGTTAATGAAACTAAACCAAATGTCTGCACACTGAACTGTCGAAACTTGCAATAGAACAAGGACATGCTTGTCCAATCCATACCAAATCCAGTGATCACCACACGAGTCAATTGTCCTGTTATTAAATGCCCAATATTAACCAATGACATTAAAACCAAGTAGAACGCACATGAATTCTCGCGAAATGTTTTCAAAGAAAGGAAAACTAGTAGATTAAGAAGATTTCCGCTTACACCAACGATAACTGTGCACATTCCTACGTATAAAACGATGGATTGTGTAATACATGATGAGCAAAAAGCCACTGCCGATGACATTGTTGAGATTTGGAAACTAAAGCAACTTTTCCACGTCAATCTTCGATTTTAATGCACTACTAACACGAAATAAATCGTTACCGACTAATTTTGATGCTATTCCCAGATCAAATGAAATTAATTATCTTTTGCGAATGATTATATCTTCGGAGATTTATTAATTATTGCGATAATTTTCTTTCGCAACTTCTTCTCCTTTTATTTTCACCGATGTGAAAGTAAAATCTCCATTTTCACGCATCAATACCACATTAGCCGCATTCCACGCTAAGTTTCACCATAGTCATTGCTGCAAACTGAGCTGTCTTTATTAATTTTGAAAAGATTTCTTCTATTACAAACATAATACACTCACATTGTACAAATTTATCGAAATATTTTCATTAAATTCCCTGTCAGCTCTGCTTAACATAAACCATCTTCTATATGACAAGTCGTCGAAGGGCTCAAAGCGTTTCTTTGAACTTCAAACATTGTGTTCTTCAGCGCTTTTAACAGGATCATTGTTTCTCGGCGATCGAGGATTCGTTTACTACACAGTGTTCGTGTTTGTTCAAGATGCACTACGAAAAGGCTTAAACTTACAAAAAAATCTCTTATAAGATTACCAAATCGATATCCAAAGAAAGAAATTTTCAAAGTAGAAAGATTTACTTCATTAAGTTATTTTTACCATCTTATCCACTCGCACCAACGAACAGAAACTGCTTTTTTTCTTGATTTCATATCACGATATGGTAACGAACGGGTGAACACTTATAATATTCACAAACCCGTTCATTTTCGCTCAATTAATATAATAATTATATATTCATGTGCAAATACAGGTTTTTATCTAACTGTATCACGCATAATTCCAATAGTACCGAATACACCCTGAAGAGCAACAAGAGACTAGTAGAATTTGTTCTTCACTGACTGAAATTGGATACGATTGAAAGTGAAAATGTTCTTTTCCTCCAAATGGTTAATGACATTATCACACAGAAGGTCTTGCACATGCACAAATTTCTCTCTCTTGATCTTTTACTCATAAAACAAAATCACGCATGGCTCTTTTTATGATTAGTTTATGATTCGCTTATTTTGCATTATCGATCGACTTCTGATCATTCTTCTCGAAATATTCATCGTTGAATACCAATGAATTCGCCAAGAAATCAAGCTTCTTCAACACTTGCGCACAGCGTCTGTTCGTTATTAAAATCGGCGGAGAAAAACGTATTTTCGCTTTCACAAACTCAGAGTAAAACTGAAATAAAAAGCAACGATGAATTCAAGAACGAAACGAGTGCATCGCCTAGTATTCTGTCATTAGATAAAGAAGAAAAAGAGAAACGAATGGGCAATAAAATTATAAAAACTAAAAAGAAACGTGCCGATTTGACTGAACTTCCTGATCAGCAAATTGAATTTCTTGTTTCAACAACGAAATTTTCTGCTCAGCAAATTCGCGAATGGCATCAAAGTAAGTTGACTTCGACTTTGCCATCTTCGACATTCGAATCTTCTGCTCTTCAGGTTTTATTCGTGAGCATCCATCAGGTTGAATGAAGATCGATCGTGAAATCAAGTATATTCTCAGATTCATTTTGATTTGTAGGTAAACTTAATCGAAAGCAATTCGTTGACGTTTATCAACAATTCTACCCTCAAGGAAAAGTAAACTTTACAAGATTTGTCAAAATGAATGTTCATTGTTTAAATTGACATTTAGGCCGATGCATTCTGTGAATTAGCATTCAAAGTATGTGATCACGATAAAAATGGTCGGTATTTCTTGAGAATAGGTCAATCAAATGATAATGCATGTTTACTTTTAGGTTTCGTTGATTTTCAGGAATTTGTTTCGACTATTTCAATGACAATGAGTGGTTCGCACACATTTTTCAACACTTATTTTTCCTCTCTATGACAACTTCTAGGTAACATCGAAGATCGTCTGAATCTTGCGTTTGATATGTATGATATCAATGAAGACGGTTTACTTGATAAAAAAGAGATGAGTCCGTCGTTTTTTCCTCCTTTATCCAACATTGATCCAAACTATGATTTCATTTTTTAGGACAAATTATAAAATTGATTTACAAAATGAATGGACACAAATGTATGAAACAAGATTCACCTTCAGGACAGATTGTTCGTACAATAATGGATAGATTCGATACAGATGACGATCGGAAACTTACACGTGATGAATTTGTTCAAGAATGTTTGAATAATTCCGATTTACGAAAGTTCCTTACGCCTTGAGAAATCCTCTCCTCGTCTTTTCATTTCGATTGCCTTTTGAATAAATGTATGTGAATATGCAAATCGTCTTTAGTCATGTCCCTTGAGGCTACTTAATGATTGATGATCACGTGAGACATAAATAGTCAATTCTAACTTTTGTTTCTCCGAATCGAACAATGTGTTGATGACTCGTCAGTTATTTATCTGCATAGAAAGGAGAAAAACGAATGAAATGTGCAATTAAACTGATTGTTGTCGATGAAGCGTGACAAAAGAAATGACATTTTTTCGTTTTCTCTCTCTGTCTACTCTCGTCGACTTGATCATCGTCACTACCTTCATGGTAGTGATGAGTCTCACCATGTACAAAATCAATTTCAACATCTGATTCTCCTTTCCGGATCTCACTACATCTGATCATGTCTTTCAACGAATACTTGATCTTAATCATGTTTTCAGTTCATTTGTACACATGTTTTTCTTTTTCTTCGATAATAAACTGTGGATAACAATGTGCGACACCTGTTTATTTTTACACGTAATATATATATTCTTCTCTCGCTGGTTCGTACCTTGACAAATGCACGTAGATGAATGAAAATGGGAAAGAGAATTCTTTGTAACAATGTCGAATAGTTGAACGAGCATCTGATTAGGTATGTTCATGACGAAGACCGAACAGAACAGTGCAAATCAATCAATCTTTTAGACTGACGATGGATGCCGATTATGTTTTACCGTGTCGAAAATTTGCCTTTAGTATCGGACATTTTCTCAATGATCTTTGTGCATCTGTTTGGTTTTCATATTCATTGGTGTTTTATCATCGGATAGCGAAATTCTCAAATAGTTCAGCAGGCTACTTGATTTTGATTGGTCAAGTAGCTGATGCAATATCCACGACATTTGTTGGTTTAGCTTCGGATCGAACTAAACATGGTTTATGTGGAAAAAGAAAATCTTGGCATCTGTTGGGTGAATAAAACACAATAGTTTCTTTTTCGTTCTTCTTTCATTGGATTGATTTAGGAGTGATTTGCGTTCTTTGCTCATTCCCGTTTTGTTTCCGATTACCGAACGAGACTCTACTGTCGTCGTCATTTCTTTACTATACAATATTTATCCTTATATTTCAATTTGGATGGGCATGTTCGCAGATCGGACATTTATCCATGTTAAATGAATTAACACCGAAAGAAGATGAACGAGTAGCATTGAATGCTTACCGACATGCTTGGTCTATTGCTGCTAATATATTCGTCTATACAGTGACTTGGCTACTCATTGACAATACTCAAGTTAGAGAGAATAATCAAATGAATGCAAATGTCTTTCGAGTAAGATGAACGTGATTTTCTCTACTAAAATATCGAATTTGACCGATAGATATTAACAAATATTATTATCATTACTGGATTTTGTACTTCACTGATATTTTATTTCGGTTCGAAGGAATTATTAACTGTAACAAGTATGAAAGATCAAATGTTTGGTTCTGATGTGAACTGAATTTTCCTTTTAGAGAATTATCAGTTTTTACCGATAGTATCTCGTAGTTGGCGTGAATTTTTCATGGATTCACAGTTTTATCTGATTGCATTGATTTGGATGTTAACACGTGTGATTAGCAATCTCTCGCAAGTTTATTTACCATTGTATATCATGGATACAACGGATGCCAGTCAAGTTGATCGGGTTTGTGTCAGTGAAAAAAGCGAAATCTGAATACTTGACACGATTTTGTAGACTTTAATTGCAACAGGTCCATTGTGTGTCTATGTAACCGGTTTTATCACATCGTTTCCAATGCGAACAGTAAATCAATACTTAGGTCGAAAAGTGACAATGGTTGTCGGACTTGGTGCTATTCTTTTCTCCTCGTGTCTTTTCTGGTATATCTTTTTCTTGAATGAAAAATTCGGCATTTCAATGCAATTAATTATATTACTCGGATCATTTCTACTCGGCATTGGGATTACTACTGCACAAATAACATCGAGTGCATTCACATCCGATTTAATCGGACAAAACACAGTAAACTTGACAAATTTTGTGTTCAATAAGAAAAAGATTCTTTTATAGGAAACAAGCGCATTTGTCTACGGAACGATGTCATTTTTGGACAAACTAGCAAATGGATTAGCAATCGCATTCATTCAACAGTATAACCCTTGCAGGTAATGGAAAACTTTCGAAAGAATGATTTTTGTAATTGTTTTTTTTGTCCTAAGTGTCTGTCCAAATTGTTGTCCGTTGTTTTATCGACGAATTCTTTCATTTCTACCTGGAATTCTTACGATTGTAACATTGTTTGTCTTGACAAGTATTGGCCGTGGACATACTCGAGGCGAGAAAATGCAATATTCGATCATTTCTCTGTGTAATCGATTGGTGCAACGAAGTTTGAAAGTGATATTGACAAAAATTGTTTGATAAACTCTTCTCTAGATCTATTTTTCTATCTGATAACAAATTTAACTCGTGTGCAGCGAGAAATCATGTGAAAATATTTTCGATAATTCTGATTTCCTAGTAAAGTCGTCATGCGACTGAAGAAATTCGTTAATCAACGAGTGAAAACTAAAAATAATCCATTTGTCATACTTTCGATGGAAATTTACATATAAATTAGATGTTTATTTTTGCTTAGCAGCGTTCTTCAACATACTTCTTTATTCAAACTTTTTCGTCGTTATTATTCGATTTTTGTCTTCGAAACCGAGAAAAAAATCACTTTATTCCATCAATTGTCTTCCTCATTAGCACTTCTTACAATTTAGTAAATTCACATGACATCATCTAAGACGACGAAGAGAGTCTGTGTGACTTGTCAGAAAGGTGGAGATGTGTTTATGTGTCGTGGTTGTCAACGAATCTTTTGTCCTGTACATGTCGATGAACATCGCGAAAAAGTCGCTAAAGATGTGGAGAAATTAGCTGAAGAACATGAATTATTACAACGTGACATGAATCGTGATCATGAAGTGCAACTTCTTTCGTCAATGATCGATACGTGGGAACAGGAATCGATCGAAAAGATCCATCGAACGGCGACTACGGCTCGATCGGATTTACAACGATGGCTTGAAAGAAACAATACCGAGGTGAAAGTTCCGTTCGCACAAATCACCAGTGAAGTTCGAGCATGTCAAAAGTCGGAGAATTACACGGAAATTGATCTGAAAAGATGGATACAACAATTAGAGGAATATCGAAACAAAGTCGAAAAAGCGCCAGTCATCGATATGTTAGACGAAGAAGACTCGATATACATTCATTTAATCAAACTACGCGAAAATACCAATGATTTAGCCCATAATCATTTTCTCAATGGATCAACTTTGACACTTAATCAAAGTATGTTGAGTTTTCAAGACACAACACTTCTCGTTCGAGAACGATTCGACGAAATCTACGGACCAGCTGAAATTTTCGAAGATGGTCTTGTTGCTGCATATGCCGGTGCTTGGTTAGGATATTCCAGTGTTTGTGGGATTAATAACTATTCTTCCGGAACGCATCACATTCGTTTTCGCATTTTGGAGAAATTTTACGATTCACCGTTCTTCGGCATCGTTTCCGCCTTGCAAACGAACATGGAACATTCATTAGAAACTGTGTCCACACATGGTTGGTGGAATTTTGATTGCTCGATTATTCGCGGCGAAAAAGAACAACGCACCGAACGCGATAAAATAATTCGAATATCCGACGAATTAACCCTAACAATCGATTGCGAAAGAACGCAAATATTTCTTAAACATCATCGATCCAGAAGACTTCTACACATACCTGTTGATGTTCGATCGTGTCCTCTTCCGTGGAAATTGCTGGTTGTTTTACATCGTCGTGGTGATTCAGTACGAATCATCGGTGGAACATTGAATTTAACGAGAGAAAACCTTTCGAGTCGATTGAGTCACAAACGCAAACCTTAATGAAAGAGAAAAAAAGGTTTTTCGACTGAAAATGTACTTGTCAATTTCAAATAGATAAATAAATTATCAGTATGCTGAAATTTTATGCAGAAAGAAAATCACAAGAAGCATATTCTAGTACAAGGTCGAACAAATCAATAAATATATTTTTCTTTTAAATCTAATCTGATAAGATGATATTGGTAAAACAACGAAAGACTAACTTACAGACTAAAGTCCAATCTTCATCAACATTCCTATGTGTTTTTTTTTCTCTTCGTTTCACAACTTTCTTCTGATTTTGTACTCGACAATTAATATTGTTTGTCAAGAAACGAAAGACAAATAGATATGTACATATTGCTTAGGTAAATTATCCGTAGTCATGTTCACATTGAAATAACAATACCGTTTAGTAAACATCTGATTAGTTGTCGTTTGCTCGATCCAGCCAGCTGTCAATTTCCTTTTGTATTCAAAAGCTCAAATAAAAGAATTCTTGTTTTTTTAATTAACCGTTCACTGTTCCACCCACCTGCATTATATAGTCAAACACTTGAATGCTGGAGAGAAAAAGTAAAAGATCAAATTCGATATGACACATTCATTGTCAAGCATTCCACTCATTCATATCATACGTAATTCATGTATTGTTCATGAACAGATTAGCAACTATATGATCAGCTCGAAGTTGCTTACGGTCGTTGATCTTTTTCTTCATTGACAAAGTTACTGCCCTGAAGGAGACTCGTGCGAACATTCAATGCTCAATCTTGAGTGTTGTTTCGTTTCAATCATAGACACATATCAACAACATTGAGCAAAGCAATCAAGCATCGCTAATTATAATCTCAGGTAAAAACATCCGTTTAATGAACGATGATGAAATTCTTAAAATGAAAAATGATTCATTAATCGGATTTTTTTCTCTCGACGAATCTCCTTGGAGATTAGTATATCTTCCGATAAATGATGAAACTCATTTCGACGTTCTTGATTGAAAAAACTCAACTTCATCAATATATTGACTTTTTCTTCTCTCTTCTTTTTTTTTCAGCACGATAAATATCTTCGAATGTTTTCTCATTGGTCACTATTTTCTTCTCTATCCTATCCTGTTATTCGCTCGTTCTCGCTCTCCTATATTTGCATTGATATTCTTGTTATTGCTCGCAAAAGAGAGAGAGAGCAAGAGAAAAAAAGATTAGATTATTCAAACGACTTTTTCTTTTATCAAACACCAATCTATTATCAATGCGTTTGCTATTAAATCAAACTGGTCAAATGTCTACAAGTTCGAAAATCTTCTCCGATCACGAAAGCGACGAATTCGACGAGGACGAAATGATGGTGGATTATGACAATTCGACTCATCGATCACCACTGACAAGAAAATACCCTCAACGTTCGTCTATCTCCAAACGAATGTCGATTAAAAACGGTCGAAAATCTTCACTTCCCGTCAAGAAACGATCAAGTCTGAAACGATCATCGAAATCGCCCCGCTGTTACGATCCATTCGATGGTTTTGATATGGACGATGCCAATGAAACCGACTACTCTCATCAAACCAGTGGTCAACGACATGCCGCCAATCTACGTGAACGAAAACGTATGCAGTCCATCAACGATGCTTTCGAAGGTCTACGCACACATATTCCTGTTCATCCTTATGAAAAACGTTTGTCGAAAGTCGATACACTTCGTTTGGCAATTGATTACATTGCATTTCTCAATCGCTTGCTAACGAGCACATCTCAAACGGATTCGATCCATCCACTGCCTCAACCATCGCATCGGTTTCGTTCTCACCCGTCTCATCCTCATGGCAACAATTGTCCAGCATTGACAAAAAAGAAGATTATTCTCGATTATCGACCAATAATAACGGAAGAAAATAATGAAAGTAAGATATGGACAGATCATTAGATATCAACTTAATAAGCGTAAATAGATCAGACACGTTTACCTTCGATGACTCTCGTTTAAGTAACCAGTCGGAAGAAAGTATTCTTATTGATCAAACAGTTCGGATGAATTATTTTTCTTCTTCTTCTTCTTCTTTTGGATACACATGTTGATGTTTATTTAAAACGAAATCTGTCTTAATTTGTTGCGAAAAGAGAAAAAAAACCTGATCTATTTGTTTTGTCTAATCATAGACACGTGAGATAGAATGTTTTGATATTCGTTCGAAAAAAACAGTAGTTATTCTTGTTGTTAAGTTCTCTTGAGGGAATATTTCGTTGTTGCCGAGTTGACTTAGGGCGAGAAACAGAGAAGAGAAGATATTGGCAATCGAACACTTGAAATAGTGTGAATATGTTGATAAATTTATCATCATCATTTGTCTCGAAGTTTTGTTTGCCAATCAGACAACATCGACTCTCCGCTGAGTGTATTCAAATATAAACAAATTGAAACAAAAAGGAAGCAAAGAACAATTTGCTCGAAAATATCGACAAATGATGATGATTCAATACACTTGAGAGGAACGAATTAGTAGCTGAAAAATCAGCTGCCGGAGACAATGACATGGCGAATAAAAATAGAAACTAAAAGTGTTTATTCTAGCTGTTCATGTCCAAATTGGCTGACGAACTAAGTATCTATCATCTATTGTCTCCACTTCAAATCCATTTATCATCATTTCAAGCTAATGAGAATTGTTTTCCTCCTCGGAAAAATAAAGATGTTCGACTTGATTCTTTTTTCCCTTCCCTGTTGTCCCAGCTGGTCAGTGGTCGCGTGCCTCCGCCCATTTATCATACAAACTATATCATAGTCATTAGAATCAGTCGGCCAAATCGACTCTTGTCTTTGTACATATACATTTGATCTTTTACTAGAATGACACTAACCGCAAGAAGTAAATCATCACGTATCTCATTTGGTTTTAGTTAATTTTATGAATAGAAAAGAAGAAAAGAAACGAGACCGCTTTCAATTAGTTGCTTGTTTAGTCGTTAGTGATCGTTACATCATTCAAGCTAGTTCCTCTTCACTAATCGATAAGTGTTTACCGCTATTTTGTTTGATATGATGTATGTTTTTATTTCTCAATATCACCAACGATACGGTCAGAAATCAAGTTGTCTATCCAATAACTTGAAAGAGTGAAAAGTGGCCCATCATCTTCAATGATCCTAACCGGTATCGGACATGAATGTGAAAGAGAAGAAAACACAGAAATATGTATTTGTAACGGATTATTTTCTGTTATTGCCTATGGCTTATTTATTCTCACCGTTGAGAATAGAGAAAAACAAAAAGTTGAAACATTGAATTGAAATCTTCTCTTTGTTTTGCAGAACAAATGATCATAGGACATTCTCTATCATGGTATGACTCATCATTACATCATTTGGTTCATCATGCATCTATTGCTGCACCTGGTTGTAACATCTATCATTCGGACATCGTCGTTGTGTCAACCAATGTCTGGGTACCGGAAATGCTTTCTGCGTCGTCATCGTCGAATTCACTTCATGCGTCAACTTCACCAACATGCTCAACTATTCCTATGGCTTTATCAGCGCGAAATCATCATTTACCTCTCTCGGTTCATCAAAGCGATGATAGTGAAGACGATCATCAACATCATCGCCGTCACCATCGAGACGACGAAGACAATGTAAATTTAAATGATTTAAATCCTAATCATTTACAAGAAATTCCTTCACAATGGGATATGTCAATCAATGGCAATGATTTTCTGCCTGTTTATAACAATCATCATCATCTTCATCATCATCATCATCAACAACAACAACAGCAGCAGCAACAGCAACAAGCACAGACAACGATCTATGACGATGATTCTGTTTGGTATGAACGATTGAGATCGATGGCAACATCAATTGGTAGTGAACAACAATCATCTTCCGATTCATCATCGAATGACATTCAACAACATCATCAATTATTCGATGTTTATTCTCAACATCTTCCTCCACCGATGATGACTGCTGTTGGTCTTGATCCGCATATGAACTATTATTCAACAAATCATTCATTTGATCATTATCACCATCATCATCACATCCCCGAATATCAGACAATGTTTTCGTTTTAATCTTTCTTCTTTCTCAGACGGAAAATAAAAAATAACAACAACTTGTAAAAGAGCAATGAGTGTGAAATTTTAGTTTAAATAAAGTATTACAATAATCATGTATTATAATCGAATTGAAAAAAGCTTATTTGATCTCTAACAATATGGATCAATATGAGTAGATATCAAAGACGGAAGCGAACAGCGATTAGTATTTTCCGAGCGACATTCAAAGATTGGTTAGTAACCACGCCTTCGGCTCTTTTCTTCATTCGATCTTATAATTGTATGTTCATGTCATCTAGTAATCGATATCGTAGATGAAAAGAAAATCGCTATAAGACACGTTTAGTCGTTTTGTCTACTAGTCAAATCTTATCGACGAATAAGAAGCAGGCGAGTTATCAGAACACTCGATCGTATCAGCGAAATGGTGAGAAAAAAAAACAGATTTAATAAGTTTTCAACTTGATGAAAAAAAAGTCATGCCTGTCAAGGTTAGATATTGGAAATAACTGATGGCTTCTTCTTTGAACAAGTTGATTAATCTGTTATGAAAAGATGTTCGGAAGACAAAATCATAATATTTGAGATGAAAAAACGCAGAAGTCGATGAATTCGTTTGACATCAAAGATGCAATCCTTTCGAAGACTGTCAATTGAAAACAAATAGACCATCGCTCCGAGGCAATGGTTGATAACGAAAGATTAAATATATTGACATACGACGGAAATCAGAACAATATTCCTCTCCTTTCTATTTACCTTATTCATATTAAACATGTTTGTACTTTCTTTTCGTAATATGTCTATATAATCAATGATGAAATAGCATAAATTGCGATTCCGCTTCGTTGTATACAAAGCAAATGAGTAATACACGATAATGATGGAAAAGTAAGGCTAGGAGAAGGAGACATGTGTATTGTGCGTCATTTCTTTGCGATAGAAAAATCGATCGATCAAACTGAAAATAATCGAAAGTTAACAGTTGACATGTACGCGGATTGTATAACTTCGATTAAATCAAAAGAAATTTCTCCATTGCATTTCTTTTTCTTCGTCGATTTATCATTAACTTTTTTTTTATTCGTTCTATCAAGGTGTTGTCTTTTCTTTTCTTCTTTTCACGTGTTTATTTATGTACATAAGTGAAGCAGAGTGCGATGAGATTATACATATACTTATTAGTCTTGTTTCAAATTGAAATTGGACTCGCGATCCGATGTTACTCATGTGTGGGGAAGACCGGCAGCAAGAAATATGCTGATGATCCATGTTTGAACCCGGCGAAGAATCTTGGCGATGGAAATGTAAAAGAAATTGAGTGTTTGAATACGAAACTATGTTGGAAAGCGATAACAGCTGGCCAGTTGAAACGTGGTTGTGGAGAAAAACGATGTGCTTTCATTCCGGATATCAATATGGGTTCGGTGATTAGTCAAACATGTTGTTCGAATGATCTATGTAATCGAACATCAGTTATTTCGGCGTCCCAATGGGTTGTTTCGTCTTTGTTCATTGCATGTTTTACTCTTCGATTAACTTTTTAAATATTGAAAGGAAAAGCTTCGCTTTTTGTGTACTTCGCTTAGAAAAATTTAATAAAATTCTTTTCTTTTCTGTTTAATGCATTGCTTTAACTCCCGATGGGCACATAAGAGAAGAAAAGAGTAGATTTTTCTTCTTATTCGACATCTTTCTATTCTACACTTTTCGATTACCTATTTTCTTTCTTCTTTCTTCTTTGTGCTCATGTTTGTCAAGATCCTTTTCTTTATGCATACACACTTACAATTTGATGTTTATCATCATCGCCATGACACACGGAGGTAGAGAGAGAGAGAGAGAAAGGGACAGACAGTGCCGTTGTGACTACAGATCGATTAATGACGATACAAACAATTTTATTCAAAGAAGAAAAAAAAAGCTTTCAAACACACTGCTAATGTTTGAATGATTTTGATTAAAAATAAGTCGATTTTCCTAGTTGAAACTAAGTGTTACGTTTCATTAACCAACTGCTAATCACAAAACGCTAATATGAATGACGAACTTTTGCTAAATGATACACTTCTAACGTTCTACTTGTGATTATTCTTTAGATTGATTATGACACGGAATTCTTTGAGCGAAGAAAGTTTAGTTCGATTCGAACAGTATCTCAGTACGAATCCGTATCGTGAATATTCTATGAACAAACCGTACTTTCCGCGAACGTCTCATGTTTTATTACATTCAACTCGTCAAATCCCACAACAGCAATCTTCGATGCTCGCTTTTCATCAATCATTGAATAATCCGAAAAATTCGTCGACACTCGACCGCATCGCCTATAAACTTCGAATGAAATCCGACTTGAATATCGATACACTTCGTGAAACGGATGCTCGCCGTCGGCGTCAACAACGAAATCAACAACATACACCATCGCAGAACTATCTAAATTTAGAAGCAAGCGATATTACTAGTTCAATTTTCCCATCAACCACGACAACAACAAAAACACTACCCCGACAGCCGCCATCGACCACTATGCCAGCAGAAACGATGAAGACATTAGCTAATGAAGATCTAAACGGTATCGAAGGTAATGCCGTTCGTGTCGGAACTGTCGACGATCTTGTCAAACGATTCCGTCCGGTAGATTATCAACTCGCTCATCCTCCCATCGATTTCCTTGAAAGCCCATCGACGTACGATTCCACAAATCTGTTAAAACACAATCGAACCGTCGAAGTTAAATCGCATTCACATCACCAACAAGAACGTATAATCAAAGAACCACAAGCATTAACTGAATATCGATTCAAAACTCCAACACTCCCAAGTATTTCGAGACGAATGCGTCGAGAGTCGGCCAATCGTCAAGGAAGATACTCTCAACCTCGAACACGAGATCAGTACACAAACACTGACAATCCAACAGATGCATCTTTATTGAATCAATGTCCATTGAATTCACCGGACACACATCGACAAAGAATGAATAACTCCACTAATCAACCACAGCACGCATCGGAAATCAATCTATATAATAAACGAGTTCAAGAATCACGTGAAAAGAGTCTAATGCGTACAGAAAAGCAATTGTGTGTTTGTAATAAATTGACTATCATTGATCCATTTACCTCGAATAGTGATCCTATGGACACAGTCATTGATCAATTTCACCATCAACAAATGCCGACAACAACAACAACAACAACAACAAATTATATATTTCCTCCTGTGCGCCCATTTGGTTATTTCACGAAGAAATCCCTGAGTGAAGAAATGCAACAAACAGCAAATATCGCATCGCTTTCACCACGTCATACAAAAAAGCATGGAATTACTAAAAATCTCCATCAAGTATCCAAACATGCATCCGACACATTTGAGAAAACTGGTCATTATCGAACATTTACCGGTCGAATCAAATCAGTCGATAGTCTGTCGGACTACGATGATGACGATGAAGATAATGCCGATAACAGTAATCCACGACATAACACAACCGTCGCTGGTGGTCCCAGCGTTCCTGTTACTCTTGTGCAAAATATTACTGATGATGACGAACTATAAAATTGCATTAGTGAAAGAGATTTCTTTGAATGTATATATGATGTTATGTTAATGAGTTTCTCTAAGATTTTATACGTTGAAAAGTTGTTGCATGTATGTGTGTGTGTATTTAATTAAAGTATGAGGTTCCAGGAAGATTTATTCGTATTGTTTATCAATAAGTATTGTCAAATTGATTCCATAGTTGAATTTAAAGAAAATAATCTTCACAAAGATGAATATAGAGTTAAATAAATGAAAGACGTCAAATCAAAAGTTCAGATTCAACCAATGAGATGATTTATTTGTTACTTGAAGTAAAACGAGATATTTCATGATCAGATCTAAATAGAACAAATAAACAAACTTTTCTTGATATTTTTTTTCGTGCTTATGTATTACCCATAGACCACATCGTCGTCAGAATCGTTGAGCATCGAGAAAGTTGGATTGTCATGGAACAATGAATCAACAGCGGCGTTCTTTGCTGGACTATACACGTATGCCATAGTGTATAGGTACAGATTAATAACACTGTGAAAGGTGAGAAATTCAACTGAATTCTTGTAACGTGATGCCAATTCAGGAACGAAGTTTTCTTTCATAATGTCCGATCCATATCGAAGTGTTGTAATCACAATTAAGATACACACAACGCAAAGCATTAGCAGAGTAGCGAATTTCAAACGAATATCTAAACAATGATTAAGAATGACGATTTTGTTTTTCATAATCTATCCAACATACCGAAGTACGGTGTATTGCGAAGCTCGCTGAATGCTCGGATAATTAGGAATAGTAAATACAGAACATAAAGTATTCCAACAATGTAAAATATAATACGAATTGCCTTAAGGAATACACAACGAAATTGAACATGTGTTTTCCGATTGAATAAACTTAAAAATTACCGTGAACGGCCGTATGTCAATAGTAAGATTGTACATGGGATCACGAAATTCTTGTGCGATACGTGCTGATGAAAGCACAACAGAGACCATCCAAAGGATACCGATAAGAATGATTTTTGGAAGATAAAATGGAACAAATCGACGAATATTCTAAGATCAAAGAAACGATGTATCCAAAAGATCTAAATCAAGAACAAACTTGACGAATGCCATGATAAACACTCAGCCAAAACAGCAATAACACTGCCAGAAAAGTCGTTTGCAGTATTCCATCCAGAATCGATGTAAACGAATTATTCAATAAAAACGTCAACGGGTAAAATGGATCTAAATACAATCAACATTCTCCGATGATCTAATGTATTCATTGACCTAGTACAAAGAAGGTTACTCAATTTCAATTACATGTCTATAACTAATTGACATATTGTTCTATATTACATATTCGATAATGAATACATCTTCATTTAATTTGTATCATTTATTTATGACCTTTTATGGCAATGATAAGGTAAATTACGATTCTGACCGAAAAATATCTCTACAGGTCAACGCTTTGTATTCATTAGTGATGTATATTACTGTACCGTTATAGAAAACGAGAAAGATGAGAAGAAAGACCATCCATCGTTGTTCTAGTGACCAATCGAGAATGGAATATCGTTGCATGGATTTCGTAAATAGACACTGGAAAAATCTCATTGAAATAAAAGATGTTCTTCATTGAATTATTTACATACTGTTATAATAGTAGTGCATATTAAAAAGAAAAAGCGACAGACGAGCTCGTATTGAGTATATTTTGAATTGAATGTATTGAGCTGTGAAAAGAGAAAGAGAATCATTCGAAGAAGACATGAATTACAAAGCTTACAAAGAACTGGACATTGCTGATTTGATTCTGATTGATTCCATTTAATTTCACTTCAAATCGATACGAATTTTCATTTAAAAAACTCAAATGAAACAGTATCAATTGATTGCAAGCCTAGAAATAATTAAAAAAAACGAACAAGGTTAATCGAGGGTGATAAGCGCACGTGAAAAATACACTTCGCCTTGATGTAACTATTTCTAACCTTATTTTCTTTTCTAATATCATTACACGTACGTTCAAGGTATACAGACACATCATTCACATCCCCGTCACTAACCAATCAACGTTTTATTCAACCTTAGTGTCGATTAACGACTGCATGTTAATTCGAACTTGTAACTGACACTATTAACATTGGCAACAAGCAATCAAACAACCATCGAACAATGAAACTAATGACATCGACAACACGAACAATTCAATCTCCTTCATCAGACCGACGTTACTATCAAACGATACGGAGTAAAACAAAAGAAACTTGAGATATGGATTTATTATACTAATATAAAGGAGAGATTTCGGAAAAACCTAACAAAAGGAAACCACGTACACAGTACAACAACAAAAAGTACAAATGACATAGCACAGTTGTCTATACGTTTCGAACCATACAGACGAATATGTAATACAGAAATATGAAAAGAAATAGTAGAAGACAAAAGACAACAGCACCAAATGAACAGATAGAAACTTATTGAAAATATAAAATAAAGTGTAAAAAATGGAAATAAACCAATATAAAATATGTCTAAAATAAGGCGTAAATAAAAGATCTGATAAGGAATAGAAAAGGAAAGAAGGAACTCGTTTGTAACGTTCATTGATCAATTTATACTAATGATAAAGGATCAACATAATACAAATCATCACTGATGTTGTTGCTGTTGTTGTTCCTGCCTGTTTAATTAAATTCATTCGGGATTATGATCGATTAATAAAATAGTTCTTATTAGAATAACTGTCTATAGGGAGCACGACCTATTCCACGATTGAATCCACCGATACCACGTGATGGTAAACCAGAAGCCGTAAAGCCATATCCTGGACCATAGGAGAGAGATCCACCATACAAATCATCTGTGAATGGGTCTAGACTACCACCAACTGTCGTGGTAAAGCCAAAGCCAATAGGTACACCACAGATTCCTCCAAAACCACTAAAAATAAACAAGATCGAATTTATATATCTCATCTAAGTAGGGTCATTCTAGCGATACCCTGCAGGGAGGCCACCATAGGCTGCTAGGCCACCGCCGCCACAGCCTCCTAATGGACCTCCGTAAGCTCCCAACCTATAGAGCAAAGCAAAACGAAAAATAAAGCAAGCGAGGCGATGGCATCCTTGACCTACCCGCCACCAAATGGACCACATGGACTTGGACAACACATTGGTGGCGGACAACACATTGGTGGTGGTGGGCAACACATTGGTGGTGGTGGACAACACATTGGTGGTGGTGGACAAAACATTGGCGGTGGTGGTGGACAACACATTGGTGGTGGAGGACAGCACATTGGAGGCGGTGGACAAGGACAAGGAACTGGTACGGGCACTGGAATACATTGTGGTGGACCTGGAACAGGAACAGGAACAGGACATGGTTGTGGTACAGGAACAGGGCATGGTTGAGGAACAGGAACGGGCACACACTATGAAGAAAAGAAAAAACCAAATGTGTCGCTAATTATTTAATGGTCCATTTTGAGCCAATTTACTTGGGTAGGACCTGGAACAGGAACAGGAACTGGACAAGGTTGTGGTACAGGGACTGGACATGGTTGTGGGACTGGTTGAGGAACAGGAATGCAGCTGTAATATTAAAGAAAAGAAAGAAGATAATCAATTGATGTATTCTTTTTTTAAACTAGTATACATACACTGGTTGACAAACCACTCGTTCAACAGGGACAGGGCACGGTACTGGGCATGGTTGAGGAACAGGTACAGGCACACACTATAATTATAAGTAAATATGGTCAACGATGAATGCTTTTAATTGTGAATTGAAGAAACGAATTTCATACTTGGATTTGAGGTTGTGGAACAGGAACTGGCACAGGACAAGGGTAAGGTTGACTAGACAAGGATAAATGAAAATTTGAACTATCATGTTTTCAAATGCAGATGATTACTTACGGTACAGGAACGCATTCGCGTACAGGAACTGGAACGGGACATGGTTGTGGCACAGGTACGGGACACGGTTGGGGTACAGGCACAGGACATGGTTGAGGAACAGGAACAGGTACTGGACATGGTACTTGTTGAATGATTGGCGGCGGAGGACAGGGTGGAGGACATGGCATGGGACATGGCATGGGACATGGCATCGGTGGGCATGGCATTGGACAAGGTGGAGGACAGCATCCACCGAATGAAGCACTACTAGTAAATGGGAGGCCACCAAAGCCGCCAATTGAGCTGCCATAGCCGCCTAGACCACCCATTGAACTGCTGAATCCAGTACCGCCAAATCCACCAAAACCAGACATTGCACCACCACTAAAACTTCCCGCGAACGGATTAATTTGAGCTCCATAACCTGCTAAGCCTTGACCGAACGATCCACCTGCGTAGCTACCATCAGCAGCATAGTTGCCGATGGTGCTCAACCCCCCACCAAAGCCGCCACCAAAACCTGATGCACCACCACCAAAACTACTACTAGAAAAACCTCCTAGGCCACCCATTTGTGGGTGTCCATAACTAGCTCCTGCACCATAACCTGGTGTTAGTCCTAAACCGGGGGCTCCTCCTAAACCCTGTGTTAGTCCTACACCGGGGGCTGCTCCTAAACCTTGTGTTAATCCTAGACCCGGAGCTGCTCCTAAGCCTGGTGCTAATCCAGAGCCTGATGCTCCACCGTAACTTGGAGCAGCTCCACCGTAACTTGGAGCTGCTCCGCCGTAACTTGGAGCTGCTCCTCCGAAATTAAACCCTTGGGTTCCGAAATGTGCTGCTCTTGGTAGTCCACCAAAGCCCTGAGGATTGGCACCATAACTAGAGAGAGCTGATTGGGACGCGTAAGACGTTGGGGCACCAGCACCAGTTATATCATAGGTGTAAGGATTTTGTGTGTAGGCCTGTGGTGGTGGCGGTGCTGCTGGTTGAGGTGGATACATTGCGGTATTGGCTACGCCTTGTATGTTAGATGGGTTATATCCGAACGGAGCACTGCCTTGCGGTGCTTGCGTTCCTTGATAACGCTCGTATCCAGTTTGTCCATATCCTTGTGGAACTTGGTGCTGTGGCATGCAACCTTGTGGAGGGACATGTTGCTGTGGTTGAGCATAATTGTTGTTATTAGCATTCTGATAATATGTTCCGCTCGTATTGTATCCTTGCCCTGTATGGCCGTAACCCGCCCCGTATGCTCCGCCGCCAGCAGCTGGTGTATTTGCACCGCTCGAGCTTCCATATTGATTCAAAGTTTCTTGTTGATGAATTGGACAAGGATGGCTACGAGGAGGTACACGAATGACTTTACGTACGACTTGTGGCGGTTCAGATGGTTCATAAACAGTTCGTTCTTGGATACGTGGTGGCGGAGTAGTTGGTTCTTCGATAATTTCTTCTACAATTTCACTTGGTTGACGACGAATATAGACACGTTCAAGTATATCTGGTTCTGGTGTTGGCATTCGATGCCGAACTTGTCGTACAGGACCTGGTTGGTCTGGTAAACGTATGGCCTGACGACGAATGCGACCTTGTCGACGATTTTGGTACATATCACCTGATTTACAGTTAGCTTCGCTACCATAAAATGATTCACCATAACCACTGAATGTTCCGTAAGCTCCTCCACCACTGCTCGTATTATACTGCTGTTGTTCATAGTAAGTACTTCCACCAACACTTCCTCCAACTGGTGTCTGCTTTTGAGTATACGACCCAGCTGGATACCGCTTGTAATTGTATGAACTCGACGAACTCGTGCTTGTTGTCGTACTGGATCGTTTTCCATGGCCTTTATGACCACCAGCATTGCTAATGTTTTGTGTTACACCACCAACCGATCCATTACTGCTTTCTTGTAGTCTTGAAGACGATGTGTACGTTGCTGTTTGCGTTGTGAATTGATTGTAAGGACCCATTCCTGTGTGGGTTTACTCAAACTAGTTGTGCTTTTTAAATACGAGAGTATTCAGAAGAATACTGTAGGGATCTTTTACGAAATAGCATATACTCGAAATACTCGCTACGCATGTTCAATCTATTTGAACAAGAACTCAATATATAGCTTCCATCAGTATGAACAGCAGAGAATAGGGAACAAACAGTCATCTCACAATGATCTGTCTTCTTCGTTATCTCACTTTCACTTCTCTCTCTCTCTCTCTCTCTCTCTCTCTCTCTCTCTCTCTCTCTCTCTCTCTCTCTCTTCTCGTTGTGTACATGATCTTCGATAGATAATACACAGATGTATATAGATATTCTATGTGTTAGTACTTCTGGTGATGGTGATGGTGACGATGGCGACAGTGGTTATATTTGAAAAAGGCTGAGAATTGTGGAAAAACAAAAAAGAAACAAAAGACTACAATGCTTACCTAAAATTTAACGAAGTAGATATTGTATATCGTGAGGACGTTCAATAGAATATGAAATAGACTGACGAGAAACAGGAGTATTTATAGGACCGTTTCCTCTACGGCCATGAATATCTTTTTTTCGCTCCTGACCCTGATCAGTCTTGGTAATATATATAAAAAAAATTGGATTCAGAGAGCGAAGGGCAGCAATATGTAGCATTGCTTACTCGAGCACATCAAGGTTTACGGACACTATTGTACATTTGCAAACAATTTCTTTTTGTTCTACGGTTGTTCATCGATGAATGATAGGAGAACAAGAGAAATAAGAACCTTCTTTCTTAATTAGAATGATGCGCATGTAATTGCGAAAAAGGTACATATTGCGCGATCGATTTGATTAGTTGCAATCGTGTATTATAACACGTGCTTCGCTCGACCGAACATATTTACATACATGTGGCTTTGAATATCTATACAAACAAACACTGATGAACCCTGTATTTGAAGGTGATTGATAAAAGAGAGAGTGTGCAAACGAATAAATTTAATACGATTACGGATAATTATAACGTGATACGTACACCTTTCTTAATCGCGACAAATATGCACTCAATAATCTTGCACTGCAGACGCTCATTTATCATATGTATAAAAGAATGTGAAAAAGATTCGATTTTGATCATTTTTTTATTTGCTGACAAATAAGGTCAAAGGTATAAGTTATATGAAGCCTCTGTCTATCTATTAATGAGCTGAACAACAAATAATATCTTTCTAATGATACATCATCGAAGCTCGTTAATTTCTTTCTTTTCCTTTCTTTTGCTGGTAGTGAACAATATCTGCATTTCTTTTTTTTCTCTCTTCAAAAGGATATACATTTGAAATAGTGTAATAATGAGTCATATTCACATTTCCCATTTAGACCACAAATTTAGCTACGCTGTGGCCAATGTAGATTCCTTCGATCTCATTTCTAACTTTTCTTAAAAAATGACATGAGAAAAAAATGAGGAATAATCCAAGTTGGCCACAATTTGTATTGATTTGTAGGCAAGAAGCAAAGTGTGAATATGGCTCATTAACTTGAGAGTTAGTCTATCGGTCATATTATCTAGATAACGATGTTAACTTTCCGAAAATATTTACGACATCACGAGTAAAGTACTTTTTTTCTTATCACATTAGATATCTTTGCCATTCTAATTTCCTACAAGCTTAACATCAGATATGCATACGGCTTATTTTGCTTTCCTACGTATTTGATGCATAGAAAAACATATTCAAATGTTCTACTAATTTGTGTCAATATACCTTTCTTTTTATGCTTCTCTAAGGACACATAATGGTTTGAGAAAAACACATAAACACTAGTTTATTATTGTACACTGGTCATGCTTGCATGGTTGCAGTAAACAAACATCACTATTTATACCGGATATACAAAAACATGATTTTCATTCCGAACTGTACTAACAAGTGGTAGCTACTTGGTCAAAGTACAGTTTAACGTTCAATGGCCTATGTGTACAATACTGTGATTAATGTTGACGGTAATTCTGATCAAACAACATTTTTGCCTTGCTGCAATACATCAATAGCTGTCGACTATCAGCCACAACATATTCAAGAAGTCTACTATGCACCTGAACCACCACCACAAATTCAAGTTGTACGACAACGATTACCCGATCCACCACCAGATATCATCGAGCGAGTCGTCGTAGTACCTCAACCTAAAAAATATGTTTATCAAGTTGTCGAAGTGCCAACAAAACCACCACCTGTCATTCAAGAACGTGTAGTTCATCAAACTCCAAATGCACCTTTATGTGGCGGTACCTATCACGTCAAAGTTCCACCAAAGACAACTGGACAACAAGCACGCATAGTGAAATCAACATCTGGTATTGTCTCGGGAGCACCAAATCTCGTACCATCAACATCATTTACACAACCGTCGAGAGTTGTTTATACATCATCTCCTCCACCTCCAACTATTAACTATTAAAAAAAACATTTCTTTTCTACTTTTCAATACTAACCTGTTTTTGACAATGAATCGTTCGTTGACGTTCATATACTTGCGGATTCGATGACGCAGATGGATTATTCATAGATACAGTGACATTGATTGATTGACGAAACTCGTCTTCAATAAACATTCATTGTAACAAACAACGTTCTTTTTTCTTCGCCTTACCGCTCACGTTAGTTATCGGTTTCATTGTTAACCACAGACGTTGGTGATATTTATCGAGATAATTTGATTCAAGTTTATATGGACCCGACTAAAGTCGTAAAGAGAAGGTTTTTTCGTCGGAAGAAGTATATCAGTCGATTTACCATTTGTTTTGGTTGATTTATTGACTTCAGTTCACCCGTTTGAATTATCGAAGGACCCGAAACGCCAATTAGGGTAGTTATGAACAAACTGATAAAGAAAAGAGCGAAAACAGCTCCGACCTGACGCTTATGCAAAGCATATAGACGCATTTTCACTGCTCTAAATAAGACAAAGACAAAATTAATAACAAGTATATCTTCTCAATCCTTTCTTTTTATTCATTAAAAACGATGTCTATATTTAATTCGAGTTCATATCAAATTACGTGTATCTTGGTTTTTGTGCTTTATAACAAATTCGACATTGATAAGAAACTTATCGAGTGTATCCCAGTCACCCTGATATCGATGTAAATAGCTTATGAATTGATATTACCTAGACACAGGTATGATGAAAGATAGCTTATAAAGCAAAGGACACGTAACGAATTTGTTTGAATCAAGGACGTCTATCATATCGATCAATCATGTTATTAATAGAATACAGTTTCTGTATGAGAGCTTATTTCATCCATGTTACAACGAAACAAATCGGATCTTTACCTCTCAATTTCTTGTGTTGGTCTCATTTTGAAAAAGTTTTTCAGATCTAGAACATAACATAAAAAAGCAAAGTTTGTCGATTTTTAATCACATATATCCTTCTATTGGTTAAAATCACATAAAAAGAAAATCTGAAAATCTCAAGCCTTCAAAGTTTGCTGCGTTCCATTAAATCTTCTTTGATCCACGACGGCGTAATGAATGTATGTTCGTTTCCATGTATAACTTTATTGATTGCTTCATAAACCTAATTAAACAAAATTTGAGTTAAAGACGACAGCAAAATCTTCACGTACTTTTCCATCTGCAACGCCTAAGACTGAATTCAGAATATGATCGGGAGGTGCAAAGACATCGACCAAAGCAGCAGCTTCGTTTTTCAGTTCAGCACATAAGTCTATCAAACGATTCTGCATCCAAAGATTAACTGAACCATTCGTGAAATAATTTCCTTCGAATAAGTAATTCAGGTTTTCTTCGAGAAACTTCAGTGTATGAACCAGTAGTAGTTTGTTCAAGACTTTTTTACATTTTTCATCTATTTCTTCGCTGTTTTCAATGTAATTCGAAAATCGAACGATTGCCGTTCGCTAAAAATGAAGAAATGACTCTTCGAATGGTTAAACCAATCAGAAATTGCGTCTTTACTTGAATGTAGATGAGTGACAGAGTTCGGAGATGGTAAACCTGTGCGGCATTTTTCAAATCAAATGCGGATAAATTGCCGCGCGAGGATAGTTGATTCACCTTTCGTGCTGATTTATCAAGAATATAACATAAGAGCCATTCGACAGCGTTCATTAAATCTATGATGGGATTCAGAATTATTTTGCATCAGTCATTTATTCCAATTTACCTTTGATATCACATTCTGGTGTGATTGAACAGCGGTTATTCTGAAGAACAGTCTTCATTTGTTCAATAAAAACAACACTTCCAAATGGACTATAGACTGGCGTATCTTAAAAGAGAATGATCGCCGTCAGCATCGAACAGATTGTGTACATATCCAATCTTACTGCTCGAATAGAACTCTTCGCATGTAGATAAAAGATAATTTGATGCTTGTTGCAGTAAGACGTTATTATCACCTTCAAATGTACAGGCTGGATCATTATCATTTCGGATAGTACCAAAGCCACTTGCTAATCGAAAAGAGAAAAAGAAGCGAATATTCAATGATCATACTAGTTGTATTTACCGTATAAATAACCATGACCACCACATGCTTCTCGACATTCTTGGCAAGCTTTCTGTGTATTCCAGGTACACATTGCTTTACACGTACATGCGAGAGCATGAAGCTCACGACCCATATCAGCAAGTAGATCTTGATCACTTTCATCTCGTGACATAGCTAATGCATAAAATTCAGCTAGATTATCAAACACCGAGAGAGCTAACGTTCGGAAAACATATAGTGATGCAAGGATGGGAATTAAACGCCAATTCTAAAACAGAAGAACATCGCTTTTATCTAACATATTCAGAAACAGGTATATTAGGAAATACTTGAGTTTGATATTCAATCACAGGTATTTCGACACCGGACGTGGGTCCAAATTGTTTGCGAACACATGAATATCGAATGGCAATTGTACAACAATTAATTAATGAACCAATTGCTAAACTACTGATGCCTACACGGCCTGAAGATAATGCACCAAGACTAGCACCAAATCGTTTGTTTGATGTCTATACGAAGGAAGAAAATCTATTAATGGTCTATCGACATTCACTAGTATTACTTTAAATTTCGTTTTGTAAGTTCCATCTGGTAGAACATCACCGTGCTTATTGAGAAGATTTTCTCTTGGAATTCGATAATTGCGAAAGAGTAGAAAACTAAAAGGAAGCCAGCTCATTCCCTAATTTGAATGCTATCAATGGCTCAAATACCCATTATCGATACCATTCCATCCACATTTGGCTCCAATGTCACCAGCTTCAACTCCAGGAAATGTTCTGTAAGTTAGTGGATCACTAAAATTCAGAAAACAAACTTTCAGACCTTTCAGCAACAACAATATTGGCAAAACCTACCGAATGGGTACAACAAATGGATGCAGACCGTAGCAAGTATTTTGTGTATAAAGCTGTGCATAAACAACAGCATGCGTTGCTTGATAACCCAAATTACTAGAAAGAAAATCACTTTGATCTCAAGAGATATGTAAAGAATATTGTGCGCACCCGACCCAAAATTTCATTCCTTCAATATCGGGCGTATTCAAAACAAATTCCTAATATAGAAATATTCTACGCATTTTCGAATACAAATTTCAAAATTTACCTGAGCCGATGGATCATACGTCGCTTTTGTTCGCATTTCTTTGGTATTACTTCCATGAGCTAATTCAGTTAGAGCGAAACAGCCGAAAATCTAGTTTAAAATCAGAATTTGTCATTCAATAGATGATTTCAGATGAAATGATATCTTCTTATTACTTGATGATTTTGATCAAGATTTAAAATATATTCATGTCGTTCAGTACCCAATGTTCGAATGGTTTCGCGAAAAACTGTCATCGACAGTGTGTATTTTGCATGACATGATGAATCATACATAGAAAGACATTGTTCAAGAACAATTTTGAGTCGTGGATTCTCGAACATTTCATCATCGCTCAGAAGATTTGCTTTAATTAATTCTTTACATCGTATATAAGTTAAGTGTTTATATTCATGAACCGAAATTGGAAACCGTGGTTGTCGAAATATAGGTTTAGATCCTAGTACGGACCAAACTTTCGCCTAAATAAACTGGATTACAATCTAATTCAATGATTCACTGTTTTTATCTTACTCGATAAGCTTGTGATTGTTCATCGTCGAAGATATTACGCATACGCTTTGTGCAAAACGATGCTCGACTACGATATTCGTCCAGCATAATTAAGTTTGTTTGAAAACACGAATGCTGAAATCAGAACTACTTATAGTTGAATTCGATTCAAACAGCTCACAGCTAATCATTTTGAAGCTTGATTGGATTGTTGTCTTGACTAATGAAACTGTATTTCGGGGAAAACGACATGAAAAAATGTTTTTGCGTGAAAACATAATTAGCATAGATTTTTCATGGGTAGTATAATTTGAATAAAGATGTCGCTAAAGTTACTGATTTGACGAGTTTTATCAGCTATGAGTTCAAACCTAGTGAGAGAAAGTACGTACTGCTTTTTTTACAGTACGTGAACTGATGGATTGAGTACTTTTCAAGTAGCAGATCTAAAATTTTGTCTTTTAGAACCGCAATATCGGTCGTATCTCATGTCAACATTCATATGTGCAGAAGTCCTTATAGATTGTATATTTTATTTAAAAAGAAAATAGAAGCACATCTCATCATGCTCTATAATTTCTCGCGAAAAAAAAATGACAACAGGATGGTATTGAAATTTGATAGTCCGATATGGCAGTATTATTACACTTGCAGTAGAATTACGCTATATTTATCATTGACGACTTGAGACGAAAATCAATAGCTCATAAATAACCACTAAATATATGCGCGAAAGTTTAATTACCAACATCAAGAAGCATCTCTTCAAGCACGTAAGGTGTATCGGCACGTCTATTTTTCATGTGCATCCTGCAATTATCTCACAAAAGAAGAGTCGGTTCGTGCTGAGAGTTCCGACTTGTAAGCAAACTATATATGATAGTTGTATCTCAATTAGATGACGAGGTGCTATTGAATCAGATGATTAATGTATATACCCTATGTCAAAACTATAAATTGACATTATTACAATACATTGGTTTTCAATATAGGAGGAACTATAAACTGGTATAATTTATTATATATTTTCTTTGTTTTGAGTGACCGTGGGCTAAGAGTATTATGAAAGAAGTTTTCATAACTCTAATCGAGATTATTTTGGAGTATAGGGCGACCATTTCGAAAACATGTGTCACACAAACGTTACATGAAGAATACCGAATAAGCGTCCAGAATTTAAGATTACTTGAAGGTCACGCATAAATGAAACGACTTACATCATGTAATTGAACCGTATATACAGTATAGTGTTATAATAGAAAATGAAACATATCCGTAATAAGATAAAATATAGGTTTGAATATTTTCTTCATGAATCATGCTCAATTATTATCGTAGAAAGGAAAAAAGTTCTTTCTTCTGCGCATGAATACAAATACATCTGAATAATTACTTTAAATGTTGTGAATCATTGTGAAGCTAACGCAGCGAGAAGTTAGAGCCAGGAGTTTAAATGTTCTTTAACCCCTGAACAATATATTGTCAGAGGATAATAGTGTAATAAATAGCTGTGGAAGCACTACTATGCAGCCTAGAACCTTGAGCAAGAAACCATTCACAATTTGTAGCGTATTTAAAGTCTAGTTTATTCTACGAGACATTCTTTGACTTCTATAATGCAATGAAATTGTTGCCAAAAGTCATTATTATAGTATTCTATCTTTTCATTAAAAACTGGATTTGATACATTGAATAAACAACATCGAAGTATAGAAAATAATGATTGAATGGGAATAAATTCTCTATGGAAAGATAAACGACACGACTATAACCGTGTAAACACATACGTAATAATTGTACTCAAACAATGAAAGGGAACATGTCCGAGGATCACAGTGATACGTACATATACAAATAAGAAAATAGAAAACAATACATCTGCAACTATTTCGGCGTATATAGACGAGCTTTTTCAATTTCTTGTTCCAGCAACTGTTGTTCTTTACTTCGTTTAAACGTGCGACGAAACCAGTTTTGAAAACGTTTAGTGATATGTTTGTAGCCAAGACCATCTGGTACTCCACCTTTTCTTGCGTCGCTTACAGCCCATAATTCATTTGCATGACGACGTTCAACTGCTTGAACAACACATCCACCCCGAAAACCAGACATGGTATGTCCTTTCGCCAGAAGACCATGTACAACATTCTATATTGGAGATGAAAGTTCATAAAAAAACAGTAGAGAAAAAGTGTCATAATCGAGCATACCACGGGAAAGCGTTTTTCTAATTCTAATTCCATTGGAATCAATTGTTGATGTAGACGAGGCATATCAACAGCATCACGAATACTTTTACCAAGCCATAGATTGTATATAGCAACTTGAGCAACGGATGATATTATCCGGCTTCCACCAGAACCGCCAAGAATTAGAATAACTTCTCCACTCGAATCAGTAACAATCAGAGGACTCATCGATGACATCGGTCGTTTGACTAAAATGGCATTCATCTTCTTTTCGTTATATAAACACATGCTACTCACAAGGAGTGATGAAATTAGCTGGGCTCGGAGCGTAACCATAATAATTAGCTAAGCCAGGCTGAGAAAAATCATCCATTTGATTATTATAGATAATTCCTAACATATCAAATTCGTCTTTCTATGTTTTATCATAAATCCTTACCTGTATGGCGTCCATAAACAAAAGCACCAAAACTATAAAATACAAATGAATTCGTTTTTCAAGGAAAGAAGAGCCATAAATTTACTCAGTGTTAACCGTACTGGTTGCAGCAACAGCATTTCCTGCGGCATCAATAATTGAACAATGACTTGTACCGTGATCTTAATCAAACAACGATTCGATCAATCAATCAATTCAATTTACTTCTTTTCATACCTGTCTGCGGTTCGAACATAGGTTCATAGTATTCCAATGGTTGTGTTTTGTCTTCTTTGATCTTTTCTCTAATCTCTTCGGCATATTCAGGAGACAATACAAGGTTTAATAGCTAAATACACATTTCCTTGCAAAGATAAAACTCTGACAATAGTGACGATTATTCATACTTGTTCAATATTTTGATTTTTTTCAGTTTGTGAGTCATATTCGTCTCCCATAGCTGATCGTTTTCCATAGGCATATTTGAACGTTTCATTAAGTATATGATAAAATCTCACTTGTTTCTCATCTGAATCTAACGAATGCGGTGTTAAACCATACCCTGAACAATTAAACAACGCGTACGTGTCTCCATTTCATTCGCTTATGTTTTTTCCGATTCTTTCACTCACCATCCATTACTTTCAGAATGAGAAGAGTTATTGCAGAGCTCGCAGGTGGCGGGACACCATAGGCCGTATAATTTCCACCTAATGTCACACTAATTGAAGGTTTAACTCTTGCATGATACGTTTCTAAATCATAAGGATTGATAATTCCCCCGTGTTCTTGTATCTCTTCGCAGATTTTTTCCGATAGTTCTCCTTCATAAAAAGCGCTAGGTCCTTTTTCCGCAATAATCGATAACGTTTTCCCAAGACGTGGCCGATAAATCGTATCACCTAAACCATATACATGATCTGAATCACCTTTGAAAAATACTCGTCTAAATAAAAAAATTCACTAGTTAATCAAGCATAGGATAATACACCTACCGGAAAGATCGTTCTTCCCATAGTTTATTTTTACATTTCAAGATACTAAAAGCCAGTGCCTTTCGTATCGAGAATCCTTCATTACACATATCAATAGCTGGTCGAAATAAGACTGCCCATGGCAATTTACCATAACGCTTGTGAGCCTTCCAAAAGCCAGCTATTTCACCGGGTATACCAATAGCTGAGCCACCTAAAAATAGGAGATATTTGAGCTTGATTATTCGAAAAAAGTCGTGATTTACCCTGCGTTGATGACGGTGGTGGTTTACCATCCACAAACATTCGCTGATGTGCATTGGATGGCGCTGCTTCACGTGCATCGATAGATACACATTCCTTACGTTCGCTAGGTAATGAATATATTGTTTAAAAGAGCAAAAAATTGCGTTTCAAGTCATATTTACACATCATAAATATTCATCAACAATCCACCGCCGATACCACTTGAATGGCAGTTATGTACGCCAACACATAGAAGAACAGCAATCGCAGCATCGACAGAAGAACCGCCTAGGTTGAGAATACGTCTACCAAGAGAAAACAAACAAAAACTTTGATTACTATTAGCTATTCGTCATATAACAATTACCGGCCAACTTTTGATGCTTCATCAGAATCCGAAGCAACTGCTCCGTATTTACATCTCATAAATGACGATTCACCTTCAAAACCATAATTTTCCACTCCAGGTAAATCGATTTGAAATTCTGAACGAGATATAATAGAAAAAAGAACTCTTTTAAAAATCTATCTTTAACCGATAACTCTTACTTGGCGGAATAATATCTTCAGCATGAGTTCTAGTCGATAACGAAAATAAACGCGAAGGATAATTAACAGTTTGTAACTATTAAAATAATCGTATATTTTATTAGTTATCTTCAGCCGAAAGGAGAAAGCGTAATTTTTACTTTGAATAGAAGCCTTTTTGATGCCATAGAAAGAGGATATTTACTGATAAATGATAGAGAAGACATTATTAAAAACTATTATTTATAGAATCTGAAAGTAAATAGTGCAAAGATATTTTTATGATCAATCAATGAGAAAAAAGGGAAAAGAATTACCAAAAAAACGATAGTAACGCTTTTTCGCATTCTACTTTTGGTTTTCATACATGACACTTAGTATTCTTCTTTCCTTCTACAGTTCTCTTTATTCACCAGCGTTTTCTTCAATGTGTTCGATTATCATAGGAAAAGAAATAACACGCTTTGTTTTTCCACGTTCTCAATAAAGACTGATTTTCTCTCATACTCCATCTTTTCTCTCCTTTTTTTTTTCTTCACTCCTTCTTATTTAGTCGTTACTGTTATGTTTATCAATGCACTATAGTTCTCTTCCTATTAGTAACCAACAAAAGAAACAACGCCTACGATAACAGAAAAAAAGCGAGTGTATAACATGGTTTACTGAGCAAGGCTTTTTCAAATAATAGAATAGATGAAAGAAAAAGAACAACGAGGATTCATTTGCGTGCTAAACAAACTTAAATCAGCGAACGTAACCTTGAGCATAGGTATGTGTTGCTATTTGGTATTAATTGTGAAAAATCAGTTGTGACTGTGATGATAATTGAACACCGAAGAAAAGAAGTGCATGATCTCGTTGACAGACGCTGCTATGGGAGAAATTAATTATAAGAAAAGTCAGTTATTATCTATTTACTTGTCAGCTATGAATAATCCGTGCACTGATAGATGATGCTTCGTGTTTTTCTCTTTTCTTTCAATGTCTTCAGCAACAGGAAGAGAATTAATGAGAATAGCATCTAGTATATGCGGGCTATAAGCTTGTCGAAGACAATGATCCGTATTTCACAAACATGCTATGACAGTAATCAAATTGAATTGTTGGTTGTCAAAAAAAAAGAAGTACTAGTTTGTTTTTCTATAACATAAAATTGAGTGAAGAAAAGTATGGGAAAGTCCTTTAAATGTCTCTTAGATATGTCCAATAATGAATTCGAACATATAAATAGATTATTCTTGCATAGGACGATTTATGAATGAATAAAGAAATGTCGATAAGATGATAATTGGAACTATCAACATTTTTCAAGACCGGATCAAGAAAACGAGAACTTCCATCATGGGATTTATTTGTCGATCGCGACAGAACCGCAATGTCTATTGTCATTCTCGTTAAAAGACTAATGATTTTCTGAATTGTCTCGTTCATACTTAATAACAATGTCAAGCGTGAAGATTCTACTCGTATTTTCATTAATCGAAGAATCTGTTAACACTAAAACCTATCTGAAATATAAATACTGAAGAGGTTAATCAATGAAATATTCTTTGGATCTATAGGAATGCGATCGCCATTGGAGATCAATTGAATACTTTTGACAATGACGTCAAAGTTTTTTCTCATGAAATTGCCGTCAACCAATAAACAGAACTTATTTCCTGAATGGAATGACTAAATGCATTCAGACATCACAAAATTTGTGTGAAAATGGTTACTTAGAATGGGGCATGGAAGAAAACGCCAAAAGCTGCTTAGCACATAGTTCCGTGGAATAATCCTTTATTATCTTCTACATTGGTTTACATGAAATAGTTTTGAAGAGCCGACGTTCATCTTATTGTGTTGTCCGAAAAGTTCGTGCCACTACCTTTCATATATATCCACAAAAATTTTCATCCATACCACTCTGTGGAGCGCAAAATTTGATTAAGATTCACTCATATTTAGACAAAATGTATTGATTAATTTGTTGAGAAAAATTATACATTCAGCGTCATATTCAAATGTACATTTCGGAACAAACAAAATGAAGTATTCTCGATGTATTTTGTGGAAAACAGGCGACATGGACTTAAATGCAATTTTTATGCTGTGCCAGATAACTCTAGGGAAGATTAGTTATTAGTATTTACTTTTTGTACGGAGAATTTAACAATATTCAGTTAGTTTCAGATTGAATGTTACTAAATACTCATTCTTCAGTTTTCTGAAATACACTAAGATAGGATGATGCATATGTGATTTTTCTCAACAAATTAATTATCACGTTTTGTTCAAATATGAATAAATCTTAATAAGCTTTTGCGGTCTACACGATCGTATAGATGAAACTACCTGTGGATATATATGAGAAGTAGTTGCACAAAACTTTTCGGGCAACCTTATACTTACATGTTAACAAAGTATTATTGAAAATGGTACGAAGTTTTCTCCTACTGATACTCCAATGTAACAGTAGACACATTACTCATCGTTCCGTTGTTGCATTATCCGTAACAAATATGATTGGTTTTTTGCGAGCGAATGACTATATCGTGTATTCATTCACATATCATTCTTCGTGTACGCGTTCTTTTATTACAAGAGAAAAGTGTACCCGGTCAGTTCGAACACGACAGCTATTCCTAGAATGCATTGTATCACGTACAAAACATATATTCATACAAGACACCAATCTGTATTGTTTTTCAAATGGTTTAAATACTGAAGTGATCGTCACATATTAAGTGGGAAACGTTGATTGTTGCATAGTTTTGAAGATATTTTTGACAGTTGATAAAAAAATATAAACTGCAAAGGTGTTTTTGTAAGGATATGATAAGTTTTCATGGGCGAATAATGTCGCATTCTTCCAACGTGATGTATCGCAATAATATATGGATAAAAATAATCTGAAAAAAGCGACTTTCGATGTACTACTGGATATCAAATGGAGAAAACAAATAAAAAGCTCGGAATTAATGTTCTATATGCGGAAAACTTTCACAAATCTTATTACCCTTGCATCATCTGGCCGTTCCTTTGATCGCGATCAAACTCACTAGAAAAATCAAATTACATTCAGAAATGCAGATAGTATTTTTGGACAGCAGTTAGACGAATTCAAAGGGTTAAGAAATGTGATCGGTGTCTCTATATAACAACAGCAATTTCCATTGAGTCCATATTGTTGTGGTCAGACAGAATCAACAAAGAGAGAGAGAGAAAAAGAAATATAACCGCCTATTGTACACTATTTGACAAAACAATATAAACACGTCCTCATCAATCGTTTTCTCAACAGACAAAAAACGGTCACCTGCTTCGATCAGTTGCCCGGTCTATCATCTGTTTGATATCATAAATTATCATCTACATTGCCTTTCTTTCGACTAAATGCAATCGAATCGCTTATCATTGACTGTTATGCATCACCTCTTCCATTGAAACAGTGTCCTCATTTACAATATTTGAAAACATTAATAGTGAAAGGTGTGCGGCAATGGATTGATGTTTTCAATTTTGCAAAACAACATGCGAATACATTAGGGAATCTTACGATTGCATCAAATGGATATTTCACTACGGTAAGTGGAATTACACATTGTATTACTTTGATTAAGAGAATTTTAGACAAGAATCTTATGAGCACTATATAGATCGGTAAAATCTGATCAGAGATTGATACTATTTAATATTCAATTGAAACGTAGGAACGGCGTGAATTTTAGTATCACAGAAATCAGTTTTTGGACATGGTCGTATTCTTCATAGGATTTTTGTATGTATAAGTGACTTGGAGAGAATTAGTTGAAGATTATCATTCAATAGTAATTAATAGTTTCGTGAAATTATCAAGCAGAAACACTATTGAAATACTATGAAGGAGTATGTAGTTGATTCTGAAGTAAATGGTGTCATTGTGTCTCGTTGTTGACCGTCCAGCTTTCGCACGAGCAAAAATTCATAAAGAATTGATAGTCTTCTGCAGTACTTTGAGATAAGAAAATGTGTTCACATTTCGTGAGCATTTTACGCATGTTTATGTTTGGTTTCTTTTCATTTGATAAGCGTGGGATGAGTAAAGATGTTTGTTATCCATGATGGAATCTGTGCGATTTCATACACAATGTTTCACATCACTTAAATTCACTGCGATCGCTTGATTTCGGAATAGATGCAACAAACTGTCGATCATTCACTTTAATTTAAAAGGCCCCAGATTTTCGTTCACTTGTTGCTTTAATGTATTTGGCTAATGTCGGCCCCCATATGCATGATGATTGAGATGTCCAATTTGATATTAACTTCTTTTTTTTTCTTTTGACTCTCGCAAGAGAGTATAATATGATACTTTGTCATATTGCATCAATTTAGTGATCGGTACTAAATGAAATTTGACGAAACATGAAAATCATTCAAAATGCACAATTCACATACCAAGAATACATTCATGAAGATCGTGATGAAAATGAAGAAGGAAAAGAAATCGATCCGTCAGAATCGATTGTAACAAATCCGCAGATAAATCTCGATCACCAACACTGGAATGGCGATTTGATTCGTTTTGTTTGAGAGTTGCCAATAATACTTGATTACCTTAATAACAAATATGTTTCACTATTGTGTAAAATGAGAGCATTTCAATTCCAAGCTACCTGGTAGCACATTTTTGATGATTGGTCTCATGCAAGCTTGAACCGAAGACTATCGAATGTCGTAAATTCTGCATAGACTGTCTAAACTGTTCAATGATTGATACTGATGGCAAATGTGAATACATGCTAAAATAAGATTTTGAATTGTCTGACTTTGCTTTGAAACTTCTTTCTTTTGTGTCTGCAGCCAATTTGGCCGCTTTTGAGTCGATAAGTCAAGTTCAAGTTGTTCACCTCGACAATAAACAGCACTATTTTTATGTTGTTTAATTTTGCCCATCAAAAATGATTTACTCACATTTGTCGACCACAAGTTTTTCTGATCTAAAATACATAACGGTAAACTACACAAATGATTAAGTAACTTACTATTTTCTCCAATGTACAGTTTATGTTTTCACATAGACGACATTTCATAGAATCGTCTTTGCAATAAAGCTAAGTTAAAAATGTCTCACATTGATTTCCAAATTCATCAAAGATATATTTTGCACATAACTTCACGGCTTTTCTCCCATTCTGGCAAATATTTACGGATGTGGTTTTTCTTCTTCTCTACGCTCGTAGAGTTGGATTTATCACAACTAGCAGGATCCCTTGATACATATTTATGATCCATGTGAATGGGAATGTGCAATGTCGAATACGAAGAATGGTCAGATATGATTTCAATTTCTGCTCCTAGTTCGTCTGCACCAAATACACACGGTGATGGAGAGATCGATCTTGAAGTAGATGTAGAAGCAGACATCGGCATAGATGCTGAATCTGATTCCGGGTGTGCTAATGACGCGGTTGTTGTCGACTGAGAAGAGAGTGCTGAAGATGATGATTGAGATGAAGTATCGCTTTTTGAATCAACAGAATCTTCAGACGATGAACGATTTTGGCCTTTTTTCCAATATTATCGAAGATACTTATACGTTATGTATACGCAAACCGTATTATAAGTATACATATAACAATGTACAAATTATTTTTCATAGAGTATCCACGTGATACTTCACTACTCTCGGCAGAGTGTTAATCAGGAGTACAAATTTAAAAAACAGGGTATCATGAATCCTTTGATTACATGAAGATGGGGGATACGAGGTATTAAAAACAATGTTAATATGATACATAACGAAATGGATTTAAAAAAGGATTGGAAGATGACATACGCGGGGTGAATATGTTCGTTACGCTCTGGAGGAACAGTCATATGAGAATTGTTCCCGCATTTCAATACAGAAAAGAACCCGTTTAACTATTAATGCCTATGTTTTAATTATATTTGAAAGAATTATTTTTGATATAGAAGTCTTATGTGGTTTTATTTTGAATATAGGTGTCATTATCATCGGGCGAATCCTCGAAATGAAACGTTGAAAATATTTAGAAAGTATTCAAGGAAAGTGTGCTCAGCTGTAATATGCGGAATTTAAATTTATATCTTGATTCGAGTTGAAATGAAAGAACTTTAATAGCTAATAAAATGCTAAGCATTATGTCATAATGTTTTAGATCTTTCAATAACATTAACACGCACAAGAATTTGTTGAGCTATGATTAGCATTGGATGATAAAGATATAGTACATATTCATAAATTTGAATTGCTTTTTTCAAGTAGTTGCTATTCAGATTTATTTTCATAATTAAGACCAATATTGTTATATAATACCATGGCAATATCAGGATGTTGTGAAGGAGGACATTTTTCTTTAATATTTAATGATTTGTTCCAATGCAAGATCCGTACGGTAACTCCAAGGAATTCCTTCAGTCTTTCATCTTAGAATCCGATGAACATTCACTGACTGTTGCTTACGCTTCAACCTTACCTGATCCACAGTCTGAACCAGTTCGATGAAAAGCAACTCGTCATAAAATTCCTGCTTATGATTAAAACATATGTAAAATAAATAGTTTTCTTTATTAAGATATATAAAATACAACAAGGAAATAAACTACTTAGAACCGTTGAATCACTATTTGTTTTGGATCGATATCCTCGACGAAGCTTGGTCTTTGAGCAGCCATTTGTCGTGTGTAGAACATTGCGTGTCGATGTGTATCGATATGTTCATCATTGTCACGATCGTTGATCGCTCGAAGATCGTCGAGAGTTAAATTTTTCAGAAAGGATTTGCGAAAGAACACAATGGCAGGATTTCGAACAAGATAAGCAGCTAATCTCCATTTACGAATATATCGTGATGATTTTCTCAGTTGCACGGCTTTTTCTTCAATTGGAAGAATATCCGAATCGCTATGCATCGCTACATATTCTTTCTTTTTTACTGCACTATACAAATGAGAAACAAACACTAACATAATCGGATGTCGATGTGTACATTCCGTATGAATAAAACCACAATATGCGTTAAAACCACCATCCAAGAACTCTAATTTACGGCCCAATGTTGAGTAATCCAATCGACACATATAGATAATTCCACCGACGACGCTGATTATTAAACGGAGAATTGATGAAACCAGACCGAGAAATGCATCGAGAAAGAAGTTGAAATAGAGAAATATCATCAGATATCGACGGTTGTCCAATGCTAACACATCGCCAAAGTCTTGTAAGAAAACATATTGTGCAAGAAATAAATTGAGATATTTTTTGAACAAAAATATCAATAAACCAGGGGTAACGGCTGTAATAATCATCTCCATGACCATAGCTGAATCGATGGTTAGTAATGTACCAATCAGTGCACTGATAATAGTTGAAAACACAGCAATGATAGCAAAACCCCAGACCAAAAAACCGATGAAATAACCAGCAAAATGAAAATTACCAAGTGCATACGACAGATAATTTGCTCGTTGTCTTCGCGGAATTTCACTATCATCGCCACGAAATGCTTGTAAGAGATTTCGACGAATATTTGCTAATAACACTATCAATTGAATAATTAGAATCGTTAACGTCAATGAAGCGGCAAAACTATACGTGTGAACTAGATCTGGCAAGATTATCGACAACTTAACTGGAGGTGGAGTATCTTCTGCTGCTTCGTCTCCTAATGCTTCACCCGAGCCTAACAATGTATTGAGGAAATTCTGGATACTACTTTGAAGTGTATCGAGCTTAGGAATGATTTTGACACTAAATCGGATGGTTACGAAGAAGAGTAGAAGAAAGATGGATGAATATATGCATAAAACTCGGGAGGAATGTCGAAAATCATCTCGCCATTCGTAAATGCGTTTAGGTATTAATCGACCAAATAACGTTCGTGTTCGTGGCCGTTCGCTCGATGAGCGGAATAAATTGCGTACATAGAGCATTTCAACCGAATCTTCATGAGATATACGTAAGAAATTACTTTCTTCTCTCCGCAACAACTCGCACACTTTCGTCTCAGTTGACATATGTCCTTTGCGATAAACACGAATCTTTTCAATTAACATTAACGGAAGTTTCACAGTTATATAAGCTAAGCACAAAGCTTGAGGGATACTGGTGCAAATTTCCATTGCTATTAGCGAGGATCCAGTACCAAAATATTTGAGAAAAGTTTTTGTTCCATCTATATTAGCTTCGAAATCTTCACGATTGCCATAGAATATCAAGTTACACTTTCCAGTTTCGACAATCGCTATCGCATGATGAAGCCAAAAGTAAAGTGTCGCAGCTGTTAAGGTCACTATGGAATCAATATAGACACTAGCCAAGACTGGATAGAAACGAAAGCCCATCAATAAAACTTTGAAGACACGTAGTAGAAACTTTACGAGTACACCTGCGCCAAGTTTCTTTGTATTACTATCACCATTGAGAATTTCTAACAGATCATTGGAAATAAGAGCGAAGATAACCATTGCAAACTTGCGATCGATGTGCGAGAAGAAATCTAATGGCATTGGTGGTGCTCCGTATCCTTTACATTTGTCGCGCTTGAACGATGCTCGTTGATTCATAACCGTACATATAATAATCACCAACACAGCAACAGGAATTGTGATGACATTCACGTATTCCATATTGAAAAGGTCACACACGGATGCATCGTTAAAGTAAGCTAATCCTTCTTGTTGAAATCTAGTGATCACCTCATTGTGAATATTTTTGACTAAACTCCATCGGATAAGAAGAGTTGCTACTGCAACGAGAATGACTAGAATAGCAACAATAATATCTTTTGAAGGAAATGTTTTTTTCACATAGATAACGAAGATTTCTTTAAGTTTGGGTTCCGTCGAGATTTTCCTATAACATACAATCGACTTTCAACGGAAGATTATTCAATCGAAGAATTACTTGACTTTCTCTTGTTTTGGGGCTTTACGTTTGAGATAAATTTTTCGACCGATTCTTAATCCATAATACACAACGATGAGCAGTCCAGTCAACGAACCAAGTATAATCACTTCTTTTCCACTATTCGATTCTGAAGTTCACATACTTATTGCTATGATTAACAAATATCAGTGAGCAACTTACGTCGATCACAAAATTGGCCTTCTAACCAATATTTACATTGACAAGTATAATTATCACCAGATTCACTACAATAGCCTCTCGAACCACATGGATTATGAATTGTACAATCTGAACATTCTTAATAGATTCAAAAAAAAATAGCGAAGTACTTCGCTTACTTGCTTCCGCATTGATTATGGGGATTAATGAGAAAAACACGATAATATTGATGACTAGCTTCATATTTCGCTAGTTTTGGGTATTCTGTTGTATTTATCACTTGTTTGTTTTCTCTTTTTATAGGCCGATAAACAACGTGATAAAATTTACGTCTTTTTCGAATTTTTTCTTCAGTTACGTGAAACATTTGCAATATTGTCTATGTACACCTGAATATTTTTATGTTCTCATCGCTAGAGCGTGGTCGGATGTTACTGATGAGTCCTACGTAGGCATGTATAACCTTATTTTGCGTTATTTTTGAATAAAAAGTAATTGCTGGCAAGTCACACGATGAGGGTAATATGCTTCTCCTGTCATCTTATCATTTTATAATTAATAAATCAAAAGAACGAATCGAAACATAAATGTACAGGTGAGGCGATTTCATTAGAAGGTACCCGCGTATTTTGATCAAAAAAATCACCTTGACATCGTTCTACTTAATTACGAACATTTCTCAACTTTCTTTCTGTGGGAACTATTGATCAATGCCATTATATCCTGTAATTATCATCGATGATATCCAACTGCGAAGTAATTCGTTGCCAACGCATTATGACGTAAATAGTTATACTTCGATCAAAAAGTGACTTATTTGCTTGTGGATGAAGGTCATACTGATTTTTCGACATTTTATGTAGATGATTGTTCCATGTATCGAATGCAGGAGAAGTTTTTCGTATAAAAATATTTTCTCACCTGTGGTGATAGTGTATCAAATGCATGAATAACATGAACATACATTGTTAATTGACAGAAAATAAACCCATATGAGTAGATATGATGAATAAGAGATATGCCGTGATTCACTCGATTGTCTTTCATAATGACTAACGCATAATCTTTTATTCGACTTATTCACGTTTATTGTATGACAATAGGATTATTAATAAAATTAGCTTCTTTGTAGAAAAAAGCCTATTGATATGATTGAATTGGGGTTTCTCTGTATTGAATTTATGATTAGATGCTAGAAATCAAGTTGGACTGTAGATTCTGTTTATTATAAATAAGAAAACGATAACAATCAATGCGGTGGATATGGCGGAGGGGCGTTCGGGCGATAAACTAAAGATGAAACGACACTCCCGCCATTTGGTGGCTGTCCAGCTTGTGAAGACTCCATAAAATAAGGATATTGTGGCATTTGACCTTGATATGGATAGTTATGTTGATGTGCCACATTTGCTGCATAATCCACGTTTTGTGTAGGTGGTTGCCAAGCATTGCACAATCTATTTTGATGGACAATCAATTAGAAAAAAAAAAGATTGAATAAATACGCTCAAACTAACTTTTGTCGATTTTCTCGTCGGATATGTTCGTTCTTGAAAGGATGAAACCAATTATTTGGTCGTTGTCGAACATTTTCCCATGTCCAATTTTCTCGAAAAACGATCGTATTCAATTCAGGCGGATTGATTACTTTCAAACGATTCTGCATAGCTATTGTATTGAACATATATTCTATAAAGGGAAGGAAATGTCGTTGTTGAACATAGTTTGCAATGGCATCTAGTAGGCTTCGACTGCAACCAATCGCACAAACCATGGAATGGTACCAAGGTGGGTAAAATTTGCCGACAACATCAGCCCATTTCCATCCTGATGTATCTCCGTGAAGATTTTCATCGTTCTTTTGACAAATCAAATCTCCGCATCCATCTTTAGAATACTTTTCATGTAGAAAAACGAAAGCATCAACTGAGGGAATAAATGTATCGTCTTCAATCAACCAAACAAATGAATAATCGCTTTGTTTCACTCGACAAAAGTAATAAATTGCCTTATCCCAAGAAATACAATCTTTATTCATTTCCAGTTTGTTCGACGAATGATAACCGTTCGCGAGACATTCTTGATTATTAACTTGGATGAAACGAACAGGTGAATTCGATGGAATTTGATAATTGTTGTCGTCAACCATAATGTAAACGTCGACATTGGATGCTAACCGTGAGTCTCGTGCAAGTTGTTCGGCAAATTCGATCGTTTCGGAGTCGGGAACTCGAGTTAAGTAGCAGACAGCACTTCGTTTCGCACTCATATCTAACTTCTCTTTTATTTTCTGCGTTATATTGGACTTATCGGGTTAAAACATCAAGATTTATACAAGGACAACAAAAAATATTGACTGTTAGATAAGAAACAACAAGAAAAAGAACAACGAATGTAATTCTTCTTTCAAAAGGCATCCTACACAGGTGATTCATATTCTCAGACGTCGATTTAGATGTATCCAGTCGAATACTCTTCGTTGCTATTTTCACCATCGTAAATCAACGACGAACCAGGTGATGTGTGTGATGGTGACCATTGTAAATGTTGTTGATTGACTTTCGAATCCAAATGTTGTTCTGAAATTGTCAAACAAAAAAGAACAAAATGATTATTCATCGAATCGATTTTCTTTACCTGCAGATAAATGAAGTGTGTCAACAATATTGAGATTGTTGTTGGTTAAGGCATTGTAAGTAGGTGGCGAACTGGTTGTTGCGCACGGCTTTTTCTTGATTCGAGCACGAGCGTTTTGGAACCAAATTTGCGTTGTTCGTTTGGTTAAAGCTATTGATTAAGAGAAGAAACGAAGAATAATTAATAGAATAAAAGAATTGGTGTTTGATATGTAAGTTGATAAAAACAAAATCAAAATAAGAAAATCACGCACTATCACCACTTTTGTTGGAATTGGAACTGCTGCTAGTGCTACGTGTATTTCGTCTTCGATGAGTTGTTTCTTGTGATATATAACAATGATGCGAATGGGAATGAAGATGATGTTCGTGCGGAGCCTTTCGATCGCGTACCTTCTTCTGGCGAGCTCGAGTATTTTGAAACCATACTTGAATCACCCGTTTACTTAATCCTAGAACACATCAGAAGAAAGAGGCGATATTGAATAGCACGAACATCATCATCATCATCATCATCATCAATGCTGATAAAGGATTTTTGTAATGATTTCTAATACTATGACAAAGATCCATCAGAATGAACTTCTCGAAGGGAAAACACGTCTTTGTAATTCATATTAGAAATCATCTAACGACTACAACACTCCGAATCTTATGAAAATGAACTTTCCGGTCTTTTGATGATGATTAATCAATTACAAAGCAGATCTTTCATACCTGTTATCTGTGCAATACGTTCCAGATCTTGTCCATCAGGATTTGAATCGACTTCAAAATTCGCTTGTAGAATTTGCAATTGCTCTTCAGTGAATGTCGTTCGCACACGTTTCGCTTTCCCTTGTTTCGTATCTATCAAAGAGCGAAGTTAATTCGCTTCAACACGATATCAATCACTATCCTACCATCTTTACCATCATTGGTCTCGTTCGGATCAATAAAATGTGTTTTACATAGAACATGACTACTTTGTAAAGCAAATTCTTCGCCTGTTGATAACTGCCGTTTGCATGTGTTACACGCAAAACAAGCTAAATGATAAACATGTTCACGTGCCCGACGAACCCAATCACTTGGTTGGATATGTCGACCGCATTTGGAACATTTATTTCCAAAGTGCCTTCGAAGAAAGATGAAAATTACGTTCTATGAATGTCTTCGTAATAATTGTTTACTTGTAATAATCTTGTCGACAGAGAATTTGTAAACCTTTGAAGAAACATGTTTGTTGTTTATCAAGAGCTATTTGACAAACAGCACATTGCAAACATGATTCATGAAAGATTTTTGAGCCAACACGTAAGTAGAATTGATCGGCTATAGGTATTTGACAGGCACTACATATATGGCATAAGTTTTGTTCATCATCGCTCATCTCGAATGTCTTAAAAAAAGGAAATTTCAATGAAAAAAGTTTTGAAAGAAGACAGCATAACATTTACTTTTTCATTTTTGATATCATCGAGTAAAAGTAATTGAGTTAACTAAAGAGGAAAGCGATGAAATGAAGAATCGATCGTGAAGATTTTCCTTCTTCATACCTTGTTAGTATGTACTTGATTAGCAGCACTTTCGTCATCCATCCGCACGAATGAATAGATACTTGTTATTTGCTTTTCTCTTTCTATTCCTTTTCTCCTTTTCTCTCCTTTTCCTTCCATTCCGGAAAAGATAGAATCGCTCTTACTTCCTATTGGTTATTGTCATAATTATAATGTGCATAAAAATGTCTGTGAACCAATGGAACAACTAATGAAAAGGCGAAGAGAGAAAAAAAAGTTTCAATATGGCATCAAAAATAATCTTGCTTGATCAAGTGAATAATCTCAAGTGTTCAGCAAATATTGAAACGACAAGAAGAAATTGTTGAACACATGTGTGATGCTTGGAGCATCTCCTTCTTCTCTATCTCTTCAACAAATTGACCGAATTCTCTCTTGACAAGAGAGCTTCGTTAATTAAATTAGATTGCGGATTCTTTATTTACATTGTCTTGTAAATGAAACAAAACTCTCAGTTGACAGAAAATGAAGAAGACGAAAGTCGGGAAAGACCCCCAACAGCGATGAAAGAGCAATGAATCTCTCGTCGCGGGCATTGACATCTCATGCCAATCAAAGTTAAAGAAAAGGAAAGTAAATCGTGTCGTGTCCGGATACAAGCGTCAAGCTAATTGCAACAAATCTTTAGTTGAACAAAAGACACATAATCATAGAGTTAGAGAAACGATTTCATTGATTATTCGCAATGATATCGAGTCTTGTCTTAGTCGAATACTATTTTTCTATCATGCTGATTTAGTTTTTTCTATTCAATCGCCTGCTGAGTTTATTCAGTGAACCTCTTTGACACACTTAAGCTGTTCGTCTATTTCTCCTCCAATCTACAGTTGTTTCACTTGTCCTGGTGAGCGAACCAACTGTCCCAATGATAAAGAAAAACATATGTAGAGATCGAACAACAGAGACAACTGTCTTCTTCTTCTCGTTTTTGAATTTTTATTTTTTTAATTCGATGTAATGATCGGGAACGACGCAGAAATGCGAGTTCTTTTGAAAATTAGTAGAAATTCTTTCAAGCGAGTAATACATCTTTCACCGTCGGATGTTTCCTGTTCTAACTTGTAATTAGACATCCGAGTTGATTTTATCAAAGAATATTAAAATTTCGACTGGCTGTTCTCATTAATCGACTGATCTGGAATTAGTTTAGATTTCTTCTGTCGAAAATCATTCGACTTGTTCAGAATGCTTTTCAAACGTGGTGATCCCATTTGTAAATCATCATGTAATTCTAAATCATAAAGTACACAGAAGAACAAAGTTGATGTTGCAGTTGCATAAACGTGGAGGAAGATCGCTGAACTTATATAAACACAAATGCCGATGACAAGTACAGGAAACCATGAAAAATGAAGATGAATGTCGGAATCCATTTTGTATAAAATGTAAGCAGCAAAAACACACGAACCGATCTAGAAAACTCGACTCTAGTAACAACTATGAAGTATTTCATATTACTGTGACGGTTATTCGTCCGATGTACAAGAGAATGGTACAAACTCGGTCGAGTACGAAGACACGGAGACAGTTTTCAATTAGTAAGGTCGTCGCAGTCATTGCTGACGGACAAAACCATTTGCTACTAACGGCAGTCTAAACCAAAAGTCAATCTTTCTAAATTCAAGCAAAGTCATACCATGATATATGTATATCGAGAAAAGAATTGAAAGCAGCATCGAACACAATTTAGCAAACCGTTGATCAATTGAAAACAACATTGACCATAATTACTCAAATTCACAGATTCTAATCGATCTTTCACCAGGTCAATTAACGTTCGTAAAGTATCAATAATCGCAATGATCGAACTACCAAATGCAATCGTACCCAAATGATAACGAAATGTCGTTGACACACCTTGCAAACATAGACATTCGTGAAAATAACCATTACAACATTTTTTCTCTCGTCTATCCATATCCCAATAATAAGCTAAAGTTGAAAATGAAGAAAGAAAAGCACGTTCAAGTTGGCATCGGAACCACTCACAAGCAAATGTACATGCTAAAATCATCTCTTCTAATGCAACAATGAATGCCAAAAGCCAATAGATAATAAATACGCTAAAGATATTAACAATCCATGGATGTTGACTAAGAAATTGTGCTAAACGATGACTCCATACTGAATCCATATAAGCCGTAAATGTTTCATCGGTGAAACCGTAAGAGACATACACACAACGAATACGATCAACTGAACAATTTAACTGAGCGAAGTCATCTGGTGTACAACTATCACCTTCACGATAATCCACACATGAGTTTGGAATTGAGCGAAACGGAAAATAGTTTGTTTCATTGGAAATAAGATAACGAAGTGGTGATTTCTGCTGACACGATTGCCCATAATCTTGTGTACAGCTTATTTGATATATAGGTCGACCCTATTCAATCGATGAGCTGCGTTTTAATTGAAAAATAAATCAAATCTCGTCTTACTAGAGTAGAATAATGAGCAAGAACTAGAATACCTAATATTATAAAACCAATGTTGAGAAAAAACGTTATAATCGGCCAAAGAAGTGTGGTCAATGCATAGCAAATAGCTTTGCTTGCTTCTTCAATTAAAGCTTGAAGAGAGCAATCGTTTAACAAGTTTATTTTGTAAGTACACGAGTCTCACCTGCAGCTAAACTAATTCGTTCCCATAAACAACATGTACAAACCATCATTATTGCACATAGTATACAACAAATAATACCCAATACTAACCAAACAACACTCATCGGAGCAAATTGTTCCAAGAGAATCATCGCCGTATCGAACTTTTCTATCGACGATGCTTTCTTCGTAGTTTCATCTGTGTTAATAATCGTGTTCGAAGAATTATCATTGAATTCATTTGCGTTGAATGTTATGTTCATTTCCTCCAGATCAACAAAAGAATTGTTATTATTGTTCGCCGAATATTTCGTCATTCGTGCTCGAGTCATGAAACAGAAAGTCGCTGCCAGTGCGAATACTACAATACATAGGAATATGGACACCCAAATCATCCATCGTGCTAAATAACGCAGTAACAACATGTAGACCACAAGTATAATCATAGCGAAGAGTAACGATAAGAGAAGAATGTAACGACTTTGAATTAAATCTTCGAACATAAACGAGAGAAGACGTTTGATCTGTAAAGCTTTTTTAAAATATTCTAAACTTGTTTGCAATGCATGTTTGCTCGGAATGATATCATCATCGGTCTAGGAAAGAAGTTTATAGAAGAAAACGATCGAATTTTGAGTTTATGATGCATACAGTATTGCCTCCTTGATTTTGAATAATGTCATTTGCTTGCTTGATAGTTGAATTTAATGTTTGAACAATAATCGATGGAATACATCGACCATACAAGGGTTCTGATGGAAATGCATATGGTGCACAGACTTGACGTTGTTTGACAAGTTCATATATAGATATCGTAGGATTTTTCACTTGAGATTGAGCAAATTTTTCACACTAGAACAAAACAAATTCGATTTTGACAGGAATCAAACGCAACATACGGAAAGTTGTGCACGGATTTGTGGAATTTTATCTCTATTATTCAGAATCAGTTTCAATTCCTGAGCGTACAGCAGTTTATAATGATAAAATGTCGATGGACATTTCTCGACGCACATCTGCGGTGTGGGACATCGAGCACCGATTAGGATGTATTTGATACATTTGATAATATTGAAAAATTGTAAATACGGTCGATCGCGTTGAGAACCGACTCCACACATTCGACCTTGACTATCTGTTGGAGTGATAAAACGACGTATCGAACCTTCGCGAAATACAAATGCAGCAAAGAGAATATAAAGAATGAGAAATGCTATGAAGATTAATAAACATGGCCAATCAGTACAACTTCGTTTTGGATTATCGAAGATTGTCACTCGTGATTCTTCACTATCTCGTAGAGTCATTATTTCTCTGAACAAGCCTCGTTGGTTTCTATGTAATTTACCACCTCATTAGTCGTGTTTTTTCAATGAGTCATAGGTATGTGAAACTGCTGATTGTTTAATTAATCATCTTGCTTACAGAGTTTACTTCTTTTTTAATAATATTGAAAAAGAAAGAACAGATTTTCATACACAAAACACTGCTGAATCAAACAAAAAGAGAAATCCATCGACCAGAGAAATAAAGCACCATAATATATTGTATCTAACTTTTGACTCTAGTTGATGTAGTTATCATTGCTGCAATTTCACTTCGTGTTTTCATTTTTCTCAATGAAAACAGTTCGTGTCGATTACTCTCATTATTATTGACTTTTGTATTCGTTGGCATTCGACGTTTTGAATGAATCGGACTTGATGACGTTAAAACTGATTTCTGATAATGTAACAGAGGGAACATTTCTGCGTGTTGTTCAAGAGCATTCTTTGCTGCAGCCATTTCTGCTTCGTGCACTGATCGGCCAAGACCAACCGATAAACGTTGTTTACGAAAGAAAACGCCCACTCGGTATTGAACATTATTCGATGAGCCAATCGATTTCAAAACAACATACTCAGGTAAAGGCGGATTTCGATCATTGGGATCGCGCAATGCTAAGCAACAGTGTTGCAAATTCGATTTCGGATCGTTCCAATGTTGGGTAGATATGAAATCTTGTAAACGTGGAAAGATAGTTGCCCGGCAAAGTGCATAAATCGCTTCTAAACCTTGATCAATGAACAGTGCGGCTATGAATGCTTCGAACACATCAGCTTTGGCTTTCAAAGATTTCTCAATCATTCGCGGCGTAGTTGTACGAAGTTGCTCACGAACATAATCAACATAAACTTGCATACCTAATTCATCGTATATCACAGCTTGGGTTGGATTTGAAACTGTACACGAACGAAGTAACGATAAATGACCTTCATGATGTTCGGGAAAATGACGATATAAATAATCACTGACAACAAAATTCAGAACAGTATCACCTAAAGAAAAGCTTTGAAGAGAAAAGAGCGAAAAATTTCGGAAATCTTACCAAGAAATTCTAATCTTTCGTTATCTTCAATAGTCAAATCATTCTGTGGAATTGGTCTTGTACAAAATGCTTGTGCTAACATTCGAATATGACGAAATTCAACCCCGATATCCTGCTCAAATTTTGTTAGCTTTTTCAGTAAAGGTACTTGTTCGATTAAATGTCGATCACTATTTGGATATTGGACTTTCAATGGATATTCTTGCAAATGACTCCAGATATCTGTGAGAGTTTTATCTTGATTAAAAAGAATTTTCGATAAAATCTTATCCGCAATTTCCTAAACGATTCACAAATGAAACATAAATGGAACGAAGTCATTCGAGAAAATACTTACTAGTCCACCATCGAGATAGATTGCACCCATCAAAGCTTCAAAGGAATTCGCCAACGCATGATTAAGTGCGGAGTGTGAACAAAGATCAGGCCCGTGATTATAAATAATAAAATGTTGTAAACATAGATTTCGTGCTAACGATGTGAAAAAATGGTTTTGAATTAAACCAACGCGAAATGTGGACAGACGACCTTCGTCGAATTGTGGAAATAGAAAGAAGAGATGGATGGAGACCAAAAATTCCAACAAAGCATCACCTAAAGAAAATGAATTCAGCATTACCCTTCCCGAACGCTGCTTTTCACATACCAAGAAATTCTAAACGTTCATAATTCGTTATTTCCGATATTTGTTCGCATGTCTTCGCTTTTTTTGCCATGATGCGAAATAATGTTGACACTCCTCGTTTCGTTACTGGTCGAAACAGTTGTTTTCGGTCTCCATAAACTGTATTTCTGATTCGACAATTCGCCTAAACGAAACATCAACAATAAAGACTCGATCAGCGTGAGAAAATCTCTCTTTTACCAAAGTATTTTTCACATGATCTGGATTAGGACCGAGATTGTTATGCAAAACATAATTTCCACTGGGATGTGTCAAAGCCAACTGCATTAACCAGCGATTTTGGAATTTGTAACCAACAAGATGTGTTTCCAACTCGGTTAACGAGTGATGGAAACGTAGATGGTCTTGCAATGAGGAAAGTAACAACGAATGTTGAATGATATCAGATTTAAAACCAGTGCGGTACGCGTTTTCCGAGGAGATTTCGACGACTGTTTCACGTTTTAATTGTTCAGCATGTTTAGCAACTATTTGCTTTAAGCGTTGCTCTTTGTCGCGTAAATTCGCTTTGTCTTCATCGGTTGGTGTTCGATTTTTCAGAAGAAAAAATACTTTCAAGTAAGATTTATACGCTTGACGATATTCCTGATTATATTGGATTGACAAAACAGCAGGGCGAATACCTAAAAACGAGTTTTTATTTTTCGACAAGCGCAAACTTTCTATTCGACTTACCAAAATGAACAATAAGTGGATATGGACTGTTGTCTCGGTCGAGTTGATCAAGTCGAATGGCTGCTGGTCGATGTTTTGGAAACCAAATGATTGAACCTTGAACTTTGGTTACATATTTATCCCAGGCATCAGTTGACATTGATTTGCATCGAGCGTGTAAGTCATTGGGTATTAAAGGTTTCAAGTGTCTGAGGAAATATTGAATTTGTTCAGCAGGATGAAGTAATTCTTTACCATTATCAGGTAAAATACGTGCAAAACGAGGAAAAAAATGGTAACATGTACATGTGGAAATGTTTTTATCGTTATTCAATGGTCGCCATTGAATATCATACAGTTCACAGATATCAATAAGAAGGTATTGTTGAAGAAGATCAAGTTCTTCAATAGTAAAATGTTCTAAGGGAGATTCTTCTTCCAAACCAACAGAGTAGTCAATATTATGATAAACAACAATGCAATCATTCACCTAGAAAGCAAAAATCTCAAGAAAGACTCATTTTCAAAGCAAAATTTCCCTTTACATTCGTTAATGAAACATGAGAAAGAACAGAAAAGCCTTCAAAGATGTATTCATGATCATCGTATGTTATTGCAGTCGGTTCCTTCAGCTAAAATATATACAAATGGATGGTCAATGTTCCAACGCAAAGGGCTATTGAACTCACAACAAAATTTGTCTTCGGTGTTAACGTTATTCGATAATGAAACAATCGACCCGCATTATTATTCCATTTGTTACATGGTGTAATCAGCTAAAATCAAATAAATCATTCACATTACACTAATAATTGCTTACAGACCTTTTCTCCATAGAACATCTGATGACGAATGCCAAATTTTCGATCATCGTCACTGCATCGACACACAGGACCATCATTGCCCTATGATAAAAATAGTCAAATCTTTTGAAGCCCTACAAATGATTGATACAATACTTGTTTATATTCGTTGAACCAAAGTTCAGGATGTAAACGATTTGGTATCTGTTGTTTACGTTCGATTTCTAATGTTAACAAATTATCACTTGCTAAACTTGCTGCTGTAGCTTCGCCTTCTTCTTCTTCGCTTTCATCTTCCTCTCCGCTCTCACTCGAAGAATCTAAACAAATTAATTACGATCTTCGTTGTACTGTAATCTTCGAACCTTTCGACTTTCTTTCCGGTTTCGTTGCTTTACTATGAGAGCCGAATTGTTTGGCTTTATAAAACATATTGGAATGATCTGGCTCGTCGAAAACTTTATTTTCTCGGCGAAATTTTTCTCGTTGCGCTAAGACATCTGTTTGAAATTTTGCACACAGATCCTTCAATTTCTGTGTTCCATGTATCAAACGAGAATTCTGAATAGAAAATATGCACTTCTCTGATACACAAAATCATTCAAACCTACTTGTTCGTCTCGTCGATAATACAATTCCGATGCACATGTACGCACATACTGCGGTTTGCTTTTAGTTGTTGAAACTTCGGTAGAGTCTTCATCCGGACTAGAACTATAGAATAAATTCAATTATAAATGTATCGAAAGGCATGTTTTCATACTCATGATATTCATCTTCGATTGTGTTATCATTCGTTCGACGTCTTTTCGATGCCGGTGGCGACGAAGATAATTCTCGACGTCGATCATCATTTCGACAGGATTGATCGTATGAACGCCGGTAGTTATTATTATTATTATTTTCGCGAAATGAAGATGAAGAGAAACAATTGCGTCTTCGGTCTTGAAAATCTTTTTGCATCGTTGATGATTGTTTTCCATCTGAAACAGAAAACCCTCATAAAAGAAACCAAGATAAAATCCAATTTACTTGTTATTTTCTTTTGTCCATTTTCCAGCGATATCGGTGGTCGAACTCCAAATGCTGGCCGATTTGGAACATTCGCGACCGGTAAAGGCGGAGGAGGTACTGAGAACATCTGTTGAAAAAATTGCTGCTGTTGTTGCTGCTGCTGTTGATAAAGTGCGTACATAGTAGCTTGAAAATATGATTGTTGGAAGGCGGCTGCCGCCGCTGCCGGTGATGAAGGTGGCGGTACAGATGTAAACGATGGTGGAAATATGGGTGGATTCGATGGATTTGGTTGATTGTCATTGCTCATTTTACTTCCTGGCTTAACTGGAATATAAAGATAGAAATAGATGGTGAAAAGAAACTTCTAGACGAAATGTTGTTTTCGAATTCCATAGTGAACAATCACGTACGCCACAAAGTTTATTGTCGTGGTTTCGTACATGATTGTGAGTGGAATAGAAAACAAGCTCGATTTTTTTTTAGATATTCATCTCGTTTAGATCCCAAAAGTCTAAATAAAATCAATAGTTTTCCAACAAAAAAAAGCCAGTACCGCCAATATAAACATTTGAACAACTAACAATTACCTGTAGGATTTCTTTCAACGACTATACATTCAAAAGTCTAAATGGAATTTCATAAACGTTAGAACACTGGCACGATGAGTCAGAGAAAACGAACGATTACTGATCGATGGAAGCAAACATTTGAACGAATAAGTGCCAACTTGATAGATGTCACTTTTCGCCACTACGAAGGAGGGATTATACAATGAGTTATTCAGTGCATCAGGTGTTTAGGACGATGATTTGAGAGCACTTGAATATCATTTACTTTTATTATGTTAATTCGCAAGAATATCAATTAGTCTGAACTTTATTCTTGTTATTATCATTTGAGAATGCGCTTTTAGTTTGTTTCTTCATCCGTTCCTGACAGCGTTTTGCTCCAGGGCTGAAGTTTTCTATTGCGTTCCGTTTGTTTTCTTACTTTGCTGTCTGTCAGAAAGTGTTTGTGCTAAGCCGATGCACTTTTACTTTCCTCTCGCTGAAAAATTTACTTTTGAAAAGGAACAAATTAAATTATTGAGTAGACTGTTTCCTTTAAGGTCATGATAGTACTCATGAGAAGAAAATGAACTGAACTTTGGTTTGCCTCCATTGATGTAAAATGGTTTTTCTATGCAAGAATAAATCTGATTTGATTTATACTTTAAAAAAAGTACGAGTTTAGGGTGGTGTCATGTTTGTACTATTTTGCGTATATCAAATGAAGTCATCGGAAGATTGATTTATTAAAAATAGAAACGGCAAACAGTGTATCCTAGGCTGAAATGACTGATAATCAAGTAGGCCTGACAAAATGGCACAAAAGAAAATGAGTAATAAGGTTGAAAAAAAAAGTGAGACGTTACTCATGTGCAGTTCGTACTCATAGTTTTTATTATAATTAGAGAGAAAAAGAATGTACTTTTTCTCTTGTTTACGTCGTTCGTTTCTGCTCCCTACCGACGACCCGAGTATATATAGGAAGAAAAAAGTGCAAGTAACCGTTAAATTCACATTTAATTCTCAAACATGGCTAAACTCATCGTAGCTGTTGCTCTCGTGAGTCTTTGTTTTCTCATTTTGGAATCGTACATCTATATGTTGTTTAGTTCTGCATGGTTCTTGCTGCTGTTCACGGTAAACCACCCGGTAAACCGGGTCGTGATGACAAAGGTCCACACGGACCAGGTCCACGACCATCTGATCATGACCACAATGATTGGGAATCGAAAATCTGTGCAAATGCTTCAATTGCCGACGCATTTCTTAACCAAACACGTCAATTGATCACAGATCTTACAACAAATGGCACATTCACCAGTGTTTTAACAAAACAACAAAACGAAATCACTTACATCAACAGCGATGATAACAAAGCTATTTTATCATCAAATTGCACACAATTCTTCACTGGTCTTGACGCTGCACGAGATCTTGACAGACAAGCTGAAAAACAACAAATGGAACTTCAACGAACAGCCCGAGACTTATTCGTTCAAATCGTTAAATCTCTCCTCGGATAAACTGTTCATTACTTCATGAAAAATCACGCTTGAAAGCACTTTTCTGTGTCTGAACACTTTATATCTTTTTTCATCCTATATTGAAATTGTCTAATCAAGGAAATAAAATAAATCTACAGTAATTTGATTATTCAATCGTGCGATTAACGTATCAAAGTCACTTCGTTCTCATACAAAAAAACGTCATGTCTGAGATCAGGGTTCCATCATGTCCTTATTCAGCGCGTATTCTTTTCTCAAGATAAACAACTAATCTGATTCATTGATATGATGAATCGGACGTTATCTAAAATCCAGATCAAAGTATTTATTGTCCACATGATGCCCATCCATCGCGATATAAAAATAAAAATTTCAATAACAAAAACAAGAACGCATTAACATGTCTCTTTTGTGATTGACTAGCAAATGAAGAGAGAATCTACTCGAAGAATAATCGACTTCGTCTCGAATGTCATTTTGATTTTCTCAAATGAATTGGTAATTGATAAACTATATGATTCGCGAAGTCTAACATGTTATCATTAGATGTTACTCAAATTAGTTTATAACATGCTCAGTTTGTCTTATCTGCATCGTATCGTGCACCATGGAAGTAGATTTGCTTTGTTTCCATTTGATTTTGATCACAGTTTGATTGCATGTGCGGAAATTCAACTCATGTAGAATGTCGTGGTCGATAGGACGATCTTAATTGTCGAGCTAAACGTTTGTCTAACTCAGTCATTAAACGATGATTATCTTCATAGGTTTCGAGTTCAACGATATTTGTATTCGACGAGTTCGTGTCTGTAATCATTACCAAGGGTAATTGTCTTGCACTTGATGTTACACGTTCATCATGATGAATTGGGTTGTTGATTAATGAGTGTTTCCAGTGCCATTGGTTGGTTGATGTTAATTCTCGTGTAGACGAGACGGCGAGAAGGGATTTTCGTTGTTGGTTTTGAATAGTATTCAACGGTGGAAGACAGTTGTTCGTATTTGCATTCGACAAGCGACGAGTTATGGGATGAAAGAGAAGTGTGGCTTTGGTGTTGAATTCGTGTAACTTTTGTAAACGTTCAGCTGATGGACAAATCAAATTTGCTTGAGTCATAGCATCAGGAAAAGATGACCTTGTAAGATGAGTTAGTTGAAACTAGAAAAAGCAAAGAGTAATTTAATTGCAACATCGCTTGGACAAATACCGGTTGGGTGGCATTTGCCGACATGATTTGCTTATCATGTTCATTTTCAGTTGCACAAAGATTTTTGAATTCGTTACCACTTGAACTGCTAATATCATGATATGATGATAGTTTCAGTCCAATATTAGCAGATGGGCGTTTAACAGTATTTGCAAGCGTAACTTGAAGTCTGATTGGTGCTACAATTGGATTTACTTGTATGGCATCTCGTTGATTACCAGAAATTGATGAGCGTTTATCTGGTTGTTCATTGTCATTCGTTGATGATGACCAGAAGAAACAAAATCGTTTTAATCGAAAACAATTTCGTCGAAGCGAATGGCAACGTATCGAAGATATCGACGAGACGGATGAATCGAATCGACGGTTCCGACCGAATTGTTCCGAACATTTTCTCATTGGCTCTTTGTCATTCTCATGTAAATGATGTGACGTCGAAGATTTCAATCTTTGTCTCGATCGTTGGCATTTTAAATGAATAATCAAAGCCAGAAGCATTCCAAGCCAAACGAGAATAATCACTGATAAAATGACTGTCAAACGACTCAAACTATTCTTCAATGAGTCGCCCAGTAAATATCGTTGAAAAATGTTAACTGATTCAGGTAATTCGATGGTCACATTGATCATTATCTAATTTTCACATGAATCTTTCATCGACTGACAAGGAAAAGTCTATATGGAAGTTCTGAAATCGGAAAAAAGAGAAATATTTAGCATCTAGTCTTTCCCGTGAAATCAAGCAGACTAAGTACAAAAGTAGAATGAGCTTTCCTACTCCATTTGTTTCTATCAATTATTAATCAGAGCTTTACGTGCAAGTGGAAAAGAAATGTGATGTGTGTTTTGCTATTTAATCTCGTCGAAAGCTGAAATTCAATCAGGCATGCTAACATCTAGTGAAATTTGCGATATATTATTGAAGGAAACTCTTTCGCACGACGGATACTTAACGAATTGAATGAAAATGATCAAGCAGTTGACTAAAAGCAAACTAGTCAAGTAGGATGTTGTCTGATGAGAAAACAAAGGACAAATGTGAGAGATAGAGTGGAAAGAGAACGAAGAATAAAAGATGCTGACAACCTTGTGCTTCTGTTCCCCCTCACTTATGCGTTGTATGTCGTCTTTTCCAGGATTCTATTCTCTTTTCTTTCACATATAAGATTATTGCTTTTTTCCGAAGTAGAAATGTGTGATTACCAAGAGTATAGACAGAAAAGAAAGTAAATGAATCAAGTTAAATCCTAGTTGAGGTGTTATTTAAGCGGAAATAGAGCAACTCTAGTTAGTCGAGTGTATTTAACCTTCTATTTTTTTTCTGTCTCTCCCTCTCTCTCTACAATAGAACTTCCTCATCGGTTCGCTCGTCTAATTCATTCGTCAATAAATACGAGTTCCTACAGAAAACTTCCGTTGACACCAACTAAAAAAAGCGCACTTGACAAACTTTTAATTAACATCTTTTAATGATTCAGAATTCTGCCACAAATGTCGACTTGTCATATCCAGGAGCATCGTAGGCTCTGGCTCTCTAATCAGAAAGATTCAATTCCGCTAGTTCAATGTCAGGAAACGCCGATGCTTCTGGTTCAAATGTTCTCATTTTTTGTTTCAGTAAGAAACTTTTCATGCTTCGATAAACGATTCACGTCAATTAATTATAATAGGATATTCAAGATGATCTATACATATAGTATTATAGGTAGGTGAGTTCCGTTGAGATTACTCGAGGAAATTTGCTTGCTTTGCCACATGAATATAAATGAACAGAACTTTCCCTCCAGTAGCAAATATAGATAATTGGAAATTTTCTTGAGTATCGTCGAGACGAGTATTCTCTCGCGAATTGGTTTAGCATATATCGAGGTATGTGTATTTAATCTGTTTTTATTTTAGGAATGAGTGTATCCAGATAAAAAACGATTCAAGACACAAAAATAATGTTCTTAAAAACGCACTTCAAAGCGATTTTCTTCTCTTCGCTCTAATCTTTTTTATCAGAGAATGCATATTGAAGAGCAGCTTCGATATCATCGATTAAATCTTGAACATCTTCTAAGCCAACAGACATACGAATGAGACCATCCGTAATACCTAAAAGACGACGATGTTCTTCAGGAACACTTGCGTGGGTCATGACGGCGGGAAGCTCAACTAAAGACTCATATCCACCAAGTGATTCAGCTGTTGTAAATAACTATTGAAAAATAACACATAAATGATCTGTTTAGTTCGATTTCAATACACTTACTTTGAGTTGTTTCAGAAATCGTTGACTTTTCACCGCATCATCACCTTTCAAATAAATCGATATCATTCCACTAAAACCAGACATTTGTTTTTTGTATAAATCATGTTGAGGGTGAGACTCCAATGGTGGATAGATAACACGTGCGACGTGTTGATGCTTTTCAAGATATTTAGCAATGCGTAAACCAGAGGCCATATGTTGTTTCATTCGGACAGATAATGTTTTAAGACCACGATTGACCAGATAACAATCAAAAGGTGATGGAACAGCACCACTAAACAGAAATCGTTTGTCTGTAGTTTCCTCTTTCGAGTTTTACTTACATAGCATATTGAAGAAAGCTTAATTGTTTGTAAAGTTCTTCGTTATTCATCATTAGACAGCCCATGACAACATCAGAATGACCATTCATATATTTAGTTAATGAATGTAAAACTAAATCAGCACCGAGTGCCAGCGGACGTTGAAAGTAAGCTGTGGCAAATGTATTATCAACGAGAACCATAATTTTGGGATCATACGCATGAACGGCTGATGAAATTTGTTCGATATCAGCTAATTTAAGTAAAGGATTTGTGGGTGTTTCGATCCAAACGAGACGTGTGTTTGGTTTCAAATGTTTTGTAACCGAAGATGGATCAGTCGACATATCAACAAATGAACTTTCGACACCCATTTGTGCCATGCATCGTCTATACAAAAGAACAACACAGATGATCTTTGACGAGCGAAAAAAGAATGTCAATTCACCTAAACAATCGACCAGTACCACCGTAAACATCGTCGATGGAGACAATATGATCGCCTGATTTGAGCATAAACATCAGAGTAGTAGTTGCACCAAGACCTGATGAAAATGTTAATGAATATCGTGCTTTTTCTAATGAAGCTAAACATTCTTCTAAACACTGTCGTGTTGGATTTCCGCATCGACTGTATTCGTAAAGAACAGGTTTGCCCGGTTCTAATTGTTTGAATGTTGTGGCCATTGAAATGGGTGGAACAACAGCTTGACCAGGCCATCGTTCTGGTTCTTGCCCAACATGAATAGCATCGGTTGCGAAACGTGTTTCACCTATTTCTTCGTGAATCTTTTGATTTTCTTCGTCTTTATCGGTTTTCTGTGGACCAGCTGATAAATATCCTGCCATTGGTTTTGTTAAAGAATAGAATCTAGAAGATAGTAGTAAACGTGGATAGATAAGCATCTAAAATTTCTCGAAATCGAAAAAGAGAGTCATGAGAATCATTTTTCTTTTAGACAAACTCGTTTTGTTGGATGAAACTGCCTATGTCATTATATTCACTGATATTCGATACACACTCACAAGAATATCACCTTTAAATTACAATTTGATCTGTTTACTCGTAATCCTATTGTTTTAATGATGGTAAAGATGAATGAAGAATGATATTTATTTCGACAGTCGAAAGAATAAGAAAAAAACGAACGAAGCCAAACGAAATAGGAGAGAGAGAGGGCATACGAAATAGGAGGTGTAGAATCGTTTATTTCTTATCGTTTCGTTTATCTTGAAAAGAAAAACAATGTGATTACAATTAATCGAGGGAAAGAATCGTTAGAATGCAAAGATAGTATTTCTAAGCTTTAAATCATTTCTTGAAATGTGCTAATAGTATCACATCAAGGCAGTTATGTTATGTGATGTACCTCAATGAATGATTCATGCAGAATATTCTTCCATTTGGTAGTTCGTTTGTCCAATTCGATGTTCAGTACATTTGATTTCGAATCTAGTGGCGCTACTCCATTTTTCCAAAATCGAAATAGAAACACCCGACTTGAACGGTGTTATGTGAAGTCATGAGACGCCTAATTTGAGTTCGGGTATAAGTGAAGATATGGCTTTTAGGTTATAACCTGACTAGATGCAATTTCAGTTTAATAGAATTATAGGGCATTGCTTTATCCTTCTGCGAAAACTGGAATTGCTGACGATAGATGCGAATAGATTGATTTTGGTTTTGTACGATCAAGATTCACGTGCATAGACACACCTATGTTTATAAATATGAATTGAAGCGTTCACAGCTGTCTGCACAAAAGCACATTCTACGCTAAGATCTGTTTTTGAGACTTCTATGTATATTCCAACTCGAATAAACATCCATCTCATGATATGCAATGAAAATGACTAACCAAGTATGTAAAACTAGAAAAAACACAAAACTTGGTACTCAGAAATACTTAGTACTGATAAAAGTACGCGTTTGACAAATAGTATTCTAGTGTCAATCGTATTTTGTTGATCAAAGGTTTATGTTCTTCTACAACGCAATATCTAATTTTAACCAATACTAAGAACATACACGATGTCTTCAAGAGGTGTGTGAATATATGCGCCTGCTTGATCTAACTTTCGTCGGCTTCTAAAACCCATCAGTTTCATAGTACATAGCAGATGTGTCTGATCTCACTCACATAATAATGGGAGTATTTAAATATGCCACGATAATCCAACGAAAGACAGTTTTATTCTCGACTTGTTTATATCGACTGATAAAGAAAGAAAACAATGGGTAAGCGCATCGCTTCATTAATCGTCGCTGTCATCATCTTGGGAATCACCACCTACGCTCAAGATTACACTAAATTACATTTCCAAGACTGTGGTAGCAAAAGTGCCGACATTCAAAAGGTTGATATCACACCGATGCCATTGTACAATCCCGGTCCAGCTTGGTTCACATTTATTGCTGACTTAAAACGTCCAATCAGTAAGCGCTCAATCGATTTGTATAGGACAAAAGTATAAAAATAACTTTCATTTCAGAGGTTGTCCAAGTAAGTCTTGACATCTTACGTACAGTCAATGGAATTAAACTTCCAATCAAATGCTACGTTGTCAACGGCCAAAATGTTGGCTCATGCAGTTATCCCGACTTATGTAATTTTCTTAAAGACCTCTTGCCAGAGCTTCTTACACCAGAAAAGTGTCCACAAGGCTTACTTGATATTGGTGTAGATTGCACATGTCCACTCAATATCCATCCACAATTACTCAGTATCGTCAATCAACCAATTGATCTTCCTGATGCTACACAAACAGCTGCTAGTTTCTTGGCTTCTGGTAACTTTAACATGACTGTCACAGTCTCGGAAAGTGATGCATCAGCACCCAAACCATACGGATGCGGAAAAGTCGCTTTCACCGTGAAACAAAAGAAATAAACTCAATACTGTTGATGCGTTTGTTTTTCCTCGGCTTATTAAATTATATATTCAAAAATAAACAACATCTGTATACTAATCGTTGAAAATAACAAGAAAATTCATTCGAATGAATATCAACGATTAAAAAATCATTCAACAAGCTCTTGACGTGCGCATAGGTGTGGTTCTCTTATAAATTTTCCCGTGAGATGCATACCCACTGAATGCTTGCACCTGCTGAATCTTCGCAATGATTTTGCAATAATTCTGCGCGAGTCCGATTGTTCCCAATGACTTGTACTCGAACAAAAAAGGTCTTAGAAGTAAGTTGCGGCACAAGTGCTGAAGGCGATAGAAATTGTTCAATGTGAATATCAATGCGTAGGTAGCGACATCTATTGCGCAAGATCCTACCGTTTTCAATGATTTGACTGATTCTTTCATAGTGTCTCACGATTGTTTTTATTCCAATTTATGTAAAAACCGTTTTGTTTAGAATTGGGAAAGACTCTGCTCTGATTCATCCAAGTCGAATTCGATTGGTTGAGTCTTAGAGAATATTCCTCACCATAAATGAATGATCCAATTCAAATGCATACGCATATACATACACGAACGAACTAAAGTATTGATTGAACCGTGATTTTGCTTCTTTCTTCATTTTATTCGTTCGTTCGTTCGTTCGTTCGTACGTCTCCTTATTCTTTCTTTCATTTTGTTTTTCTTTTTTTCTGTCCTTTAAATGTCGTGAGAAATCAGCATATCTTATGACATCATCTTGCCCACCCACATATCTAAGGTTGTTCATTCAACCGACTATTGATAGTTCATCTCTTTTCCGCGCGTCAATCGTATTTCAAGGAGACAATTCGCTTTTTTTCTTATTTTAGATGGCAACTAGTGGCGGTGGTGATGACAACGAATGGCAAAAATTGCCGTGCGATGAAAAAGTGCAACATAAAGTACTTCAACTACTGCACAAGTGACCACTCAACATTGTTTGTTTTACTCGATATTTAGGCATGGAAAGCTCGTGTGACTGGGTACGAAGAATGTGTCAAACTGTTTCGCACACAAGATTCAGATAAAAGTCCCGAATTTAGTAAATATCTTGGACTTATCAAGAAATTTGTTCTTGATGCAAATGAGAATGCTCGAGAGAAAGCACTTGACGCTGTACTTGCCTACGTGGAAGAAGCACAAGTAGCGGGAAAGTATGTTGTAATGTTCATCGCTGCAGAAAGTTGTGTTAAGCATTACTTGTGTTTTATTTAGAACTGTAGGTGAAGTCGCACCGGGTTTGATTGCTAAATGTTTAAATGGACGAGCGAAAATGAAGGAACGAGCATTCGATATTCTTCTTATGTATGTGGAAATCGAAAAGCAAGTTGATATTGAAGAAGAATTAGTCAAAGGATTAGAAAACAAACAACCTAAGATCGTTCAAGCTTGTCTCGAACTTCTTCGAAAAGGATTATCGTACGTTCTCACATCTCATTCACAAAATATTTATTGGATTTGTATTTGTAGAGAATTCGGTTCCAAAGTTCTTCCAATTAAACCTTTTCTTAAACAAGTCGTTCCATTACTCGAAGATCGAGATAAAACTGTTCGTGACGAAGCTAAGTTATTACTTGTAGAAGTCTACAAATGGATCGGTAAACAAACTCTGATGCCCATGATTCAAAACGTCAAACCTATTCAGGTATTCTAATTATGAAACAGTACATATGAGTATGGCAAGATTGTTTGTTTGTTTGCTTTGTAGATGCAAGAACTACAAACTGAATTCGATAAACTAGATCTGAATGGTGCTGATAAGCCAAGACAAACACGTTTTCTTCGTTCACAGCAAGATCTTAAACAAAAAATGGAGCAAACTCAGGCATCAACAACAACAGTTAGTGGATCTCTTGCCGTTGAAGACGTCAATGTCGAAAGTAAATATCTATTTCCCATGACAATCAAGCGTCCTCATCGAACGAGTTGCATTTTTAGTGCAGGAAGATCTCGATCCATTTGAAATGATGGAACCTGTAAATATTATTGATCGGTTGCCAAAGGAATTTTTCGATAAGATCGTAAGATTACTTTCAATAAAGACAATATTGATTACCGAAGACTTATGATTTGTTTAGGAATCAAAACAATGGAAAGATCGAAAAGAAGTGCTGGATGACTTATTAACATTATTGACACAGAATCCAAAATTAGCGCCGGATAGTGATTATTTCGAATTGATTAAAGCATCAAAAAAAGTAGGATTAATAGAAGGAAGAATAGAGATTTGCTGGAAAATTACATATGTATTTTCTTCGTATAGATTATTTCAAAAGATAGCAATATTCCTGTAGTTCTTGTTGCTGCCAAATGTCTTACAGCATTAGCCAAAGGTTTACGAAAAGGATTTAAAAACCATGCAGTTGGGGTTTGTATCTGAGCGGTGTGAATAGTGAGGATGGTATTGATTTGTTCAATATAATTGTTTAGGTCTTAGAAGTATGTCTTGACCGATTTCGAGAAAAGAAGACAAATGTTATCGAAGCACTGCGTGAAACATGTGATGCTGCGTATCCATCGGTAAGTATTTGTAAGAAACTATTGTAAAATAGAAACCAAATCCATTTCTTGTTCAGACTAACCTTGAACAACTCTCAGAAGTGGCACTTGCTGTATTAGCACACAAGACTCCCATTGTTCGACAATGTACTCAACAGTTTCTCACCAAATGTTTTGCTATGGCTACACAAACAACACTTCCCAAAAAAGTTCTCAAAATCTATCTTCCACCTTTGATCAAGGTACATATTGACACTTGATAAGGACTAAAAGTAACCAATTTTTGGTTCTGTAGAACACGGGTGAAGCTGATCCCAGTGTTCGTGACAGTGCATTCGAGAGTCTTGGAATGCTGTGGAAATGTCTTGGTGAAAAACATATTCTTCCAAATATAACCGACTTAGACGAATTGAAATTGAATAAAGTATAACGATATTTTCTACAGTGGGAGCTGTTCGATTGAATATGTCCCATTTAGATTAAAGAATATGCCGAAAAAGCAGTTCTACTTAACCTTCGTGGAGAGCCACGTTCATCAGCTCCAACAGGAGCAAGTGCAGCCGCAGCGGCGCCGTCAAAAACAACCGCATCTTCGATTAATTCAGCAACGATGACGAAGAAAACATCAAGTTCAACAGTACCGAAATCAGAAGTTGGTGCTGAGAAAGATGAAGAGACTCCAAGTCCATCAACAACAGCAAAACCAGCCGCTGCTGCGACAAAGAAGAAAACAGCGACAGCAGCTAAACCAGCAGCAACAACTAGCGAACCTGCTGAAGAGAAAAAACGAGAACCACGACCACCAAAGGTAAATGTTTTACATATTAGCATTTACGTTTATTCATCAAAACTTCAAATTTCTATTCTTCGTTGTGTCTCTGCATTTGTTTCTTTGTCCTCTCAACGAAGACACACAAACGTATACACACATGTGTTTTAGTATCGTTTTCTTCTTACATTTGTGTATATGTTCGTGTGTTATTGCAGGCGTCTGTACCATTCACTAGTACGGTATCTCACACGATCCCTTCTCGCGCCAAACTCTCTCTTACAAGCTCATTATCACCGCAATTCTCAACATCAACGAACGCAAAAGTTGATTTTTCAAAAACTCGACCGATAACCGCACCAACATCATCAATAAAGCAATCATTAAACAAAACTCAATCTTTTACCCAACGTCCAAATGCTCTACTGGCAACTCAATCCATATCCTCAACTGTACCAATAGCATCCACTATTCGACGCTCGTCACTGACTCCCACTAGTTCACCTCTATCGTGTCTACAACGTGAATCCACTTCAAACAGAGGTTCAACATCTTCAATAAGTAGTGCAACAACTCAAGTATCAATTCCGTCTACGGCATCGCCAATAAAACCTTCTTGCATCCCAACGAATAGTCCGATCTCTTCTCCAATCTGTGGAACTGTTAGCGCCAAAAGTCGTATTCCTATGCGATCGATTCCGACACTAATCATTAAAAAATCATCAGCATAACAAATCTTCTTTTGAAAACTATGTGATACAAGTTCTTCTTTCATTTCTGTGCTTCATCGTGCCTCGACATGTGTTCCTTTATTTCTTATTAATTAGATTCTCTCATCGAATTCAATGACTGTTCAATTTTGTTTTTCTTTGTTCTTTCATTTTATTTCTTATTCTATTCTAATCGATTTGTCTGTCTCTCGAGTGTTCACACAATTGTTACTGTTTTGATCTTTCATTATTAACTTTCTATTGAGATATTACGTAATATCGTTCTGTTTATCAGATATCGTTTGCAATGAAAATTTTCTTCTTCGTAGGTTCGTAGCGAAAAACCTATCGACGATCCTGAATGGCAAAAGTTACCGTGCGACGAAAAAGTACAACATAAAGTAAATCATACAATCGAAAGTTCGATCTTCAGTACATTTTGATTGATTTCCATTCTTCCAGCTATGGAATGCACGTTTGGCTGGTTACGAGGAGTGCGGCAAACTGTTTGCTTCGCAAGATTCGAGCAAAAGTGGAGAATTCGAAGACTATCTAGATCTTTTACCACGATTTGCCATGGATGCGAATGAAAATGCCAAAGAAAAAGGTCTGGAAGCCCTGCTTATCTTCATTCAGGAAGCTCATGTCGCACGAACGTACGTATTTGTGCAGATGACGTTTGATTGGGAAACGCTATTCTGGTTTTCTTCCGTGTTACAGAACTGTGGGTGATATTGTTCCGACATTGGTGAGCAAATGTCTTAGTGGACGACCAAAAATTAAAGAACGAGCATTCGATATTCTTCTTATGTATATTGAAATTGATAAAAATGCTGAGATCGAAGATGAATTAGTTAAAGGATTAGAAAACAAACAACCCAAGATCGTTCAAGCTTGTCTCGAACTTCTTCGAAAAGGATTATCGTACGTTCTCACATCTCATTCACAAAATATTTATTGTATTTGTATTTGTATTTGTAGAGAATTCGGTTCCAAAGTTCTTCCAATTAAACCATTCCTTCCTAAAGTCATTCCACTACTCGAAGATCGAGATAAAACTGTTCGTGACGAATCGAAATTACTGCTTGTGGAGATCTACAGATGGATCGGTAAACAAACTCTGATGCCATTGATTCAAAACGTCAAACCTATTCAGGTATTCTAATTAGGAAACAGTACATATGAGTATGGAAAGCGTGTTTGTTTGTTTGCTTTGTAGATGCAAGAACTACAAACTGAATTCGATAAACTAGATCTGAATGGTGCTGATAAGCCAAGACAGATACGTTTTCTTCGTTCACAGCAAAATGTCAAGCAAAAACAAGAACAAGCAGTCGCAAGTGGCGGTGGTGCAGGTGCATCAGTTGCTGTTGACGAAGCTGAAACAGATGGTATAATCTTCGTTAGAACATTCCGAAATAATTCGTTACTATCATTTATATTTAGCACAAGAAGATCTTGATCCTCTTGAAATGTTAGAAGCTGTCAACGTTCTTGACAAATTACCGAAAGAATTCTTCGAGAAAATTGTAAAAATCAATAGTTATTTAGTTTGCTCATATTATGAATTGTTTATGCCTAGGAATCGAAACAATGGAAAGATCGAAAAGAAGTGTTGGATGATTTAGTAACATTATTGACACAGAATCCAAAATTAGCATCCGATGGAGATTACTTCGAATTAGTGAAAGCGCTTTCAAAGGTTAGAATAACGGATTCTGTAGAGTCTTTCTTCTACTTTTCGTTTGATTTATTTTATTGTAGGTTATCTCAAAAGATAGCAATATTCCTGTAGTTCTTGTTACTGCCAAATGTCTTACAGCATTAGCCAAAGGTTTACGAAAAGGATTCAAAAATTATGCTATTGCTGTAAATATGATCGTGTTAGTTTTGTGAAACAAAAACGTTTGTTCTTGTTTCAATTTAGGTCTTAGAAGTATGTCTTGACCGATTTCGAGAAAAGAAGACAAATGTTATCGAAGCACTGCGTGAAACATGTGATGCTGCGTATCCTGGCGTAAGTTTTCTTTTGTTGTTGAAAAAGAACACACTAACTGACGACTTTTAGACTAACCTCGAGCAAATGGCTGAGACTGTAATTGTTACATTGGCTCACAAAACTCCCATTGTTCGACAATGTACTCAACAGTTTCTCACCAAATGTTTTGCTATGGCTACACAAACAACACTTCCCAAAAAAGTTCTCAAAATCTATCTTCCACCTTTGATCAAGGTACATATTGACACTTGATAAGGACTAAAAGTAACCAATTTTTGGTTCTGTAGAACACGGGTGAAGCTGATCCCAGTGTTCGTGACAGTGCATTCGAGAGTCTTGGAATGCTGTGGAAATGTCTTGGTGAAAAACATATTCTTCCACACGTAACTGATTTAGATGATCTGAAACTTACTAAGGTAACATTTCTAATTGAAATAAAGATAATATTTTTCGAATCGTCATTGGCTTTAGATTAAAGAATATGCCGAAAAAGCAGTTCTGTTAAATGCACGTGGCGAACCACGACCGCCACCATCTGTTGCTCCACCCCCGCCAGCAGTGGTGAAAACAATTAAAGGTGGTGGTGCTGTTGTGGTGAAGCCGGAAGTGATAGTTGCCGACAAAGATGATAATGACGACGAAGACGTGCCAGCAACATCATCATCTCCACCAAAGGGAAGTGCTGCAGCGGCAAAGAAGAAACCAGTTGCAGGTGGTAAAGGCGGTGCAGTCGCCACTGAAACAGCAGACGACAAAAAGAAAGATGCGAAAGGAAAAGTAAGCGCTCGCGAGCAATTTTTGTCATTTATGTTGTTTCTCTTTCGCTGCGTAGCCTGCTGCTGCTGGCAAAACACCACCAGGTAATGCTGCTCCAACAACAGTTAAAGGCGGTCGACCAGTTCCAGGAAAAGGTCGTCCAGCCACAGCTCCATCGCCACCCAAACAGCCCATGGAGACTGATTCAGATTTAGCATCAGCCATGCAAGACGAAGATGAACAGCAACGTCCTGCAACTGCACAGCGTATTCAATCGAAAATCGAAAAAAAAACAGGTCAATTTCAATTGGCTCTTAACGACGATAACATGGACGCTCTTCGTTTACCTGATCTCGTTTCAAGCGAATTACCTCACGATTTCGATCTTCCAGATTTACCACCGCGAACGTACGTAGTTTGAGTATTGATGTATTTGAAAGACTAAACTTGATCAATCACTTCTTCAGTGTACCAACAACATCGATTCCAGTTTCATTTTTGGCTGCTTCTTCTGATTGTCGTCAATCAATTGATCTTGTCATTGCGCTTATCGCTGATCATGAAGTTAACAATAGTTTATCATCCTTAGCACAAATTGATGAAGTTCTCAACGATGCAGCTAAATGTGTCTATCTCGAGCAGCACGTTGATAAACTTCTTCGTATGCTGTCAATGAAATTACGTATTGCCCAACAAAATCACTTATACGATTCTTCATTACCAGCTGACAGTGTCGAACGATTATTTCGCGGAATACTATCCGTTTTACTCGATCTTTTCTCGCGTTCTCATCTCGCTAAGATTGCAACACGCGATACACTCAAAGAATTGCTTAATGTTCTCTTACCGTTTGTTGTTGTAACTATTACGCCACCAACAACAAACAGTGTAAATCATCATCATACAGCACCGCGAGTTGATGCCTCGTCAAATGAAGATTTCATTCGTATTGTTAACGTGATTGTGTTGAAAATTTTACAGCACGCACATATGACAAATGTTTTAACAGCTTTGATTCGACTTTTAACGGAATGCTGTCTGCAAAATGATTTTTCAATCAATGATCCATTTGTTAAACTTGTTCTCAAAGTAAGTTCGATCATTTGTCAGCAAAACCCAGCATATTTTCGTCCTTTGCTTAGTGTCACTATCGTCTGGTTCGAATGTTTCCATTGTCACTTAAAAACAATCCTTCAGAGATCGATTCGACACAAATTCTAATTGAAATCTCTTCATTTCTCAAACAACTTCCATCTCGTCGTTGGCAAGCATCGCCAACCAACGATTTTCCTCTTCGAATAATCAAAACATATCTCCAGCAATTAGTCGACGAACGCCAACGTTCAATTCTCGACGATCTCTCGCGTATCCCAGCTGACCATCAGCCAATCTCTGATGAAATGCGTCACTACATTCATCGTAAATTAAAAGCTCTGACTGTTTCATCATCGGTAACAAATAGCGAACAAGTGACTCAACAACATCAGACAGCATTGAAAACCATTTTCCAAAAATTTGCTCGTCGAGATCAAGTGAAGATGGGTTTAGAAGAATTATACGATTTTAAATCACGTTTTCCTAATGTGGACATCAATCCATTCTTAGCGACAACTGCGGATGCTTTTCAGAAATTTATTCACGAAGGTTTAGCACGTGTACACAATCAACGCACTGCTGCTGCAGCATCGACAATGGCGTCAACAAACGCCAGTGTATCATCACCGGCATCGACTATTCTTCGAGATAAAACGCAAACGCTTACATCAGTACCAAATCAAGCATCGCCAAATTCGTTCTATTCACAATACGCTCAAATTCATGAAGAAAAACTACGCGCATTGAAAGAACAATTTGTTTGGATTGATACATTGCCAACACCGACAAATATCGAACAACAAAAACCGGTTTCAGATGAAGACTTCGTTGCTATTTATAATAAACGTATGACGGCGATTAAAGAGAAATTTCACGATCAACTGGGTAATACATTTGCGTCATCATCGACACCTATTGATCCTCAAGTTTATTCACAACATCTAACACAAATGCGTCAACAATGTGGTCTGGCGGCCACACCAATTTCAACCGGACAAGTATGTACTATACCCTTGATTATCATTGTGCTAATTTTTATTCTCATTTAGGATGCATTTGATGTTGAAGTATGTCGTTTATCTTTCACTTCATTGCATCTTTATTTTCAAATTCATTTAGGTTGAATCTCGTTTGAATAATGGCGGCACAAATGCTAATAATACCACTGGTATTAACGCTCGATTAGCAGCATTACGAACAAATAAAACTGCTGAACCAGCAGTTGATCCACCTCCTTCATTATCAACGCCAGTCGATGCTTCAGCTCAACGTACACGAGAACTACTTCGACAACGACTTGAACGGGTTAAACAAGGCATTGTTGAATAATTCTTCTTGTATATACACGATTAAACATTCTCTTCTATTCTATTTTTACATAATACAACAATTCTTAGACTTCCAACAAAGCAACACACACGACATGTTCACCTACAAAACAAACATGATCTCATTTTGTTCATTTCTGTTCGATATTATTAACTAATATTCACTTGTGTTTGTCTTATGAGGAATATTTTCTTCTTCTTTTTATTCTCATCTTCTCCACTTAGCAATAAATTCTTGGGAGAACTTGTGTGCTTCGTATATATGTATACATATATAAAAGAAACTCTTGTATTCAACTGTGATCAACTGGAAAAAAAACACATGTCATAAGCAGAGTCTCGTCTGCATGGGTGATACTCATTTTAAAAGCGTAGAACTTTCGCTGAAATGCACGTGAACTTGAAGTACATAATGATTTGCAATTAACAATTCGTTATGGTTATGTAAAGACATTGACAAGAATAAAAATATCTGTCGATCAAAGTGTACAACGATTTCATTCTATTAGTGTTTCGATGTTATCGAATAATAAACTGTTTACGCATCGTTCGATTCAGAAATGTGAGCGTAAAGAATTTTGTTGGATATTTATAGTTTTAAAAAGGTATAGGAGAGTTTAAATGCAGTTATAGAAAAGAAAAAAGATTGGTTTAACATCCTATTTTAGGAAATAAATCATATTTATGTTCGTGCTGTTTGCCTTATGGGTTCAACTGCATTTCTATTTGTGAATTTCTGCACTATAATTGTTTTCACTGGCGTTGTAAAATAGTACAGCATGACTAAAATTATTACGAGAGATAGATCAACACAAATATATGCAATACGAAAATGGTATTTCGGTGGTGTTGTGAAAAACGATATAAACATGAATAGAGCATATGGTACACCGAGAATGATTAATGTATTGGAAAGAATTAATGTTCGTTGAATAAGTCTCAATTCCCGTCGCGCATGAAATAAAGTATTTGCCGGTATTGCACGAATACTAATCTTATGAACATATCGAGTTAATTTCATATAAAGAAAAAGAACAACAAAATTCGGAATAAAATAAATAGTTGTTCCAACATAAACCATTGGGACAGATAGACTAAGAGGAATTTGACATATTTGATTATCAATATTGTACGTGCAGTGACCAGTTAAAAACACTGGTAAAACATACAATGAACAGAATATCCATTGAATAAGAATAAGAACGAGTTGAAATTTTGCTGATAACCACAAAATTCGAGTTGGATAAACAACTGATATATATCGATAGATAGCTATTAACAAATACGAATAGTTTTGCGCACAATCAGCGACATATCCACAAAATCCCATCGCAAAACAAAATGTGAGACTAAACATATTTAATTGTAGATCTTTTTGAAAAGTAAAAAGTGCCATGTTTAGTAAAACACAAGCTAAGAATACTTCAGCTGCACATATATTACATGTTAAAAGCATTTGAATTGACCAACACGTTCGATTTGTAATACAAATAATTAGAAATAATATACCTAATAGAATTGTTAAACTCGTGCAAATAATCATAATAATATCGAATGGAATAAACCAAAGTTCTGCTTGAATTATTGTTAAATTGTTTGTTAAGTTCGAGATTAGCTTTGAACGAGACATAACTTACTAATTAATTAATATATACAAATGAGATCTTTTATGTAAGTTTCACTTGAATCCGTAAAAAAGCGTCGTAATCTGCTTCTGATATTATTCCTAATGAGAGAATGATAATAATCTGTGTGCCAGCTGAGAAGTATTTTCTCGTCACAAATATATCAGATGGCATTCACTTGAAAAAAAAAGAAAGACGGATAATTTCAATGTCAAAAACATATAAATCATTTGCTTTCGTTGACTGCAGTGGTGATGAAGCTTCACAGACGCATTACATACGAATGTTAATCTTCTTAGTCCTTTTCCTTCATGTCTCATCCTGTTCAATCCGATACCATCGATATCATTCAACTTTTTCTCTTTAATTTTCATCTGACATAAAGTTGCTCTTCTACCATTTCTCTGAAATTACGCCACTTGAACATCTTTCAACTGAACATCATCATGGAGCACAATTAATGAGCAGATGATATTAATAAAGAAAGGGAGAAATGTTGAAAAAGACTTCAGTTGTCCAACTTGATATAGAAATGCATCTTTCTTTAGAGCTCTTAGAAAAAAGGGCGGAAATTTGCAAGAGTTTGACTATCTCTCATAGGCGGAAGGTCAGAATGGTATCTTTAGAGGAAAATTAGAAAGGAACTTACTTTGACATTTACCATTGAACATTCAAAAACGAGTAAGTCAAACTTTTCCAATATTGAGGTCGAGTGTGAATTCGAGATAGAAAAAAAAAGCACTGTCTGTCTCGGGAAATGTTGTTTAATCAAATTCCTGTCGAACTAAAAATAAACTAGAATTCAAGGAGAGTAATTATTGGATACCTCTGTCCTGTGATTCACCCGGAAAGTTACATGGAACCACTATTTTGTCAATGCGGATACAATCCGAGCTGTTCGTAACGAACTATCATTATTAAACTAATATTACCTCTCCCTCAACCGTGTAATGTTTCATAGACGATAGTTTATTAATATCTTACCGTGTTGATTTTTTGTGGTACTCATGCGCATGAAACCTGGGCGTTTTAATGGTGATTTGAAATCAGTTGAGAGGGAAACATTCGACTAGTTCGTCGAAAATTTCATTGTTCAATAAATATCACTGAGAATATGAATAATTTTTTTGTCAATTTGATCTTTGAGATGATTTAAATTTCAATATAGTATGTGAATGATTTTCCATTGATAGTAATACTCAAGCGAACGAAAACGCAGTGTGAATCTGTTTGTCTCGTCAGAACAAATGTCAGTATATGTTTTCGATCAATCTTTGATTGATACTACTCGTATAGTAATCAAACAAAACTGCGTAATGTTGATTAAAATAAGTTACCTGTAATATTTTTTGTATCATACATTACTGATAATATTCACTTATTCATCTTTCTACTATTTCACCTTTTATTTTCTAATTTCGATATTTTATTTTTCAGAGTCAAACAGTACTTAAGGCATACCAAAAGATCTGAGCACGGTGTTTAAAAAATGGTACTCCTCATGCTCATCGAGATGTTGTCGATTATTTAACAGAGGAAGGTATCGAAATCATTCCACATCCGCCATATTCACCAGATCTTGCACCGTGTGACTTTTGGCTAAATGATTATACCAAGAACAAGTTGACGGATCACACGAACGAAGAATCGCTGGCTCAAGAGGTTTCCACCGTCATGAGAAATATTCCTATGAACGAGTTCAAGAAGACTTTTGATAAACTGTTAGAAAGGATGGAATTCTGTATAGAAAATAACGGTGACTATTTTGAGCATCGGATAAAATAAATTTACAAATCTTTTTCTTTTTCACATTCTAGCTTTATGTTGCCAGTATCTTTTCTTAGCTATAACTACTATAGAACTAACCTAGCGGAGTGTTAGAAGTAAATCCAAGATGGAGTTACTCTGTTGATTATTGAAGTCGAGAACTTATTCTATACTTTGCCTTAAGAAAACCATTCAATATTTACGACTTTAAAAAATTTTAAACATCGGACTCAGAACTTTTGGTATACCCTAAGTAAATTCAAATAAAAATTCATTTGTTTATCTATCAAAACATTTTCTTCGTGTTTATATTGTAAAAATGCATTTCATCAAATCCGGAATACAAATATTTACAATAAAAAACGACTGCTCGAATAAAAATAATAGAAAATCATGGAAAGTTAATAAAAAATTGACACTTTTTAACTGGTAGCGTGTTTGACTTTATGACATTCGGATTTACAAGCATGTTCATCTGCTTTCGTCGCAGCTTTGCCAGCTTCCAATGCGGCATCAACACGATCACTTGGTGCTTCTCGTGGGTCATTAGCTTTTTCTACTTTGTCTGCAGCTTTCTTGCCTTGAATACTTTCTTTGACTGATTCAACACCAGCTTTGATAGCGTCCATTTCTATTTTCAAACAAAACTATATTTTAAAAAAGAAACGAATATTTTTTCATACGCACTTTTGTTTTGCGAAGATGAGACTTAGTAATTTGTGTGAGGAAAACGAATATAATAATTTTGTTGAAATTGTCGACTCCTTTATATAGTGGTCGGGAGGGGAAAAATAATATCTCTTTTCTCGTTGCTATTCTGTCACCTCCTCGTTCTCGATGATACTCGAACGTTATTAGTATGCACTGATTTTAAGTAAAATCGAGGTTAAAGACTACGACTCGAACGATTGCTCGTGCTTTTACGTAGCACGTTTCTTGCAATGTGATCGATACATTCGCATTAACACAAAGGTGTATGATGATTGTTTTTAATGTTTATTTAAAAATATTTTTTTCTTTTGCCGGAATAAATATAATTAGAAAAAAGATAGCGCATTGATTTGGTATCAATGTTTCTTATCCAATGGTAAGCATTGATCTTTACACGCATGATCGTTCCCTGCCGATTCAGCTTTGGATGAATCTGAAGTTGAATCCATTGGTGTTTTAGCTGGACGAGCATCTTTGTCTAATTTGCCATCTAGCTTTCCTCCATCAGCATCTTGTAGTACATTGCCTTTATTTACGTCCATATTGAGAATGAAAAATATAATAACTCGATGTCTGACGTATGAAATCTTCGAAGCAAGTCATCCATGACGAATCTTACAGAACGTGAAAACATTTATCACTGGTTGAGTCAGTGATACAAGTCGATAGTCATTCAGTCGAAACTTCGACGGATAATATACTGCATTACTAATGTTCTCTAGAGCATTGTACATGAATGATATCCAGTAATCTGTTTCTTCTACAAAAGAATTATCATTGTGCCGTTTAGATGACCCTATGAACAATGACGAATAATTTGTTAATTAAGTAAAATAATTGTGATCTTTCGAATAAATGAAATGCAGTTGAAATATCTGTAATACATTTCGATTCAAACATAATCATTTCTGAATAATCTCGAAAGGGTGACAGATGTCAAATGTACACTTCAAATTGTCAGCAAGAAAAGCGGTTAACTTCACCCAATCCGACTGAATTCCATCTAAGAACATGAAAATACATTCGATGGTATTTCAATGTCAATCCGACAAACGTTTGTGTAAATTATTCGGAGAATTTCAATTATTCATACAATTTCTTTCTAACCAAATATTCCTTTCACACGTGATTAAATTATAAGATAAATCTGTGTCTGGTTTACTGAAACACTTAGTTGAATTTTCAAATGTGCGAGTTTTTCATTATTTGAAAACAGATAGCAAAGTTTCGAAGATATTTCATTTGCTCACTGCTTCTAATCATGTCGAAATGTAGAGGCCATTTGTTTGTCCCTCTTTCCTTCCTTCTCTTTCGAATATGCAAACATGATGAACGCAGATGTATTCGTCGCGGCGTTAATATTGTTTTCTTCTCTTTCTCTTTCTCATTCTTTCTCTCTCACCCCTTACCGCCGACAATGTTGTCTTGCCGTCAATGTGTTACTTTCTTTTGACAGTCGATTGGCGTTCGTTTTCTTTTTTCTGTCGACTACCGTCCGTCGGCCTTGACCAGTGGCCGCCAAAAGAGAGCGAGGAAGAAGTGAGCCATGTCATTGTTCTTTCTTCTTCACTCTCAGTGAACGGACGACGACGACGAAAGAAATGAGTGGATGGTGAATGAACATCATTCCCTTTTCTTTTCTTGTTCTATTTGAAGGTCAGTTCAAACACACTGCCGCTTTGTAAAACAAAAAAAGGACGATTTGCGACTGCTCTTTTGCTCCACCCATCGTTTTCAATGATCAAAGACAAGCAATAATGTTTCGATTTTGAAAGAAAAGAAGAATGGCATCTCCAAGATTTGATCCAAGTCAATTCCAAACACCTACTAAGAAACAAAATCCTTCGTCCCCCTTAACTTCTCCCTCATCAATTTCAACGACATCGACAAATCCGAAACAACGTTCAGTCACTGGAAGTAGCAACACAAATGATGAAACAATCACAACGATTAAAATGGAGGATGGTACCGATGAAGTGAAAGTCTTCTCTGCATCGACTATCAAAAAGAATGAACCTGATGATGATATCGATGTTGACGGAATCGAAGATCGACTCTCACCAGTTGTTGAAGAACCAGTAAGTTTCATCGATTGAAACAATATATCCTCACGAAATTTCCTGCATTTCTAGACAAGCCCGAATAAAAATGATGCATTAAATGGTAGTCTTTCTGGCTTATACACATCACCATTTCTGTATCCATATTTTCATCCAATGTTCCATCCGTATTTAATGGCTGCAGCTGCACAAGCAAATGCGGCTGCCTCATCCACAGTAAATACTGTCACTTAACTGTTTATGCCAGTTTTGAGAAAAATAAACTTTGTAGGATAAAACAGCGACGGATGGATCGACCCCATTACCTCCTAATCCATATGGAGCTGCACCTTCTCCCTTCTCTGGTTTTAATCCAGGTAAAACAGAATATTTGAATGCGTATGTACGAATAATTTGTGTTTGAAGGCATGCCTTTTCCTTCGTTGTATCCACCTGGAATGGTCAATCAACCATTTCGACCAAATCTGTTCAATCCATTCGGAATTCCTATACCTACACCCGGTGTTCGTCCTCCTCCACCTGCTTCAGCATCATCGTCGTCTTCTTCATCTTCAAATCGTCACCATCAAAACTATGATGGATCTCCTCGAAAGTAAGTGTCATTCTCTTCTCGTAGAAAGGTCATTTCCATTTCGTCTTTTCTAGTCTTAGCGCACTGCTTGATGCACAACGACCAAAGAAACCTCATATAAAAAAACCTCTAAATGCTTTTATGCTTTATATGAAAGAACAACGTGCACATGTTATTGAAGAATGTACATTAAAAGAATCATCGGCAATAAATAAAGTTCTTGGACAGAAATGGAAAGAATTACCACGAGCTGAACAAGACAAATACTATGGTAAAACCGAATGAAAATCTTTACATAATCCTGTTCGATCATTTTCCGTTAAATTTTGTAGAATTAGCTAAAGAAGAGCGAAATCGTCATATGCAATTGTATCCTGGTTGGTCAGCCAGGGATAATTACGGTTTAAAGAAGAAACGTCAGTCAAGTGGACATACGCCTTTATTGAACAATGCGAATAAAAAAGCACCCAGAGAAAACAATTCAATGGTGAATAGTCCGGGACATTTGAATCATAATAGTCCACATCGATTCGGTCAACCACATCATTTGATCAACAGTCCACATATGAATTCCAATAAGAATCCAATGCAACTAGAGAATGGTAAACATCGAACCAAAATTGACTTTCGAAACGATGATATTTTGTCTTTAGATTGTTTAAATCAAAAGAAATGTCGAGCTCGATTTGGTTTAGAAGGGCAAAGTCAATGGTGTAAACATTGTCGTCGAAAGAAGAAATGCACACGATTTCTCGAAGAAGATATGTCAAATCATGCGAATAATAATCCAAATCATATGATGAATAATTATCATAATCCTTCACTAAATACTCACGGTATGAGTGTCGGTAGCAATGGTAATCCATCGTCGATAAGTTCACCTCGAACGAATCAATCGGATGATGAAGATGATTCGATGAATGAACCAGATGGTGATGATATTTTAGCTCGACAAGTTGATTCCATTGAAGATGATGATGACGATGACGAAAATGACAACGACGACGATGATGATGACAGTGATGAAGAAAATAAACAACAGCATCATCATCATCATCAACAGCAAACGAATTCTCATGTTTATAAGCCAATCCCGTCGAAAATTGAGCCTCTTCAATCACAATTTCATCCTCCACCACCTGCACATCTCTATCAACCTTCAGCAATGCCAGCTCATTTTACGCCTAATTTTCATTATTAGAAAATGAAAATACAGTCCTGTTCGGTTTTCCTTTTCTTTTTTTGTTCAAGATAATTTTTTTGGTGCTTATGTACATTAAAACGTCTCTATATGAAATTATTTGACTCGAGTGACAAACTTCTACTCTGCGGTTCTTGTTTCTTTCTCGCGAGCTTTTTTTCTTGTTTTCTGATTACTCTGTATTTGGCGAGCATGCGAAATTGCTTGTAATTTCGACATGTGGATATATTAATGAAAAAAAAACACGAAAACTAAAGCAACAATCGGTTTTTTTATCAATTTTATTAATATCGAAGAATGGTCGTTCATTGTGTTCGTATTGTAAATATCGAACCATTCCAAAAAGAGTATTTTCGGTACTTTCATCTCTCGTATAAATACTAGGAATGTATGTCGAAGGAAATTTATGAGTAAGATATATTATTTGAGTGTTTTTACAAATACTTTTCAACTAGTTGAAGGATTTCGATGGATAATTGAAAAAAAAGCGAATCAAGTGTTGAGAAGATAAATTATTATTATTATTACATATCATTGGGTGTTATTTTAAAGATGATTTTTATTGGAATTGTGGAGAATTTCTTGGGAAGCTCGATCTCACGATTTCAGAGTCTAGTGCATTGGAGTATACATGTGTTGTTCGAAATTGCGAATAAAATTTACTTTTTTCCGTATAATTCATGTAGAAAACGCTAAAGCGCAGGCTTTGTTTATCAACAAAATACGAATGAAAGGATCATTTATGGTTTCCTATTGTCCTCAAGACTATATATTATTTATTAATTCCACCGAGCAACCGAATAAAAAACTCTTAATATTAATTAGAACGAAAGAAAAACAACCGTAATCATGTCCGAGAAGCTCCAAAAACTGTCCTATAACTGAAACGAAATTATATATTCAAGTAGCAAAACGAAAAATATCGACATCGAATTCAATTCTCGATACAATAATGGTAAGATTGATACGATACTGATCGATGTGTAGTAGGCTTTTATTGCGTATTATTCCATAGGCATATAGTCGACCAAGTGGACCATCTCGACAACCGGAACCACTAGAACCACCAATTGGTTTTCTAGAATCGATGAGAGAATCGTATAGTTTAGGGGTGAACGACAACATGATGCCGCAGATAAACTTGCCGGTTTCATCGCCATTGCCACTCAACAGATCTCAATACGATATGAACACATCGAATAATATATCAGCACGTGGTTTCGATCGATATTCGATGAATAATTCGTATACGAGAAATAACGACCACAGGTTATCATCGACACTTGATCATAGTCCTTATACTGTCAAATCACCAGACTCGCCGTTGCCATTGTCACCAGTCAACGCAGGACAAGCAACATTGGGAAAGAGTCAATGGTCAAGCGATCAAAACTACAACAAACAATCTGATCAATGGTCGCCCGCACCGTTAAATTCGACTCGTAATGACACAACATCAAATGACCGTTATTCGTCGAATACGACATATACGCAAATTATTGAACGATCACCACCGACTAACAACTCGGGTAAATCGTATGAACCATGGACACCGACTAGTTCATTTACTAAAACATCGAATAAGACTACCAGTAGTACAAGTGCATCCGATATTCAAATGATCAAAAGGTAAAATAGAATATTTGTGTAGATAGTACTGATTGATGTGTAATTCCATTCTAGTGCGAATAAATCATCCGGCGTAACAACCAATTGGTGCTCTCCTCGCTGTAAATTGGGTGTACTTGGATTCGTTATCGGACTTCTTGCAGTCGGAATCGGAGTAGCTGTTGTGTTAGTCTTATGGCTTAGACGATAAGCTCATGACGACTCAGTCGAAATGACATTAATTCGATAAAACTTTTATACATACTTTTCTATTATTATTCTTCCTTGTTTGAAATACAATATGATAACAATGTCTTCTGACTATTATATTATAAATTGTATACATCGAAGGAATAACACCGATCTATCTTGTAAAATACATATAACAGATATTTCTATCTACGTGAATAATAGAATGTATATGTTCAAGCGTCATGAAAGTCACTCACTCTCTCTGACTCTTACTCTACTCTGTTGATGAATTTTGTTAAGATTAAACTTAGTTGTATCTATCACGAACTGTAATGTGGGAAACAAAATGGGCGGTAGTTTTGTGCAATGAACTGTAACGAAATAAGGTTATCGAATATAATCGTTTGTATTAGTGACGTGCACAGATCATTCAATACAATGACAATACATTTTCGATTATCACTAAAAGCTCCTAATGAAGGCCAAGATAATTTCTTTCTTTGGAGTATGGTTATTCTTCCAATCATTGCTGAATGTTCGTACGTTGTTGATGCTACTTACTACATTTATCATGACGCACCGATTCATCGTTATCAAGGACTAGTTTCGACAATTCTGGTTGTGTTTACTTATCTACGCTATTGTGCACCTATCGAATCACGCAAAATGCTCATGTGCTTCTATACTACCTTATGTCTCTTGAATGAAACCGGTACTATTTGTTACATGTATATGTATAATTATCATGGTGAAAGATATTATGTTGCCATTTATTTTGGATGGCTATTAGTGGAATTGTGTACGACATTGGGTTTGTTGTACTATCGAGCTTATCGAAGATGTCAACCGAATTTTCATGTGGAAAGTAAACATCTGTTTCATTTTATTTCACGATTGGAAGTCATCCTTGCCATATTTATTCCATTTTTCGTTCAAAACATGTCAGTTACGTTAACAAAACATTCAATTGCCTTCTTTCTTTTATTCGACTTTTTCTCCGAGTCATACGTACGATTTCAAGGATTTTGGATCAAATCGACTTTATATTTATTCGTATGTACCGTAACAGTCTGTGTTGCAACGGAATGGATGTACTCTAGTGAACATAGTGGTGTTTTCGAATATCTTTCATCATCTTTTGAATTAATATCAGCAGTGTTATGCAACACATTGATTATCTTTCAATTCAGTCCATATCATTTTAAACCAACTGGTATTTCTAAAATAGCTCGCGAAGGTTTAGTCTTTCATCGATTAAATGAAGCTGAATCACAATCAAATCTAAATTTCGAACCCATACCAACGAATGGCAAATCAGAAGATACAGTGATCGATTTAGTTGCTCTCAACTAACACAATACATTTACCTATTTTTATACGAGCAATAAATTCGCGAAAGAAACGTGATTCGTCTCTTCATTTCATACAATATGTTTACAGTTGTAATGACGTAGTCGTGTACACTCTTCGGCAGAGCTTTTAGTCTCATCTGTCAATGCGAAGGTGTAGTCATTGCTTTTCGGCAAACATCATGATACAGTGTTGATAACAATTTGTAAAAGAAATATTGTCTATCGTTTTTCTTGACATCATCGGCTTGATTTCGTTGCGAACAGTTTTTTTGTTATACAAAGTTACTTCAGTTCGACTCAGATATCATCGCATGAAAGAAAAATAGTAACTTGATACTAAATAAGTAGATGAAACTGGAATGCAAATACAAGTCCATTTTTGTCTGAAAATTGATCATCGCAAGGCGTGCTTTTTGAGTGTTGTTATTTTTTTTTGTTCTAATCAGTATCGGTCGAGGTTCGATAATACCTACCTATAAAACCGTGTGGAACACAACTATTATCAGCTCGAATTCTGTTGTCGAGAGTATTGAAAAACAATGGGTTTCTTTGATTTACACGAACCAGAAGATGGACAAGATCGCTTTTTTTTATATGCTATGATTATCCTCCCAGTCTGTGCTGCAACATCGTATCTATTCGATGCCTGGTATCATTACACACATTCAGATGAAGAACGCAATTATCAAGGTCTTCTATCTACAATAGTACTCGTTTTCTCGTATTTACAATACTGCACACCGATACGTTCACGTAAAGCTTTAACTATTTATTTTCTCTCCGTATGTTTGATCACGGAAACAGCAACAATCGGTTATCTATTGTATTATATCAAGAAAAAAGATGTTACCAATATTATCTTTCATGTTAGTAGTGTACTATTAGAAATATTATTCACCAGCGCTTTGATCTATTGTCGTGTTGTTAGAGAATACGAGTCGCATATTGTTGTGGAAAATAAACATTTATTTCACTTCATGTCACGTTTGGAAGTTATATTGACAATCTTCATTCCAGTTTATGTCAATGTAAAATACACATCATTAACAAGAAATATGATTGCATATTTTCTCTTGTTTGACTTTTTTTCTGATTCGTATTCGAGATTTCAAGGTGTTTGGATTAAATCAGCATTGTATTTATTCGCTACAACGACTACCGTAGCTGTAGCAACTGAATGGTTCTATTTTAATCACCATGAGCATATCTATGAGCAAGTTTCCATCATAGCGGAACTTGTCTCCGAAGGTCTTTGTGACCTCATCATTATTTTACAATTTTTTCCATTTCATTTCAAAACACAGCATGTAAATAATATCGCACGACAAGCTTTGTTAATTCATCGAAATTTGCATGCATCAATTGAGAATCCAGGTATTCCGAATGGTGATGTGAACGAGACAATTCAAAACGGTGAAATAAAGGGCATTGCGGAACTAGTCAACACATCAAGCAGCAATGAAACCGAGCTGAATACTTCAATGTAATCTGTTAGTTCGGACGAAGTTTACAGTGACATCTATTGAATTAATTTGGAAAACTTATTTCAGTATTTTGCATCTTTCGTGATAAGTTAAATTTTTCTATAAAAATCGTTTTTTTATTTGAATTGAGAAGAAATCGACTATTGGTTCAATTTTGAAACCTACCAGTTCAATTAATTTTCTCTCACTTTTCATTTCATTCAATTTTGACATCAATGGCACCACCGATTAGCCAGCCGGCTACGACCAACTCGAATACAACGGCAAGCGGGAGTTCTATCACAACTAATCGACTCGAACGTGAATCCAAAAAGCAAGATCGAAGGTTCGAATAAACAATCTTTGCATTTTCAAGCCATGTTTTTCTCTCTAGATCTGATCTTGCCTGTCGTGTACGTTACACCAATGTTTTACCTGATCTTCCATTTGATCCCAAATTCCTTCGATATCCTTTCAGTCAAGACAGGTACAAAGATATCTTCTTTGTCATTTTACATTCAAATCGATGTCTTCGTTAGATTCGTTCGTTATAAACCAACATCATTAGAGAAAAACTATCGTTGGGATTTACTTACAGAACATGATGTGGGAGTGGAAATCGATCTCATCACTCCAGATGCATATGCAACCACAGGTGAGTATCAGCGGGTTGTGAAAAACAAATTTCAAGTGCACGTCTTTGATTATTTCCAGGACGAATTACAGAAGACGATGAGAGATTGTTAGAAGAAGAAACTGCAACGCCAGCAAATCTTAAACGGTAAACAAACATAGTGTTTTCGTGTATTTTATAATGGAATCTAATTGTTTCTAGTTCAATGTTGAACAAACGAAGTGTTCCATGGCTTCGTAAAACTGAATACATCTCAACAGAACAGAGTACGTCCAAACCAACATTGAAAGCAGGCGAAGCCAGGTATGAAACAATATGGACTGATACTATTGCTTTGTCTACACATTCGAATTTGTATAGATCAAGTTCTGTGAAAGAAAAACTTCGTGAAGAATCTCTAAAATATTTGACAAAAGATCGTGTATTAGAAATCATTGAAGAAGGTTTCGAAACAGCCAAAACTCCGGTAAACCAATTTCATCTGATCGTTCACTTTCCTAACAATCGATTCGTTTAGATGGAAACACATCACACCAAACCATCAGTCGTCAAAGTCGAAGAATGGCCACTGTTTCCTGATTTTGATGTAAGATGATTTCTATACGAATGAAGACCGAATATCTCGAATCGTCTTTTAGAACTGGAAATATCCATTTGCTCAAGTTATATTCGATGATGATCCTTCACGTAAAGATCCGAATATAACCTCACAAGAACAAATGGAAGAAATGTCGGATGCAGTCATTAAGTAAATTGAAAATGCCGATGAATTCGCATTTGACAACCTTTGTTTAGAGCTTTGGTTGATAATGATAACAAAGAATATATTGGATATTTTCTTCCCACTCCTGAAACACGTGCGAAGCGTCTTCGAGAAGAACAAGATGAAGCCGATGAAACTTATGATTTCAAACTTATTCGAGAATATAATTGGACTCGAAAAGATAAAACTATGAGTGGCTATGAAGAAAACTATTTTCTCAGTGTTAGAGATGATGCGATTGTTTACAATGAATTAGAAACAAGGTAATCAAAAGACGATTTTAAGAAAGAATGTTCAATGTGTTGTGTTTAGAGTACGATTGAGCAAACGTCGAGCCGTGGGTGGTGGTGTTAAGGTGGCTAATCTTCGATTGATTCAACGTTATCGACCGTTTCATGAGTCCGAAGAAAGAAATCAAGTGAGATGAATTCCATAAAAATTCCTTTTCTAACGTAGAACTCTTGTTTTTTCTAGAGAAAACGATTGAGAGTCCTTGATAATGATGAAGAACTAGAAGCTGTTGAAGGTAAATAACGTCAAAGGTTGATTGCGATTGAAATATATATTGAATGCTATTTAGAAGAAGAAGAAAATGAGGAACAAGACAACGAAGAGGAAGAAGAAGAAGAAGCAGCAGCTGAAAATGGCGACGAAGAACAAGAAGAAGCTGAAGCGGAAGTGCAACAAGACGAAGAAGAAGAGGAGGAGGAAGAAGAAGAATAGACTGATTAATAATTTAAACCACCAAGACCTTCATTCATTCCTTTCTTTTTTGATGTATATGATGTATTCTTGAATCAATGATGATGTCAGTTTATTCAACGAAAGAAAATTGTACTTTCCAATAAACTTGATCATTCTTTGATAAATCTTCGAAAGTTCAGTCATTGTCTCAAGAGAATTTAGATTTCGACGGTGTCCTTCTTCATGTTATCACGAGATGGAAGTAAGCGTTGTTCAGGTTGATGTGCATCGTTTCTTTTTATTGATTGATCCGGCTGTTTCTTTGATTGACGACAGGAAATCAATTGAATGAAGTCTTGCCGGAACATAGTTGACGTTATCAAATGAAAATAGAATTTCATCGAATAGTTCAGTGCCGAAAATATCAAGAAGAAATTCATCAGGATCTTATAAAGTTTCAACCGAGTTGAACAGCGAATATTGTGATAAAACCGATCGCGAATGACAAACACTTGTAATATACCGGGTGGTGCCAAAGTTAAGAGTAATCCCAGTGAATAAATGAAAATAATGATCGAATGTCTATACAATCGACGTGCACTGGCACTGAGAGTATTCTTATACGTTCGATTGTGTTTACAACGATTGTGGAGTAAGATTAGTGAAGAAATAAAAATGATTAACGAAGGTGTAAGAATGAAGAACGTGCCGTGAATTAATGCTAATAAACGTATGTATCGACCGTGGCGAGCAGCATAGAAATCACAGAGGAATGATGTACTTCGCGGATCGTAATATAAATATAAATGATGAGGAATGACCAGAAGTGTCATTAAGATGAAAAATATAAGAATACGTAACCGAACATGAGAAGGTGTGACTATCGAACGATAACGAGTCGGATAGAGAATAATAATATTGCGATCCATCGCTGAAGATGCGAGATAAAGATTGGAAATCGATGCTGAACCGATGAGTATACTGTAAAAACCACCGCATGATAGAACTACACGGGGATCCGTTTCTATGAATGACATATTTACACACCATAGCCAAAATAGTCCTAGTAGATAAACAAAAGGGTGGATGACGTGACTGTCATAGAATACTTTCAGCTCATTTGCAAAAATTATTCTACGACCTATATGACAGCGATTAGGAACATCTGCTCTCAAGTTTTCTGACTCCGTTTTTATACAAACCTAATAGAAAAATAATTTCGAAACAAGCAATTGCAACAAAGTACAACGAGGTCGGATCCTTTCGATGATTTTTATTTAAAAGTATAATTATCTGTAGAATATGACCAGGAATGCCGATAATAACAGCAAATACACCAAATAGATGCCATATGGTTTTAGTTACATTGAGTGCTTGATCATAAGTCACATTGTTAAAACAGAGATCCGTCGGCGTGTTATTATGCATGGACATCTATGATATTTGATCAGAGTAGTCACAAAAAATTCACGAAAGAACTAATGGTTTATTTGTATAAGCTAGTCGATGGAAGAAAAATAGAAAAAAAAAGAGAAAGAGAAAAAGAAAGATTTATTCGTGTATGTGGAGCATATTTTTTGCAAGAGAATAGATTGGTTGATGAACCTTTTCGACGAGCTAACATCGAGAAAAGGGAAAAAGAATTCCTTCGTGCAGAGTAAATACATCAACGAATAAGAAAGAAATCTTTTCTTCATTTCCAAGACGATTAAACCGTTGTAATATCTGTCAAGAACGCAGATCCTAACAAAGACAAATCTCTTAAGTGAGAGAAGATTTTTCATTAGAAATTCTTACATAATTCACAAATAAATGGCAAAGAATCTGGACAGGTTGCATCGCGTAAACATGTCGAGGTACTCGATTGAGTATATAAAGCAATGCATTGATCATATTGTTGAAAATAATAATTATATGTATGAGCAGGTTGACCTGAACAGAAGTAGTTCGAGATCGAAGCAGTCGATCGTGATGTTATCCATTGATACACATCTTTATAAAGAAGAAATCATTGAAATCTCCAGAGAAAACAAAACAAACTTTTATTCGGACCAATTTCACGTAAACCAATCCAATACAAATTATCCAAATCGAAGTGAAATGTGTTAACTGATTGTAGAGTTAAAAAGATATTTGCATTCGAAATTTCAACCAGATGACCTTGACTCTTCGCACACCAGAGATTCGCATCGGTGAAGTTTAAATATGTATGAGAGACAAAATAACAACTGGTACCACTATTCGTAACAATCCAATTAGGTGGACATTCTCCTGGATAATTCAAATAGAGTTCAATTTTTCTTTCGATGAAATTAAATGACATACGACATTTGCTGTTCTGAGACCAAAACCAAGCTCCCGGTGGACATCGACATGTTTTCGTGTAATTTCCATTCGCACAAACCAATCCTTGTTTTGCATCACAAATACCAACAGCACATTCTTTTCCGTAAGTTTGATACGGAGCTGAAAACAGACACGAAATCGCGTTTTTCTTTGTAACACCGTTATTACAAAACCGAGTACGTGACAAAATGTCTTCTCATCTTATTTTCTTACCAACAGGTCCTACTTCAACTAGAAGTAATAGAATTAAGAAGAGAGCCACCATCAGAATTGCTATATTAACTAAAAATACAATTAACCATAGACGGCATGCGCGTTTTCCTTGGGATCTGGCAAAGGCACGAAGTTTCTTATTTGGATTATCGGATTCATTGAATTCTAACTATTCAGAAAGATCATTCACATATGAAATTTAGCTATTGATATAACTTACTTCATAGACTAACAGATTCTCTTTCTTCTCATCGTGAAGAAATTTAGTGAGATCTGACATTTCCGAATTCATCTAAAACAAAACTACTCACAATGATTCACTATCTCTTTTATTTGAATAGCTTCAAAACGAAACAAAAGAATCTTTAAACTAAAAACAAATCACAATTATTAAAGAATTTTTTACATGCAAGTAAATGTCGTTACCCTTTTCACACATGAAATTCATATCGACCCGTTGACATGTCGACCGAGCTAAACACGAATCCATTCGATAGATTCCACAATTCATATAAGTACGCAGACGAGAATCAAATTGGTTTATCGTTCCATTCGCGCAAAATAAGTTTATGGACGATGAAGATAAGAAACTTCCATCGACCCATTTCCAGTTACCTTCAATTCGAAAATAGTCGAAGAGATCGAAGCATAAAAACACAAATATTACCAGAATTAATCGGTTGTTCGGATAAGCCAATAAAATAATTCGTATTCGGTGTTACTAAACTGCTTATTTCTGCCAATGTTAAACTCGGATAAAGTTCAGCGGGAGATAAAGTCAACAGTTGAGCAGTAAATGATGTACAGTAAGCAAACGCGTCGGTCCAATTTAAATAAAATGTGGACTTAAAGATACATTTTCCATTGAGAAATGACCAATCACTTGGACAAATTCCTAAATAATTTTTACTGCTTGTTTCGTGAAAAGAAATCTTCTACATACGACAGCCAGTTTGGTTAAACGACCAATAAAACCTTGGTGATGGGCATTCACAAATGGAATTTGTGCTACAAAACAATCCTTGAGCGACGTTACAGGGGGCTGTACGACACGACTGACCATATGTTTGATAGGGAGCTGAAAATATATTCAAAACTTAGTTTTCCTAATTGTAATCAACTTACAAAGAGGTCCAATGATGAAAAGGAGTAAAATAACAAGGATAACAGTTATTAAAATGATCGTAACATTAAGTATTAATAATAATTGCCACAGGCGGCATGTTCTCAAACCTTTCCCATGGGCATCAAGCATATCATTTTCTAATAGAAGACGTCGATTTTCTTCTGTCGAAGATTGTTTTAGTGATACAATCGCTGTTGGCGGTCGCTATTTCGTATTTAAATAAACACTTCCATTTCAATAATTCCTGCTGACTTACTTCATACACGGACATACGAGAACTTTTATTTCTCGCATGATTACTCTTCACTACTGGTAATGGCGATAGGCAAAACTCTTGTCGATCATTTCGCACCATACTTCTGCACGAATGCTTCTTTTCAATTTTTTTTCTGTTCTATATTCAAAGTAGAAAAGAAAGTCATACAAATGCTATCTTATTTTTCATTCGATGGAGATGAATATATATGTACAATCGAATTTGTCCTTTTTTCCTGAATTATTCACAACATGGAATACTACCAGGTGCACAAAGTTATGAAAAATATCGATGATATAATACCTTTATTAGTACATATCATGTTGTAAATTGATATATTTATCGCACGAAAAAAAAACAATCATGAAGGATTAAGAAGAATGTATATATACGATCTACAGTTAGTTGTATTGTCATTTATATATAGATGACACTGGTACGGTTTGGAAAACACTTGAAACGTGATTTGTTTTCTAAGGAAGTTCGTTTTAGTTCAGCTGCACGATTGTTCTTCTTGTGCTTGCGATTGGCGCAAGTCAAGCGAAATTACGAATCGATAATCAATGGGCAGGCGGGTTTCAAGGAGCCATAGAAATTCCAATTCCAAATTCAATCAATGGATGGAAACTTGAAATTCGTTTCAGTCAACCCGTTTCTATTGATGTATACCTAATCAGTCTTCAAACTATCTTCTACCTCGTTATGAAATATTCTAGGCATGGCTTGGAGACCTCGACTCTAAAGTTGACGATCGAACCTATATTTACCGAAATAAAGATTGGAATGCACAATTCTCTAGTGGTGCACAATTCAATTTCGAATTTGTTGCCAATGGAGGTGTTGAACCAAGCAATCTCATAACTGTTCTATTCAACGGTCAAACAGTCGATATTGGTTCACAAGGCGTAACTATCCCAGCTGTAAGTACCGCTCGCCCAACAGAGAACACACCAAATCCAACAGGAAGTACACCAACATTTGAACCTGAAACTCCACCAACCACATTTGCACCAGTTGTCGCACCAGTAGTTGATAGCAAATACAACTACGCTAGTGTTCTCGGTGCGTCACTTTTGTTTTATGAAGCTCAACGTGCTGGTAAACTTCCAGCAAATAATCGTCTTAGCTGGAGAGGTGATTCGATGTTGATGGACAAAGGTGAAAACGGAGAAGATTTAACTGGAGGATATTTTGATGCTGGCGACTATGTCAAATTCGGTTTTCCAATGGCTGCGTTTACAACATTGTTAGCGTGGGGTGCGATCGACTATGCAGATGCTTATATAGCGTCAGGCGAATTAGAAAACATGCGCCAAGCAATCCGTTGGTCAACTGACTATTTCATCAAGGTTAGATTTTCAAATTTTTGGTCGAAATTAAACATTGCTGTCTTATAGGCACATGTTAGCGAACGGGAATTCTACGGACAAGTTGGTGATGGGCATGTCGATCATGCTTCGTGGACACGACCTGAAGATTGGACTCAAGCACGTCCAGCATGGAAAGTCACTCGAACACAACCTGGTTCTGAATTAGTAGGTGAAACGGCTGCTGCCCTAGCTGCCGCCTCAATGGTATTTCGTTCGGTCGATCCTACCTATTCGTCGAAATTACTGAGTCATGCTCGTCAATTGTATGATTTCGCTAACGAAAATCGTGGCTCCTATTCTGATTCGATTACCAATGCTGCTAATTTCTATAAATCATGGTCGGGTTATGGTGACGAATTAGCTTGGGCTGCTGCTTGGTTATTACGTGCAACAAGTGAACATCGTTATCAAATCGAAGTTGAAAAACATTTCATGGAATTCGGTTTAAGTAAGCGACCAACTGAATTCGGTTGGGACAATAAATTAGCAGGTGTTCAAGTACTCATGGCCAAATTGACACAACAAACGAACTATCGTCAACAAGCTGAATCATTCTGTAACTATATCGTTCGACAAGCTCCACGCACACCAAAAGGTCTCGTATTTATTGATCAATGGGGAGCACTTCGTCATGCTGGAAACGTTGCTTTCGTTTGTTTACAAGTACGACTATTGATATTTGCTCAGTAAGAAAAAACGAACTTTTCTTTCCTATTTCTTCAGGCTGCAGAAATCGGCATCAATACTCAAGAATATGTTGATTTTGCATTTCAACAAATCAATTACATTTTAGGTGATTCAGGTCGATCCTATGTAATTGGTTTTGGCAAAAATTACCCTCAACGACCTCACCATCGATCAAGGTAAATTCAACACAGTTTAGCTTATGATTATGTATGACATATGCTCGTTTTAGTTCGTGCCCTTCAAGACCAGCAGTATGCGATTGGAATGCTTACAATAGTGCATCAGCTAATCCTCAATTATTGGTTGGTGCTTTAGTCGGTGGACCAGACAAAAACGATAGCTACGAAGATAACCGTAATGATTATGTTAAAAACGAAGTTGCTACCGATTACAATGCTGGCTTTCAATCCGCCGTTGCCGGCTTACTTCACTATCAATTGAAATAGTGAATAGAAGAGAGAAGTTCTAATTTTGATGATAAATAAAATAAAATAAAACAAAACAACATGTCGATTGTATTAAAAGCAAACACGCACAACCTTTTGCTTATTACTGTTGTGTCTAACCTTTTTTCTCTGTTCTTTACACTTATTTTATCAATTCTCTATTGACTCAAGATTTATCATATGTTCTAATATTATTTGTCTATCCAACACTCAAAGAGATTTCTTCATTTCATTGATACATCTAACAATGTCGATGAATTTGATTCATCGCTTGCAGACATGGTCTTCGAAACAAGTTTTTATTCTTTTTGCCGCATTTTTAGTTTATGTTCTCGCCGATGGCGCAACGTTTTCCTTTGGACTTTACGTGGATGAATTGATTACTGAGTATTCGAAAACGAAATCCAAAACAGTTCTACGCACAAGCACAATAGCTGCAATGACACAGTCAATTCCTCTCCTTCTCAGTCCGATTGTATGTCGATGGACGACAAAGTTCGGGGCTAGCTCAGCGTCACTTATTGGATGTATTGTTTCGGCTATTGGATATAGTCTTCCGTTTATTCTTCAATTTTATAAGACATTTTGGATACCAGCGATTGGTTATGGATGTTTATTAAGCATTGGACTTGCATTTTGTTATGTACCAGCATATTTAACATTGCCATTCTATTTCGAAGATGATCGAGGTACAGCGACGGGTTTAGCTGTATCGGGAAGTGGAGTTGGACAAGTTTTATTATCAGTTCTTGTCAAAGCATGTATTTTGGAATATGGATGGCGTGGTGCGTCATTAATTACAGGTAATTGAGAGGACACGTGGTGTAATCAGCAGTGATACACGTGCTGCTATTTATCTAATGATAGATCAAGGAGATTTTAAAAGTAATATGTCAATCGACTTAAAGGTCGATGAAAGTACAAAATATATCGTTACATTTATTTTTTAATAGAAAATCGATTATTTGAATTAAAATTTTTCGTTTTTATGTTTAGGCGGCTTATTTTTCTTTATGATTATAGCAGTCTTAGCGTTCCGTACGCCTTCGACATCGGATCTATCATCTGTTACTCAGCCAGAAACTGAACTTCGAGAAAATCTCGTTCATTCCTCTATTGCTGTAGCAATAGAAGACACAGAACCACGAGAAGAAATAAGCATCGATCGCCCATCATCTCGTCGTTCTCGTGGTATGACTATCGCCCAAGTTCTTCCACTTCTTATCTCATCTGTACCTGTCCGTGCCGGGGTCACGATGCCGCCTACCGAACCATCGACAAATCGGCGACACTCGTTGAATATTCGACCACGAAATTTTACAGTTTGTACAGAACCTTCTACTAGACAAACTACAACGTTTGTGCCTACGACAGATTTTCGGAGAAAACGTGCGAAAACCATTGCAGTTCCACCATCAACTACACAGAAATGGAGTGGATCCCTTGAACGTATTCGTCCACCTCCACTAGCACCCATTGCTTCAGCAGAAGAAAGCAGCGATGAAGAACAACATTCATCATCGTCTTTGTCCTCATCACAATTACCATCATTACCTTCAGTGCGTCTACCACCAGTCGAGCAAATGGATCTCTTAGACGAACCTGTCAATGAACAACATTGGCTGCTCAACTATCGTTTTCTTCTCTTTTGTTTTTCAAATTTCGCCCTCTGTCTTGTTATGGGTGCTCCATACGTCATCTTTCCAAAGTATATCTCTGAAACGTTCCAAAATCAAGGATATTTAGCATCCTGGACATTATCAAATATGGGCATCGCATCAGGTGTTGGCCAAATTCTTCTTGGTTATCTTCATGATCGAAAAATCTTTTCCGCTTGGATCATGTACACATTTTCCGTGATCATTTCCGGAGCGTCATTGGTCATTCTCGCTCTATTTCGTTACAAGGCCGTCGTTCTAATCTGTGCATTTATGTACGGGTTAGCAATCAGCGCCAATTATGCTTTACAAGTCCTGATTGTTATCGATGCTATATCAATGGAGAAAATGACGAACGGGTTTGGAATTTTACAATTTTGTCAAGGTGTTAGCACTCTCATTGGTATTCCTATTCAAGGTAAATATCGCTTGATTTCTTATGAAACAAATAAAAATATTCTTTTTCTGCTGCGTAGGTTTATTACGTGATGTTAGTCATACATATAAGCTCTCGTTTCTTACATCGGGATTTATAATCATAATTTCTGGTCTCATTATGTTTCTCTGGCCATGTTTAAAGGCGAAAAAACCAACTCGTGTAGACAATGGCCAAGAATAGAGTGCGATGGGTTAGTTTTGGTTCATATCTTCTAATGTAATCGATGGATTATGCTTGAGACAATACCAAAATGGTTTGTCTTGACTAAGACATGTTTCCAAATCATTTTTGTTCTTAATCATTTCTGGATCGGGATCCTCTTTGAATATTGACAAACTACGTTTGCAAGCGATTGCAGACATATGACAACGAAGAAAAGCACGGGCTTGATTCATGTATGATGGATAGGACTAGAGGAAAAAGAAAAGAGAATAAAAGAAATATATTCATATTGAAGTCGTTACTATTGCTGATTGAATACAAATCAGTGCTAGAAGAGCAATTGTGATATATCGACAAGTTGTGTTCATCGCTTGAAGTTTATTCTCGAATGATCGCTGTTGAAGTAAAATGCATTATGTCAAAGGTTTAACGTATATATACGAAGATGCGCAGTAGTTAGTCTGCTGCGAAGGTGTATAATTATCTCTACGAAAGTTTATGAAAATACACTTTTTAAAACAAAAGTTTTCTTGATTGCGTGTATCAGTCATAGGTATTTTTAGATTTCTATTGAGTTTTGACACAATAGTTGATTTATTGATGTGGATTTTCTACAATTCATTATGACATTTAAGAAAAGTGTCGAATGATTGACGTCAGAATTTCCCTTTTTCAATGACAATCACGATAATTTACATATCTTTTCAACAATGAATTGATATTCAATAAGCTCCTTAATTATTTGACTGAATCAAATAACTTCATTAGTCTTCGTCATTTACCTTTCTATGAATCGTCCTGTATAAACTAAAAACTGACTGTTTTTTGTACAGTCTACTCAGAACATACTGCGACAGTTCAATACAAAACTTTCTGGTGCATATAAACACTAATTTGAATAAGCCAAGGTCTGAATTTATCATTCTGGATACATTTTCCGTCATACCAAACTGGCGCCACTTCGTTTTCTTTTCTTTTTACATATGATTGATGAAATAAATACAATGCCAAACTGACTCAACTGCGTTACACGTAGGACACAATCAAAGGTATCTGTGGAGTAACGATACGTTTGATATTCATTCATACGGATTCAATTAGAACTTCATGTATGGTATCGATTAATCGTTTTCTTTTTCGAATTGATATGATTTTAATTTGGAGATATGTCGTTTGTCTGTTAAGCATGAGAGAAAACGACGGAAGGGGACACAGTGTCTCGTAATGCAGTTTGAGTATGGATACAATTGAAGCGAAACTCGGAGAAGATTGACTATAAAAGTACACAGATTATTTCATTTTTCGAAGTATTTTTTTCTCTCGATCAGATCCAAGTAAGTAGAACGTGTAATACACACAGCGAAATCGGTTTGTTTAATCTCAGCTGGTAGGAGAAGAGCTGTACATGTAAAACCTCTTGTTACTAGCTGAGATTTCATGAACATGGATCTCATTCATAAGAATTTCTATTGAACATTCGAATCAATTCATGGATTTTGATCTGAGTATTGCACTTGGTATTGGCTCGAATATCTCATTGACAATGCCGGATGAAATACTCTTATTAAAACCATACGATGCATCTAAATGAAATGATTTCATTTGTCCTCAAAGAGTATTTGTTTTTCTCATGGCACTTTCAAGTCAAACATTTCATTGGTTTCGTATTTTAGTTTTCTTTTAATGAAGAAACCCTCTCTAATCATGTATATTGAAAGAACAAGCAGTAAACACTCGAACTGAATACAAATTTGTTTATTTTCCTCTTGATTTTCATTTGTACCGAAACAGTTGTACGACCAAAAAACGCAAGTCAGTGGAATTTTCTTGCAAAAACGATTTGCACGTAGAAATCTCGATCATCAGTCTTATTCTTTCGAATGTCACCCCAGGTAATAATTGCTCTTGTTTCCTTACAAAAGATATTGTGCATGATCTGAGAATAATCTCACATGAAAAACATAGAGAAATGCTCATGTTTTTCTCCATTGAAATACTCATAATTACAACTTTCTCTTCCATTCAATGATCAGTTCCCAAAGAAAAAAAAACTCCATAATTGCATTCGTGGAAAGGACTTTGAATAGTTGACGAAGTTCTTTCGTAAGCCGAGGTCATTAAGGAAGCGATCATTTTTAAAGAAAAGTGTCGAAAACCTTTTCAATTAAACGAAATATTTAATTTCGTGTGTATTCAATCAGTCCTTGAAAACAACGAACCTTGATATCATGTAAATCGTCTCTTCTTACATTTGCTATTCGCCTACAGTCAAGTATTTGAAATTGGATAAAGTAATTTCTCTCAAGATTTACAGTATTAATTGAAAGCGACACGTAAAATTCTCGAAGAAAGGTCGTCGATGGTTTGACAACTAACTTTTTAAGACGTATGAAGTACAATTGACTAACTGTTCTCATATATCGCTCAAATGAAGCCATAGTTGAATTCTGACATTTTGTACTGAAGAGAGGAATGACAAATAGATGATTGATGCATGATGAAATTCAACAAAAGAAAAGTTCTTTACGTTGAAAGTAATTCATGAATGGCTGATAGCGTGAAATCGATTTTGAATGGACATTTAAGTCTATTTTTGACAATAAAGTAGATTAGAGTTCAACTCATAGAGAGAGAGAGAGAAAGAAAGAGAAGAAAAAAAACGAGAGAATAAACTCAAAATCGATTTCGTTCTCTCTCTTCCGAAACCGAGATTAGTAGAACTATAAAATCCTTCGATATATCAGCTACCGAAAAATATTCTCGTCAACAACGACCGAAGCGAAAGATATAATATTCCTGACATGCAATTGATCAGTATCACATTTCTCGTAAGGATTATTTTGTTTATCTATTCAACCTACATATGTTATTCACTTCTATATTTAGTTCGTACTTCTTGTTACGGTAATAACAACAAATGCTGCTGTAACACGACCAACACAAACAACCCGTTCACGAGAAACGAGAAGTTCGAAAGGTACTGCGACACCAAGTCGTAGTGCTGGTGTTTCCGTTCGAAATGCCACATTGACAACACGTCAAGATGCGCGATCAACAGTAACAAACAAAGGGACCCGATCGTCCACACCAAGTAGAACGACACGTGTACCAGCGACGCGCACACGCACCTCTCGTGCTACATCAACTCAGAAGACGGTTCGAACAAGAACTACGACTTCGAAACAAAGAACGAGTCCGACTACAACTATTCGACCGAGTGAGTAACGATTTAAAGAGATTTTATCGATGATTGTTTTACCTGCAGGAACAACAACAACAGCAAAACGTCAAAAACGTTTGTCGGCATGGGATTGGGATTAAAATTAGAAGTGATTGCATAAATGACTCGAAAATTATTCTTGTGTATTGTATTATTGACATCCATTCGTAATGAAACACTTCAAAATGTTTTCATTCTTTCCATCATTTATTTGAATAAAAATCAAAGATCTTTTTTTCATAATTGTCACATCTCTTCTACTCTCAACAACACTCAGGAATACATTTACCAACTAAACTCGAAACGCACTTTTTTCAAATAAATACCGCTGAAAAATCCAATCAGCCAAACGATTTACTCATATTTAAGAAATTACAATGTAACATGATCGATCGACAATGGAATTAAAGTTCTCTTCTTATTCCATTCTTTCCATTCGTCCGACGATAAATCATCCGGCTCGTTTTCAGGTTCACGCACCCATCCTTTTCGTTGTGCCACTTCAAAAAGCACAAAAATAACGGCTAGCATACAGTAAGCAACTGTAAATTGCCAACCATCATCCCTTGTTCGATATAAAACTCCTACGGTAGATGAATGTATTAAGCCAAAAAATGAAAGAAGACTGGCAAGTAAAGACCAAATCATTGCTCGAACGAACTTCCGATCGATTATGTACATCAGAATGGCTGTAAGAAATATACATTGAAGAAGACTGCCACCAGCGAAGTTTTCCAAACCTCGATACGAAAAATCTGTGATACGAGATGTAATATTTGGTGCAAATTGCACATTGGGGATAGAAAAATTTGAATAGGCGGATGAGACACCATTGATTATAGTCGCTCGAACCCAGTCAGCTATGACAGGCATAATACCGAGAAGAAATGCTGGATAATGACGTGGTGGAGTGATAGTCAGAGTTTCAGCACAAATAAAGAGACCGATAAAAATCTTGAAGAAAGAATATAATCAGATATCTTTTTTTTGTAGAAGGTAATAATCAGTTTATGTGACTTACAATGACTGGATTAACAGCAACTACCGCAATAATTCGAAGAAAGATCGCAATTATACCGAAGAAGCATAGTGGCAGATAAATCAGACAATTGATTATTGAATAAGCTTGTCGAGCACCCATTTTCTTGTATGCTGGATGACCGATATATACTGAAATAACTTGTTTATACGAATCTCAAAGGCATTGCAAATCACGACTCACCGGTCATGCCGAGAAATGATCCAAATAAACTTGAAATGATAGTGCCGACTCCATCAGCAAACATCGATTCACGGGTTGGATAGAGATCACCAGCTCGTCTAGCTGATTCAACACATTGTATTGTTCCAATGGCAATGGATATAGCCGTAGGAATTGTAGTCGATAAATACGGACCAATTTGACTAATATGAACAAAGATCGCTCGAATTGGAAACACGGGCACATAAGGTTTGATTACTAAACTTGCATCACGGACATCTTGACCTTTATTCAATGACGTTAACCATCCAAGAGCCGTACCGACAACCAGTGCTACAATAGCTATTGGAAAAGGACCAATTTTAACTAAAAATCACGTGAGGTAAATATAAAGTGTTAAATGAATGAGTTACTTCCGCTGAAATATCCAATCATGACAATGCCAAATGGTAGAAAAGATACAATAGGAGAAGCTGCAATGGGTAAATACTGAGCCAAGGCTAAATAAGTAAAACCAACAGCTGATAGTGATGAAAGTAATGCTAGAACAGGAATATTTCGTCGAATAAAATCGCCAACGATACATAGGAGAAGTATAATAAGTCCAGTTATAAAATTACTAGCTAATGCTGTATACCAAGCTAATTCTTGACACACACGTTGATTAGAATGATTATTGTCTCGGATACATGTATAATAAACCGGAAATATAATACCAAATACGAACGCAACTAGAAATATTTTGAAATTATCATTAAGAAAAAGAATATTTCACTTACATGCTCCAGGTGTGTTAATGCCATATGGCATTGCACATATATCACCACGTTTCTCTCTATATGCTAATTTTCGAGCCATGTAAACATAATAGAAGTTACCCCATACCATAGCAATTGCCACTCTATTTAAAAATCATTTCTATGCTGTATTATTCTAATCTCTTCATCTTACCCAGGCGCAATTTTCCCGTAAATAATATCCGGATCTAAAATATATTGAAGACTCAGAATAATAGTCAACAATGTCGCCATGTTGTCAATAAACAATGCCACTAGGCCATCGATATCACCTTTCCTGAATATTGGATAGATTGGATTTCTTCGAAAGACACTGCGCCATTCATAAGGATGAAATGTGAATAATTCCTGTATTTCTTTTTTCAAAGTACACCAATATTGTTGACAAATATGATGAATTCTACTAATATTGTCTTTTTCTGTTGCTTCTTGCATAGACATCTCATGTTCCATTGATAAAAGAAAGTAATATTGTAAAAACACGATAACCAAAGAAAATTTTCATTTCTTTTCTGTAAGCATTTACAGGCAAAAAGGTTATTCTGATAATAAATAATTGTATCTTTCGTAATTCGATAGTCAAATTTAGGTTCAGAGGAACTTTTTCATATCTATCGGTCAAATATAAAGTTTTCACCGACGCGCGAATTGCTATTTCAAATGTTTTCTTTTCTCGTTCACATTTCTTCGTTAAGTTTGTTGATATTAATCTTTGCAGAAGAGCTAACGAATCAGACGTGTTTATTACCATTTGTGATTAGACCTTGCGTCAACGATGGACGAAATCTATGGTGTACATTTAGTTTAGATTCATTTGAACGGAGAAATACATGCGATGTCCTATCAGTCGCATTGATTTTCACGACATTTCATGTCGAATTGTTTATTATTCCACAATATTATCAGCAGTTAGCATTAAGCAAAGAAAATTTCATAAAAAAACTAATCATTGAATCAACCATCATCAATGGAACGTATAAATATCTCCATTGGCTTCTCATTCCAGTTCTATCACTTGAAATCTCGACTAATACGCCTAATTTTGAAATCATTCATGAAATAGATGATATAACCATTACGCATAGCATCAATGCATTAAATAAATCATATTGGCATCTAAATCTTTGGCCAATCCAACGTAGTGTCTGTTACCAAACACATCTTAATTCAACTAACCTTCGAACAAACAAATATGATTGCCCAAAACCACGTGTATATCATCATCTTCTATGTGGTTACACATATGTCTGTCTTAACGGACATCCATGTTATTACACAGGTTACCAGCGACTTGTTTGTCAAATAAAGGTTTTACACTTCCAAATGCGATTCAACACATTGGATAATTCTACCCAGTATGAAACGATTTATATCGACGTTAGCAATATGCACCCGTATATATTACATAAGGTTCATGAGGATAGTTTTATTTTAAATAAAAACTCGGTGATGTCCAAGTATATCGCAAAACAGATTGTCATAGTCATCCATGCTGGAATTATTCAGATATTTGCGAAATTACTTGAGACGTCTCGACAACTTCAGATTCGAATCGAACATGACTCGTGTGCGACGAAAAATGTAATCATCGATATTTTAGAGAATGAAGATAACTACTTTCAGAACAATTTATTCGATTACAAAACTACGTCGACAGGAGCACATGGATGTCACATCAATGAAAACATTAAGTGAGTTTTGTCTGAAGATTCTTCATTATTCACACATTTGTTTTTTAGTCAAACAAGGCACCTGTGTAAAGAGAAAGTGATTGACTGACTTTATTTTACATTTCATATTCTAGTTCGACCAACCATTCAATTACGAAATCCCACGCTGGTTCATGCTGGACAACCGGCTACTCTCATCTGTATAGTATCTGGTCTTCTACCTTTCACGATAGAATGGTATTCATTTGTCTAGTTATTCGTTTCATTAGTTTTCAAAGTTAGGTTTCGAGATGATACTTCCGTCGAACCAAAGAAAACTATGGATATTTATACTTTTCCTAGTGTCCATGATATGTTGTTCATGGAATTATACATAAGGAACGTTAGTATTCAAGATCATACTGTGAAATATCGTGTTGAGGTAACAAACAGGTTTGGTAACAGTTCGGCTATTACTCTGCTGAATGTCACATGTAAGTTTAATTTGAATTAAAAGATCTTTCCTTTGAGAGTTACAGATATCTCGAATATTGTCACTCCGATGCAAAATCTAACGGTAAAACAAGGAACAAATGTGACATTGGAAGCGAGGATTGATGGAAATCCTGTCTCAGATGTTTACATTCACTGGTTGAATTTTTCCCAACGCTTGTATCCATCTCATAATGAACAGATTTTGTATCAATATGGTTTGTTGAATGTTCAATTGAATCAAAGTACTTCCTATACGTTCGTGGCGGTATCAAAATTTCACCAACAAAATGTCTCCCGGACGATTTTCTTGACAGTTTTTGGTATGGAATACTTTTTTTCAATTGTTTTTTAACAAAATCTTTCTCTCATAGATGAGTTGTATTTTCTTATTTCTCTGAGTAACATAAGTGTAGAAGAACATGAAGATCTGAATTTGACTGTGCCATTTTCTCATCCGATCATCAGAGCGCAATGGTTTGTGAATGACAAATTCATAGAAGGTACTTCGATAAAATATACTCAATACATCGAAGAAAACCAAGTCTCGCTCGTAATCAATAATATTTCATTAGAGTACGACGGAGAATATAAAGTCCAAGTGTGGGATGTTTTAAATCAAACAAATGATTCTGTCTTCTATATTCGTATTTATTTCATAGGTAAATTAATAAAATACACGCATTTAGTTGCCATTTGTACATTTCGTGTTTAGCTACATTTATTATCGATTGTAACAATCAGATGGATCTGAAGATTTATTCCGTATCTCTCACATGTATATTTCAAGCAAAATCTCCACAAATTCAATGGTTTGAAAATGAAGATATAATCATATCTTTTCACAAATTGATCCACATAGGTTTGATCCAGCTAATCAAACAATACTCAATCACTTAGACTATGAATCTATCGATGAAAGTAATTATATTCATGAAGCCAAATTGGTTTTTACTAAACTTGTGCATGAACAATTTGGTATCTACACATTTCAAGTTCATAGTATTCGTGGTGATATTGTTACCCGTCAAGTTAATTTGAATGTGACAGGTAGGTGAATTCCATTGGAAATTCTCAGTCTATTTTTATAAAATAGCACTTCCCATAATCAATTCTTCAAATTTTCATTTGGGAAAAGCATATGCTCATCAAGATGATTCATTTTCATTTATTCTTCATTTTAATGGTATACCATGGCCGAATATTACTTTATTTTTCGATAATAAAACATTAATACAATATTCAAACCCTGGCGATTCACCTATTTCTCTATTTTTGACCAATTTAACAACGAAAAACGAAGGAATATATTTTGTTCGTGTGATGAACAGGTAATCAGAATCAATAAGATATCATCAATAATCGTACGTGATCCTTTTTTTCCATTATTTGAAAGTGCGGGTTTTGTCGAAACTAATCGAACCGAACTTTGTCTTTTTCGAGCACCATCATTTATTTCTCCAAATCAATCGATTTCATCAATTATCTATGTTAAACCACATCAAACCATCAATCTCATTTTACCTATAATCAAAACCAACAGTCCGGACCCGCTCACACTTCTTTGGTTCGTTCGAAATCAAACAATCAAACAAACCTTCCATACAAACTTATTACAATCAAACTTAACGCTTCCTCCTTCTCTACAAGCAGAATACATCACTTGTCTTGTTGAGAGTCATTATGGAGAGCTTGTCTATCACTTCAAACTTCATTACATTCAAGCACCAGTTTTTATCCTCGCCCTTCACAAACGATTTTACGTTGATATAGGTACAAATGTCACATTAATCATCATTATTGCTGCTAATCCAATTCCAACAATACAATGGTTACATAATAATTGTCTACTTGATGACAAACAATATCAAGATCACATTTCACATGGTTACGGACTTTACTCCTTAATCATAAGAAATATGACACTGACAGATATTGGTAATTACACTGTAATAGTTTCTAATTCGGAAAATGTCATATCAAGTTCCACAGAAATTCTACTAAAATCAAGTAAAAATAAAATGTTCTCATAAAATACAAAGTTCATCGGACACTTTTAGTTACATTGGACGGTCAATTGATAACTTCATCAACGGCAGTGATAAAGTAATCTAGTAATCATCAATATTTCTATTGAATAGCCTTTTGAACAGTACCAGACAATCAAAGACAACTTGTGATAACAAAATTTCGCGTCTGGTCATCATCGTTTTGAGTAAATTCCCACTATATTTTCAATGTCGTATCTCTTCGCTATATTTTAGTCATAAGTTTAATTGGATTTCTCTTAATTCCATGTGTCTATACACACAAAAGATTACTGATATTGCTTCCTCATCGTAAACAAAATGTCAAAAATACAGAGACACAAAAGAGTCATGTCAATATCGGTAGAAACGTTTTCTCACCTCAATCTACCGAATAACAAACCTTCGATATACTTTTATTCAAAATTTTTCTTCAAACTCTTCGATTCCGCATCAAATCACAATGCGTTTCAACGATAAATGGGTTTGTCACTGTGTGAATCTAGCGAAGAAAGATAATTAAGTTACTCACGATTTGATCCATCTCTTCTCGATGACGATCTTTATTCGTTTTTTTTTCTTTCTCTCTTACTAATCCCATTGTGTCTCGGGCAAAGTTAGCAAACAAATGTGTGATAGCTCACTTTCATCAAGAAAAATTTTCTTCGTTTGGAATATTCACATCGATACTCTAGGAATTATTTTATTTGATATGGCAAAAGAACGTTTTAGAATGAACATGTATCATTTGATGTGAAGTCTATTCGGTTTGATAACGGTTGGCTTGACGATGTCGAGGGCGTTTTTGGAATATGCTCTTGACTAAGTTCATGTCTCTGCCAAGCACTAAGTTTCGGTAGATAAATGTGATGATATCTCGATTGGAGACTTCGGTATATCGTGGATCTTCACGTATGATCTTGTAGATTTCGTAGAGTTGATCATTGGTCAATGCGGATTTGTTTTCATTGGCATCGCTGGTTGTTTGAACCGCTGGTGTAGCTTGAACGAGAAGAATACAAAAGAAAAGGAGAGCGAAACGAATAATATTCAATAATGAAATCATATTTGAATCGAATGAGAGCAATGACTGTTAAGCGAACAATACAAATACTAGAAGAAAACAAATCGAGAATGTCAAAACACGCATTTTCTTCAGAATGAAAGTACAAATGATGGTTTAACAAGTTTACAAATATTCAATGTTTCTTACCGGAAATGTTCCGAGTCATTGGTCGGCAAATTTAATCGAGACAATCATTGCCGAGAGATACAAAGAATCGATTACTTTCTCTTAACTTTCAAAGAAAAACGTCTTTTCGTGTGTGTGTCAAAAGTCGGAAAAGCAATGAGAAGAAAGAAAAGGCTCTATCTCACGATCAAACGAAAAGCTCGTCAAAACAAAAAGAAAAGAAGAAAAGCATCTTCACTCTTTCGACGCCTCAATCAGAAGAGAAATAACAGAAGGATTTCTCTGTTGATTCGCTATTGTTCTCATTAGAAAATAAATATGAAATATTTGAAAGACATATCTCTCTCCTAAACTCTATAATGAGAAACATGCGTGCATGTCAACATCCGTCTTCATACATCCTTCAATGAATCCTTTTCTTATTTTCTTCTCTACTGATTTGAAAGAGAAATTATACAAATTCTATCAGAAGCAAAATGTCGGATTTGGTGTTCAATACTCCCATTGACGCTTTTGTTCAAATTAGATTGAGCAAAACTCGAAATGAATAGGCAAATCGAAGATTTTGGCCGATGAACGAAATGTAATGGAACTTGTCAACAACTTCCTCTCCACATTCTCATACTGAAAATGAATTTGTTTTTCCATACTTCTAATTGCTACTCACATCTAGCGCCTAATTTAATTGTTTCTTGGAGGGTTTCTTCTCCTCCAATGAATTCTATTCCGACAGAAAGGAAAAAAAAGAAAACTTTGCATATCAATACACTGTTCGTTCGAGACTGAAAATAAAGCAAAGCAATCATCTCCTGAAGGATCATAATACTTGCTAACGCTAATGAGCCAACTGTTATAGATTTCGAGAAAATCATTATAATTGTAACAATAATTCTCTTCCTTCGATATACTTCTCCTTGAAATCAGACGAAAATGTTCCGCTAAGTTCAGATATTGCTCATAAAACGTATGTTCAATCAGAAATGGTCATCTACGGAACTTTATTTGCTTTTCACTTGATATATGTATTCAATTAAATCATTGCCATCAAGTAGTTTTCTATTAGATGACATAAGACAAGACGTGGATATGCACCATTCACTTGACGATGATCTTCTTCAAGGTTTACCGTTGATTATATAATTTTCAATATTATTGACCTTTGTCTTTATTGATTTTATTAATTTCAAGATTTTTTGATTTTTTTTTCTTCAAAACTATCTACGACAGAATTGACATCATCACTCAACGACGTCAGAAGAGACGGGAAAACTGAGACTCGATTGAAAAGGAGAATATCACGTCCTTGAATGTGATACATATCTCTTCGGCAATTAATTTGATGAATATTTTCTCATTATCAATCAGAAAAGGTGATCGATATCGTGGTTTGCATCAAACATTTGCAATGCATATCAATTACCTGCTCGATATATTGCGTATTTTTGAAAAACAATAAATGAATGTAGAGAGTGATTAATCAGGTTGTAAATCTTTTGTCGAGAGATTGAATCATGTCATTCAGATTAAAAAAAGTTTATCATTTGTTCAATATCTCTACTTAAAGGTTCATTGAAGTTGTAAATGGAGCGAAAATAACTCAACTTTCTCTTTTTTTCGATTGATAAGAATGTTACTTCGTTCGTGTGGTGGTCAATTTGCTTTGTATTCATTGAAAGCAGAGTCGCATAAATTAATTACGTCATATCGATCTTTCAAGTAGATTTCTTCTGGTGAAATTAAGCAATAATAACAACTAGTCAGTGATTGCGAGATGAATATCTCGTGTCTTTTGAAGACTACATGTTCATCATGACTAATGTCAATATTAACCATTCACATGGGCTTCTCATGAGCGTATAATACATCGGTTTAGTCTTTCTAAACATAGATCCGTTCATCAAATAGGACAGGAGAAATTCTCATCAGTCGATATTTCGATTATAATAAATCGACATTCTCATCAATGGAAGCTGAAATGAGAAAAAGAGAAAGAGAGAGAGAGAGAAAACGAATGTAATGTATCGATACATGTCATTTGATTGAAGTAGATATTTGTGTACTCTTTTCATCTTTAGTGTTAGTTTCATCAAGTGCTATCAGAGAAATTTCAAAGCATATGTTCTGAAATTCTTTTGTTCAGCAGTGAGAGTAACAGACAATGTTAATTTAGATTTATTCTTATTCTTTTTTTTCCTCTGCGCTCAGTCTTTTTTTCTTCGTCTTGCGGTTTTCTCTCTCGCTTTTTTTCTCTTCTATGCCTCGTTCTTTTTCTATTGACGATGCTCTTCAAATTACTTTTCGCTCCCTCTCTCTCTCTTCATGTTCTCCTTCGAAAACATTCACTCACTCCATTACTACCCGTATACACGTTATTTTACAACTCAGACTGTTGTGTTCTCCTAGAATTTAAGCTCATTTAACCACCCGAACAAACCACACATATATATATCCATCGGAAAACTACTATCGCCCGATTTTTGTCTTGTTCTTTTACCCAGTTGTTCGGCCATGTGATACTAGATGAAATTACTCTTTTGATACTAGTTTTTCCTTTTATCCACTGGCGTATTATTTTTTCATATATAGTATACACTCGTTATTACCATTCGTTGTCAAATATAGATCATAAATATGCGACAATAACAATGTAATTACGTTCGAACTGCAGTCGAAGAAATAATAATAATAACAACAACAGCAACGATGGGTTTGGCTACATGTTATCCGTGTTCGAAATATCTCCTTTTAGTTCTAAATATTATCTTTTGGGTAAGTAAAAGGGAATCATTCCAAAATGTGGAGTATAAACAGGTGCGACAACGCAATGTTAATGTCACTACACACAAAAACATCATCGATCAGAGCTTACATTTCATTGGATAACATAGAACAGAATTGATGCTCATGCATATATAAGTTCAGTCTCAGTATACACAAATATAGTCGCGCGACTTTTAATAAGAGGAACAATATTGACATACACAACTGAATATAACAATTAAGTGGTGACATTCATTTTCTTTCTGAAACTTTACATTGATAAGTGTTAATCCTTAGATCTACTGACTTATTATCTTTGTTGATTTTCATTTTCTCATGTGTCTAGTTAAGTGGTGCTGCTCTTATCGTTCTTGGTGTTTTGTTCGCTCTACGTTCTGAAGTCCAACCAGTTATTCATCTATTCAATCTCAATTCGTTCCCGCTATCATCGTTTGAAATTGCAGCATTTTGTGTCATTATTTTTGGTATCATCATCTTTTTCATTGGACTCTTCGGATTATGTGGTGCCTTACGCGATTCGCGTACTTGTCTCATATTTGTAAGTCATCCTCACAAAAAACAAAACTAGTCTTCTTTCTTCTCTTTTTTAGTATATCGTTTTAATCACGACTATACTTTTGGCTGAATTAGCTTTATTTACATATCTCGCTATCGAACATGAACAATGGCACACGTTGATAAAACAACGTCTTACTTCGCAAATGAAAAACTATAATCACTTACAAGCGAGTCAATACGAACGAGCTGTAGACTATGTTCAAAACAAGGTAAAATAAAAGAATAAAATGTCGAGCTGTTGCATAAGTAAAGAAGAAAATGAGTGGATACAGTTGGTGCAGAGAATTGGCCGACCTAGTCGAAAGTTCACTTCGGTGATACCCGAGAAGAGAAAGAACGGTCTTTTTAGTGAACAAATATTAGTCAAATAAGAAAAGGAAAGATTTTGTTATGATAATGATCAAATTGCTGCTACTGATGATGCAATTCTGTTATCATTACACTTGATCAAAATGTAATTTTTCACTTTCTGACATATACACTTATGGATTAAGTTGTATAATGAACTTCCATTGGTCGTTTTATTTCTTGTCATAAAGCGTTTTTGTCTTTGTCATCTTGATGTTGTTTACGCTTTCTAATCAAGGGACAATTATAAGTGAAAGATTACATCACACACACTCAGCTAATATTGACTTCTTTTCAATGCAAGACAAAACTGAACTGTGTTGAAGCGTAACAAGTAAAGAAAGAAGAAGAAGAAGACGGAAATTCCGTTTTATCTCTTTGTTATGCATAGAATATCTTATTGACTAGGCAAACAGACTGGCATCGATCAATCGTTAGCCATGATGTAACCTCCCCGTTTTTTCTATCTTCAACGACCTTGAGTATAATTCACCATCTGCATGAAAAGAGGCCTAGCAGAAACACCATCAAGGTCATCTGAAGAAAACATCATGTTACTTCACTTCCGACTGTGTCAGACATCTTAAATAAACAATGTTTTGAAAGTTAATAGCCATTTTTAACCTTGTTCTTCTATATTTAGTATCATTGTTGTGGAATCGAATCAGCACATGATTACAGCAATTCACGTGTGCCAGCGTCTTGTTGTTCTCTGACGGATGCAACAGCATCTTGTACGGTTGAGCAAGTCGGTGCAAGTGGAACCCCCGGATGTTATCGTGTGTTGACGGAAGGAACCATTTATTGGGGAAAATTTTTTGTCATTTTCGAACTAAGTTTATGTATTCTCGCGGTATGCCTTCCAAGGTTCGTTTTTCATTATTCAATTAGCTCTGTCTTCTCTCTTTAGCTACTTGGAATCTTTCTTGCTATTTGTGTTTGTCAAAATGCAATGATTTACGAAGGATATTTTCCTGCACCTTATCATGTTTGACAACAAATGATCAATATTACACTTTAATTTGGTCTCTTTAACTTGAAACACTGATCGATGGTGAATATAAAAGAACTGAGTTTTGTTGTCTTCGTTTCTTCTTCTTCTTCTTCTTCTTCTTCTCTCAAGGTTGCGCATACTTCTAGCGAGAAATTTTGCTTTGTCTGTACAAACATTTTGTTCTAATTAGAAAGTATTTCGAAAGGAAAACAAGCAAGGAATTCGAACTAACTTTGTCGTTGTGTGTTATATATGCATGTCTTCTCGAGTGATTGATTGATCAAGTAATAATCTCGACAGCGAACTTCTTGCGTAATGGAACTTGTCGACAGCTTGCCTATTGTTATTCCACAAAGAAAAAAAATACTCGATATAATTCGGTCAAGGATAATGTTTTTGTCATTTCAATTCAACAAAACATTGAACTAATACTATAAGATGATTATTTCCTTATATATTCATATTCATATCGCTTCTTTTGGGTTGTGGTTATATCATTATCTCAAACAATTGAATTAATATATGCATGTAGTGAAGCGGATAGAAATATTGACCTCTTCATTACTTGAGGATGATCCCAAGTGTTCTTCAAGGTTAACTGTGAGACATTTTTCTTCTTTTCTTTATTCATCTGTCTTCGCATGGCCTTGTCGCATGAGATCTTATTCTATTTATAGAATATAATGTCTTTGCAGATCAAAACACACAATTAGTTGTTACAAAGATATGTAATAGCTTTCTTTTTCTCTCTTTCTCAATTAAAATATTTACTTTAACACTTCGATTTTTCTCTTCGTGGAATTGTCAAATGAACTTCATCGACAATGAATGATTGTTTTCCGCTTTTGTTTACTTTCGATTGTAAATAAAACATTTTCGAATGCCATTGTATAGACAGTGTCCAATATCAACAAATCGCCGGAGAAGAATGGATTGTTAATCAGTCTGTCTGATTACAGCTGTACCAATTCACATGTGCTTCTCGAATGAAACAAACAGCGTTGTTAACATACAGAAATCTTGTCGAGATTTTTATTGGTAATTACTAATTCATGACAACATCAATTCTAACCGAAGAAGAAGAAGAAAAAAACAAGTTCAACGAAACACATGAAATGTTCCCAAATAAAACTATTGCTTTCATCTAAGGACATATTCTTTTCACTGAGTCGAAGGCTTTTGAACAATCATGCAGTATCTGTATGCAATATATACATAACAACAAGTCTTTTGTTGATGTTATTTCCATACGCCTGTTGATGTCGATGGTTGCTGTTGTTGCGGTTTGGACTTATCTTTTTTCGCACGTGTTTTCGGTTGAGATAAACGTTCGAATAATTCGCTGGCATTACTTTGTTTATTGTTATGGATATCATAATCAAGTCGTTTTTTAACGCCGTTGATTGTTGTTGTTGTGTTACTACGAGCTGTCAACGATGATTTACGTTGTCGAGGTGTTGGTGACTCGTTGTTTAAAGCTAAATCATCGACGATTACGTGTGAATCACGTTCAGCTAAGTTTAATTGTTCGATTGAATGTTGAACATCGTGTAATGATTGATTTGTTTTAGCTAATGGATGTTCTGAAATGGAAAGAGAAATCGAAATCGATTGGAATATATTTTTGTTTCTTATCTTTACTTTGTGATGCTTTTTGATCATGTGTCGGTGATCGTTCAAGTAACATTTTCACGTATCTAGCTAATGATTCGTTTGTTGATGAAGTTTGATCGTGTTGTTGTCGATCGATACTATCTTTTGATAAAGTGCCTTGAATTTCTTGTTGATTCTCGATTAAATTCGACGTAATTGACGATGTTGAACGATAAGAAGGCATGGCCGGTTGCTGGTAATGACTTGTATTGAGATTACTATCGAGACTATAAGAATTTGATGAATGTGTTGGTTGCTGCTGTGATGAAGATGAATATTGTTGAGAAGGATAAACTGAGAAAAATCCACTGTTCGTCGGATCAGCTGATTGACTGCGTTGAGTTAGAGGATGAGGATGATTGTTGTTATTTGAACTGTGGGATGATTGAGGATACCAATCTTGTAAGGAATCAATTGGAGTGGAACGATAGAATGGTGATTGAAGAGCACTCGGAGGTCGAGAAGATAATAAACGACTGATGAGAATACGAATGAATGATACTTCTCAAATTTTGTAACTTACTTTGGATTAGTTTCTGTCCATTCGGAAGTACTTTCTTGTTGCATTGCTAAAGGTAATCGAGAATTCAATTCGAAACCATTTGCTATCCGATTGGTATGATCAACAAGTGAATCAATACGGGATGAAAGTGAACGTATCGCTGAGATATTTGTTGGATGATCATTATTCACTAAAGGCAGTGAATGAAGATATTCATTTGTTTTACTTTTGATTTGCGTATCAATTAATGTTTGCGATGAGTGCGAAGACATTTGTCTTGATGATGGCGGTGGTGATATTGGTTTTTCATTAATTGTTGTCGCTCGTTTGGTTGATGCTGGATGAAGTGCGGTTTCGAAAACGTCTTGTAGTTTTTTGGCTAAATCTTGTCGTTCAGCCAGTGTTGTTGATTGGATTCGTTCGATTTCGTTTTTGGTTTGATCAAGTTTAGCAAGCAATGTCTGAACACGATGTTCGTGTTCTTCACGTGCATTTGCTAAGTTCTGTTCATGTTTAGCTTCTGAATCAGCTAATTTCCGACGATGTAATTCGTTTAATTCTTCTTCGATTTGAAGATGCTTGGCATGTTGTTCTTCAAGACGTTGATTCAACTAGAAGAAAGAATGTTGATAGATAGGTAAGAAATAAAAAATTACTTTGGATTCGGCATCGCGGATTAATTGCATTCTGAGAGATTCAGTTTGAGCACGATATTTTGCTTCGCGTAATTCTAATTCCATTCTCAAGACGTTCTGAAAAAAGAAAAAAAAGAGATTAGTTTTTTTGGGGAATTCGGATTGACGATTGACAGACATTCTCTCGTCGTTGTTCATCGAGTTCATTTTCTAACTGTCGAACTTTCATTTGATGATCAGAATTAGTTTTCTGTTGGTCACGTAGCATTTGTTCGATCTCTTGTTGTTTTTCGTCCGATTCCGATCGGAGAATATCAAGGCGAGTTTCGCCATTTTTCAATTCATTTCTGAGATCATTTTCGATCGTCGACCATTGTTGTTTCGCCTGAAAAAATCCACAAATGTCCGACAAACTTAACGAAACAATGATTCATCACATACCTGTTCTGCATCTTTGGTTACTTGTTGAACTCTCTGTTCGTATTGTTTAGCTTGTGTTTGTAAGTTATCATAATCTTGCTTTTTTCTTTCGTTGTCTTTCGTTAAACGTTCGATTGTTGAATTTTTCTCCTTGATTTGCTCGTCAAATAGTTTTTTCTCTTCAGACATTTTCTCTCGATTCGTTTGTTCGATTTGTTTTAATTGCTGCGTGACATTGCTCAATTTACTCTTGTAATCATCTTCTTTTTGTTTCCATTCATCGACAACATTTGGAATCATTTGTTCGAGTTGCTTCATACATAATGTTTTCTTATGATCATTAGCGCGAAGTTGAATTAATTCCGATTCGGCTTCGGTCAAACGCTTCTGCTGAACATCAATCAATGTTTCCAGTTGTTTACGACGATTTCGTTCACTTTCCAATGAAGATTTATAGTAAGCTAATTCCGGATTCACGTCATTGACAAGTTCTGTGGAGAAAAACAAATTTAGCGAGTCGAATTCGATTAACAATGAATAAAACCTGTTCGAGGTTGTTGGTCGTCGCTGATCGGTTGATCATTGCTTGGCAGAGTGCCAGTTCGACTCATGGAATGCAACAATTGCCGAGCATTTTGTAATTGTAATAAACATGGTTCAGCCGGTTGTGAGTCATTCGATTGAATAAAACTATGTTTTCGAAGAGAAACGAATAGTTTCGAATGTAGAAAGGAAAAGAAAGCGATTTATTTACTCAAGATGTTCATGATTTTCTTTTTCGTACAATCGATGATCGGGTGTCGATGTAAGCATAGTCGATGACGACTGATGACGACGAGAGGAATTTATTGGCTCATGAACGTTGAAGCCTTCGAATAATAGACGACGTTGAGTTCGAGCTTGAAGATCATTTGAACTCGTTGTGAATGAAGACATAACGGTCAAGGAACAAAAGGAGAATTTTTCTTTGACCGAAATAAAAGTAAAGAACAGCCAAGAGGGACAATTGTGGTCAAATCTTTGTCTGAAAAGATACCATTTCTGAATTGATCTCAAAGTAAACTCCTCTTTATATTTGACAACAAATAGAGGTCTCTCGTACGAGTGTGGTTGCCGTGAGAAGAGTACACCAATCAGCGAAGTTTATTCTTTTTCCTTTGAAAGCCAAAATCGATCGTGAAGATGAAAATAGATTTGAATTAATTAAACACCCGGTATTTATGTATACAGAATGCAAATGAATTCAGAAGAATATTGACGATCTCTCCAGAGGGAATTACTTGACAATAGAGAACTAGAATAAATATAATCGAAGCAATTGCGAGTGTTGTTCTAAACATGAAATCAACTTCTTCGAAAGTTCATGTTATCATATTAATTGGATTAGAATTCCTTTGTCAGACCTGTAACAAACTAATTTTCAGTCGAGATTTATTCGAATGAAGTGAACCGTTAATCATTTATTTTACACTGTCGGTCAACCAACGTTGAAAGCGTTCACTAACAATCTTTAATCATTTTGTATTATAAGTGAAAGACTGTCGTTATCAAATATAACTTATTTCACAAAACTTCCTTTCAAAGTACACATGAGACTTGATCATGATTTTGATATTAATTGGCAAGTTCAATGTCTCGAGAGATAGAAATATGACATTCATCCTTGTAGTTCTACTATACGACTGAATAATTTTCTAAGTGAGTGACAGGCAATGAAACTGTTTAAAAGTAGCTACACTATGATCAATAATTCATGAGATGTTTGTTTTTCTTTGAAGATTATCTTCTCATTGAAACTCCTTTCAATGCAATTCTTTTATTGTTTCATAGCAACATTCGCACAAACACATTTATCCATGAGATTTCTGTTCATCACCTTGCTGCTCTTTGTAATGTTTCAAAACACGTGCTGATGGATCAGTTTGTTCACCACACCATTTAGGGAGCCACATGTAGGGTGTCAGATGTTCATGACCGGGAAAAAATTCTTCGAAGATCGAGCTGAATACAAACGAATCAGTGCACGTAAATCTTCAAAAAAAGTTCAATTTTACCGGTAAAGAAAAGATTCTTTCGTTTTAGGTGTGTTGAATGGATACAACGTTGATGCTTGTTGAAGATCACTGTCCGATACTTTTGTTTCCGCATACTCTTGCATGTATTCAAAGAGTGATTTCTTCTTAGCAGCAACTCCATCCGAAAAAGCTTCTTTCGGTCGCCAAAGAATTTCCTGTGGAATCAAGTTGAGGCCATCAAATGCTTTTCTAAATTGAAGATTCAAATGAACAATACCAACAACTTTGACTCGTCTTGATTTTACCTGAGAATATATTTTTCTGCTCGTTCTTTTGTGGGCATTCGTTCTTTCGCTGGTAACGAAAAATAATATGACGTGAATGCATGATCGAGAAACGGTACTCGTAATTCCAATCCATGTGCAGCTGTTGTTCGATCAGCACGAAGCACATCGTAATAAAACAAATCATTGCAAAGTCGACGACTCTCCTGATCACCTTCTTCTGGCGTTGGTTGCCGATAGAAGTAAATATAACCTTGACAAACTTCATCCGCACCTTCACCGGATAGGATAACAACAGTATCGGTTTTTTCTTGAATATATTTCGAAACGAAGTACATTCCAATTGATGCACGAATCGTTGTGATATCATAGGATTCCAATGCTCGAATGACTTTTCTCAAATGGTCAATCGCATCTTGTGAGGTGAAACGAATTTCATGATGTTCAGTGCCAAGATGTTGAGCAACCTAAGATAGTTCGTTTGTTAAAAACTGAAAAAAGACAAAAAGGTTAAGGTTACCTTTCGTGCTGCAACCAGATCAGGACTACTTTCATCCATGCCAATTGAAAACGTTTGAATTGGATACGTAATACCTTGTTTTCGAGCTTCTTGAACGGTCAATGCAGCAATTAAACTTGAATCCAGACCACCAGAAAGCATACAACCAATACGTCTGTGAGACATTAAACGCATTCGAACAGCGTTGATCAGATATGAACGAATGTTTGACGAAATGTCATCTAAATCGAGAATGTAAAGATTCTGTTCTGAACTGACTTGCTACTACGAGTATATGTTTACCTGTTACTGTAACATTAACATCATATTTGGGGAAATTTCCAATGGAATGAAACCGTTCTTTTTTAACGAATTCAACCTTTTCATTTTCATCCAATTTATATTCTTCATAGGTACCCGGTTCAAGAGGAGTTATTTTTAAGGCAGTTTTAGATGCTACTGTAACGCCTTCGAGACCTAAATGCAGTAATATTGGTGATATCAATCAGAGAAATCTTTATAATAAAACCTTTTGCTTCAGATGACACGGCTAAAAATCCACAATCGGTAAAAATTCGAAACGATGGTCGAACACCAAATGTATCTCGACCAACGAAGACTTTTCGTTCTTTTGCATCGAATAAAACAAAAGCAAAAACACCATAAAGTTGTTCACACATAAAACGTGCGCCTTTATCATTATACAAATGAATTAAAATCTCTCCATCGCAAGATGTTTCAAATTCATAACCAAATTTCTTTTGTGTCTAAATCAAAGCACAATATCCAATCAGAAAAAACCTCTATTCTAAACCTTACCTGACGAAAGTTGTAGATTTCGCCATTGTAAGTCTAAAAAGGATCAAATCTAAATTAGTGTTGATTCATTGTCAAAAACAAACCATCCATATATGTGGTAACGCATGGATACGCATTGGTTGCATGCCGTAGATATCGTCAACGATTGCTAGTCGATGAAAGCCGAACACACATCGAGAAAAGTGATTAACATTCTCGAAACGGAAACAATCGGGCCCACGATGAGCAATGTTAAAACAACCGGGGATTTGTTGATGTGTGTCAACAGTTGAACCGAAAATGCACCAAATTCCACACATAGTTAGGTCTAAAAATAACGAGAAATTACTACGAGCTTTTAATCGACTGCGCTCGTATTTATCATGTTCGTGTTGCACTAGACTAGTCGAGTGATAGCCATTCGTTAGACGTATTGCATCAGAAAGACAAGGGCTTATTTTGTTTTTCCTCTCGTTCGCTGTAGTGTTTCTCGTCAAACACGTAGACCGATCACACGTGCAACGGCAGGGCGTTTGCTTACAGAATTGGAAAAAGAAAGAAGGTTAAAGATCGCTTTCAATAACAAACACAAATGTTATCTTTTCCTCGAGAAAGATTTCAAATCTAACAGAATTCCAATGGAATTTATTCGAATAAATAGATAATCATTAAATCTTAGATTTTCTTTTTACAAAATTTACACCGAACATCGTCTCATCATATAAATTGCATCGAGAGAAGAATTCGAATCGGAGATCTTCGCAATTCGATTCCGTTTACTTCGTTGTTGTTTCCATTTAGCACGTTTCTTCCTCGTTTGTCTCCATTCTCCGAACGCTTCCATACATGTACATGAACAAATCGATGTTTGACTTGAATTCAATAATAATTGTTGCTGTTGTTGTTGACTAGCTGTCATTTCCGGCATGACGGGAGTCAATGGTCGTGGTTTGCCTGTGTTTGTCGAACAGATAACATCGCCTTTAAGTAAAACAGCTTGATTCGCAGCTTCCTCCTGCCGAAGTTTTTCTAATAAACGTTCTTGAGAATAAAATGCAACAATACGAATAACAAGTAGATTCATCGACGAAGCCAGAATTGTCAAGCCAAGGAAAATGAACGCCATACAGAAGAAGAAATATTCGGCATTGTAAACAAAATTTTTATTGCGATGATTTCCTTGCTAATTGAAACAAAGAAAATCCAATCGAAAAAGATAATCGAGCACAAATTCAACTTACTAAAACAACAAAATCACCGAAACCAATCGTGGTCAATGTGATAAAACCATAATAAAACGAATCGAAAAATGACCACTTCTCATACTTGGAAAAGACGCACGCACCAACGACTAATATCACTATAGATAATAAAAATTCCATGACGAGCAGTTCTCCATCTGTGATTCTCGTCTGTTTCATGTGTAGTAACCGTTTTAATCGAGCGAGTAAATAACTCAGCAGGGAATTGATTCGTTCACCTGTCGATTGAAACGTGATTAGCCACATTGGAATGCCCAGCATAGCATAAAAAATACAAAAAATCTTCGCCCGTGATGTGATTAATGTTCGATGACCGTAACCAATCAAAGCTAAGACAACGGTTGAAAAATAGAAGCTATCGTAAAACTTCCATTTGTGTCGAACAATTGTTTTGTTCATAATCAAATCTGATAATTGACGAAAGGTTTCATTGGTCATATTGTGATCGAGTTTAAATTGAGCAAATTTCTTTTCGAATCGAAATTTCCTGAACAAAAGAGATTCAACACATGAAAATGAAACCAGAAGAGTTTAATGAATGAAAACTTGCCGGTCAGTGAAAGAAGCATCTTCAAGTGCATCAAATACACATGCACCAATAATCAAATACGTAAAAGTACAAACAATGAGCGCAGCTGTGCGAATATTTTTCTTTTGGACTTGAAACGTATCATTTAATTCCCTTGTGTTGATTTGGGTTTGCCCAGTTGTCGAACATTTCTTCAAGGCTACCGCTTTTTCCATATAAAAGACGCTCTACAAAGTATCAAAGATAGAAAGCTTCTCTCGATGAAATCGAATATAAATAGAAGAATAACAATGTAGTGAAGTCGAGTTGGATTTCTCTTTTGTTCGTTTCCTTTTCCTAAGTATAATTACCCTCTTTGAACTGCACGATTAGTCGCTTGATGAAAATTGCGTGACTAGAAAAAATCGACTGTTTGCTCAACTGTGTTGGCGATGTTCGTCTTTCTTTTGTTAACGTTTTCTTCCTACTCCTTTCTACTTTTTCCTTCTCTTCTTGCGTGGGTTTTTTTTCTCTCATATGAAGTATCTACAGGTAGACAGTAATAGCTATTCAACCCCGTGTTTTTACTACTATTAGATGCATATTCTGCGTTTCTAGTTTAGAGACAGAAATGAGAACATAACCGACGATGTTCTCTTCGTTACCACATTGTCGTCGTCAGTTTAGATTTGTGCGTCTTCGTTCAACTTGCAGCAAAAAGAACAGAGCTAAGAGAGATGTATAAACGTAGAAGAAGAATGACATATAAGGCTCATATTTTCATGCCATCGCTAGAGGAAAACGAGCGAGGTATTGGGTGAAGTTTGTATTTAGCTTTGAATGTTGAGAAGAGAAGTGCCGGAACAATGGAAAAAGGAAACTAAAAATAACGCAGATAATTGAATGTGATCGAGCATATATCTATTATTCCGAATACCCACATTGAACACATTGTATAATCAATTCTCGAAATCAATGCATGCACGCACATTTATCCTATAGTTATACATGTGAATGACTCAATTAATAGTTACAAACCGTTCACCAAGGAGAGTTGGGCGACAAGAACAACAACAACAAGTAGGAAGATCTAGGACGCGCGCGTGCGTGTGTGCTGATCAAAAAGACATTAGTTTGGTTATGTATGCGAGAGTAGAAAGTGAATGAAGGAAAAACCTCGGACGGACGAATGACAGCACCAACGGCGGTGTAAAATGAGGCTAATCAAATATATCATCAGATAGTCAATTGAACTAGATGAGAATAATGAAGAAAAACCAAAAGAATGACAGTGACAGCTGCACTCTCACTATGGCAGTTTTCATTAAAAAAAAAGAGAAGGAGAGGAACGCAATTTATAGAAGAATACATTGTACAACATAATTAAAAACATATCTGAATGAAGAAAAAGAACTAAATGACATTCCTCTTCTTGTTTCGCGTTTTACATCATCTATGACGGAGAAAATCAAGATTAGAATGACTATAGAACCATTTGCTGATTATATGACTTATCCATATGTAGGAAATGATCAGATATAGAACGTCCATATCTTGATCTATATTGACATTGTGTCTGAGTCTTCATTAGTTTGATTATTTTCTTTTCCTGTAGTCTCTCTCATCATTATCGACACTATTTGACGATATACTTGACATGTGAAGAAGACGAAGAAAAAAAAACTCGACTATTGAAAAAAAACGATGGACTTATTTGTAAAGTAATCGATCAACAAGTTCTATGGCCCGAAGGCGTCGTCGAAAGATTTCAAAGGCGGAAATAAATAGAGTGAGACTTAGATTTCTTTTTCCCTAGAAGAATCTGATGATAATGTCATCATCGATAATGTCTACTTACATCTATTCCAGCAAGAATCGAACTAGTGATATAAGACATACATCGAGTAGATGTAGACGTCCACTTCGACGATTAGCTCAGTTGTTATTGGAATACAAGAGAGACAGAGAGAGAGAGAAAAAAAGAAGACCTTGTCATCGATAGAGAGATAAAGTATCAAAGCAACAATATTCCATGCTGGCGAAGTTTGAAAAAACACAAGACAGGAACTGTCTCCGGTGTCAGAAAGCAGCTATCCAATTTATTATATATACTAAAGATTAATACTAAAAATAATTATATATAAAATAGCAAGAAAATGACATTAAATCTCAAGCAGGAAAAAGGAGATGATATGATACGTCATTAACATTCAGTAATCCTTCTTTGCTTATACGTCTTTTTCTTTCTTAACGCATGATGCTTTTCATTCGCTTAATGAACAATCCGTTCACTCAGTCACATTTCAAGAATATTCAATAGAAAGATTGAAACCAAACATATCCTTTTAGTTCATTTCTCAAGATAATTACAAACAAAAGAAATTTCATCAAAACATAAATCTGGATTAACAACAACTTCTGATATCAAACAAAACTCCTTCGGAATTCGAAATTAATTCTCAGTTTACTATGATGATGATTTATTTCGAATAAGTTTTTCAAGTATCCAAAAGTGTTTTACAACATGAATACCAATGTTCCTCATTACCAACTTAAATCATTTCCTACTGAAAAATATTCATTGTCAATCGGACGACCTTTGATAGATGTCTGTTAATAAACTTTCATAAGAATTCCTGTTTTAATGCTTTCCAGACATCCAAATTCGAGTACAAATCAATCGTACTCGCAAGCTTTTCGTATTTCTATCTTTAATGGCTGATGAATATGTTCTAATGCACGTGAAAATAATTGATACAGGATGCTTATTACAAAAATCCTTGGTGTTCATTCGACTCAAATTGATCAGATTAATACTTTCCAAGTGTAGACAAATGAACATCAAAAAGATCTTATTAAAAAGGATCAATTGAACATATTCTCAAAGATATTTATGCAATCATTCTATTCCATCTTCCTAATGATTTACTCGATGTGTAAAATCATATTAGAAATCCTTCTAAACGTCGGGTAAACTTCCCAACTCTTTCCACGAGTTCAAATGTTGATTTTTCACCTAAATTCATACAGATACTCAATACAAATCAAATATAATCGTTAACAAATATGATACACTAAGCATTCTTTTTTTATTCACCATCAAGCGAACAAAATAGAAGATTAACACAAAAGAAGTCCATTTCTTTGTGTATATGTTAGTCGTCAAAGCAAGAAGAAAAAAATAGAAATGGAATTCACATACTCATTTCAAATAAGTTATTTGACATAAGTATGCAAATGTGATTTATTTCTTTTTCTTTCTTTTTTTCTTTCACGTTTTTTTTTCTCTTCTTCTTGCTGAGGATAAAATTCCTAATGAGCATGCCAAACGTGCAGTGATGTTAGTGAAGCAAACATATAACTACGCAGAAAGTACATAAACATATTCTGATTATCGGAGACATTTTCGAGCAAATATGGAACCTCAAATGGAAAGTGAACCTTCGTCATTAAGAAATAATCTTATAACTGTTGATCGACCGGACACTGCGCAGGTAGGAAAGTTTGGCATTTGTGGATAGAGACCATTGATTGAAAGGTGAATTTAGCTTGTTGATCTTCATGTTTATGTTATACCGACGAGCGTTTGGCAAGAACAGAAAAATCTAGCGGAAAATGATGCAATCGAACAAGCAATATCAGCTGGATTTGTTCAGTATGATAGTTTGAATGGATAAAATTGATTGAGTCCGGTTTGTTTCGATAGCGTTCCACAGAATCTAACAATTTACGATCTTCGTCAACATATAACTGATATTTGCGGGCAAGAAGATGGCTTTCCCAAAGATTTTATCTACTTAAGAAGCGTTGGTCGGTGCTTAGCAAAGGTATTTCTTTTTCGTTGAAGATCATATGAATCTACTTCCAAAAATACTTCAGGTTAGACCTCAGCAAGAACTCGAACTGAAAGTGAAGAACTATCGACCACCGATTGTTTGTATCCTTTCATTGATTGCTGTTCATTATAATATTGAGATATACTTTTCTCTATTTTAGACATTTGCACCTGAAGTGAGTGTCGAAGTGATCGTCAGCGAATTTTCAATGTATGAAATCTTGTAGATTTACGTTCTCGAAGGACATCACGACGATGATTCGTCATTGGCAAGTAAATCCAAGAGTTCTCTTTCTCATGAATCTTCTATTCAATCATCATCATCATCGACAGCAACGACTGGTCGTCAAGAAAGCTGGACGAGATCATTTGGTGAATCTCCAGCACCCGTAGCAACGCTGAACCCTTCATTCATTAATTCCAGTAGTGAACAACAGAACTCAACAATTCTCGATCGATCAGCCACTTCTTCAACTTCGACGTAAATATAAAATAAAATGAAAAAAAAGCAAACTTCTTTTCATTCTTCGTTTTTAAGCCTCTCAAGAGCTTCGAGTACTCTCAGCGCAAGGTAAAATACTTTCCTATTAACAACAAATATGCGATTGATTATCTCCTACAATTGTAGAGATTTAGCGAAATTACGTGAAGAACAAGAGCGTCTTCGTTTACGTCAAATTGAATTAGCTCGCCAACGACGTGAAATCGAAGAAGAACAACAACGACGGAAAACAACCGAGAGCAGTCAAAGTGATGACAGTAAACCGGAAACTAGAAGAGTTGAATTATCGACACGTGATATTGAAGCTGAAAAACTCAAAGCTGCGAAGGAGCAAGAAGAGCAGCAACGACGTCGACGGGAATTGGAAGTCGAAGCACAAAAAATAGCACTTCAACGTGAAGAACAAAAACGTAAGGCCGAGCAAGAGAAACGACAACGTGAAATTGAACAAGAAGAGAAGAAGAAACATGAACAACAAAATATTCTATCCAAACTAGAACGAGAAAAACAAGAAGAAGAAGCCGCTACACGTATTCAAGCGAGTTTTCGTGGTTATCAAAGTCGACAGAAAAGTAAAGATAAAAAACGACACGAGTAAGTCATTGTACATGCAAGCACTTTTCCCATCGACTTTCTCGTACAATCGCCATTCAGTCACGCCTATGATGCCGACAATGATAAACAGAGGTTGTATGAGTCACATCCATAGTCTGTTGTGTTTTTTCCCACATTTAATTCGTTTGTTGTTGTTGATGATGAATTTGCAATCCGTCGCCATGTGATGCATCGTTCATTATCACTTTAATTTTGCTTAGCGCGTGCAACATATTCACCGATTTCATTCACATTCATACATATGTCTAAATAATCCTTGTTCCCTTCACAGTGATGATGCAGCAGATCGACCTACGCAACGAACCTATCGAATACAAATATACGATAACACCGATGTCTGAACGGATGACAATGCATGAATGTCCAATCTCTTTCTTGTGACTAGTTGTTGTAATTTTTCTGTCGGAGAATTTTCCATGGAAAGAAAAAAAAAGAATCGAAGTATGTCTGCGTTTCAGAACGTCAAATTTTGCTAAATCTCGAGGAGTATGGTCAGCAGATTCCGATCGGGAACGAAACCAATCACCGATTAAACATAAAACTATTCATTCGTTACCATTAGAGAGGTACGAAATTTGGAGAAACGAACATCTATGGTCGGCGTCGACTTCTCGGGAGGACGAGAGAATTGAAACAAGAAATTCCGACATCGATCAGTCTTTCGGCTTTCCTTCTTTCAGGAACGAAGCCCAGGAACTTGAACGTTTACAGAGAGAAGCACGCGAGTTAGCTCGCCGGAAGGCTGAAGAAGATCATGCTGAAGAAATCAAAGCACATGAGGGTAAAATAAGCTGACACGTTTCTGTTGTTTTGATTTTTGTTTATTAGTTGTTAGACTTTCGGAACAGCTGGAAAAACTGAAATCCGAACGTATTGAATTGGAAAACAATCGGGAAGCGATCATACGGCGAATGCAACAATTACACGCACAAATTGTTGTGCGACGAACAGAAGGTAAATGAAAAATTGATTACTTCTCTGGTTAATTTTTAAGTTTATTTTAAATTTAGAACGAGATTTATGGAAACAAAAATATCTGGTTCAGAAGAAAAAAACTGCTGAACTCGAAGAGAAAACACGAGCTGCATCCGTGAGATCGTCAACTAAAACATTGATGATAATCTTGATTTGCATTTTGTTTTCAGCAAAATCAACCAGATTTAGCTTCTCGAACCGAACAAACTAAACTTCGCTTGAACCACAGTACCAAAGTATAAGAAGACATCGTAAAAGATTGAAAGAGACATTGTGATTTCGATTCCTTTAATTTTTTTCGCTACTAGCTTCGTCAACAAGCTGAAAATGAATGTCAACTTTTAAAACAAGAGTTACACCAGATGCGTTCCAGTCTGCATAATTTAGAAAAGCCTTCAATACCAACAAAGTTACTTCCACCACCACCACCGCTACCACAACAACAACAACAGCAGAATATACCGATCACATTTGACATTACTCTGAAATATTGATTTGATCTGCTCATGTGAAACCTGCTTATATTTGAATTTCGAATAAATTGTTTAAACAAAAATCTCAATTTCTATGTTTTCGCTTAATAATTTGCTTGCTGTGTGATGATCAGAGCAATATTCTTTCTAATCCCCTTGATCCATACATATGTTTGTAATGCGATATCAGAAGATACTGTTCGATTGGATTCGTTGTTTCCCTTTTCTCTTCTATCTGATCGGTAAACATGAACTCTGGATATGTATCTTCGACAAGAAAGAAATGAGGAATATGATTTATACAACGAAACGTTTAAAGAATCAGAATATGATACATGTATAACACATAAAATGAGAGAAATCTATAACGAACGAAGGTTTGAATGCGGAAAATAAAGATACAAATAGAAAGAAAGAAAGAAGAAAAAAAATTGTATGATAAAAGAAGAGAAGAGAAGAAAAAGCGATTATACATGTATTTATTGCAACCAGATCGATCACCTCGGATACTGACTAGAACGAATAAAAGGTTTGAAATGAAAATGAACTATGTCTCTCGTTTGAGTCCATTCAAAAGAGGCATCGGTGATGGTTGTAAGAATGGATCAAAATAAGGATGATGATGGTGATGATGATGATGAGATGATGGAAAGTGAGGTGGCGGAATTATTGGATATCGTTGATGAGGAAGGTGAATGGAACCTTGTGGAGATGTTGACGATGACGATGAGTCTTTTCTTGATGATGAAGTTGTTGCTCGTGCTGGCATCAATGTCATTGGCACAGCACAGTTAGTGGATGTTGATGAACCACTACCGTTTGAATTTGGTGGTTGTTGATGCATTAAGATACGTGATTTATTTTCTTCATCCGAATCGATCAACCGTTCACCATGATGTGACGAACGATTATTTCCACTGCTTGTATGTAAATCTTCTCCTTCAGGATGTTCCATCAATGGTATATCACAACGCTCAATACCATCATTTGAATCATCCATATTATCAATGTCATCGTCTTCACTCCATGAACCACCGCCAACGGAATTCGGTCCAATACAGGCGGACTCGTCTTCTGTATATCGAAGGCACTTTTTCTTTCGTCTAGAACGAGTAGATCAGTAGTCTTTGTAGCTCATTTCTCTGAAGTTTCATACTTGCAATGTTTACACCAATTCGATTGTTGATCGAGACCAAATCTTGCACGACATTTCTTCTGATTGAGGCATTCTAAATGATCATGAAAGCGAAAGATTTAAAACAATGGATCTGCTATGAAATTTACCGCCATTTTCTCCTTGACTTTTTTCTCGTTTCTTCCCTTTACTTCCGCGCTTCTTCCTTGCACCATAATTATCTCGAGCTGACCATCCGGGATATAACTGCATGTGTCTCATTCGTTCATCGCGTGCCATATCATAATATTTTTGCTGAACATTTCGATCGAGTTCATGCCACTACAACGACAAAGATTGCATTGCCTTTCTATAAAGATACATTTCACGTACTTTTCGACCAAGTATTTGATTGATAGCGGCACTTTCTCGTAATGTACATTCTTGTACAACTTGGGCTCGTTGTTCTTTCATGAATAGCATAAAGGCATTCAATGGCTTTTTGATATGAGGTTTCTTCGATCTCTTCTCGTCATGTGATACTGATAGTTTATGATGTTGCGGACTATGATCCATTGTTCTTTAAAAAACCAAACACAATAGAAAATAGATCTTCGGATTTGGATCAACGTACCTGAGTGTTGTTGATCGCTTTTGTCCCAAGGAATGGCTGCCGTTGTTGTTACCATTATGATTACTGTGAGTTGTCATGACTGATGAATGTCCAGTAGGTGTATGTACTGCTGTCGCTGCTGCTGAACCTTGAGAGAGAACAGCTGGAGAGAAAGGATAACCCGGTGGAAATACGAATGGAAACATCGGTGGACGCCTAGAAAGATTCAACTTTTCTTTCTACTTCATTTTCATTTAATTAGAAACAAACGAACCAATGCTGTGCATAAAGTGATTGAAATGATGATGATGATGACAATGGATATATGGAATTAGGTACACCTGAATAGACAAATTTTTATGAATAGAAATTTATTTTTCCAACGATTTCAATTCTGGTAATCTTCGAAACTATCGTTCAACGATGTTTTTCTTGATATATATATAGATAGATTGTAGCGAATGATATGTTATATTATGTCCTTTTGACCACAATTTAAGAAGAAAAAGATCTTTGTTCGTTGTTCGATGTCTATTTCGAGATACACAGAGCCCGATTAATATCTCATTTACGTGAAAGAGTCTTCTTTCTGCAAAAAATTTATAAATTCTATCTAGTGTAAGTCATCAATGTTCTTTTTTTTGTTGTTACAACAAAAGAATCGTTTAGACTTTGATAAAAATATCATTAAACGCTGAAATATTTATCAATAGGAGCATATAGAGTAAAATGGTGCAAGTAAGCACATTTGCTGAATAGAATTACGATAGTCTCGATGTTTTTTTTCGCTTTTCCTTCTACTAACTATCATCTTGATGATTGAATTGACATTCTAGTCAGTACAATAGAAAACTATTGCCCATCACAGTGAACATTCTCTTTTATTCTTTCGTTTTTCTCTTCATTGTCTTCCTTTTCTCTCTCGTTAATAAGATCATTTTCCACTTTGTTACACGTCAACCGACGACATGGATGTCGATTAGAATTGCATG